TTCAGTGGAGTTTGTCTGCCTTTTCCCACCCACGGTTTTTCATGCTCGTTACACTCATCATCATTTTCACATTACACATCCTGTGGAAGCTTCTAGCAGAGGCGAGAGAAAATCCTATCCGGAAACTGTAAATGTTTTTCCTCTCCTTCGCCTTTTTACTGCATGTCCTCAAGGGGTGGATAAAGCTGCCTTTTTGCCGTCGCCCCAGACACAGAAAAAAGGATGTCACAAGGATGAATTTATTCCCAAGAGTGAAACAAGGAGAAAGTTTGTCATTTACATTGTTTAAATTGCCCTCAACATGCTCAGCAACTCCGCGAGGATGTGTGCACTTTTCCTTCGGCCACTCCACATTGACTTTGCCATGGAGATTTATTGGATGTCCAACAATTCGATACAAATCGCGTCACTTGGCAACCTATCTCAACAACTTTGCTGCCAGGAAACCAAAAGGACGGCTTAATTTATCACAGGAGATCTGAGAAGCTTTTACAACAGGACTTCACAACTGTGCCAGCTATGTCGTCTCAAGTTTAACGACCAATATGGTGCAACACAGTCTTCAAAAAGAACACCGCAAAAATTAATATTTTTATTTGTCGCGTAAAGCGTAAACAGCTCACGACAGCTGTGAAAAAGTCCACAATTATGCAAAGCTCCAATTTGTTGGTTAAATATTTGATAAACAATCAATAAATCTACCATTCGTGCAAAAACTTAATGAAACACTCGCTTCCCAGATAAGCTCATCATTTTTTATCGCAGTCAAATTCAGAATCAATTTCCAATGTGCTCAATTCCAGCTCTAGCACATATGATGAGTAACAATGCATTGAAAATATACGTATATGGAACTTTTCCATGAAAAATCACTCTAAACTCGAGTTTCAAGCACGGAAGCTTTCAGCGCTGTTCTTTCAGCTCTGCAGCGAGTGATTCTCGCAATTTATCCATTCCCTCCGAATGGCAATATCGAAAGCAGGACTCCTGGGAACTTTTCCACTGTGCGAATTTGCATTGAGGTTGGAAACTTGCTGGTCGTCAAAATGCTGGCCCTAGGCGATAAAAATGCTATGAAATGTGGCACAAAATGGATGAAGTGGCACCTCGAGAATGCACTCTGCAACTGTGCTTTTCCCATACGTGAGCTAACCTCGGGGCTTTTCTCCTCAAATCCAACATAATGAAGTGAAAACACGCTACTCTACATCATTAGACCATCTCACGAAAGCTCTTCGCGAATCGATTTTGAGGAGAAAAGGGCTCATCCGAGCAACAAAGTGTTTCTAGGACAATCAAAGGGCGCAAAAGTGCTGCTTTTTCGCCAAGAAAAACACATTAAGAGCCTAAAAGAGTCCATTCAATTTGCTTCATCTCCTTTCCTCCGACCTTTCTTACAGCCAAGCAGCGAAAAAGTTTTCCTGCGTTAACGTTATGTCGCACTTTACACAATGGATGTTAATCCTAAGCTCAGGCTTAAACGACTCGTCCAAAGCAATGAATACATTCTTTTTAGATTGTGATCAGACTAGACTTTAGTCAAGACAGGACTTAATTTAAGCTGATACGATTGACTTAACTCATTTGTTATTAAGGAAAAGACCAAACTTTCCCAAAACATACTGATTCTCTACATACGCGAAGTTTTTTAAATATCCCCTATAAAAATATTATCACAAATTTCATAGCAATATTATCAGAATCTCAGGATATTGAGCTTATTTAAATTCTTATGAAAAAATTTCTCGTACGAAAATGTGGGATTTTGCTTTCGTACCTTTTAAAGAGTAGGTATGAAATTTTCAAAATTCAACAAATTAATTTGCATATTATATATTTGCGGCTTATATTTCTACAAATACTCGAAAAGACCTGAACATTTTTAAAAAAACTTTCCGAAGGAAAAAAAAACATAATATTCACAGTACGACTATTCCCAAAATCACGAAAGATTTCTCGTCCTCTGCTGACATTTGTGTAAAGAAGTGGAGGAGCGTGTGCGATAACACCACCCCCGTCGCCGAGAGCGAGATAATTTGTATGTCGAATTGTTATTCGTGCACTTGCCACCCACCACGAAAGCTCGCCTCCAAGAGTCGTTGCAGGAGCGCGTGTTGGGGCGATAAGGGAAATTTCATTTACATGACAATGCTCATTTAAAAGCTCTCCCTCGCGTCTCTCATTGTGCCTTTGTGGATGCGGCGACTTCATTCTGTGCGTCTTTCTTCCTTGGAGCAACAATAAAAATATGAAATGGTAAGTCGAGGTGACAAAATTTATGGATTCAATCAACAACACGAGGGCGGGCTTTATGGTCCAACCATCGAGAGCTCTCGGCCACTGAACTTCCCGCTGGAAATTGGATTTTTCCGACACTTTCCCAAGTCGCATCTTCGCGCCATGAGTTTATTAATCATGTCCCCAAAATTGACTCTTCAGAAATGGAAATTTCCCATCTCGAGGGGTGATAAAAATACGTCAATATGCTTTCGACTTTCCGCACCATCTTCAGCAACAATAGAAGTGGCCGATAGAATGCTTGATGGAATAATTCCATGTATAATTCGCCACTGAGACGTCTCCAGGAGTGGCAAATCTCTGAAAAGCTCCCTTTCTATTCCTCACATCAAACCTCCTGCTAAGCTCCCTATTTTCCTCTCACGAGAGCTTTCAGCATTTGCATCTCAGATTCGCTCAAGAGGTTTTTTTCCCTCCATGCGAAGTGAGATCGCTTTCAGATTATGCACCAGTGCACAGATCGAGGGAATTAAGGAACAACAGAAACGTGTATTTTGCTCTTTTATCGCTACATAAGCTTTCAAGTTTTTTTTTGCAAAATCGTGGAAATGCCCTTTCATATTTCGTCCTTACTTACCATTTTCAGTTCCATGGCAATTAAACTCCGCAACTTGAATCTCCACCTTTAATAATACCCTTTTATACGTTTTATATTTTTCGATGAAATCCGTCCTTTGAATGGAACGAGCACTTCTGTACACATTGTGTCGCTTTGAACCTACAAATTGCAAAAGCTCTCTCACCATTTCATCAACCGTGACACAATTTCGTGGAGTTTAGAGCAAATTGCAGGGCTTTTCAGCCACGCGGAAGCCATTGAATGCCCTCTGCAGCCACGTGCAATTAAGTCACAGCGAATTTGTGATTTGGGCGATAGCGTTTTGTCCTCGAAGAGCTCCTTATCTTACGGGGATTTTCTCATTTGCTGGATGAAGGAGTTTTCGGGTGAGGAATCGCGCAGAATAGCCATAAATTCTCAATTACTATCATGGCGGGCTGAAGCTTTTCCCTCTTGCTCGGGATGTCAGCAAAAGAGCAATAAATGGTGCTCTCAGAGAACGTGAAATTGAATTATGTTCTCTATTTCCTCCAGAGCAATTTCCATAATTGCCATGCACGATAAATATGCTAATATTGAGAGTGTATCCTCGCGTTTTCCTAAGTGGGTAGCTTTTCGGCAATATTCTTTCAAAGGCTCAACAATTAAAGCTGCGAATTCTCCATGTAGACCTTGAGATGGCGGACAGGAGATTTTCCAATGCGGAAGTGAGCTTGAATATGCAGATGAGGAGGTTTCTGGGTGCGCGTCTTCTCAACATGATCGTAAAAAGTGCGTAAAATTGGCGCAAAAATCAATTTCGGACCAGTTGTAAAATACAACAAACTTTGAAAATTAAAGGCTATGAAAATATTATACGATTCTCACCACCTGTTTTTCCTCCTCATTTCACATACCCAAACATTCTGTCGGTCGACAGACTCACGCGGAATCGGTGACGCACTTCTCAAATGCCCAGCAAATCCCAAGCCTCAAGACTGTTGATTTTTCAATCCAAACAACTCCTCGCCACCTTGACATTCGCCACTTCTCATGAAGGGGAGGACAAAAATAGGTGTGAAATCTCTGCCATTCCCAAAAGTCACGTAAAGTCCACTGAAAATTAATTAAAATGCATTTTGCAGTGACATTGCAAGCGTCTTTTTTCGCTTACCACCCGAAAACCGATGATGATCAAAAATAACTCTGAACAAGTCCGAATTTCAATTAAATTTCCAATTTCAATTTGTTACATTACACACAGTCGCTAATTCTATACGTGTAATGCATTATTGCAACTTTTCCACCGATTCGCAATGAAAAGTTCATGTGAACTTTTCACCAACTATTTTATGGATATATTGTGTCAAAAAGCATGTAAATATTTTTTTTTTTAACAATGCGAAAAGGAAATAAAATTGCAGTTTCCGCGATTGGTCAATATAATGCAATACATTGTTCGTGCAAAAAAGGATGGTGAAAAAGTGAGTAATTGATATGTAAATGTTTCGGATGGTAATTTCCAATAAATAAAAATGTGACAAGAGGACGTAAAATGTTGATACAAATTAGTGAAACCCATGAAAATATAAAAAGGATATTTGTAAGCATTCGTTATGCGTCATTATAGTTAGAGGATGTTTGAAATAGTGGCCATTCTGGATTGATTTTTCTGCACAACCTTGAGAAAAAAAAATTGTATTTCATCACAGCTTCCATTAGATAAAATTTCTTTTATAAATTAATTAAATTCGAAGAGCCATTTAAGCTTTCAACAGATAATTCAAACTTTTCTATTTGCCAAAAAATCGCCTCTGATCCAATTATTGCTTCTGATTAATGACTCCTGATCTAATCCACCGAATTTCCGCTCAAGCAACAAGATCTTGGATGTGTTCAGTGATTGCTAAATTGATTAACTCGATGAGCTTCTTGGCACAAATTCTCCACCGCGAATGTCCAATAAATTCTGCATAGTAAAATTTTCTCTCACTCAAAACTAAGAAATCGTGGGTGAGCTGTTGATGTTTTGAGGAAATGGAAAGAGATGGAAAATGTATCTTTTCCACCTGCGCAGGATCAAGCTGCGCAACTTCTCACTTACGCAGAACATATTTCCAAGTCGACGCGTTCCGACGATCAGTGATTGTCGTGAGATCGGACAAAGCGGGAGTGTTGGAAAGTTTAAAATAGCACGAAAATTGGGAGAATTTCGCACTTAATAAATTTGTTTGTGTGGCAATTTCTGCGACCAGAGACTTTACTGTGGACTTTCACTAGAAATTGGTGGAGTTCTTGCTCTTTTCCCGAGTATTTTGCGATGATTATGTAATACGGAAGAGTGGGAAAATTGAAGAGGGCTTTTCAAGTGTTTGTTCTGGACGGGAAAAGCCTGGATTTTTCACACTCTGGCCGATAAACATACATTTCTGCGCGTTTCTTTCATCTTTTGATCGATCGTGGCAGTGAAAATCTCAAGCACAGAGTGCGGCAATGTAAATGCGTGATCAATTGTACCACGAAAATTCCTTTAGTGGTCCGTAAACCTCCCTGAGAACGGCCAACAATATCAACTTGAGTGTCTGCCAAATGTCTTTCAAATACTCAAGGCATTCAAAGCGACACTCTGACTTGAAGAAATTCAATTACTTGCGCCGCGCTAGGCTTCGTGTGGATCAAAAGCTTGGGCTTCACCTTTCACCACACACGGAGGTTAATCTAATTACGATCACCCGAGCACGTGCCAGGACTGAAAATCAATGTCTAGGCGATTTTTCTCGCTGTGAAAATTCTCACCGCGACAGAATCATTAATTTTCCCCCTTGGACGACACAAAGAGCCATTTTATTATTAACTATGTGAATTTGGGGAAACGCGAAAAGCCATATTTTATGCTACCGTCACAGATGATCCTGTCTCTTGTGCGGTGGTTTCAGAGTAATAAAAAGAATTATATTGGAGAGTGTAATTGAAACATAGTTTCATGGTCAAATTAATAACTCACAACACAAAGTCAGGAAGAGTCGCAAATGGTCAAACCTGCCAATTATTGGCTCTCTGGCATAGCGAAGTTGTGCCAAAAATAATTTCTCAACCACTCAATTTTCCACACTCAATTTCATCTGCGAGGCATTACATTAAATATTAAATACACAAGCACAGGGTGGAGCAACTTGTGTGCGTTATCGATTCGAAAATTCACCCCCAGCAATGATTGACACATTTAATTTCCACGAGAAGCGCAATGCAATTCTCCTCGAGAGTGGAGCAAGGAAATTGTCGCAGACATATTCCGGATAATTGAAAGATTTATTACATTCAACGTATCCCAGTTTTTTCCATAACTTGGCCCCAAAATGCCTTGAGGAAATCAAAGAGAGATCATAATTCTCTGCGAGGATGAAAAATGCGAAGACGTGCCTTTGATAATTTAGTGGACGAGACTCCACATTCACGTCACAATATTTTCAATTCATATTTTATCGCACCCAGTTTTTACTCATCAACGCGATCAAAGTGATTAATTTACGCGCGAAAAATGATTGGTGAATTTTATAGTAAGGAGATTTGAGAGTATGTGGGACATTGTTTACACAATCAAGAGCCGGAAGTGTAATGAGATTTTTCTTAGAATTAAGCTTAAAGATCTCAATTCTGGCATCGACGTTATCGTGAATTTTAAAATCACTGCAAAAAATTGATATTCTGGCACAAACAAGGATTTCAAAATTTCATAAAGCAAAGCGATTAGTAGAGTGTGAATGCAGCGACTATTCCATCACAAATGTTTGTTATTCAATGATACGAATCTAAGAAGTTCTACAAATATTGATATACTGTCAGGTTTACAATAGCCTGCAGAAATTGATTAATGCACTATCGCTAAAGAATAAAAATACGATAGGAAGTCACAAGCAGATCGTAACAATAAATCGATGCGAATATGACAAAAAACGTATTGAAAATATGTTATTTGGGAATTTTTGGGAACAAGTGCCAACAGTTTGTTCATATTAAAATGTCCTTGCAAGAAATAACAACGTATGAACAATGCCCGAAAGACCATTTTACTGAATTCTGCACTGAAGATGTCCTGTGTATAAATCATGAGATTGGTCAGCCTAGTTTCAGAGTGAAAGTAGAGATTCTGAGGATCAAAGTAGAGCGCAGAATTCATTTTGTACAGGCCAAAGAAGATTTGATATAAATTTTTCTGACAATTCTGGCACTGCTTTCTGGAATTGTCTGGACGCACCATAAGTGTTTGAATCCGAACTCATGTCATTAAATTGTGCAGAGAAAATAGATTGCCACAATGCTTTGAAATCGACAAGAGAATAAATCCCTATTTGCTCTTTTCCCTTCGGTCGGAAAAAAATCTCCCATGAGCTGACATTTATTTGACTTTGTAACTCCGAGTAAAACCAATCTAGCCCGATAGCGATAGCGTCATTTGTCTCCTGTTATTCCAAAGGAGACGTTCAGTGATTGCTCTTCTAGATGAAAGCTTGTAAATGAAACTTTTTACTGCAAAATTACACCTTCATCTCACCTTGTGCGCGGCGTGGCGGTAAATCAAGTGTCATTAGCTTATGCAAGGAGCTTTCGGGAGCTTTCTGTGGGTGGGATTATTTTTCCATGGGATTTGCACACTTAAAAAAGCCCTTGTAATCCCGGCTGAGAGATGACGAAAATTATGCAGAGAATGGAATCGCCTTATAGTGCAGAATCATGGTGTCGGGCCAAAGTGATGCATGGCATGGCAAAAATAGACCATTAGATAGCATGGCCAGTGAGTTCAATTTACTCTTGGTGAACAATAAACAAGCAAACAGTGAGTGCAATCAATCACTGAGGAACTTTCGAGTCATTAGAAGACTGATAATCTCATGCACAGACACATTCGATGTTCGCTGTCGCACTTAATCTTCCCCAGAATTACCACAATGCTCGTAAATATGTTCGCGAATTGCAGTGGTGAGAATACAAATTGGGAGGCAAAAAAACTATGGCCAATTCAATGAAATTTTCATATACTTCACATGAATATTCAAGAGTGCAATTTTCAGAGGGACAAAACACGCCAATATTGCCAATGCAGATTGACTAATTCATTTCCCATTCAAAGTCAATTCGATATTTATTCAGTACCAGAGCTTTTGCAGAACCTCAAAGAATCCGGGTCAATCCATCCAATAGAAGAATTTCCATTTCGATGCAAATGAAGGCTAGGGGTTTGAAAATGATTCGCAATGAAGAAAATTTCCAATTATTTTCCATTGCAGAGGAATCACAAATCAATAACATACCAACCATACCGACCAACAATCTCATCAATGCCTGTCAAACACCAAATCTGATGGTGTTTTAAATTGCGTCTGGGATTCAATTAAAAGCTCAAATTGAATTTAATCATTTTTTAGCCCACTATTTCTTTAAACTTAAACTGTCACAATTGGCAAAGACAGATTGATTTTACATTAGTTTTCTGCGCGGAATCGCACTCAGGATTACTCATACCGCATGATTTATTTGGATGTGGCTATCCAGAGTGAATCAATGGCGTTCTCCAATAAGACAATTAATCACAGAAGTTCCACTCACTCGGGATGAGTTTTATGATCTTGTTTATGGGTTGGGGAAAAGCCAATAAAATCGATTTTATTGGGTACATTTAAGACAAATACTTCAGAGGCGGAAAAAGATGAGGAATATAAACACCACTTTTAAATTATTTGCTTTCATGCTGTGGATTTTGAGCGCACAGAGATTTATTTTCGACCCAGCGACATGTTGAAAGAGGGCGAGCTTTTCCATCCTGAAACTTGGCTCTGAATTTTAATGAGACTCATTTGCAATTAAAAGCCCATATTTTCTGAATAAACATACAATAGGGCTTAATAAATGTTATTATCATAATCAATAAAGTAGAAATACACGGGAAAATGCAATAATTTCATCGAAATCTAGGTGAAGAGCGTTTAATACGTTGAATATGAGCGAAATGGTGGGCCACCAGAGGAGAGAAGATTCACCTGTGGCCAGGGATATCTCCATGTCGCCGTCATCGCGACGTCGGGCGGATTTTACGCTTCGCCAGCTTCAGAATGATGTCATGTTTCGAGCTAGATCGACACTCAGTAGCCTAGGAGATGTCATGAAGCGTCCTTCTTCCTCAAAAAACCATGCCAAACCTCCTCATAAACATCGCAGCACGCTAGACTTCTTTATGTGCACCCGACATAAGAAGATCGAAGCCAAAAAGGAGACCCTGAACGAAAAAGTGCCATCCGATGTAGTCAATCGAAGACCGAAAAGCAAACTGACACGCAATAAGAGCCTGGATTGTGAAGGCGAAGAGAATCTCCCTCTTAGAAAGAATGACACAAGTCTCTCCGTTGGGGAAAATCTCAACTGGATTCCAGAAGAAAATCCTCCAAGAGCACGACCTTCATCTTATCATGATGGCAATGTAACGGTTAAAGCACGGCTAAAGCTCCAGAAATTCATTTCTCAGGACGAAAGTGCAATCACTCCGATTAAATCCCCAAAAATCATACGCCAATCCTCTTATGATCCTCGATCCCAACGCATTTCTGAAGAGAAACACTCTGAGGAGAACCACAACTTGGAAGTGCCTCAGAAGCCTCGCAAAAAGCTCTCTTTCCGAGAACCAGAGAACGACGCTTATTTCCAGCGAAGCAATAGTCTAGATTCTGAGCTTGAGGTATTACAGAGAAAACTTGACTGTGGAGATAATCGATCTTTTATTCTGCTCTAATAATCTTGACTGGTGTAAGTAACTTTCGTCCTCTTTTCACAGTCACAGGCCATGAGGATCGTTCGCACTGTTGGTCAGGCCTTCGAAGTATGCCACAACCGCAAAGTGGCCACCCAGAACGCCAAGGCGGCATCCTTGGAGCGTGAGGATGCAGGCTCAGAGACGCCCTGTGATACATCGGAACAGGATCGATGCTCGGACCCACTGACAGACGACGAGGAGCCTCGCAAAGGTATTCATTTATACACTAAAATTCCAAATCCAGTTTTTTTTAAACACCGCGATAAATCACTTCTTCATAGTCATACTTTGTGACTGAATGATTCTATGCAAAACTACTCAATTGAGGCCAAATTGATGGTGTTTCGGTGAAGATACTGTCTGACATAGAAATTCAGCTCAATTCAACTATGTTGATTTATATTATCTACAATGCCATTCACAATCACATTATACTACCATACAGTGGACAAATTGCGAACAATGCAAACGAAATTAATTTGATTTGACATCAATCCAAATGCAGACGATAGACAAATTAGTTTGAGAGACGAAGTCAATTCATGAACGGACTATCGCATTAATGTCTTTGCGATGCTTCAGATCACATTCTCAAAGAGTGCAATATTAAATCGCCAGGCGGGTGACAAAATGCAGAAATATGCAAACAACCTCAAAAGGCTTGCAGTGAATTTTATGACTTTTTTCGCCACACCAACACTTTGCTTAACTCTTCCGGCAAACAGTAAAAGCTCCGAAAGCTCTCCCTGCCCAGCACAAAAAACAAGCACATGTAGTCGAAAAGTGATGCACACGAGGCCAGAAAAACTGTGGCAGGAAAACATTTTACTGAATTTATTGCCACATTCCCAATGGGGCGGGGGTTTTTCGGCAATGTGCGGGGTGGAGAGGTCGCGAAGGCATGTGTGAGCTGTATTTAACGATTTAATTTACAATGTGTGCACGCGGGGGAGTTGATAAAACGACCCTGGCGAGATGGGTGGCCCAAGTGACGTAATTAATGCAATGGAAATGATTTATTGAGAAGCTCAGTGGCTCATTGTTTAATAAACAGTCGCCCGCCCACTCACTAATTAACCCTTTTCCTAAATTTATTGCACTCGATGCTCTGAGACAACATTATATTGATCCGGACGCAGAGGTCAAAGAGGGTGTCAGGACAAGCCTGGCAATCACACACTCACACACACACACACACACACCAGAATAATCATTAATTGTGGCAACATTCAACTTCATCCCGGAAGAGATGTGACGAAATGTGACGGGGTGTCCATTGTCCTGTTTTTCACTGCTAGAATGGTTCAAGCTGAAGTGAAAGCTTTTCAATTGTGGTCACTTTAGAAAGCAGCAATTCTGCTTATATAAATGGTTGTAAGACAACACTGAAAGTGGGCGGAGCATCTGAATGGGTGGAGCACGCCTAATTTTCACTCAATTCCGCTCTTTATCATGTCATTCTCATTAAATTCACTCACACCAAAGCAAAAATTAATAAATAACCCACCCGAAAGTTGCATTGCACGCCGCAAACAAGCGCGATTTATCTCAATGTGACAGTGAAGTGCCTTTCTTCAGTCGCGACAAAGCACTGAAAGTTTTGCATTTTATGTAATTTATGGTGCGCAAATAAATCAAAATGCGTACACAATGCGCGACAGGCGCTCCAGTTGCAACTTTCATCTCTCAGGGGTGGGTTTATCTTAGCTCATCCTCCCATTGAGTCGCACGACAAGTCGTGGAAATGACAATGTTATTGTTGTAACTTCCGCCTCCCGAGCGTTCTCTCCCACTCTTGACGGAAGTGACTGAGGCGTCGCGATATTGCAGAGTGTTTTCCGCAATATGAGATCTTTTTGTTATGTCTACCATACAATTTCCATGGTGCTTTAATTGGGATCGATTGCCACGATGTTTTTGGTAAGTTCTGAAGACAATGTGTGGGCAGGAAATTGCGCGATGTGCGGCGCTCTTAATTGCCTTAAGCGTTACTCAACAAGTGGCTTTAAGACAACCCACTGGAATTTATGAAATTCTACCCGGAAAGAATTCATAAAGAATTCATCCCGGATCAACCCTAAAAATTTCATCTGTCAGGGGATGAGGAAAACACACAATTCTCACTCACCCCTATCTGCAAATCTGTGGCTATTCAATTGAATCCTCCCGGCAAATGTCTCACGAAGCGTGACGATGTCATGTGACGTGATCTATTGTCCGCCAGAAAATCAATGCGACCAACAAGAACTCACTCTCTGCGCCACCCTTTTCAGAAATCATCCCCATCACGCCGGAGCCCGTGCTGGCACGACCAAATCACCTGGACATCCTCTCGCAGGTCAATTTCGACAGCCGGAAATCACCAGTGAGTACACGCAATTTTCCATCTCACCTGGCCTTTCCGCACTGTCAATCTTTTGCACATTTCAGCAGGAGAACGACGACAGGGCCGCCAGCCCGATGCCCGCCGCTCGCGAAATCCAGAAGCTGAAGGAGCAGCTGGAGCAGCAGAGCCTGCAAACGCGCCAGGCACTGGCCCAGCTCATGCTCGTGCGGGAACAATTGATTTCGGAGACGAACGCCAGGGTGGAGGCTCAGGTATGACCCTCTATGCATGCCACTTCAAGCGTAAACTGTGCACAAGACGTGCCTATAGTTGCAATTGGGAAGGGTGTCTCAACGAGTGCCATATTAAATTGTGACAGCAGAGCTCACTTTTCTGGTACCCCAGGACAATTACAGAACGAACACAGATTATACGATAAAAAACCAACAAGAACTATATAAATTGATTAAACTTAGCAAATTAACAATTTGTACTAAGCAGATACTTATGATATTTTTCGTAGCAGAATGCGAAAAGAGCATGAATTAATTTCTTTTTCTCGAAAATTTATTAACACTCACAGTCAGATATGAAAATATCCAGAGGTTTACGACCTCTTGAAATCCAATCCCTTTATATTTCAATATAACTCATCCAATACCCAAAATTCAATAAAGGAATCTCCATCTAACCTCTTTGGTAATTCATGGGTTCTCAGCACAACTTTGCCTCGCTCTCCTCTTAAAATTTAATCCTTGCGAGCATTTTTACCCTGGAATCAGAAAACGTCAATAAACTCGTTTAAAGTAATTGAAAGTCTGGGCGAAAGATTGCTCGAGTGTTTCAATCAATAGCATTTCAGCAATATTAAATTGTGTGAAGACGAGCCTGGAAGTGTGAGGGTCTGGCGGTATTTTATGCCGAGGGGATGTTTTTATTGATCCCCAGGCTTTGAGTGTGTCTCTCACCCAGACTTGTTTTCTTGTAGGCCCGCACACAGCAGCTTCTGCAGCAGAACCGAGAGCTTCTGGAGCATATTGCCGCTTTGGGAGGCTACCACGAGCCGGATAGACCCAGCCTGACGGCGGCCACCCTCGGGATTGCGCCTCAGGTAACATTTTTGCCGCTATGCCAGCTTTAAGGAAGATAATATTGATTCAATTCTGCTCTCTGTATGTTGTTCTTTTCCTCGCCTTCAGCCAGCCCATCTGCTACAATTATTGTTTATTTCGCAAATTTTATTGTTTGACGCCATTCCCTCTGACATCACACACAAATATACATTCCCAAAAAGCGCCACAGATACTGAGAATCTACGGGAGTAACGCTCTCTAGAGTGTTATTTAAGGGGGTATTTGTGCGGTGTGGGGAAAAGGGAGCATTTCAGGGATTGCATTGCGATTATCTCATTATTTATTATCTTGTGCGGTGAACACTGAAAACGTCATTGGAAATTCATTTAACATCGATACGATGGCCATTAGTCTGCTAAATATTTCTTCTCGTCTCTCCTCATTTTCGCTGAACTAAGCAGTTTACGTGGCCAGCATCCGAAATGGTGGCCTCGCTGTTCATTGACTCGTTCTCTCATCATTGTTCCAACCATTTCGACGCTTAAAGCTCATTGCATTAATTTCATCTCTCGCCAAAAGCTCCGCAATCTCAGAGTGTCTCGAGAAATTTTCTCATACAATTTTGGTCAGTCACTTCAGAGTAGCAGAATAGCATTAGAGTAGCTCAGGGGGCTGAAGCTGCAGATGAACTCAAGAGTTGGATGCTTTTCGTCAAGGTATTTTCTCACTCTCTCTTCTTCATTTGATTACAGACCCGAGAGAGAGAAAGAGTTACTCTTGATAAATTGCACACAAGAAGAAGTAAAATAATGAGACAAGTTGGTACGCAGTTGAGAGAGCTTTTGGGCAACTTTGCAACATTTGCTTTGTAGCTGAGAGCTTTCAGAACAATTTAAATATCATGTTGAAGAATAGTGTGCAAATACATTTTAATAAATTTCCGTTTAATTTATTCCGGGAAACTTGCAATTTTATAGTGTTAAATACATAAGAGTACATTGATGAGCATATAAGTCAATTAGTTGGAAATTGTTTCAAAGACGTTCAAGAGAAGTCGACTTATTATACTATTATCCCAAGTAAAGTGAAATCATCTCAATTTCAGCTTAGTAAGGTTAAATTAGCGACAATTCTGATGCAGTGAGGAGTACTAGAAGAGAAACTTCCCTGCTTTTCCTGTATTTTCTCTATCAATTTTTCCTCACAGCATCCGCCCAGTCTTGCGTGAGATAATTTGGGGTGGGTGGCAAAACGCTCGAGACGCTCTTATATAGAAATTCGCACGATGGAAAACAAGTGGAGGAATTTCTTCATTTGGGGACGATTTTTCCAGCGCCAGTGGATGAATTATGGATGCTTTGGGGTATGAGGCAAAAATTTATAGTTGCTAGATAAAGAGCAACTACACCCTAAGTCACTTCTGCTACATTTAATGCACAAATGAGGAAATTCCATGCTTCCGATGCTTCTTCCTGCCATTCGCAGAGGAATTTACTTTTTAATATCGAAGAGCTGTTAAATCTCTGGCTCAATTACTGTAGATTTTTCTCTCCTCTTTTAAAATAATTGCTCAAAAGAGATGTGATGTAAAAAAACGGGGGGTGGATAAACTTTGAAAGCTCGTTCTCTGAGTGGAAAAATGCTAAGCTAACAGAACGACCAGCATAGCATTTATATTTACACAAAAACACGTTCCAGAATCCTTTTGAAAGAAGCGAACCTCCATGTGCAAAAATGCTCAACCAAAGCTCATTCAATTCAAATGTTGAATGGTTGGAGTGAGAGAGAGAAATTCTTTCAGCAAACTTTTCCCAACTATCATCCTCAGGGGTTGAAAAAGAGCACATAAATTCATCGTGAAAATGCCAAAAGTTGGACTGGGAAGCGCGTAGAATCCTCTCGGGAATTTCTCTCGCGCGCAAAAAAGCTCCGCAGGCCAATTTATGTAATCGGTGAAACATTACAAGAAAAATCACACTGTCAGAAAAGTCATGCTTATTTTTATATTTTCACGGTAACCTCCCCTTTTTCCTTTCTTCCTCTTGCAAAGAATCCTCGCCCTTTGCTCCTCACTCGTTTTATATGTGCTCCAATTGCTGTTAATACAGGCGAAAGAATTAAATTCGTGTGTTTTTGCATGTGTTCTCTAGAGCGTGTTCATTTACGTTGTTCTCTCTTCTTTTTCCTTAATTTTGTTTATGCGTCAAATACACGAAAAACACAGTCATAGATTGAGGAATATTGAGGTAAGTGGAAGTTTTTTTTGACAAATATTCTTGCATGCCTTCTCTCAATGTTGACTACGCTAATCTCTAGGGAATGTGTAGCAAATCACTAAGAGCAGTATCGTTTTCTCTTACAGTCACCACTCTTCCTGACTCCTACTTCGGACGAACTAGGTTCTCCTGTTCGCAAGACATTCGCACCACCCAATGCGGCGACACTCACCCAACTGGGCACTATAAATCAGCAACTGACCACTCTCAGTCAGCAATTGTCGGGCCTAAATCAACAACAGCAGAACCTTCACAATCTCCAGCAACTAACTTTTGGAGCTGCTCCCCTATCTTCGTCTTTTGCACCCCCCAGAAGCACCCCGTCGAGTAGTGGAGAACTGATCTCGCAGCAGGAACTCTTCCAACTCAATGCGGAGCTGTTGTCCCGCCTGCAGAATCTAAACTTTGGCCAAAATGGCACCCAAAATGGAATGAATAACAACTCACCGCAAAGTTCCTTCATCTTCTGCAATTCTAGCGCTTTGGGTGGCAATAACAATGCCAATCTTCTGAACTCACCATCAAGCGGAAGCAATCTTACACCCTCGCCACTTGGAACACTCAACCGCTCCTCCTTCTCGACCAGTCCACTGGACGATAGTCTGGCCGTGAGCTTGGAGAGAAACCTAGACGCCAGTGATCACGACACTCATCTTATAAAGCCCTTATCTCAAGTTGGCACCCTCACAACTCTGGATTCTGAGGGAAAGGTGAAAGTTTTGGTACCTGTTTCTGGCAGTTCCAGAAGCACAACAGGCCGCAGAACTGAAAAGAAAGTCACTCTGCCTGAAATGGTGACACTCAAAGTTACGGATGAGAGTGGAAATGTGACAAAGAAGCTTCCAGCGACGCCGAGTTTCATCACAAGGAGCACCAGCGAAAAAGTGCCCAGTCGCAGTCAAATGATGGTTCAGGTGCAGAGGACGCAATGGGCACGGCACACGACCAAGTAGATCGCTAGCGAAAGAATCACAAGAGGAGGGATTCGAACAAGAGTACCACATAATCACGTATATTTTAACGATCGACGCTTCTTCCACGAGGAAGACTATATTTTCTCAAGACTTCCATACTTGTATGTGAATAGATCTTTATAAAAATCCACAAAATAAATAAAAACCTATATAAATCAAAGCATAATTAGTTAATTAAAATTATCGTTTGCGTTATTTTTTCTGGCCAAATAATAAAAAAGCGCAGAATTATCAGCTGATAAGTAAGCAAATTGTAAATCTTTAGATTCTATTCACATATTAAGTATTCAGAAGAGACGAAAAATACAGAAATCCTTGCCAAATTCTTGTCAAATCACTCTCTACAGATAATTAAGTTGAAACTTCCTCAATCAACACGAGTCGAGAAAAAAACGAACCCTCCTTTTGTGAGCACTTCGAGGGGTTCTTTTGAATCTCCTGTCACTTTCACTAATGAAGAAGGTGAATTCTATTGTTGGGAACAATTCAAGACTTTCTGGATTATCAATTTTTTCCCTCTTCTGAAAGCTTGACAGGGATTCCCTCAAACTTATACTATATATTATATACAATATTCTTTCTGTAAATAGCAACAACTCCTAATTGTCAATTTTATATTAAATGAAAAGAGATTCTATTCTATTTATTGTAGCTAAGGAAATTTACTCTTAACACACTCTCTCTTTAATGTTAGGTATATTCAGAATATCAATTTTCATAAAGGATGTCTTCGAATGTGGTGCCAAGAGATAAACTGTTCTTCTCATATTAAATCATGAAAAAATATCACAATTAAATTATCTTACATGTTAGGCTGATCATTTGACAAAAAGTGCCAAAGAACAATGGAATAAATTGAATTACATAGTATTTTTATCTTAAGGGATTAATAACGTGAACATGAGGCATTTCCCAGAATCCCCAGCCTGTGAAATTCCCCCCAGAGACCAATTCAATTGGTCATTCGCACCTGAAAATGCAGGTGAAAAATTAATTAAGCCCACCAAATCCGCCTGAGGCGCATCTGAATCTGAAAGCTCTGCAGCTTTATCCATTGTTAATAGCATTTTCTGCCCATATTTGATTCAAACCAGAACCTCCCCGCAACACAGGACAGGGAAATCAATGGGAGTGACGCAAAACCATGTTCACGTACATAAAATTGTACATAGTTCTTGAGATCCTAGGTTTAAAATGAATATATTGTTAATTTTGAGATCAAGAGGATATTTTACCAGTGTTACAATTATCTTTTGTATATCGTTTAGCGTGATGTGAAGATGCCAATGTCACGATGAGAAAATAAAATAGTGAATTCTATTGGAGCTTTTTTATCAGATATGCAAATGTAGTCATGGCATTTTTTCTTCTTCAAACTTTTTGAATTTCCCAATCAAGGATGGAAATGCAAAGTATCGATCCAATAACTTAAATCTGAGTATTTTATGCTTGCAGCTATCCTCAACAGCCAAAGTGGCTCGCTGGTTTTCACAATTGCCATGGAATCAGGCTTCGCTTTCGCGTCCAGAGAGTGGCTTCGTCTCTGGTGATTCACGGAGCGAAAAGAACATCCTGGGCGAAGACAACCTCGACAGTGGAGGAGCCAAGGAGCCAGAATTTTGTGACGAGTACCTCCTCGTCGAAGGCACGGCAAATCTCTGGGCGAAACTGAGTGCAAAGAAGCGGAGGAAATTACTCGGACTGCGTCTTGGCAAAGTGACAACGTTCTAAAAGCCCTCCAATTTGTAGAACAAGTATTAACTTTCATTAGCTGATAGCGTCGACTAAGATTTAATCTTAAGTGGCAATTATATTATCTAATATATTCCATGTAATCTTATTTGTTTAAGGATTATCATTCATCGAAATCATGTGTTCAAAATTTACTGTGAATTAACATTCCAGAGCTAAGCACCTTCTTTAGGATCATCTTCTTCCCTCTTGAATTGAAAATCACTGTGAGCATTCTATTGATTTAATTGAATTCGCCCTGGAGGGCCAATTTCCTCTCCCTGTTTTCCACATAGAGGGAAAACAACGGAGAGAGAGAACAATCTATAATATGCATAAATTATATTTAATAAGACTGACAAAATGTATCAGAGTTAATTACGAGGATTTCTATATATTTGCTAGAACAATTTTAGGTCCTTTTGTACGGTAATATGTTAGAGAATAAAGGGAATTGCATGCCATCCACAGCTCAGGTATTTTCCTCCCGAAATATCCTCAATCGACAATCCGGCAATTTATCATGTGTCACAGTCATCCTCTGGGGGCATCATAAATTGTAATTCCCACCGACGTGGCTATTAATTAGGTGGAGGTGGCAGAAAAAGGTGGGAAATTGAGTGGAAAATTGCTGAGAGGGGTTGGAATCACAATTTGACTCTATTAATTCGCCTCACTCACTTTCGGAGCACTTCTTCTTCCTAGAAAAATACCTCTTCGGTAAGGGAAATTGCGGCGATTTTTCGGATTATCCTCGGGTAATTTTCCTGTTAAATTATTTAATTGCCTTGATGAAATGACACTTTTGAGCCTAATATCAATTTTAGGTGAATATCAGGTAAGTTAAAAAAAAAAAATATTTTTCACTGCATCTGCATCATCGTAAAATGATTAAGAATCTTCAATCATTTAGTAAAATACATACTTTACTATACATTTATTGCTCAGTTCAGTTCAAATTTCTTATGTCTCATTTTCATGTTTTACATTATGGGAAAAACTTATGACTTTGACGTCCTTTATCCAATGATAATGGCTGTATTCGTCAAATTCAGTGCTCTATGCATTTTTGAAGAGTTTATCTCCAGCAAACCCGAGAAAATATTTACTGAATTGCACTTGACGAAGTGGTATCATTTTTCAAAAGAGAATAAACATATTCTTCCAATGATGATGATGTCTCAAAGAACTTTTGGATTTAAAGTCGCTGGAATTTATGAAATTAACCTCCTCGTGTTCATCAGGTATCCAAATTGGCTTTTTCTTACTTAAATTCACTTAAATTTTTTTTTAACTTGTACTATTATGCATTTAAGTAAAATATAACGAATGCTAAAGTAGTAGAAAAATATAGAAAAAATAAATGTGCAATGAATACAAGAGTATTACCTATTGAATATTACTTTTCAAAAAATATTTTGTAGTTTTCAGCACGCAAATTGTGCATTTCCTCCTTCGATGTCTGAATAATTAAATTCAAACATGTCTGATTTTTAGGGTTGAAAAACGTGAATGAATCAGCGTTTGATTTAAAATGGTCCCTCCCACTATTATTTTTCGTCGCACCCACGCCGTGCCCTAAAAGAAGACATACATACAAGGAGCCAAATGCGGGGCCTCAGGAATTTTTGGAGGTCGCCTCGTATGAAAAATGATAACTCGAGGGCGAGTCGTGCAGACCAATTAACTCAACGAGGTCGAATTGTCATGAAAAGCATGGGTTTCAAGTTATGCCAACAGATGGCAACACTGAGTGTGGGCTCGAAAAGAAAGCTCCATTGACTATGTCAGAGGAAATTCCAATTGCCATTCATTATTCAACATCTTCAATGCCGCCCCATCTTGTCCAATTTCACCAACATCTTCACTCCACATTAACGACCACAAATTCCGGCACTCCAAATTGAATTCGTCATTTGGGATTTATATTAAGGATATTTGGGGACAAAAAATAGGACAGATTTTCCCATCCTGCAGCAAATGCTGCTGGCGGGGAATCTGTTCAATACCACATCAATTATGGATCATTCTTCCTTGGCGACTTCATGAATCATTTGTCGTTCGTTTCGGGGCGTTTTTGGCAAAATATTGTTCAATGAATGTTGGCACGCGGGTGACGAAGAACAACAGTGGCGAGGAATTTATTCATACACCCCCAACTTCGAATCACAATAAATATGTAGTGGAAAACACATGATTTATTCATCCTTTAGCGTCCATCCATTTGTCGACGTAATTGAATAAGCCACGCTTTGGAAGAAGGATGGTTTTCAACTATACGAATTGCCAGACAAAGAAAAACCACAACTTCTGTATTCTTTGATGAAATTGTACGAAATGTGCGCATAAAAAATGTTATTTTACAATATTGACAAGTTGGGCGAGGTTTTTTCATTTCCCCTTTAAATTCACGAAACAATTGATATATAAATGCATTAGGCCTAAAATGAGATTATTGATAAAAACTGTCAAAAATATATCATACTTTTTTCCCTACAATTTGAATGTAGGTAGAGAATACTGTAAATCTATATGTTGTTGTAATTCACATATTTCGAGGCCCACTTTGGCCCGCTATAGTGTAGGTGTTGTAAAGAGTGTTGTACACACAATAAAGCTCACACATGACGACACCGTGGCTTTACTTTTCCGCCCTGTCGCCCACTTTTTCCCCATTCGCGCTTTTCGCGTATAGAGGACAATTTAACTCTGTACTTCGCCCATTAAAATAAAACAGCAGCGGCAGTAGTTGCTGTTTGCTCGGCTCGGCCGCATCTCCTCAGTTCCGGTCAATTAAGCTCGGCACGTCTTTGAGCTTTTGCGTGCGATCAGGAGGATGAGAGCCTCCTGAAGTGCTTGGAAAAAGTGTGAGTGAGAAAGGCACAATGGATGAGGAGGAGAAGAGACAGCGGCCTTCTGGCATCCTCAGGTTGGACATCAGCAAACCGAGAAGATCATCAGGTGGATCCGTGGAATTCCGAAGTCAACCTGAACTTCTCGGGGAGGTAAGACATTCTTCTCGAATCTGCAGACGCGCAAAAACTTTGTCGTCACCCGGGGAATTTCTTCAGTAGGGAAATTGAGAAATTATTTGAAAAAGGTGAGCTTATCCGTATGGAAAAAACCGTGAGAATTTCTCCCACACTCAGAAAACCAACCAGTTGCATGTTTTTTGTGTGTGGGTACGAGAAAATCCACCCTCCATATCGCTTTTCCAGCAAGCCGCTCCCTATCGTGCCCTTTCTGCCCTGCCCCGAGGAGATCCGCACCAGATAGAGATCCATACCACACAAAGGCACCCCATCGGGAGACATAATGAAATAAGAAAAATTGCTATACATATTCACGCCACGCAGTTCAATATTCCGTGGCGTCGAATTTCAACCACCAGCGACCCACTTTTCCTCGCCATTCACACTGTCTGCGGACAAATTGACCTGCGTGGATGGATATTGCGAATTCGCCAGATGATAGAAGCATATTGAACACATGGAATGCTAAAGTCTGGCACACACTGAAGGATTAAGTGTCATTTGAGAGGTCTCTGGACCACTCCTGACTTCCCTGCGTGACTCTCAGCTGCGTGCCCAGTGGGTGGCTCCAACTTACCCCTTAATTGCACGCAATACATCTAATTTAATTACCAATCGTGTGCATTCCCGCGAAAATTGGCACTGTGGGCGCAAAATGAGTCTCACCGGGAGATTCCATGGAAAAGCCATGGATGATGAGGCACTTTTCCGTGGGTGAGGATAGTCTTCTCCTTCTCTCTGGCCGTCTTTGTTGCTTCACCGATGGCTTTCGTGACTCCGCTCGCACTTAACATTATCACGGCGGAGAATCTAATCATTGGGGGTGGTCTGGGCAGCCACAGGGTGACCCCCACCATCGCCCAGAACTATCTGCGAAGTGGTGTGGAGTAAGGGTTGCCTGCGATGTACCCTGTTGAGCTTAATTCCCACCCAGCAAACTATCTGTCTTGTACGATGGTCAGTTCACGTTTTAGTTTCCGATTAACGTCTCTTGAGCTCGAATCGCGCGTCGAGACGCTGCTCTTGACGGCTGAGAGCGCAAATCTTTTTACTTTTTCCAATGTGAACTTTCGATGAACCCACGCATTCTCTGCATGGTAAATCCTCAAAGGAGTTCCTCGTCCTCTGTTTCTTGCTTTTGTCGTGAAAACATGAGTGACAATCGCACGTACGAGCTATAAATTAAATACTTTCGGTGCGTTTTGTGTCGTCCCTGAAGGATTCACATTCTGGATTATCAGTGTTTTCATGATTTCGTGATATTTTTCCCAAAAGAGGATATATGAAGTTGTGAAGGTGAAGAAAAGAGAGAAAAGCTCCCGAAACTTCATAGTATATTCAAAGAGTGTTTGTGTTCAAGTAGATGTTGAATGTCTTAAACTGCGAACAAGGCAAAAAATCAAAGAAATTCCCTAGAAGTCGCGCTTATCACCAAAGTGAGGGTGTGAATGAGCTTTTAGAGCAATTAAAAGCATAAATCACAAGAGTTCGAATCGTATATCAAGTAGCTTTTGCTACCTAATTTAATCAATTTCTCACGTTGTGAAAAACTCTTAAAGTTCTCATCAAGAAAATTCTAATCGACTAAATTCTACTCATTAAAACTTCTCCAACCTTTTAAATTCAATTTGCAAATCTAATTTCGTGGTTGAAAGAATTTTTTCCATACACTTTGAAACGTTTCAAACGTGCAAAAAAAAGGGTTGGAAACAAACTCAAAGAATATTTAATATTTCATCCGGTTCTACTATTGTTTGCTAATTGAATGTGAGATAGAATTAAGCGTTGGCTTTTGTGAAAAGTCTGCCGACAGAATTAAATTAAATTACACCACTGAATACATCGCTCAAGGAAGCGACAAAAGGTACAACACTCTGCAAACGAGTGTTAATTCAAATTCCCAACATCCAAATCTCTTTGGAGAGTGTGGCACTTTTGGCTGCGCTATTTGACTTTTTAGATGAGGAATTTAATAACACCAAGCTTTCGAGGACTTTTCAATTTCCCCACAAACTTCCGCGCGCGCGGTGTTCCTCGAAGGCAGCAAAAAAGCCACGAACGTGAATGGCAATTAATTTATCATGTCCTGGGTTATCATGTCATTCACTTCAACGAGGCTTTTATGAGGACAGCAAAAAACTGGCAGTCGTAAAAGGTGTAATATTTTATGGCGAGTCGAGTTTTATGAAAACGAAGAGTCGGGATCGTGAAAATCAACATTATGCGGGTGAAAAAAGCTCAATGAACATCCGCGAAATATTCTCGTCAACATTAAATTGATGCCTTTGTTGTTGTCTGTCAGCTTTTCCTTCATGTCACCCCAATTTTTATTGTCTCCTCTAAATGATGAGCAGAAGCCTCAAATAATGATCCAAACAAGCCTTTAAGGAGAAATACACTGAACACTAGAGAAATAAACACATTTATAATAGCTATAAGCACTGGAAATCCAGTGAAATGCCTGCATCTTGTGACAATGTGTGAAAACCCTAAATAAAAGCCTGGTGAAAGCTGAAGAAATTCTCCCCAGTTTGAGCTCTACTCGAGCTCTGCACAGTGAATTGAAATGCCATGTCTCTGGGATTAAGTGTGATCAATAAAATAGCATCCCGGTGGGTCTGCATCGCCCTCGTCGCAGCAACTGTCGGTGACCTGGGCCTTCCAGGAGGCCGATGAGGATGGTCAGGAGATGCTGAAGGCGCGCCAGGAGACGCCCAAGTAAGTGCGACCCCCCTTTGATTCAATTTATCAGCAAAAAGCCACATTGAGTCCTCGTCACTCCCTCAACAGTGCGACGAGGAAAAATCCCACTGAAATAGAGAGAAAGAGAGCTTTTTCCCAACTGGGAAAATCCAACCTGTAGTTGGAAGAATGGAAGGAAAACTTTCCGCACTGCCTCCACACATAAATTGATCTTGACAATGCAAATTATTTTCAGATGAAGAAAGTGCACACAAAAGCTCTCCAAACGGGAAAGTTTGAGCAACTTTCAGTGGGATTTTCTCAGAGATTTTGCAATAACTTTGCAATTTACAACGGGATTTCTCGTCATGCAAATTCACCTCTCAATTTTATACCTTAAAGCCGAAGTGCCACCGTTAAATTGTACGATTTGTATTTTAATTTTCCCACGCGACTCCTTTGAAAAACTCTACCATACAGATTTCAAAGCTCCGCAAAGCTCACAAGGGGTTTTCCGTGGGTGGCAAGAGGCCCCGGAAAAAATGGAAACGTTTGCATGCGACACAACAGTTTTCCACCCCCACCACGGGCAATCCTTATCAGTTTGTGTTATTTCACCCCCCAACGAAGAGGCTCTCCGTCGTGTTTACCAGCATGTTTGCGATAGTCGAATGGGATAGTAAATCGGCCCAGAGTGCGATTATATCAAGGACGAGTGGCTGTAAAAGTTAGATGAGTGATATTGACCGTCTTTTGCCTTTCACACTCTCACCCAACCATTGCTCAATGGCACGGAAAAACACAGACAGAAGGAAGAGCAGAAGGATCGCGGCAAGGAGTCGCCCATTTATATGGAACCGTCGAGTCCTCTGGACTTGCCAGGTAAATCAAAAATGCTAATTTTACTACCAGCTCCAATTTTATGCTAGCCGTTTAACAATGGGAACTTCTGCTCTCTTCTAAATTCAATCCACTCCCGTGCATATGCACACACACATAACACGATTCAGTATTCAGAGGACGTGAAAATTTCCATTGAAAATTGACTGTGCATTTACTGCCTCCTCGTGACCATTAGGAACACTTGCGAATGTCTGAAAATGCCTCTCACGAATGCCAATAACTCAGCTTTTCCTGCAGCAGCCAGAGATTCCGAGGACGAGGATTTGGAGGAGTACAGTGTCTCCGTGTCGGCCATAATGCAGCGGCGAGCAAGTACGCGAGGGGCACGAAAGAGGGGCTACAGGAGCCCCAGAAGAGCCTCTAGTCCCATGGGTAATGCAATGAGCTTTCCAGGTGGACCGGACAGGAGGCGCTCAAGTGTTTACACAACCAGTTCTGGAGAGTGAGTATTACCATATTCAAATTGGGCAGGGCATTCACGCAGGCGTGGCCTAATATATAGCATAAACTCGCAGCACTGCCATCAGCTTTGAGGATGGAAATCAAGAATCTACACAAGAACAGATCATTGAGAACATCAGATTACATAAGGAAGTCATTCAGTCTGTGAAGCTTCAAGCATGGAGCATCAGAAGAAAGCTTAAACTAATGCATCAAGCCAAATCCTATGTGGCACAGCATGAGGGAGCCCTTCAAGAGCGCTTCGCTATGTCCAGAAGCACCAGAGATCTCCTGGCGCGTTTCAAGCTCTTCCTCGCCGCGGTAGTGAAATCAAATTTTAAGTCATAGCTAACAAAACGTACCTAATTCACTGTTTTCCGTAGAAATGGCAACATGGGCGACGTGAGCTAGCCAACATCTCCACAATCCTGATCCCATGGGAGCGGCGAATTAAGGAGATTGAGTCCCATTTTGGCTCCGTCGTGGCGTCATACTTTACATTCTTGCGCTGGTTATTCTGGGTGAACATTGTTATTGCAGTTGTGCTGACAATTTTCGTCGTGGTGCCCGAGGTTTATTGTCACATAAATCCATTGCAAGCAAATCCGCATAAATCCTTCCTCTCAAATAGATTGTCGCCACAAAATCCGTGGGCAAGAATGACGACCGGAAGCAAATGCTGCCAGAAGAGAAGGCGACAGCCACCAACTTCCTGACCATCTGGGACTTTGAGGGATTTCTCAAGTATTCACCCCTCTTCTATGGGTAAGAGAAGTCAAACAAAAGTGCACTTTTCACTTCTTGAAAGGAAAGCAAACAACTCTGACTGAGTGATCAATTAATAGCTTCGCAATCAATTACTGATGATTCGATTATCGAGAGCAATCATCAATCTATCAGGTGGAAATTTCAACAGGAAAAACACTCTCTGTGAGTTCTTACAAAAGTTATCCACACTTTGAGTCATTGCAAACTTCAATTGAGAGCTTTCAGTTGAAAAGTTGATTAGATTAATTCTGTAGTGTAGCCTCTCAACCAGATAAGAGGTTGAAAAGCTGAACAGTATATCTAAAATTCTAGCTATTTATTAATTTTCCGCGCTGTATGGCAATTTCCCACTCAAGTTTGTGAGTGAGACAAATGATCCACACTCCAGCAGAGTATGTGTGTGTGAAGAAAATTGCCTTTCATGTGAATTTTCATATTTCACCATCCACCCACCCATTTTTTCGTCCTTCCAGGTATTACTCAGATGTTTCCGGAACACTTTGGGGCTATAAATTACCTCTGGCGTATTTCCTAACGGGCCTCGTAGTCTACATCTACAGCTTCGTGGCCACGTTGAGAAAGTAAGAACAGCTCATCTTGAACTTATTCTTAAGCATCCGCCTTAAGCACTTTGTCCTCCCCTCCCCCGCCGCCCACTTTATGGAAATTTATGATTTGATAGCCCTAAACATAATAACAAGTCTATTAATTCTTGGGCCGCGATAGGATGGCGGAAAATTCCCGCATGTCGAAATTATCATCCAAGGATGATGAATGCGTCTTCTCCTGGAAACTGTTTACCGGCTGGGACTTTATGATTGGTAAGTGGCCCATTTCAGCCTTGTGATACAGCACTTGATAGGCACCTTGTTATCTCCCTCCAGGACACGCGGAGACGGCTCACAACAGAGTGGCTTCTGTCGTACTGGTAAGTCTCTTCCACCCTCCCCAAAAATTACCCTCACGTTGAGCAAATAAGCGAAATGGAAAAAAACTAGTATCAAAATTATTTGATACGGTATTATCAGTGAGTGTAAAATCCGATTAGAGTGTTTGAGGAAGGGAAATATTCAGTCTGCTGTTTACACAAGTGCCATCCAGCCATGAAAATTTCAAACATCATGGAACTCCTTGCCAAGGGTTTATGGAAATTCACTTTTTGCACATTTCAGCGCGACAAACGAGAGAAAATGGGCATGACATGATTGAAAATTGTAGCTAAAGTTAGGGAAAAGATGATAACTGCAGCTATCCAAAATGGAGATTTATAAGAACACACTGTGCTAAGAACTAAGCTTTTAATGACTTTTTGGAAATGTGTTTTGAAAGTGAACCAACTTTGGAACCGCCATATGTGTAGTTCTATTTCTTCGACCTTAAAATAAATACATCATATTGGTCAAAAGTTTCAGAATCAGAGCTGTACTTCAATCAAGCTCTAACTAAATTACATACCTTTTCATTTGTACTTTCCATAACAGAGCTTCAAAGAAGCCCTTCTGGAGGAAGCTGAGAAGAAGAAAGACAAGCGCAACTGGAAAGTGATAGGCCTGAGAATAGTAGTGAATCTAATAGTAGCTGGTCTCCTAGTCGTTTCCGCATATGCTGTTGTAATGGTTGTAAATCGATCTACAGAACCAGAAGCTAATGATACGTGGTGGAGACGGAATGAGATCACCATTGTCATGTCGCTCATCTCCTTCTTCTTCCCTATGTTCTTCGAAGGCCTAGGCTTTATGGAGAGTTATCATCCAAGACAACAGCTTCGCTTACAACTTGCACGGATTATGCTGTTGAATCTCTTGAATTTATACTCACTGATCTTTGCGCTATTCGATAAGATAACTGACATGAATACGGAATTGCTGGAGATCAAAGCAAATATAAGCATGGATCACAGTTTGTCTCTGCCTAGGACAACTCCACTTACAACTGAGGCTTTTTCTGTGGACTTTCTGCCAACAGAAGCAGTGTCGATGGCAGATTATATTATGACAAGTGTGGCTGAAGTTGAAGAAATCGCAACAACTTTTTTGAGTGACATCACATCAACTGTTCACACTACAATATCATCCTGGACTGAGGGTTACCAAGAAGTGTCCACAACACCAAATTGTAGACAAGTTGAAGTTAATTGCACAGTTAATGCTACAACGTTCTTAACAACCCTTATTTTATCGGGAAAATTCAACACCACAAATAATGATACAGTGTTTAATGAGACCGCGAATGAGACCTTCTACCAGCAATTCAATGAAACCTTCGACTATGACAGTGACTATGAAGTTGAGAATTACACTACAATCTATCCTTCGACCTCAACTATTCCTATTGAAATCACCACAAAAACCACAACCACTGAAGAATACTACGATTACTATGACTATCCCGCTGATCAGCCTTCTCCTGACCATTTCAACTTCTTCAATTTCATAGGCAATATTTTTGCGTCGAAAAACTTAACGGAAAATGGCACAGATTGGCAAAATATGACAGATTTTGAATTATTCTTACGGAATTTCTCTTCACCGGACGCAAATGGAACAATGATGGACAATGTGACGGATTTAATTATGCGCCTCGAAGACTTCATGCCGGAGGAAAAGTGCTTTGAGATTGTCTGCGATGAGGAGCCCGAAGATGGATGGTCAACATTGACCGCAGTGACAGAAAAACCATCCACCAGTTCAGATATTTTCACCCAAACCACGACCGAAGAGGCATATTTGGCCGAGACATCAACACTTGGTGACACGACGACGGAAGTTATTCGTGTCACTACTGGGATTGAGGAAAAACTCTCATCAACAACCTTTGGTATGTATTTGAAAAAAAAAATCCTTCCACATGATTTTCTATCTTTGTTTTTTTTTTTAGAAACTCCAACAATGGTCACAGAAGTCTCCACGGAACCTCCATCGACAGACATCAACGTATTGAGAAGAAGAGCCAATTTCATCAACAACGAGACAAAGAAGAAACTGCGAAAGCTCTGCTGGGAGACAATGTTTGGCCAAGAACTTGTGAAACTCACTGTGATGGATCTCCTCATCACTGTTATGTCCACTATGCTGCTGGACTTCTTCCGTGCACTCTTTGTGCGCTTCATGAACAAATGCTGGTGCTGGGATCTGGAGAAACGCTTCCCCAAGTATGGAGACTTCAAGATAGCCGAAAACATCTTGCATCTCGTCAACAATCAGGGAATGGTGTGGATGGGGATGTTCTTCTCGCCAGGACTAGCAATTTTGAATCTGATCAAACTCGTCATTATAATGTATTTGAGATCATGGGCCGTTCTCACTTGTAACGTGCCACACGAAGTGGTTTTCAGAGCGTCCAGATCAAATAACTTCTATCTAGCGCTACTATTGACCATGCTTTTTCTCTGTGTCCTACCTGTAGCTTTTGCAATAGTGTGGCTGGAGCCTTCTTGGCATTGTGGCCCATTCTCCAATAGATACAGAATATACTACATCTTTACAGAAACTCTACGAGAAACCCTCCCTAAGTGAGTACTTTTCCCACCAAAATATTCCCCTACTCATGAATATTCTCAATTAGGACACTCCACAAGCCACTAGATTACATCGCCTCGCCGAGCACCGTGATTCCATTGCTGCTTCTACTTGTCCTTATCATCTACTACCTGATTTCACTGACAAATGCCCTAAGGGAAGCCAATCAAGACCTTAGGAATCAATTGCGACGTGAACGGGTTGAAGAGAGGCGAAAAATGCTGAAATTGGCAGAGAATAAACCATCCACTGAAGGAAATGCTCCGCCCGGAATATCTGAGAGATGGAGAAAAGTCTTAGAGAATGCCACATCTCCTCTCACACCAACTGGAGCTGCTCCCGTGGACGCAGAAGAGAATAAGATGCAAGCGAAGAAAGGTAATCTAGCGTTAATATGTTTGAATAGCAAAGACTCACACATTTCATCTTTTTAGAACTCCTGCAGAGAATCATGAAGAAAGCTTTGCGCAAAAGCTCCGCCACGTCTGACGAAGACAGCACCCCGGCCGCTCCTGCTGCACCGGCAGACGATGAAACAGACACTGAACAGCACGAATCCCTGCCTCATGACCAGGAAGAACATGATAATAGAGTCAACAAGCAAAAGCACGAAGGGAGACCTAGAGAATCCCTCCCAGAAATCCTCAAAAAACTCAGAGAGGCAGCCAAACGGCAGAAACAAGAAGAGGGCAAAGAATCACCTGAAAAGAAAGCAGGAAATGACCATCCATTGAAGAAATTCAAGGTTGACAGAGATCCTCTGACTCATAGGAAGTCAGATTTCAGTGGTATTCCGGAGAAAGAAAAGGTCCCTGTCTTTAATTTTGACCTGCCAAATCTTGAGGAAGACCTGAAGATTAGCACATCAGAAGAGGAGAAGGATGACTCGTTTTCTAAGACCGTGCACAAAGGTGCAGTTGTTTGCAAGGAGTTTACAGCTCCCAAGAGTGAAAAGCCCAAATTCGGAATGATTAGACCGAAGAAAAATCCACAACCTGAATCTCCATCTCCAAAGAGTGAAACTTCAGTTAAGGTGGATCCTGAACCTGTAGTAAAAGAGCCCAAGGTGAAGACAAAGTTCAACTCGTTCTTCAATCTCGTGAAGGAAGCTATTCAGGCGAAGAAGGATCAGGAAGAGATTGCAGTGGTTGAGGAAGTCAAGGGTGAATCTTCAGGAACTCATCCCAAGAAAGTGACTAAAAGACAGGACTCAATGGCTTCAATATGGTCGGACAACATCCCAACGATCACCATCAGTAAAACTGAAAGCGATGAGTGTATTCTCGAAGGGAAAGAACAGCCAGAAGATAGTAAAGATAAGGATTCAGCTGATAGCTCCTAAATTATGATTATGCGATATTTTCTCCAGGTTTTGTGTGACGTCTTTCAGGTATCTATGTACGCATATCAAATATAATGACTGCTTTATACGATATTATGTTGCCACTTTCCAGGAATCAACATAGGATCTCCCTTCATAGTAGAGGTCAAGAACTCTCGCGAAACCCTATCGTATCACAAGCGAGTGACACAAATTCGATGGATGGGTTTTTTGGGCATCAAAAGGCAGATCACGGGGGCACGCGATAAGCAGATAAGCCATATACACTCTCGCACACACTTTATTTGTATTGATCGTGTTGATCTTCTGTTCAGAGATATATAGCAAATGTATGACCGTTAGTATTCAAATAAATTTTATCTCCCAAATCTCAAAAGCGCGGGAGTGATTTCAGCCCGTGGATGCTGATTTTCCACATCTGGCACGAGGGAAAAGGAAAGATGATCGTGTGTATGGTCACGATCTTTCCGGTTTTGAGTGTAGTGGAGAAGAAAGAAGTCATTTGACCAACAAATTTCATAGTGATCATCCATCGATTGTCAGGAGGATCGTGTATAAGTGATAGCAGTGCGATTCGGTGATTAGTGGTCAAGTGATCAATGTCTAATTGAGTGAAGAGATCGACTGATGAGTTGAAGAGAGGAAATTGTGGGTGAAATTATGGCAACTCGCGGCAAATTGTGTGTTTAAAATCACGTCTCATCTGCACATGTGTTAGTGATCCCACGATCTTCACTACGCCAAGACGTCTTCTCTCTTTCTTACTGCCTTTCGACTTAAGAGAGTCTCAGCACGATTTCGTCCGTCAGTTGCATTCGGGATTTCAAGTTACTCGGGTGGATCCGCGTTCATTTGCCTTCCAGTTTGTGATCTCTGGGCACAGCATCACATCCAACAGCTTCCCAGTGGATTTCGGGAAGGGAAATTCCCTCACAGCATCAGCAACGGAAGTGATCAAGTGTAGTAACAGTGATTTCTTAGTGATCCTCACCATTTCAATATAGCTTCTGTGCGATTTTCTCACACTTCCTCCCAGACAATAAGCATAAAAAATCTCTCCATCCGACAATTAAACCGTCTCTCACTGAGAACAAAAAAGTTCCTTATCATAATTCCAGCATATGTGGTCACTTTTCGTCATGTCGGCTTTGGAGAGTCTCAATGAAAAGAAATATGTTTCAGAGAAATTCTTTCTCAGCTTTTTTCCATCCACTCCTCTCCATGCACACACCGAAAAAGGCCAACACCAACACTGAAAAGATGCTGAAACTCCATAACTTTTGCTCTCTTTGCCTTTTGGCCAGTTATTTGTAAATTATCATGCATGCTGCAGAAAGTACAATGCACTTAAAACACATTTATTTTAATAGAGAAAGGATGTTTTAGTGGTTTTCCAAGTGATTTCTTCATAATATTTCGCCTTAATGTTAAAAAGCAAACCAAGGAATGTAGAGAAACTTCTCAACTTTTCACCAAACTGTACTCAAAATTTATTCACCAAATCTTGTAACGAGATCTGGTAAAGCATGTACATTGAGACATGTCTTAATGTGAAGCAATTTGGAAGGATCATCATCTGGTGGATGATCTAATAATAGCATCTCTCCACTATTTATTATTGTTATTGCTTCCCGCGACTAGATTCAGTCGGAAGGGAGGGAATGTGAGTCTTGTGTCTCTCAGTCAGGCCCAAAATACCCAATGGAGAAGTGATCGTGATCGTTGAGTCATTGTGGAGTGAAAAGACCAAGAAACATGAAGAATCTCGTGCTCTGTGCCATCCTCATTGTCACTGTGTTGCACGTGGAGGCCAATAGTGACAAGACGCACTATCTGCCACCCCTCGAGTGCTACGACCCTTATCATAAACCCCAGGTGAGTAAATCCACCAGCAACATCGCTTGCAGATCGTCTCAAATCGAGGCTGTGTGTTCAAGTGTCTACAGGGACACAATTATTTCACTTAAAAGCACTATTTTAATCGCGGAACAACCGGAAATTCGTATCATACAAACGACAGAGTAGCTGAAATAATTCGTGATAAGGAAAACCGAGAGGGAATCTCATTGACTAGCACAATTTACATTACTCGTGTTCTCACATTTTGTCGAGAAGAGGCACATTTAGAGGTTTTTAGCAGGTTTTCAGTTAATTCTTTACAATTTCCTCACATTAAATATATTGCCGACCATCATTTTAATTAATTCAATTGATTCGAGTGGTCGAGATGATATAAATTGAAATTAATGGCAGTCTTCTCGACTCCTCAATCCACCAAGAGAGGCGATCACTTTTCGCTGAGACGGCGAATTATGAAACTCCCATAATTACTTGAGTACACAGCATAAATTGTGTGATTTCTATTTGTTCATGAAATCATCGTCTTGGAATAAATTTCAATGTCAGTGATTTTTTGCCAATACTCCAACGCAGAGATGCATCCCCGAATTCGAGAATGCTGCCTTCGACCTTCGAATAGACGCCACAAATACCTGTGGTGAGGACAGAGACACAGACTTTTGCGTCCAGACAGGATATTCTAACAAGAAGAGTTGCGACACTTGCAGGTAAGTCAGAAATTGGAAAATATTAGGGTAATTAGACGGAAAAATCATGTTCGATCGCTATTGCAGGGCAGGAGATCACAGTTCCAAATACTTGACGGACATCCATGATCCCAATGAACCAACCTGGTGGCAATCTGAGACCATGTTCGAGGGTATACAATACCCCAATCAAGTAAACCTGACCCTCAATTTAGGTAACAGTAAGAAGAAAAAATCATAAAGTTCCTGAATATAATTGGTCTTATTTGATGTATTGACAGCAAAATCCTTTGATATCACCTACATTCGCATTGTCTTCTACTCTCCACGGCCTGAATCATTCTCGATCTTCAAGAGAATCGTCCCGAATGGTCCCTGGCTACCTTACCAGCACTACAGTGCTACATGCCGCGATACTTACGGCCTGCCCGATTCACTGAGCGTGAAGAAGGGCGAGGATGAATCCAGGGCACTCTGCATGAGTGATTACAGTGATATCTCACCACTGAGGGACGGAACTGTGGTGTTTTCCTCCCTAGAGGGACGTCCCAGTGCCATCAACTTCGAGAACAGCATTGAACTCCAGAATTGGGTCACTGCCACAGACATCAGAATTACGCTGGATCGTCTCAACACTTTTGGTGATGAAGTGTTCGGAGACGCGCAAGTGTTGAAGTCCTACTTCTATGCCATTGCTGATATTGCTGTTGGTGCGAGGTGCAAATGCAATGGACACGCCAGCAAGTGTGTCACGAGCACAGGTAAGAGATTTTGTTATATTCCGCAAATTCAACGATATTCATCCCTAATCTTCGCGCAGGTTTGAATGGTCAACGAACGCGAGTCTGCGAGTGCAAACACAACACAGATGGGCCGGACTGTGAGCGCTGCCTTCCTTACTTTAACGACGTGCCATGGGGCAGAGCCACATCGAAGAATGTCCACGAATGCAGAGGTAAGAATGAGAATCAGTTGCAGTGTGATCTTGAACACGCTAAGACGCAATGTGGCGCCACTTTCTCGTGATCGCGACTTTCTCACACTTCACGGTGGCATCCTGGGATCAGAGGAATAACAAGATTTCACGATTCACTCCGTGGTACTATATAAATGGTGATTTTGGAAGCTTTCTCCGTAATTCTGTGCAGAAGGATGGTCCCGAGGCGCCTTTTGGCGGAGATTGTCAAGTTCAAAGAACTTTAGCGCAAGAGAAACCACTTCCAAATAGGGAGGGAATCCCTTTTAAGGCAACTCGCCTTTCACCCAGCATCTTCCAAGGTGGAGATGCATCGTGAGGCGACAGTACACCACTTCCAGCCCTAAAATCTTCTATTTTTCGCAGAGTGCAACTGCAATGGATACTCCCAGAAATGCTTCTTCGACAGACACCTCTACAACCTCACTGGACATGGAGGACATTGCCTAGATTGCGCCTCGAACCGTGATGGTCCCAACTGCGAACGCTGCAAGGAGAATTTCTATATGCGAGAGGATGGTTATTGCATCAACTGTGCCTGTGACACAATGGGATCTAGATCTCTTCAATGCAATGCTGAAGGAAAATGCCAGTGCAAGCCTGGAGTGACTGGAGACAAGTGCGACAGATGTGATGCAAATTACTACAACTTCGGACCGCATGGATGCCAGCACTGCGGATGTGAGCCTAAAGGATCTCTGGACAACACGCCATCCTGTGATCCTGTCACTGGAGCCTGTCTCTGCAAAGAGAATGTCGAAGGAAGGCGATGCAGGGAGTGCAAACCTGGTTTCTTTAATCTAGACTTGGACAATAAGTTCGGATGCACTCCTTGCTTTTGCTACGGACAAACCAGTGAATGTCAGAGCGCCAATGGGTACTCAATTGTCTCCCTGACGTCCAACTTCAACAAACACCTGGAGAGATGGATGGCCGTGGACGACAGAAACACCCTAGTGGATCTGAAGTACAACAAGTTCAGCCAGAGTGTGGGAATCACAGCCCAGGGACATGAATTCATTTACTTCTCCGCCCCTGAACGCTTCTTAGGCGATCAAAGAGCTTCTTACAACCGCTTGCTGAAATTCCGCCTCCAGACAATTGGTCAGGCAGGACCAAATCCCTCTCCCCATGATGTGATCCTCGAAGGTGCAGGAACAAGTATTTCACTGCCAATTTTCGCTCAAGGACACTACATGCCCGACCAGCAAGTTCGCGAATACGCCTTCCGTCTCCATGAACACCCAGAATACTCCTGGCAACCTAGCCAGTCTGCCCGTGGCTTCATGTCCATCCTGGCCAATCTCACTGCCATTAAGATCCGCGCCTCTTACGCTGCCATCGGCGAAGCTTATCTGGACGATGTTGAACTACAAACTGCCCATAGAGGAGCAGCTGGACGTGTCGCCACGTGGATTGAACAGTGTACTTGTCCCAAAGCGTATCTCGGGCAATTCTGTGAATCTTGCGCCCCTGGATATCGCCACTCTCCTGCCCTGGGTGGGCCCTTTATGCCATGCATTCCTTGCGACTGCAACAAACACGCTGAGATCTGTGACTCAGAAACTGGAAGATGTATCTGTCAGCATAACACAGCCGGAGACACTTGTGATCAGTGCGCTAAAGGATACTACGGAAGTGCTCTTGTGGGAACACCATATGACTGCAAGAGGTGTCCTTGTCCAGACAATGGAGCCTGCATGCAGATGGCTGATGACTCAGTGATCTGCCTAGAGTGCCCAGTTGGATATTTCGGTAAGTCTTCTTTATTAGACCCTTGTCATCTCTCTTTCCTCTAATTGTGTCCTTCAATTCTCAGGTCCTCGCTGCGAGTCCTGCTCTGATGGCTTCTATGGAGACCCAACAGGTCTTCACGGACCCGTTCAGTTCTGCCAGCCTTGCGACTGCAATGGAAATGTGGACCCCAACGCTGTGGGCAATTGTAATCGCACCACTGGCGAATGCCTAAAGTGTATCCACAACACAGCCGGGCCACATTGTGACCAGTGTCTTCCAGGTGAGTGATAACTCAGTATCACAGCGACAAGTCATGAAAGTGGTGTGGCTTTTATGTTTCTGTTTCATTGGTTCTCTTAGTTTGAGTGAAATTTGCAAAGAAGGCACGAAAATCACACTTTTATCTGCTTAAACACTAACCAAGAAACCCTCTTTGTAGGTCACTTTGGAGATCCTCTTGCCCTGCCGCATGGAAATTGCCAGCAGTGCTCTTGCTACCCTCCAGGAACCGAACAGACCGACGATGGCATCTCAATGTGCGATTCTCTGACTGGAAATTGTCGCTGCAAGCCCAACGTCGTGGACAGAAATTGCAATGAGTGCCAAAATGGATATTTCAACATCGTGTCTGGAAACGGATGCGAGAGCTGCAATTGTGATCCAATTGGAAGTTTCACTGCCGGCGTCAATACCACTTGTGATCGCTTCACTGGACAGTGTCGCTGCAAGCCCGGCGTCGTTGGGTGAGTCTTCATATCTCTAAGCGTGATAAATTGTTATCAGAATGATAACAGCAACTCTCTTGCTCAGGTTGAAGTGCGATCAGTGCGCTCCATACCATTATGGCTTCTCAGATGAAGGCTGTTTGCCCTGCGACTGTGATCAGAGTGGATCCAAGAGCTTCCAGTGTGATGAATCCGGACAGTGTCCTTGCAATGACAACGTGGAAGGGCGCAGATGTGATCGCTGCAAGGAGAACAAGTATGATCGCCACCAGGGATGCTTAGACTGTCCTGCTTGTTATAACCTGGTTCAGGATGCAACCAATGACCACAGAGAGAAGCTTGGAGGACTCAAGAAGGTAACGTCTGTTCCACGTATATAAGTGAAAGCGTAGCTAATATCTTTGCTATTTCAGTTACTTGACGAAATCGCTTCGAAACCGACCGTGATCGATGATGAAGAATTTGGTTACAAACTTAAAGCTGTACAGGAGAAGATTGATATCCTGGCAGAGGACGCAAAGGCTGGAGCTGGAGGTGGAGAGCACACTCTCAGAGAGAGATTAAATGATTTCCACGATCGTTTGAACGCTATCAAATCCGTTCTGGACAAATCAGATGGTCTCCTCAACAAATCCAGAGATGAAGCCAAAGTCGCAAATGCCAACTTCAATGTAACTCAGAAAACCATCGAAGATGCTCGAGATCAACTCAATGCTGCTCTAGAACTCCTACAAACAGAGGGTGCCAGTGCTTTAGCTCGCGCAAAAGACCGCTCTGACCAATTTGGGTCGCAATCAGAACAGATCAGCGCAATCTCGAGAGAAGCTCGAGCTCGAGCGGATGAACTCGAGGCCAAAGCGAATTTCAACAGGGACGTTGCGAAGGAAGCTAATGGCAATGCCACAGAAGCCTACAACTTGGCGAGAGATTCAATGGCTCTGCTCCAAAACATCAGCAATGAACTAAAGACGAATGTTAAAGCCGAGGTTTACTTCTCCAAGGACACTGTGGACACAGCGCTGAATAGGACTGCAGATATTCAAAAGGAGGCTGAGGAAGTGTACGAAGAAGCCTTATCTCTATTCGCAACAGTGAACTCACAGAATCCACCTGAGGTCAACATCGAGAAGATCAAGGAGAGAGCTAATAAGAACAGCGCGGAAGCAACAAGGATCGAGGAGGAACTTAATGGAATACGAATGATGAATGAGAAGCTATTGAATGAGTTGAACGAAAACAACGACAAGGCTAGAGCTCTAATTGAAACGTAAGGATGACAGTTTCATCTCAGAACAGATGTAATTTTTTTCTGATTTCAGAGCCGATGATCAGAAGTTCCACGCTCTCCAGCTTCTTGAGGAGGCCAAGCATTCCAATGTCATGGCAAAGGAAGCGGTTGCTCAGGGAGACGGAACCCTAAAAGAGGCTAATCATACATACAATACCCTAGCTGGTTTCCAATCTGAAGTCGATACTTCCTCAGCTAATGCCAGAGCGGCTTTACAGACAGTCTCTGACATCGATAAGCAGATCCGAGAAGCAGAGAAAATGGTCCAGGAGGCAGAAGCGGTAAGTTGTCATTAAATCTTGCAACGTAGAGAATATTTTTGATAAATTTTGCTAACTCTTCAAAGAAATTGGGACCTTCAAGAAATTTATTTGAATTTATGCTAAATTCTTGCCTTTTAGGCTCTGGTTGGGGCTCATTCAAATGCCATTGAGGCTAGGAATAATGCGCAGAAGGCGAAGGAGAAGTACGCCGAACAGGCCTCCAAAGATGCGGATGAGATTCTCAAGAAAGCCAACGACACCAAGTACGAAGCCAGGAAGCTCAGAGGAGAAGCAGATCAGCTAAATGGCAGAGTTGTTGTGACGGATGACAAACTTAGCGATCTGGAGGATCTCGCCAAGAAGGACGATAATATCACGATTGAGGCGAAGAAGAGCGTGGGCCAAGCCAAGACGAATGCAGAAGACGCACACAAGCAGGTCCAGAGCGCCATGGACAGAGTAAAATCGATCATGGACGAGCTGAGCAACCTCAAAGACATCAATGTGCAGGACTTGGACGCTTTGGAGAAGCGCCTCGAAGACGCAGAGCATGATCTGAGAGTGGCAAACTTGGGAAAGAGAATGGAGAATTTAAGCGAGTACAAGAACTACCACAACCAGCTGATCAAAGAGTACCAGTCGCAGGTGAATCTGCTGGAGACCGAAGTGACTAATGTTAGAGCCATTGCTGAGGCACTGCCCGAGGGATGCTTCAAACGCACCCGCCTCGAGCCATAGAGTCTTAAGAGCCTGTTCATTTCTTGGAATTAGCTAGCAGTCAATTAACCACTGCCAACGGACAGGCTCCGCTTCTATTGTATTATCGTGCGCCATAATTTTGTGTCTCTTATTATTGGATAGATAAATTTCTCATTCTCGATTATATCTTCTACCAAAGAAATTCCCTTTTAGCGAGAGACAGTGAGAGAAAATGAAAACAATATAATGATTTTGTAATAACATTCACTTAAATACAGTTTACCTTTACGATTTCATAAACGGCGAATAATACAGGATTTTACTGATTCCTGAGGCAGATTTGTAAATTCTCATTCATAGGGACACAGTAGATAAGGAGTTGGAAAAATCATACTTTCTCTTTGTGAGGTTATGTCACCTTCCCGCCGTGTCCACGATCCACACTTAGATTCCACAACCGAGCGATGCGTTGGCAGCCCTGCGGGAAGTGTCATTCCATGTGGACACGCACACACGCGAGCGGCTTCTTCGCCAGTTTACCTGCAGTTTTTCAGTGATTCGCCCAGACATTCAGTGTCTCAGCCATGGACAAAGCTAGCCATACATCCCGCCCACGCGAGGAGCCCAAATTCCACGCTCCTGACACCGCCACGCTTATTTACACGCTCATCGCCGTCTTTATCACGATTGGTGAGACTCCTTCAGGCCTCCGTGGCTTCTGGGGCGCTTTGCTTACCATATGCTTCTCTCTTGCAGTGCTTCTATATGTGTACAAGAAGAAGAAGACCTCCCGAACGGATGTGCTGCTGATGGGCTTGTGCGAGGCGGGAAAGACGAGTGTGTTCACGCGACTGATCTACCGGGAGGATCGGGAGACTTTCACCTCTATCAAAGAGAATATTGCCGATTACACCAGCAAAAACGTGAGCAAATACGATATTATAGTAAAACTCATGGGAAATTCCTTGAGTGTGTGTGCCTACTTCTGCAGGGCTTCGTGCGGATTGTGGACATTCCCGGACACGAAAGGCTACGTGGCAAGTTCGATGAGTTCAAGCATCAGGCCAGAGGAGTTGTCTTTGTCGTGGACAGCGTCTCCGTGCAGAAGAGCATCCGGGATGTGGCAGACTATCTGTACACAGTTCTCCTGGAGCCCGCGATCGCTTCACTACCCTTCCTAATCCTCTGCAACAAGCAAGATGAAACCATGGCCAAGAGTGCCGGTGTCATCAAGAGCATGCTGGAGAAGGAGTTGAATCTCGTGCGCTCCACCAGAAAGAACCAGTTAGAGTCCGTGGACTCTTCAGCCAAGAGCAACGTCTTCCTGGGCAAGCAGGGCAAGGACTTCGAGTTCATCCACATCTCCCAATACGTGGACGTCCTGGAGTGCTCAGTGAAGAATCAGGACATCGGTAGCCTCACCGACTGGCTCGACCGGATAGTTTAAACTTTCGCCTACGGTAAAAACATTGGAATTTCACCTCCCTCTCTCTCTCTCTCTTATCTATAAGTTTTTGAGAGAAAGTCACTCGAGTGATTTCCAAAAACACTCCAAATTTTCATCTTAAAACGGTCTCTCAACTCAACTCGACACCTTTTCACGCGGGAGCGGATATTGTAAGCAATCAAGTGAGAGAGAGAGAGAGTTATATGGCGAGTTTCTTAAGCTATTTCGGTGGGGAAATTGTCCACAAACACTTGATTTTGCTCTCAATAACGGGTATTTTTCTAAAGAATATTGGTGGTAAGAAACCCAGTTTTTGTCTTATTTCTCAAGTATGTTAAGCAATACAAGCCATCTTCTGTAGTCTTCGGCGTTTTCCTCGTCTGCATCTTGTCCAAATATCCTCAATCTCACGAAGTAGACAGGTTGTCTCATTGGTTCGAGTTCAATCCCCCTTATAGATATGTTTTGAAGCCCGTTTCGGCGATCATCCACTTTCAAATTCCTGGACTTGAACTTCTGTGTTCTGAGGATTTTCGTTCTTTTTCTAGTAAGTTCGATCCTTCTCTTCATTCTATCTTCCATTTTAAAGTTCCTCACTATCTTTCTTGTCTTTCTTTTAGTTAAATTCTTTAAAATTCTGGAACCTGAATCAATTTTCACGGGAAATATACTTTGAAATCCAACAAAAGATTTTCTCTTTAGATCTATCTTTCCTCTTATCTTTCTAGATTTTCTTTTACCTTCCATTCTAGATTTGTTCACTAGCGAAATCTGGTCTTTTTTGGTCTTCTCAGCAGTTTTATACTCCCTTAGTTTGTCCTTTAAAATGTTGATTCTGGAAGATTTTTTTGAATAACGCAGAATTTGTAATTCTGACTTCGTTTTAATAAGAGTTTTATTTTGATTTCTTGGAGTGTTCTCTTTTCTTATCTTCATATTATTCGTATTAGAATTATTTTTTCTTTTCACTCTTATACTTTTCGTGGAAGAAAACATATTATTTTTTGAAATCGTATGATATTTGGATAGTTTTCGTGTTCTCCTTATCGCATTTTTTAAAGTTTTTATTCTTGCATTAGTTTTGACATTCACAGAAGATTTTTCTTTGATAGAAGATACTTTTTCTGTACTTATATCATCTTCTATTGGTCTAGGATCTTTTGTTTTCATTTTTTTATTTTTTATTGGAGAAAGCAGATGTATACTGGATTCAATAAGTGTATTAGATGTTGGCAGTTCATTAGCCTTTTCCGCTTTGCGCAAAGAGTACTTTGTTCTTGCAATGGGATGCCTAATTATGGATATTTCAGGGTCACTTTTCAAGTTCGCCGTAGAAAATTCAAGAAGCTTTGAACTAGAATTCTGGATTTCTTTCTTATTATTGTTCTTATTCCCCCTATTTGTGATGTTATGTTTCTTTTTTACGATCTTTGCCACTGAAATTTATATAGAGAACAAAAATTAGACATTTTTCTCATTTTTTTCTACTACTGCTTGGCATGCATAGTAAGTTGGATTACACAAGAATCCCAGTTACTATAAGTCTGATTGGCGTTTACCACAACGGTTTTAATTTGAGTTTCTACCCATAGAAGACACTTTAAATGAGATTGAGCGCAGATTTTCAACGAAGAGCGTACTTAAGTGACAATTTCTCACGCGAAATAGTGAATTAATATGATTTGTATTGCAACTCTTGCGACCACATTGAGTGGATTTTTTTCTCATATTAAAGTGACAATCTCTTCGATAAAAAATGTGCAATTTCACCTCGCGCCACAAATTGAGATGATCGCGTTCCGCTTTTCTAGTCACATTAATTGTATATCATTTAAATGCGAATTACGTTTGCTTACGCGCTTTCCGCCCAGTCTTCTTGCCTTTCTTCTTCTTCTTGTTCTTCGGTTTTTGGGGCTCTTCAGAGGATTCTTCAGCGCTCACCAGAGGAAGATCCTGCAGACTGCTGTTGTGGACCTGAGTTTCTGTCGTTCTGAGACTCTTTGGCGAGATTTTGGGCAGTTTCCAGGTCAATTCAATGGATTTGCACGCAGTCAGTGGGCAGAAAGCCTCTCCATGAAATTTCACGAGCAGTTCATCCGGAATTTGGGTCGTCACCTTACAAAATAGTGGACATTTCAATTGCTAATCCCACTTTCGGGCCGTCAATTGTTGCTGCAGACTTCCTCTCACCTTTTGCGTTGCTTTTTGGCATTGAGACACATCGAAATCCGTGTATTCGGCATTGTCCCTAATTCTAGAGAGGCCCGAATAGTTGGAAACCTTCCTGAGACGCCCTTTCGGGGAGATGAATGGGCAGGAAACTTTCCTGATCGTCTCTGACTGCTTCAGTGGCAATGAAGTTGATGAAGGGGAATCTACATGGGTCAGGGACTTGCAACCTCTCGATCGCCATAAGGATTCAAGATCAAGACCTTTCAGACTCTCACTCTCGCATTTGGATGACGAATACGATGATGATTCGTAACAACAGTCTGATGAATTGTCTGAAAACTCTCTGCTGTTCTTTACAGAGAAATGTTTCACTACAGCGCTTCCTTTGGCAGTGAACGACATCACAATGACCAGAAAAGCGACAGCGCGTCCTTCTTGGTTGAGCAAAGGCACCAATCTCTTCACAACCTCTGTGCAATTAATATTCTTGTGGTTGTAAGGCAGGCAATCATGGTCCGAAATAGATTTCCCCTCCGTTAAGATCCTCCTATCTTCAAGACTCTTCAGGATCTTCCGCAAAACGTCCTCCATAGTCATTACGTAACTCACCAGAGGTCCATGAGAGTGATCAGACATCCTCACAAGAGCGAAAGTCACAGAGAAATGACTATGAGCATAATCAGGAAGGTAAAAGTGACATCTTCTACCTTCGCGTGTTCCACTTTGTTCTCCGTAAAGATATCCTTGCAACGGGAAGTACATATCGCAGACATCCGCAATGGAGATCTTCAAGTTGACATCTTTCAAAGTACTCAAATCATCCTCTCTCTCAATAGTTAAGGTGTGGGGAAGGAAATTAGCAGTAAAAAGAGACATTTTACAGAGAATTTTTCACACCTGACAATTTGTTTCGCGATCACTACAATTCAGTCACTTCCTGCTCACTATGTTCTTCGGGGATTAATTTTAAGTCTTCATCTACACCTACGAAATAAGTGAGAATCTGCCCAGCCCCCTTGATCTCTCTGAATCCGCGACACTCGCACTGCACTCCCAAATCTTTCAGCCTCTGCGCCGTGTTGGGAGTCACCTGAATATGTCCAGGCAATCCGGTGGAGTCCATTCGGGATGCCATATTCACAGCATCACCCCAGATGTCGTACAGAGGTTTGCTGGATCCCACCACACCGGCCATAATCTCCCCATTGGAGATGCCAATTCGCAGTTGACCATCGTTGAAGTTTTCTTCGTTAAAACTCCTAAGAGCTTCCATGAGTTCCAGTGCGAATTCAGTTAGAACGTATACAGGATCTGTGAGTTTCGTCAGCTTCCGCTTCACCTTGTTGGTTGGATTGTTGTCAGACTCTCGGCCAAAAGAGTAATCTGGGAAATAGAAACAGTCTTTCATGAGTTTTTCGCTTGGTTTCTCAAGAATTTTGACCTTCAACACTCACTCCTTCTGCCATTTGACACCCTCACAGCTATGTCAGGATGTCCTCCGAGGGTTGAAGATGAATCCGCCCATCGGGATTGCAGTCCACAGGCCGCCATGTACGTCCATCCCGCGACTTTGATCTTCTCAATGTGCAGTGATCGCGGCTTCCCAAGAAGACGCGCATCGAAATCATAGATGATCTCATTCAGGATGTTGAGTGCATCCGCCTGGAAGTTGAAATTTGTGATTGTGGCAAACATCACGGCCACATCGTCGAATTCCTCATGGTATAACTCATCCTTCTGCTTCAAATTGATGTAAATCTCCGCAACATGAGCTGGCAAGATGTTTTGCACCAAGAAATTGTTGCTGTCTTTCGTCACTTCGGCCTCTTCTTGCTTCTTCAACAATTGTTTCTTCCAATTGTAATCAATCCTTGAAATATACTCAGATTGTCGATCGACGAGATGGATTGTGAAGAAGGTGAAGAAAATCGCCATGAGATGCGCCACTTGAGCGTCGAGAATCACATTTGTGGAAGAGCTCTCAGTGAAAATTGTGGAGGCGCCAGAAAGCACCAACCACAAGTAGAAGACACAGATCAAAAGTCCCACTGAGAACTTCACCATGAAGTGGATTTTGAGGAAGAGGAAGTTCATGCAGATCGTCAGAATCAAGCAATGAGTCACTGCCCAGGCGTTGATGTACTTCGTGGGCATGAGTTCAGCACCGAGATCACTTTTCACCTCTTGTCCTTCGATCTGCTGCGTGGTGTCTCTGACTCTGGTCATGTGGATGAACGACAGCATTGTCAGCAAACTTATACTTACGATGTAGATTACAGTTCTGGCCACAGCATTCCTCGGAATCCAATTTGACAACCTCAAAACGTGCCTGGTGATCGCCCACTTTGGCACTGGAGCTGCTCTCTCATCCTCATCCATTTCGGGCGTGAAGATGAGCCATAATCTCTTGAACCATGCAAACGGCACAAAGATCAGCAACAACATTCCACCAACAATTGTCGCAGATGAAATCCTCACTCCGTACGGCTGATTGAGAATCTGAATCCCAAAGACCAGCATGTAAACGATGAATCCCGCCAAAATACTGTATTTCAGAAGATGATCAGGCTCATTAAGAAAAGGCCACTCATCGCTACGGTTCTTGAAGCAGAGGAAGATCATCGATAAACTGGTCAGTTGTCTCTTCTCCAGGTCAATTTCCGTCTGACGTCTTCCCTTCGATCCCGAGAAGATTTTGTTGAAACTGCAAAGGAAGTGAATTAGTTTCTTATCACATTTTACTGTTTTATACTCACTGAAATTTCCCTATAGGCATCAAATTCAGTTCTCTGATCATCTCCACATTGATCTGTCTCATTATCTGCCTGTAGTGTTCTATAGAGTCCCTCATGAAGTTCTTCACAGAAGTCAATTCAGACGTTCTGGCCGGCGGAATCAGTGCGGCTCTGTTCAGAAGCCTCTGGACTCCACCTCCTATTCTGGACTGCCTCCTTGCTCCCTCCTCGAAGATCTCTGGAGTCGGCGGAGGAGCAATCAGAAACGTCTTAATGCCATGCTCTTGCAATATCGGATCATTCTTCGCCTTTTGCGTCCCCTCAGTGAACTGATAGTTTCCCCTGAGCAATTCTAACGTCTGCTGAGTAATGTGAAGCTTCCCTGGCTCTCCGGTTGACTCCATTTTATTGGCGATCACCACGTCCTTTGACCAGATATCATACTGCCACTTGCAGGCTCCTATGATCCCCGAAATGATGGACCCGGAATGGATCCCAATCCTCATATTAATATCCAAATCTCGCTTCTGTCTCACCTCCTGAATATCTCTGATCATCCGCAGCCCCAACTCCACGCAACTCCTAGCATGGTTGGCATTCTTCACCGGCACTCCGGCGACGCAGTAATAGCAATCGCCCAAAAATTTGATTCTAAGCACGCCATTCTCCTCCGAAGCCTGATCAAACTTTACGAAGAGTTCATGCAGAGTCTCCACCAGTGGCTTCACTTTCAGTTTAGTCGTCATTTTTGTGTAATTCACTACGTCTGCGTAGAGAATCGAGACGTCATCATGCGTCTCGACATAGTAAGAACCCGAGAAGCTCCTGGAAATATATCCTAGTCAGACAGACTTCCAAGAAATCAGTTTGAAACCTCACCTTATCTCATGACCACGCCAGAACGCCATAATCGTTGGACTAAAAAGAGCATCACGAACTTTTAAGATATTTTTGGCATTCAGACAAACTACTAATATTTAGAAAGATTGTTACTAATTTTTAGTTATATGGAAAATTCCCTCAGTAAGCATGAACTCACTTTTTATTCTCCGTTGAGTTATTTCTCTCTTTTCTGATCCTCCTGATCATGTGACTGACATTCTTCTCAAGAGCATTTGCTGTGTGTTCTGGCAGGATGCTCAGCAGAAGATTTCTCTAGAAAAAAAAACTTGTATAGCTGGGACAGTAAGAGAACTTTTACACAACTCACTTCTTGTTCTCGCTGAAATTGGAGAACAAGGTTCCCTTCAACGCACTGTCTACGATCCAGAAGCGTTCGCCTGATGGTAATCTCGAAAGTCATGCGATAATACAGCCCCAGAAGGTTGATGCCCAGCATAAATAGGCATTCAGAAATCACTTTCAGCGATCTGTGCTCGTCAAGCCTATAAGTGACCATTGCTAGCTCAACTAGATAGGCAATGGTTGTCGCCAATGCCAGAAGCATTGCGTGCCAGTTGTTCATCAGCGGGAAGAAGATGTAGATGCTGAGGAGGATGTGGCAAGCGTAGGCCGGTCGCAGCGGAGGCTTGGGGAAGGTGTACATCTCATGATAGAGCGGAACAGCAAGATCGGCAATGATCAGAAAGAACAGAGCGGCGCAAGAGGCTGCAAATGGCAACCACGAGCGCTTCTTCACCTGTTCCTCCCTGAAGGTCACAAACAGCGACAGCCAGACGATAAGGATGGTCATCAGATAGGCGAAGACCTCCACAGTTATTGAAGCGTTTGTTTTCTGCACTCAGAACGGCAGGTGTGTGATTCACGTCCACCTTATCAGTTGAATAAGTACTCACCGTGGCCTGAACAACTAGGATTATAGTGTGCAGGAGCCCGAAGAAGGTCTCAATGACCAAAAAAATGGAGAGAAAACTCCTCTGCAATCGCAGCATATAAGTATTGTAGACACCTTCAAGATCAAAATTCTTGCAGATGTTCTTGAACGCCCTCAAATCCCAGTTACGCTCATCCCAGGATTCCGCCTCTAATCCCCTGCCACTGAACTTGTTCGCCATCTGCTCAGACTCGCGTCGCATGACCACACCCTCAACCACGTACATCCTTCTCTTTTCATCCTTCTACACCTCAAATCACAGGAGAAACACCCTCAATCTGAGTTGGAAAGACACTGACTATAGTTGACTACTTAAGGCACTTCTACCGACTAATTGGCTAATTGATAGCGCACAATCGCTGATAAGGGCAATTGAATTTGTGTGCCTCTCAGCGCTATAGACAACTTCTTGCGATTAGATAGATTGGCGTGTACTTTCCTGGAAATCTCAAACCCAATTTCATGATTGGGAAATTGATGAATGAGCTTTAAAACACACTGAAACAAGGTATTATAAAGATGAGGAAACACTCAAGATCCATAGGCATTCCAACACGACTTTCTCCACCTATCGGAGAGTAGTTTAAAGTGGGTCAAGATTGCTTTTCAAATGTCTTTAATAACAAATCTTATCTAAACATATATAAAGTCTACTTTACTGCGCGATTCCGGAAGAGGTACAAAATCTCATCGCCGTTCTGCTCCAATGAGAGCTCCTGTTAATGATATATATACAATCTTTAAGCTACTTACTAATATAACAGTAGAAAATCCAGGACTCACCTTAAGAACTTGTTGATTAATCGGCCCGGAATGATGTTCCCACTGCATCAAGTGACTCATTTGACCCATTTGACAACCTGCAGTTGCTTCCTGTGGTTCTGGGACGTTTCCTGAACCTCCGCACATGCACTGAAGGGCTTCATGAGTGAGACAAACACCACTCATCGGCGCTGAGAAGATATCTCTCAATTCAGCTTCGGAAAACGAAACACTATCCTTTGAAGAGTCACTCACGAAGACACTGAGCGCATTCTTAGCAATTTGGCGCTGAAAGATCCTCTCTTCAATGCTTCCTGCTGTCACCAGGCGATATATCACCACATTCCTCGTCTGTCCGTCCCTCCAGATCCTCGACATCGCTTGCAGATCTGTTGCTGGGTTCCAGTCAGCATCGAACAGCACCAATCTGGATGCTCCGATAAGATTCAGGCCAGTTCCTCCCGCTTTGGCGGACAAAAGGAAAACAAATGCGTCACTGGAGGGTGAGTTAAATCTGTCCACAATGCGTTGTCTGTCTGAAGAACTCGTGGAACCATCCAGACGACAGTAGACATGATTAAAGTAACGACAAAGTCCTTCGATCATATCTAGGGCTTTTGTTGAGTGACTCACGACCACGATTCTTTCTCCAGTGCCCCTCAATTCTGCCAATAATCCTTCTAAAACAGACAGTTTGCCAGAATCTCGCGGTCCCATGTCTCCAGTCGGTGGAAGAAACTCCTGAAGCACACACACCAAACCCTCCTGGGCCTCAATAGTCTCCAAGAGTGCTGGATGATTGCAGATCTTCCTCAATAGCGAAATCACTTTAAAGGGAGACATTCTGTTAACTTCTTCAGTCTCATAGGAACTTACAAGGCGTTCCTGGAGAAAGTCTTGGATCTCTGTTGCTTTACAGAACACTACAACTTCCTCCTTTTCAGGCAAATACTCTCTGTTGACCAGTTGTGTCCTTCTCAGTATCACTTTGTCAGTAATATCATTCAATTCCTGCACTTTTTCATGTCCCAAAGCCTGAACTTCGGAATCAGCTCCAGGAACTTGAGAATTCACAATTGGCGTCTCATATTTTATGCGATACTCTGTATAACTGCCCAAGATATCAGGTTGAACAAAGCTAACAAGGCAGAAGAATTCATGAAGATCATTCTGGATCGGAGTCCCGGTGAGAATAATCCTGCGCTTGCAATCCATCTGAGTGAGGAGCTTGACGATGCGAGTATCGCTATTCTTCAGTCTGTGGCCTTCGTCGCACACCATCACGTCGAAGATCATGTCTTGCAAGTCATTCAGTTGAGTCACCACCATTTCATATGAGAGAATGATGAAAGGCATCGTGGCTGAGACACTGAAATCCTTTACTTTATGCTTTCCATCCACAACAAAAGCGTATATTCTCTCTTCTCCCAGCCATTTGCCAACTTCTCTGCTCCAATTCTCCACCAGGCTACTCGGGCAGACAATCTGAGACCGAAAAGAATCAAAGTTACTTATCTATTTGCCAAGAAATGTATGCAAACTCTTACCAAAATCTTCCTGGCGATGTTCCTTCGAGCGTACGGTCCTTGGCGAAGGAGTGTAAAGCATGTGGCGATAACCTGAAGAGATTTCCCAAGTCCCATCTCATCCGCCAACACAGCTCCATGAAATTCAGCCTCAGGATTGTGGAATCCCATTAGAGATTCATACAAGAAGATGATTCCCTCTTTTTGGTGTGGCCTCAAGTGCTTCGCCACGGATTCCACGACTCTAACAGGAGTTAGAGGTTTCTGTTCTCTGTTGAAGATTCTCTGGTGCTCTTGTGGAGGATCTGGCAACAACAATCCTCCGAGTTTCTCCACTTTCCGGACGATTGGTTGAGATTTCACTGGCATCACCGGTTTCTCTTCCTTAACTTCTACTTCACCAATTTCCTCAACAATTTCCACCTCCTTAGAGCCCACTGTAAGTCTCATACCCTCCTCAAAAGTCACATCCTTACTGGGAATTGGCATGGATGTGAGAATAGATCCGTCAGAATTCCTCAAGTAAACTGTATTCTCCGTTATTTCAAGCACACCGTCACCTTCCCATGTTTTATGTTTCTTGGTATTGGGGCGATTCCACAGCACTGAGTACTTTCTCTCCACTGAAGCATTCACTGGCACAGGAGCGTCCGGATCATCTTGTTTTCCCAGCATTTGGAAGTCCCTCAGAGGACCCACATTTACTCGCTCCCGCTCTACTGTGACCTTCACAAACTTGCTAGAATTACCTTCTCTTCTCCCTGCAGACTCCCCACACTGCCTCTTCATCGATGGGGCGCTAGATCTCCGCATTTTCCCGGGAAAATACACTCCCTGAACTTCACCTTAACCTCACTTCGTCTCTGTTTTTTTCCGCTGGATGAAGAAGTGGCGCTGCTGTCGGGCCTCCATATTTTGCCGACGTCACGTCGCACACGCGAAAATATATTTTCTGTGAAAATTTCTTGTTTTCTGCAATTTTAAGAAGTGAAAATGGCAAAGTTCGATCTTACTTCCCGCAATTGTCAGTTTCTGGATCGGCACCTCACGTTCCCGTTGCTGGAGTTCCTATGTGACAAGAATGTAAGTGGTTCCGGATGGGTGCAGCGTTTTCACACAATATTCTGGGTTTTTCCTGTGGAGTATAGTAAAATTCAGGCGATAACTACTAAAAGGAACATTCTGAAGCTATTTGTGAAGAATGTTGTGTGAATTGTTAAGATTTTTAGGATGTCTCGAAATCTAACCTCACTTTGGAGACTCTTCTGAACTCTGGGACTTTTTTCTTGCAGATCTACGACAAGGATGTCCTGCTGGAATACATTCTGGAGACAGTGGGAAAGACTAACATGATTGATTACACAATGGACACGAGGAAGCGCCTGAAATTGGGCGAAACCATGCCAGATGTGAGTTTAGCAATAATTAATGATACTGGACAGTTTTTTTTAACACTCCGGGAATGTTCTGTCTTGCAGGAATTGGCGCAAAGACGTGCAAAGGTCCTGTCGAAACTCAAGGAACTGCAGAATGAGATTGCGCCACTGATGAAAATCATGGAAGAGTTGAAGAACACCGACACGATGAAGGACTCAAAGACACTCTTGAATGTGTTGCAGAAGGACTTCAACTTCAAAGTGGAGATGCTGGATAGTGTCTACAAGCTGGCCAAGTATCTTTATGAGTGCGGCAACTACATTGACTCCATCTCTTACCTGTACTTCTGCCTGCTGGTGATGCAGCCCAGCGACAAGAACTACTTGAATGTTTTGTGGGGAAAACTCGCTGCCGAGATTCTGACTCTGAACTGGTCCTCCGCCCTTGAGGACCTCAATAGGCTGCGAGAGTACATAGACTCGAGTAACTTCACTAACGTGCAGGCGCTGCAGCAGCGTACCTGGCTCATTCACTGGAGCGTGCTGGTGTTCTTCAATCACGCCAAGGGACGCGATCTGATCATCGACATGTTTCTGTACAAGCCGCTGTATCTCAACGCCATCCAGACCATGTGCCCGCACATTCTGCGCTATTTGGCCACAGCGGTGATCATCAATCCGCGCTACAGGAATGCGCTGAAGGATCTGATCAAGGTGATCCAGCAGGAGTCTTACACGTATCGCGATCCCATCACTGAATTCCTCGAGCACTTGTACGTGAACTTTGACTTCGAGAGCGCACGGATGAAGCTGCACGAGTGTCAGACGGTCATTATCAATGACTTCTTCATCATTGGCTGCTTGGGAGAGTTTGTCGACAACGCCCGATTGATGATCTTCGAGACCTTCTGTCGCATTCATCAGTGCATCACAATCAGGTGAATTATCCAGTGAATTGGACGTGTATCCAGCAGATTACTTACCCTCAAATCATTTCAGTATGCTGGCGGACAAGCTGAACATGAAGCCCGACGAGGCGGAATGCTGGATCGTCAATCTCATCCGAAACGCCAGGCTGGACGCCAAGATCGACTCAAAGTTGGGTCACGTGGTGATGGGAACTCCTCCGCTGAGTCCTTATCAGCAACTAGTGGAGAAGGTGGATAGCCTGTGCGTGCGCTCTGAGGCCCTAACAACACTGGTGGAGCGCAAGTACCGCGCCAAGAACACCGACAATAGCGACAACAACTGGAAGTACTACTGAACATGAATTTCTTATGCAAAGGTATTTCTTTTCTAAAAATAATAAAGAGTAATTGAAACAGAGAATTTAGTGAATGCCGCCGACCAGGACTGGAAGGTTGCCGATGAAGGCGTTGTTCTTAGCTGTGTAGCGAATCAGGGAGCACCAATTGGGATCATTGGCCAGGAGTTGAGCATTGCCGAAGATGACGAGAAGGCTCTTGGCACGCGAGATGGCAACATTGAGACGCTTGCTGTTCTGCACAAATCCAAGTGAGTGCTTGGAATCGTTGGCGAGGAAGTTCTTGCATGATCGCACCGTGGACAAAATGATGATGTTTCGCTCCTGACCCTGGAATTCCTCCACGCTGCCGACTTTGGGGATTTTGTCCTCATCAATGGCACGTAGACGTTCACGAATGTGCTTCACCTGTGCTTTGTAGGGAGCTATGATGCCGATATCCGAGTGTTGAATGCCCAGTGCGTACAATTTTGTGCAGAAGATAAAAATGTTTCTCGCCTCCACGGCATTGTACCACGAAGGACTTTCCGCACTTTGTCTATTCTCACCGATGATGGAGAAGAAGAATACTCCGTGGTTGGGATTTGTGGCATCTGGCAGAATGGTGACGTACTTCTTCAGGAAGGCAATCTCAGATGTTCCCTCCTCGCCAATTGTGGCCTTCAACTTCCCATCATAGAATAGATCTGAGTAGAGCTTCAGGACACTCGGCAAACTGCGATAGTTGTAGATCAGCTGCGTCACGAGACGCTCATCAAATCCGTGCTTATGGCGGTCGTAATTCTGCTCATAGGGAAATCTCTCCAGGATTCGATCGAGGAAGGAGAGCTCCAAGCCGTGATCTTTGGCAATTGGACTGATTGTGTGCGGCCCGAGCTGTCGAGGATCACCAGCCAGAATGATCTGTCCCATTTCGGAATTCAGCAGCGACAAGGGAATGATCGTCTCTGGCTCGTTGCACTGTCCAGCCTCATCAAGAATGACGTGAGTGAAGTGATTGTCTTTGAGATTCAGCGCCATAAAGGATCCCAAACCCTGGCAAGTGCCAATGATAATCTTATGTTCAGCCAAGTACTTCGTATTGCAGTGCATCTTGAGTCCCGTTTCTGTCTCTTTGATTTCATTTCCGCTTGTGCCATCAATGGAGATGTCACACAGAGCGCAATATGGATGCAAATGTTCAGGAATGCTATTCTTATCGATGGCACTCAAGCCCACAATGCGAATGAAATCTCCAGGATAGAGACTTTTGCAGCTTATCAGCCGTTCAGTGATGAGATTCGCTGCACTGTTTGACGATGCACCGACCAGAATTCTCGAATGAGACACATTCTTGGCAATTTGCAGGATCACTTCGAGGACTGTGTATGTCTTACCAGTTCCTGGTGGTCCAAAAATCACGTACGGCATCGGACGCGCCTCTCCGCGTAGAATGTTCTTCACGGCTCTCTTCTGAGACTCATTAAGCTTTGGGTTGAACCAATTCAGCACTCTTCCTGCTTTCTGCTCCACCAGCTCCCCATTGACAATCTCCACATCAACTTGCGGGCTCTTCGGTTCAATTTGCACAGGAAAAACCACATGCTCCTTCATCCGCGGTATGATATTGGCCACAGCGTGGTGTTGCTTCCGAAAACTGCCCCGCGAGAACTGAAACTGCACATTGTACTTTTCTCCGTTGTAGGAATTTTGGAAGTGCTTCTCAAACTTCACCAGCACGCTATTTTGTAGAACTTTGTGGATAAATCCTTCGTACACCCGTTTTTTGTCCCAAGTACTGGTGATCCGGATGATGTCGCCTGAAACAATAAGCGATATTAGTGATAAAGACAAGCTGTACTTTAAGCATCATACAGTCAAGATGGTGAATACACAATATTCTACTCACCCAGAATGAGAGATGGCCTAGTCTCCGCCACATTGTCAATTTCCATTTGCAAATACTCTTTGTCATATTTCTTGAAGAACACCTCCTGGCGATCGTACACTCTGAACTCTACCCACAGTTGAATCTCCTCCAGGAATACCAAATTGTGAAAAATGCTCGTGTAGTTCCTCGGCTCCAGTGTGTTATTCAGCGACGGATAAGCTCTCAATACACTCTCCTCAGCTTCCATCCTGTTATTTGCGCCCAGTACAAGTTCTCTGAGTTGATTGGGCACGAGATAGTGACTAATGACTTGAGAAGAGATGCCTTTGGACTTCATCAGTGCCCCTCCACGGATCACATCGGCGTCACTGTCGGCAAATTCTCTAGCGTATCCATTGTAGCGGGAATTCTGATATCGAGGAAATTCAATTATAGCTGGACTATCATCGTCTCCCACTTGAATCTCAATTTTGCGCTCCACAAACAATCCTCGTGCGAACTTCCATACGATTTTCTCAGTAGAAAACCCACAAAAGCGTCCCTTCACCATCATCTTAAATACATGTTCTTGGCCAGGCGCGATGTCAAATGAGGCGTTGATGTCTGGCGAGAGGAGTTCCAATTGACTCAGCTTCTTCGCGATTGGGATGATCGTGCGATAGAGTTTGTGAGGATGAGTATGATTGTTCTTGATACGGATCTCCAGAGGTGCTGTCTGATTGATATCAGAGAGGAAGATAGTTGGGATGTCACTGACGACAATTCCTCGCTCATTCTGCACAACTGGGACAACTTCGACTGCTTCTTGACTGTTTTCGGACCTTTTCGAGAGGACAACTTTGAGACAGCGCCAAGTGCAATTGTTCTTATTGTTCTCAAGGGCATCATAGGTCACAAGATCGCCAACTTGAGGCTTGTACTCAGGCTCCAGAGCTGCTGGACTAAAGGCAATGTTCTTATCGATCTTTCCACCTCCGGAGGGCGTGACACTGGTCACTTTTCCCATAGCCATCGCAGTTCGCACCGGATTAATCGCCACGTAATCCAGCACAGCGCCTGAGAAGTCCACAAAGTGATCATCCGTCTGAACTTTGCACGTCAACACGACTTCATCGCCAGCGGCAGGTTTAAACTGAATCTGCACTTTAGCTATGTTCACGGACACTTTTCTGTCCACTTCTGTCTCAACATCTACAATTGTGCCGTCCTCAGAGTCAGTAACAGCCACAATGGTCCCGTTAAACCTCCTCATGTGCACCTGAAAGTACTCATCAATCGCCTGTTCCAGCATCCTCTCCTCGTTCTGTCCGCAATTGTCCCATACTTCCTGTAGGACAGATTCTATCTTCACGACCTTGGTTATGCCATCAGGCTGCTTGTAAGCCAAATAGCTGATCCTGCATCCCTCTGAGATGTTATGGAAGTGTTGCGAGAGACTAATCTCAAAGCGATACTGATGATCAATCATCCCGTATGTTGGCTGCAGCTTTGTAATCGTTCCACTCTTCTTCACGCATTCTCCTGATCTCTTCAATTGCTCCAGATATTCATGTTCCTTTGCATCCTCATCATCCTTCTTATCCGTGTCGTCATGCATCCTCTTCAACACATTGTCCAGTTGTTCCTCAATCGTCTCCTTTCGCCTCCCAGCAAATCGCTGGTAGGCGAGGTCCAGCACCATCTCTAGCGTATTCATGATGTTTATAAGCACCTACGACTGCCCGATGAGCTTATCTATGGGCTCATACTGCCAGTCAGTCTTCTTGATGTAGTACAACTCCTTTCGGAGGTTATGGAGTCTCTTCATGTGATTCTCCAGTTGCAGACTGTCCTCTCCGATTTCCACGTACAGCAGAAACTTCACACGGGCGTACGCCTGGCGACGCGATGAATCCGAGTCGGGATCTTCAATTATGCCGAACGGGCTGATCAACTGGGCCACGTACTGTAAGGAAAACAGTCCTCAATCTTCCAATGACCCGAAATGATTTCCTGACAAACACTCACGTCTTTTGATGAATCCGCCGATGTCTTACCCGTAGATTTGCCCTCGGTGGACATATTACACCTCCAAGTGGTTGAACGACAATGTGAAATGCAGCAAAAAAATAGCGTCTTATTTCTTCCTGGAACCAATCTGCCCTATGGCGAAAATCCGTGGAATATCCAATGGATAACCATGGACGATTTCCATGCTATCCGCGTAACAGCATCCATGGAAAATTCCTCGGAACTCCGTGGATCAACAAGGAAAATCCTTGGATTCAGCATGGAAGATTCCATGCTGAATTCCATAGGAATTTAGCAAGGATGATTTTCCATGGATTATTTCCCACATTGCTTCCAAATTTTCCATGGTGACTTTTCCCATATATGGAAGATTTCCATTGCGATTCCATTGACCAATCCAAGGACGATTACAAGGAATACCATGGAGGAAATTCCAATGTGTGAAATTTCTCCCAGAAATTCCCGGCGCTCCGCCCCAAAATATCCAAAAAAAGACTCATTTATATTTGGATTTGTATTTATTAAATATAACCAATCAATCTTACAAATGTGATTCTGATTGTGATTACGCGTTGCCTTGGTGGCTGCTATGCCGCTTCCCAGGGACTGCTACTTTTCTAGACGACTGCTACCGCGGTCGCCGGAAGTCGAGATGCTCTTTGATGTCTTCTCGCACCGGTCCGGATATGTTTGAAAAAAGCTGGAAAATAAAATACACTAATTACTGATCGTATATTTGCATGGTATTCCCTCCATGGTATTCCTTGTAATCGTCCTTGGATTGGCCAATGGAATTGCAATGGAAATCTTCCATATATGGGAAAAGTCACCATGGAAAATTTGGAAGCAATGTGGGAAATAATCCATGGAAAATCATCCTTGCTAAATTCCTATGGAATTCAGCATGGAATCTTCCATGCTGAATTCCAAGGGTTTTCCTTGCTGATCCACGGAGTTCCGAGGGATTCACCATGGATGAAATTCCAGCATGGAAATCTTCCATGGTTATTTATAGGATGTTACATGGATTTTCGCCATAGGAATTTGAGAACATGAAGAACATTTTTTACCTTGTCATGAGTCCACTCTGTCGGATAAGTAGATCCTCCGGTAACCGCTTTTCCGCATCCTATTTTCCTGTAAAAAAGACATGTTCAGTATAGAAAACAGGATATATCTCTTATGTTTTGGTAATTCCATACTTACATTGATTGTTTCTCCTACTTTGACGTTGTCCGGAAACCTCGAGTCTTCTCTGACTGTGGGGTCCCTGTGCCGTCTCCATCGCATACATTCAGCACTTTTCCTGAAAATATCACCAAACTTAGAGTGTTTACCATTAAAACTTAACGTTTTAGTACTGAAAAGTACAGAAAAATACTTACGCGTTCTTTCCTATGAGAAGAATTTCACAAGACTGACGTAATCGCGTGGGGACGCGCAAAGAGCGAATTATTCCGTGGAAAACCCATGGATATTCCGCGGATTTATCACCATGGAAAATATTCCATTCTAATATCCATGGATGGCCAAAAGGAATATATATGGAATTATTCCATGGTATCTTGCTTGGAATAAAGTGGAATTTATCCATGGAGGATAGCTTGGAATTCCGAGGATTTTATTCCTATTATAGGAAGAAAAGTGGAAGATATTCCATGGACGATTTCGGATCGTGGAATCCGTTCTCCATAGGGTGATGAGTGAAAGCGCCCTCTAATCAGAGTGTTTCGAATCTGAAGCAGTGGCGCTGCAAACGCTGTCAGTGGAGAAGTGAGGTTAAGGTTCAGACGAGCAGACGCGTAGTGAGTGTCCGGGAAAATCGGAGGAAACCCCGTGAAAAACTGTAATTCCAAGAAGAACACCGACAAAAATGGAGCAACTGGTGCTTAATCTACTTGGGGGAGACAACGAGGTGATGAAGAAGGTGAGTTTTTTACGATTTTCGCCAATTTTTTCACTACTAAGTTCTGCAGACACGTGTGCGGGAAGGAGATTTCCTCATTTTTCCCACGATCCCACCCACGTTGCAACACATTTTCTTCTTTTCACAACTTCATTGGGGCTCATTGAAGACAGCCAAAGTGTCTTTATGAGTGGGTAATATTAGTATTCTCCAGAATATGCAATTTTTGCAGAATCGCGTGATTTGCCGGTCGCCATTGATGGTTTTTTTTTCCCTGGTCAGACAATGCGAATCTCTAGCGTGAATAATTCGTCTCTCTGTGCACCTTTTCGGGGTCGCCGTATCACAATACACGCATTCCATGATGCTATTTTTAGCCAACATAGCCAGAGTGAGGCAAAAAGTGATTCTTGTGCACTTTTTCAGGCCACCAATGATCTCCAGGAGGCGTTCAAGAGACCGGAAACCGTTCCAGCCCTCTGCGATTTGATTGTCTCCTCAGCGAATCCACAGGTTCGTCAATATGCTGCAGTCTTGCTGCGTCGGCGGCTGGCCAAAAAGTGGAATTGGCAAATGCTGCCACAAGAAACAAGAGAGATGATCAAGAAGGGCATTCTGGAACGCGTTCTGATGGAACAGGAGCGTCCTGTGCGCAATGCCATTGTCCAATTCATCGGTGTGCTTGTGCGTCATGAGTTTCCCGACAAGAACCCGTGGATGAACGACGTGCTGAAATTCATCTATGATAATTGCTCCGCCAGTGATGCGAATCTCAGTGAAATTGGAGCGAACACACTGAGTATTCTGACAGATGTGGCGCCAGATCAGTTTATCCCTCACCTTGAGGCCATCAGTAGCATGTTCTCAGCCGCATTGGCTGCCAATGAGAACGTTGTCAGTCCTGTTGTCTACCACATTCTCGTGGCGCTGGGAAATCTCGTCATGGTCGGTGAACCGAATGGTCAAGCAAAAAATGTTTACCAGAATCTGATTCCCAACATCACAAAGGCTCTGCATGTTCTTCAATCGGATCCCGATAAGGTAGTTTTTATATTTTTTCTCCAATTGGATCCTCCAGTTAAACTAAGATCTTTGTTTTCCTTTGCAGTTCGTGAAAGCTTTTGAGATTCTGGAAAATATTGCTGATACCATGCCCAGTATTCTCAGTGCACATCTCAAGCTGCTGATTGACTACTCGCTCGTTGTGGCCAGCACTCAGCAGCTGGACGAGAGTGTGCGCGTGCAGGGCATTACATTCCTGGGCATGATTGTGCGGCTGAAGAAGAAGGCGGTGATGAAGATGAAGATGATCGAGCCTATCATTGTTGTGCTGTTCAACTTGATGGCCAGCACACCGGCTGGAGATGACGATGAGGAGGAGTACTTCGTGGGCTCTACAGAGATGTCCAGTCCAATGACATGCGCCACGCAGACGATGGATATCTTGGCCCTGAATGTTCCTGCTGAGAAGTTGATTCCACCTCTCCTTGCGCTCTTGGAGCCTGCACTGGCCGGCTCAGAGCCTTTGCCCAAGAAGGCGGCTTATCTCTGCATCGCTGTAATCGCAGAGGGATGCGCGGAGACGATCTGCAACAAGTATCTTCCGCCACTTCTCGGATGCGTGAAGCAAGGAATCACAGATGGGAATGCTCTGGTGAGGAATGCTGCACTATTTGCCTTGGGGCAGTTTGCTGAACACCTCCAGCCAGAGATTAGCAAGTATGCGGATGAGATTCTTCCCATTCTGTTTGAGTTCCTGCATCAATTGTGCATTCAATTGAGGGCGGAGGGCAAGGAGCCGAAGCACATCGATAGAATGTTCTATGCTTTGGAGACATTCTGTGAGAATCTTGAGGATGCCCTCGTTCCACATCTTCCAGTCCTCATGGAGCGTCTGTTTGAGTCTCTCAATCCAAACTACTCTGTCCATCTCAGGGAACTCTCTCTGAGTGCCATCGCAGCTGCCACCACGGCTGCGAAATCAGCTATGTTGCCGTACTTCCAGCAAATCATTGAAATTCTCAAGATGTATCTCGTGAAAACAGAAGATGAGGACCTAAAGACACTGCGCCCACAAGCCATCGACACCCTGGCCGCATTGGCGCGTACTATTGGCAAGGAAAACTTCCTGCCGCTGTCTTCGGACGCCATGAGTTTTGGTCTAGCGCTGATGGAAGACTGTAAAGAGCCTGATTTGAAGCGCGCTTGCTACAATCTCTTCGCTTCGGTGGCTGAAGTGTTGAATCAGGATGTGGCTTCTGCTTTGCCGCAGATTGTTAGTGCCATGATTGAGAGTGTGAAGAGCACCGAGGGACTCGTGGCGGACTTCGATGATGACGATGAGGAAGCTCAAGATATTTACAACGTGGAAGCGGATGAGGATAAGAACGAGGACATTGATATTGAATCGTCAGACAATGAAGATGACGATGATGACGTGGCCATTGCTGTGGAGAATGCCTTTATGGATGAGAAAGAGGAGGCGATAATCGCTCTTAAAGAGCTGGCCATTCACTCTGGGTGAGTATCTTATATTTTGATAAAATCATTAGTGCTAGTTTAATCAAAAAAGGACAATATTCAAGTCTGTAATTGCCGTCATTTTATCTTCATAGGGCCGCTTTTGCTCCTTACCTGCAAACATCCTTCGAGGAAGTGTACAAGTTGATCAATTATCCTCAAGATGACATCCGTCGTGCCTCTGTTGAGGCCCTGACACAGTTCACAGTGAGCTTCTATCAGTTGAAGAATGCCGAGGCCACAAAAACCTCCATCACGGTCCTCATTCCGAAGTTGAGTGAGATCATCCGTGCCGATGAGGAGAGAAATGTTGTGATGGCAGCTCTGGAGTCGTTCAATGAGTTGCTGGACAAGCTTAAGGCGGACACATTCACGCAAGAAGATCAGAAGGATGCGATCTTTGAGTGTGTGAGCGACGTGATGCTGGGCACGGTGGCGTGCCAGTGCAATGATGCGGTTCAGGATGACGATGAAGAGGGTGACAGTGAATTCGATGAAGCCATCATTGAGTCGGCTGGTGAGATTTTGCCACGTTTTGGCAAAGCGATGCGTCCGGAGGACTTTGCACCGTACTTCGGGCGCGCCTACACGCACTTGATGGAGAAACTAGAGAAGGCGAGACGAAAGGAGGACGCCGATTTGGAGCGCGCATATGTTGTGGGAGTATTGGCTGAGTGCTTCGAGGGCTTGCAGAGACACACCAACACTTGGATGGCAGGATTGATGCCACTCCTGATGGCCGGAGCGCAGGATAAGAATGATCAGATCCGCAACAACTCGGTCTTTGGACTGGGGGAGTTGGTTCTAGCCGGCGGGGAGTTCGCCTACGACTACTATCCGCAGATTCTGCAACTGTTGTCAGCGGCTGTGGTGAAGGAGCAGGACGCTGTGACTCTAGACAACATCTGTGGTGCTCTGGCGCGTCTCATAATCTCCAATAGTTCGTTGGTGCCGCTGAAAGAGGTGCTTCCTGTGTTTGTGCAGTATCTGCCGCTCAGGACGGACTTTGACGAGAATCAGGCTGTCTTCAAGTGCCTTCACGTGGCTTATCAGCAGGGACAGCAGGTGCTTGTGGAGCTCATGGAGCGGATCGCCTTCCTCGCGCTCAGTGTGCTGCAGAAGAAGGAGTACAGCAGTGATGGTATGTAAATGTAATCTCATTGTCCGCACAAATTTGTCCCCTAATCGCTTCTTTCTGTCATTGCAGAGACTCGTGATTACATATTCAGTTTTGTCCAGCAAATCCGACAGGATTTCCCGGAACAATACGGCAAAGTAGTAACGAATAATCCCGAGATTGCGGCTTTCGCGGCGACATTCTAAGACCCAGTTGAACTTCTCAATGTTATTTATATTATACAGTTAAAAAAGGAGAAGAAAAGATACGAATAACGAGTTGGAGATTTATATTATAACTATATGATTACTACCATGAATATTATTTTGACATGATGTTTTCCTTTTCCACTATTTAGATAAAATATACTTTTGTGAAGAAACACACTTTTTCTCGCCTTGACCTGCAGCTGCATTTCCATACAAAATTTATTTAAATCTCCGGCTCTGAAGAGGTGTTATTCACGATATCCGGACGTAATTTTGGGGCAATATTTATGACTCTCTCGACCTCAATTGTGGGCCAATTGACCAAAATTGTTTTTCCACTGCAACGGCGCGAATATTGATTACAGTTGAGCATAGAAAAAAAAATGTTTGCGGGTGGGAAAATTGGGGTTTATGGGAAATATAATTAAGTTTGTGGGAATTGCAAATGAATTTATGCCTCACTTTATTCTTTTAATAATTCCTCGCCGGAAACTGTTGATTTTCCCCTAAGATTACATGCGAAGACCCAGATTTTCCGTCTCGCCGGACTTTTCAGCAGCGACAAAAGAGGGTCATTTTTATTCAATTGCCACGCGAAATGTGATTTTTTTTCTCTATTGTATGCGTGAACTCTTTTAGTAGCGTAGAATTTTTTTGGCGCCCAGACGATCAACAATGGTAAGATCCTGAATAGGCGTAAATTATTGCGAAACAAAATTAAACAAACTGCTTGATGAATGAGAAGTGAATTGTAACTAAATGTTGAGAAATTATTATCGAAACTTTGGATTTAAATGCGTTAATACACAATTATAAATGAAATCATCAAAGTGAAAATTCTTAAATGTGATTACTTTTGAAGAAGTTCTGTAGTTTTGTTCGTCTGTCTGAAGATTGGTTTAGCTCGGTAATCGCAAATAATGTGTACTATTATGATATGACATTATTGCCTTCTCTTGCTGCGCCACTGGTTTTCCGTGATTCTATTTGGGGGTACAAAACTCCCATTGAGTCATAAATTGGTGGAATTATTTGGGCATTGCTGAAAGTGATTTCTCAGCTCGAGATATCACTCGATAGTGTGTGAGCTGAAGTGATTCAGATTGCGTGATTGATGCCATAAAAGCGAAGCTCCAGAGATTGTCATGAGCACGAGAAAGAAGATTCCTGCCCTTGAGGAGAGTGCGAAAATTTGTGGAAAAACTCCACTCTGTTCTCAATTTCATGATAAATTGATGGTGAAAATCAATGAAAAGCAGCTCGAATTGCAAGTGTGTGCGATAACAGTTCCACTTTCTCGGCGATAAATTTCTCCGCCTGACAATCTCAATTGGATGCTCACCCTTCGGGTGTGTGAGCATCGATTTGTCGGCACGAGGTGCAACTGCAATCGCTGCATAATTATCAATAAATTACGACGGTGGGGTCGAGGGACGCCATCGAAGGCGTTGTGACCATTAGACAGCCTGCGACAGGGACGCTCGGCACAATCGCCTGGATTAATTTGCTGTCTGCTATTCAATTTTCTTACTGCGCGGGAATGGAAAAATCCTGGGCGTGAGGGTGGCTTTCTCCTCTCTTGCAAATCGATCACTCACTTCTCGGGCAAATCCGCGCCGCAAGCAAATGACACAAAATCGTGTGCGTGCCTCCGAATGCAAATGAGCCACACACGCCCAATGGGAAGAGGGGCACTCGAGCTCCCCAAGGAACGAAGGCACTGAGTAAAATTTCTCATAGATAAACTCTTTATTTGGATTCACTGCATTTTTACATTTTGACTTTCTCTCTTTCTCTCTCTCATTTTGTATTGCACGGAGGACAAAAATAATTCTCGAGATTTTACACATTTCTTTTTTTTCTTTCTTTCGTATCTCTAAGGAAAATGTGCAGGAAAAAGATTGAAATATTCACCCCCCTTCGCGACTCTCTGAGAAAATCACTTGCTTGAGCTTTAAAGGGAAAATTGCCACAATAGCATTTGCTAATATGTAATTTTCAGCAATCACCTCACTCCTTGAAGAATTAAAAGAAAAGAAATGAGCAGTTTCACGCTTTGCATTAATTAAGGGAATTTTTGTGTCGTTGTATAATAATTCTTGGAAATCCTGATCAGAAAATCTAACAAGTTATCACAGATAGTCAATAAAATGAGCAACTATCGAACGTAGAGAGTCGAGAAGGGGTATTTTTGGGAAAACAGGGAGTAATCTCACCATCTGTCGCTACGTCCGCGCGAAGAGGATGGTCAGGAGAACGGCACAGTGACTGAGAAGCAACGCATTCGTATCACCAGGCACTTGAAGTCGCCTGGCTGGCGCCTGACTTGTGGAATTGCAGCACTGACTGGCGAAGGTAACCACTTTTGGGTAGTACTCATTCCAGAACTGCACTGAACCGTAGTTCATGTTTGAGCGATCACTCATGTTGAAAGCGCGATCGACAATAAGGATGCCTGGAGAGTCTGCTGTGAACTTCTCCCACTTTATGTACACACCCATTTCCGTGGGATTGCCAAACTTGGCAAAATTCGCCCACAGTGTCATGATAATCTCCGAAATCTGTTTATCAGCGCGATCCCACTGCGCGCCGCCAGGAAGCTGAGCCCAATACGGCAGGCCCCACACAAACAGAGAGTCAAAGCCGTGTGGCACCCCTACCCAATCAGGCACACCCTCCAGAACACCCGGTGAACGAGCCTTCATGTCGAAGCGATATGCGAACACAGAGCCGCCTTTCAGCGCCATGGCGGCGGCCAATTGGATCGCCGGCGCTGCGAAACGCTTCTCCGTGCTGAAGTCGATAAACCGACGCCGCAGGACAGAGGGCTCCATTGTGGGCGGATAAGGCTTGTACACGAAATTCACAGCATCGATCACTATCTGATTGTTGCCTACGCACGTATCATTGGATTCGAACTGCGACAGTTCATTCAACACCATATCACCTGAACATAAGAGAAAGAGAGAGAGAGAGAGAGAGATAAGAGCTTTTAAACTTCTATTCCCAGTAGAAAATCAATCAAGAACTCACCCAGAAGAGTGTCGTACATCTCTCCAGAGATGCCTTGCGTCATGATGTCTCCCACTGCCAACTCCAGCACCTCCTCCATGTCCGTGAAGCCAATCAAGAGTGGCATTTGTCGAATCTGTCCGCGCTCCACGAGTGCCTTTGGCGTGTCCGGCACGAAAGGTGTCGTGGTGTTGCTCAGCCCATCATCAACCACAGGTCCCCAATCGGTCACTGGTCCACTGTCGGCCAGAATCTGCGCTGGAACATTCCTTAGGCAGTTCAGCAACTTTGACGTGGGCCTCCTGAAGCACCCAAATGTCTTCGCCGTGCGATCGAGGCCTGAATTATACGTCTTGGCTTCCCTCACATTGCTATCCAACAGCGGACTGCCCGACATGAGCACAGCGCGGCTGAAGAGTCCTTCCGACCAATCGCCCGAGATGAGATGCAGACCCACACTGATGGCACCAGCGCCATGACCCATCGCCGTAATGGTGTTCTCGTTTCCCCCGAAGAGCTTAATGTTGCGCTTCACCCACAGCAAGGCAGCCGACTGGTCCATGAGGCCAAAGTTCCCCGGAGCCTCACCGTCAGCAGTGGTGAGGAAGCCGAAGATGCCCAGGCGAAAGGCTATGGACACAACAATGACTTTCTGCTTGAGCACCAACTGAAAAGGGTTAAGCTCTGTGGGACTACCCGTTGAGAAGTCGCCCCCATGAAGCCACGCAATTACAGCGAAGCCATCGGGAGGCGCGGGGGCTGAAAAGAAATTATGAATTTCTTTAAAATCCTGTATTATTGCTTGCAAAGAGGGAATTATCTCTTAACACATAAGATTGCAAAATTAATTAGATGAAGTTTCTTCTAGACAATTTTGACTCTAGTTCTCTCAAATACCTTTAATATGCACAGCATTGGACAGCTTAAGAATTACTAGAGATAAACTCCCACAGTTTCCTTCCATTATTTCACAAAAGTTTTATTTTATTCCAAAAATTACCAATGGAACTACGCATGGTTTCTAATATACATTTTTCGAGTCATAGTAATATTCTAATCCAGTTGCATATTGTATTGACCACCACATCAGACTTTTTTGCCTTGAACTTTAGCCCGAAATGGCGTGAAGGGGAAACCATCAAGACTTTTTTTTAGTCTCAAAGCTTTCTTCACCATAAACCCCATAAACCCATTTTACTTCGCTCATAAATCCACCCCCAAATCGCCGCAGAGGAAAGATTTGTGTGCGATGATAAGAGGGCAACGGCTTCAAAGTTTCCCTTTCGACTGGCCTTTCACCTTTTTGGGGCCACGCGCCATGGCGCAATTGAATTGCTAATTGCGGGCCCTCTTTTACAGTTTTCTCCGCCCAAAAAAAAGCCACTTGTGGCGAGAACACCAACGAAAATGGAGGGCTTAATTATGCAAATAAAATTGACGCTTCGGAAAAACCACCGGCGCGTTCCTCACATTCATGCAAATCTGCTCTCTTGGAGTCTTAGAAAATATGTTCATTTGTCGTGTTTCTAATTGTTTCCCGTCCACGTCAAGCGGGAGGAACTGTGAATTGTCCGCCGAGTGACTTATGAAGCTCTCTTCAGAGCCTTTTTTCTATGTCCACCCACTCGCAGGCCACAATTACGTCCCATCGTCTCGTGATACTCTAATTTGAATATTACGCATGTTATCAAATCTCATGTGACTGGGAAAATAGTAATTAATCCAGGGATGGTGACTGGTCAGCATTTAAGGGCGATAATAGTGAGAATGTTGTTAATCAATCACCAAAATTGCCATATAATTGCAAGTCAGTCAATGTGAAATTGACAAACGAAGTATTTCCGTCTTGAGAATTTCAAGAACACTGAAATCAGATAGGAATCCAGCCAATAGCAGAGATTTTCCGCAAATCCTTAGGAGAAAGCAGAGCTGATTCAAAGAAAGTCTTTCATTATAATGTCAATATCGACACTGCAAACTAAGAATGCATTAGAAAAGCACTTTTCATTTACTTCCAAGGGGCGTTTCTCGTGCTTCTAAATTATTTATGACTTTTTCGCACTGAAAATTCAGTCAATTTATCATAAAAACAGGCCACAACTTTCCATTTCCCATCCCAAATTCACCTCCCTTTTTATCAGACACTAATTGAGGGTATTTTTCCTCAACTCTATACTATCGCGATCAGAATTTCCTGACCAAGATGAAGACACCTCTCTAATTTCTATTAATTGAAAGGTGAAAACCCGAAAAAATACACCTGAAAATGCCGCGACAGGGCAAACAGTGAAAAGGATATATAAAACAGAGAAAATATAGAGTTGGTAAATCGATAAATAAATATTTTGCCCACACGCGATCTCACATTTCTCCATTTTTTCGGGGTTCACACAAGTCCCGGGAATTTTTAGGGCATCTCCCTATTATTCCTCCCCGCTGAGAGCAGCACATTCCTCACTCATGGAAATTCATCACTTTCCCCGACTTTTTCTCGATACATTTCTCACTTCCATTTAATCAAATTCTCCAACTTTGTTCTATATTTTGATAGTCAAAATTGTTTAAAGAGTGTAAATTTCTCCTTTTCGTCTCGAAAAATCCCGCAGAAAGCAACTTTAATGTAATTGTTGCGTGTCACGAAAGCTTTTAGGCCTCTCTTTTTTTCCTAGTCGTTTCCCCGCACAGTTTTGGCGGCAAGTTCTGGATTTCCAGGTTAACAAACCTCCCGCGGGACGATTTCAACACACTGATTACAAACTCTCCCCCTGCATTTCTTGCCGCCCATTCTACGACGCGGAGGCGACTTCTTTCTTCTCCACCTCCTCAGTCATCGTCGCCCCCGTTTGACCCAATAGAGATTTAAGACTTTGTGGTCAGCGACGTGACATTTCTGTGCCACCTGAGAAGAAAAAAAGTCCCCTTAATTACACAAAATCACGCTTTTTTCTCGCTATCACAAGAATTCTTGTGAACTTTTCTGGGAAAAAGGAATTAGAAGAAAAAAACACACCATGTCTGCTCCACATTCTCACCATGGCACACGATCCCAAGCTTTCTGGGCCAACATTTCTGCACTAATTTCCCCTCATTTTGACTCGAAATTTCCCAGAGGGCAGGAAAGAACAGCCCTTCAGTCGTGGGAGGGCGAAATTGGAAGCGGAAACCACAAATTTGTAAATTGAAAATGCTTTTGTTAGAGCTGCAGCAGTGGTAATTTGGCCACAAGACAGCGAGTGAGGGTGCGTCAGGTGGAAAAGTGCCTTAAATGCCAAATTATACACCCTCAAAGTCAGGAAATTAGTATTGGGAGAGGTTCCGAATGCCATAATCAATCGAATAGTCTTTTGCGATGCAATGCATTCTAGCTACAATTTTAAGAAATTAAAATTACGCATTCCTTTGTACGCCAATTGTGAATTGAATTCAAGGGTGGAAAGAGGTAAATTGCGGAGGATTTGCAATTGTGCATATTCTATCAATTGCCATGAGTTGATGGTTTATTGAGAGACCCATTGGATCGCATTTGACCCCAAAAAACAGTGACAGAAGAGTTGATAACCTTGCTAAAACTGGGACATCGCTCAAGAGTCTAAATTGATATTTCATCTATAAATATTTGAGGGCTCCTAGAGACACGTCATTTAATTTCAAACACTTGTGTTGCGTTGATTATTTTCTCTCGTGTGTTAAACTTTTCATGGATGCCATTAATAAAATTGTTTTATGAAAACTTTAGCACACTTTTGCGCTAGCGACATTAAGTCATTTTTCTCCAGCCATTGAAGATGGTAAAGGTCAAGATTACAGCAATTTTGTCTTACATTGTCCCCAAAAAATTGCGAGGAAAGCTCGCGAAGGGCGTGAAAAAGTGGAAAATTCCTCCACAGACCAACATGCAAAGGCATCACGCGGCAATTCTTAGCAAAAAAAGCAAGAATGCCAGCTATTAATTGGCCTGAACTTTTTCCGCAGCTAATGAGCTTTCAGAGGCCAACAAAAACAAGCTCTCTTCCTTCTTCTCTTGCCAGGAAATCACTTTACTTTTTGCTCCTCCCCAACATTCATTCACGGTCGCTTCCCTTCGTGCCTCGGATTTCCCATACTTTTCTCCTCAGCCCATGGAGGAAAATTGTGCATGCGAAGGGAATCAATAGCAATGTCAATATTTTGAAAATTTATTCATAGATTTATTTGTCATGAAATTGCTCACAGACGGTAAACATTTGTAGCGTAACAATGTGTAACGAGGATACAAATCCATGGGGAAGAGCTTTGTGAATTGCGAGGGTGGCGTTTTGCGCTTCGGTTTCGTTGCGAAAAAACGACATGAAACAGGGACTGGAAGCATTCTCTTCCTCAAACGTTCCAAATGCTCGAGGACAAATTTGGCGGGAATGCCTAAAGCCCATTTATAGTTGGATGTTTTGATGAATATCTCCCTAATAAGGCAATTCAAAGGAATTCCATTTATGGGGACAATCAAATGATTTTCAAGGTATTGGGAATCCTTAAATGTATTTTATGTGATCTTTCCGAGTTCATTGAGAAAAATCGCTTCACTCAACTTCATATCGTCAAACTTGTTCATCAAGCTCAAAAAATCAATAGGAAGACTTTAAATATCTCTTTAAACTGAGTTTCAAACTATTTTTAACACTTCCACTTCGTCAAGTCACTCTTCAACCCAGTTTTTACCCACTCACCGTCCGGGATATAGACGTTGAGGAACAGGCAATCCTCATCAAACTGCCTAGGCGGAGCAGCCGTTGAACCATCACCATCGCCACTGCCTCCGCCACCCATTGCGCCCCCCATGGCCGCACTCTGGGGCGCTATCAGGGCCTGCAGCGCCTCTTCGTGCTTCCTCACCGTCCTGGTGGCACTCTGAAGGCAGTCCGGAGGCAATTGTGTGGCATTCCTAACACCCTCCCAAGCAGGCAGATTGTCCACAACGGGTGGCGCGAAGCGGTTCTCATTAATTGGCGGCTGAGCGTACGGAATCCCCAGATAAGCCACCACGGCCTGAATTCGGAACATCTTGAGATAAGTGCCCATGAGCGTGCCCTGCTCGGGGATGGTCACCATGGGCGCCTCCCTGGCGCCAAAGACCACCTCCACGAGTTGAAAGAGCAGAAAACACACGACAATCTTCACCAGAAACATATCGTCACTCCTCCTGGATTGGGGATTCACATCACGGAGGCACACAATCAATTTCCCTAAAGGAACCACCGAGGACTGCTCGCGAGCAACTCAGACATGCAACTGAGACTCACGGACGGTTTATTGCTCTTTCACCCTCTCTCGCGAGGTGGTTTTTCCACGAGCCACGAGCCTCACGCGGGGTGGCGAGACCGCCCAGTCGCGCTTCCCAAACTTTCACCCCTGCCAAGGAGGCAGTTTTGTTTGCCCAGCACTATATTGGGAGCCCAGAGGCGCCAAAACTTCCCAAAATTCCTCTGCGAACACCGTGTATTAGCCATGGTGTCGCTCGAAAGCATTAGTAATTAAATCTTTCACTACGATTGGCTATATTTTTTTACTTCTAAACTTCTTAGTGGGCGTGGCATTCAAGTGAGCGAGGAATTTGAGAATTTCGTTATCCTGTTTCTCAATTAATTTTAAGAAACTCCGTGCTGAAGATGCTGCATGAATTTTACAATTTATTTTAACTTAAAGATGGAATTATCAATAAATTCCCTTAATTAATCTCTATGAAAAGGCCACATTCGCCTAAGGATTCAAGCATTATCTTTTATTTAGATACCTAGGATGCGTCATAGTCCATGATATTCCGAAAATATAGCCAAATGTCTTCAGATTCAAGTTAAACCGCCAACCAATCCTCTAAAAACTATAAAACTTGCAGGATAATCCATTTTTCAACTAATTTTCCTACCCAAGCGACTCACTAAGAGTCCTTCACTTGTGCTTTTTCTCCTTGACTTTCAACGCTGACCACCTGCCAAAGCCATACAGCAAATTGCAGAATTGACTCACCTTTTTTCACATCCTGCGTTCCAATTCCGCCACATACACCCTCCTGACATCCTCCACCACACGGCGACTTTTATTTCTCGCCTCCGGCGTAGTCATAAAGTGAATTTGGGTTTCGAGGCTGAACACGAAACGGAAGGCGGGAGAGAAATAAGAAAAATGTTAGTTTCCATGCATGAGAAATTAATTTGGCAATTTTTCCGCTTCTTACCATTATTGTGTGGGTGGAAAGGCGTAGCAGATGGCGAGATTTGGCGATGGAGCGTCTTGTCAGTCTTCCGTGATCTCCTCCAGACCTTGAAGCTGCTTCTGATTCATCTTTTCTATGAATTCGCAGTCTTTGGCAGATAGAGGATGACCCTGGGCTTTGAGTTTCGTCAGAATGTCCACTTTCCTCTGCTCCATAATTTCACCGGAAATCTTCTTAAGCCTGAAGTCTTCATCAATGGTCAGGAGTTGCTTCTCTAGCTCTGTAGCATTCTGTTCTCCGAACATCTTTATCATTTCCAGAGTGTTGAAGGACGTGGCAATAGCTTTTCTAATCGACTATTGCAAAATTCAAAAGTGATTGTCTTATCTTTCACGGATTCTTATCACTCACTTGTTTCATTGTTGACAATTTGCTGTCCAGTGTCACATCGCCTTGGTTCATTCTCCCCAATCTCTCATTGAATTCCCTGATCTGCTCTACAGTGTCCTCTTTTACAGCCTCAAATTCCTCCTCGTCAAGATCTTCCCTAAAATCCACAAAAAAATCGTTAGGCGGGAAAAATAATCATGTAATTTGTAAGGTTATGAGGAGCCGGGAAGCTGTCTGGAAATCGGTCAAGAATTTACTTACTTTGCCTCCTCCAAATCTCTTAACTGCGCCACCAGACGATCCAGCTGCGTCTCCAGATTCTGTATCAGCATCTCATTGGCGGACATTTTTGCGAAAAACAACGCTAAAATGGATAAAATGCAGGAAAAACAGACTACACAATCCACAGGGCAGCCAACAGCTAATCGACTGTCAGTCGATGCTTTTCTGTGACTCTTTGGGACATGCTTAGGAGTGGGGATGGAGGGGAATCGAAGTGTGAAAAAGTGGAAATATCAAAGTGCGGAAATGATCAACAATCGTGTTGGTTTTTAGGGTGAAAATCAAGGGAAAAGTGTCGTGAAAATGGAATTAAGTGCGCGTGGAGATGTGTAAGATATAGTAGGAGATATTTGTGTAGTAGAATAGATATTTTGTGTATGTTTGCTCAGTGTATTTGAGGTCTTAATCCACTGAGCATTGAGAGTTCACGGTCGCGTCAACTTAAAACATGGTTAAAGCGAAGATATTGAGTGATTTTGGCGATGGCGAAGAGAAAGGCCGAAAGAGTGGCCCTCTTTCTTCACTTTTCAACATAAGTTACTACCACGAATTGCCCCAGGCTGAGGAGGAGCGCCTCGAGAAGCTGTTCAATTCGCTGGACAAGGATGGCAATGGCAAAATTGATATTCACGATTTATCCGAGGCGCTCAAGGATTCAGGATTATCACGCCAATATGCAGAAGTATTCAACATTTATTATCCTTCTATTCAAGAATCTGTCTTTCTAATGCGTTCTACCCAGTGGCAAAAGTCGTGCTTTCGAAGGCCACATCACGGGATGCGAAGAAGAAAAAAGGTGGAGACGCGAATCAATGTCATTGGCCCAAATTCTTCTAATCCGCTCGTATTCGTGTGTTTGCACACTCCATCCGCGTAATTTATACAGTAGAATCTCATGTGATCATTGAACTTCACCCTGACTCGTGCATTTTGCCATTTAAGCCCATTTTTCATATCATTTTCATCGCTTTTTCCCATGCCCTCCACCTCAAACCCCTTCAATTGTGCGGAGTGCGTCTGCGCATTTGAAGCGCTTCTCCCTCCCCAATATGGCCACATGATTCCTGTGAATTGAGAAATCACACATTTACTGCATATTGCTTTGTTTATTCATTCGCAGTTCATTTTAAACGCGCGATGTTTCCTAATGAAATCACCAGCTTCTATAAATATTTTGGGGTTTCTCCTAAAATCTGGGAGTTGCCCGTAAATAAATGTCGCACTGGTAGAAAAGACGACATTTAGGCGAGATGTGGTAGGAAACCATTTAAATGTCATCTAATGGAGGGAAATTGAAAGATATTCTGCACAAATGCACGTATTTTACGTAAATTTGAAGGCACATTTTGTGAAAGCCACTCCAGAAATATGAAACTGACCTTTCTGTTCTTTCACAGAAATTCCTGCAGCAATCTGACCAGACAGCCAGCGGCGATGTTGGCCTGGCTGAGTTTATTCACTACGTCCGGGAGCACGAGAAGAATCTCAAGCTGCAATTCTCCCATCTGGACAAGAATAAAGACGGTAGCAAAATCCTTCACGAGAAAAGCTCCTCAATTCCATTTATTTTTTGATCTATCTTTCAGGACACGTGGATTTGGACGAGTTGATAAGCGCCTTCAAAGACTTGGGCGTGGAAATGGATCCAAAGGAAGCTACAAATCTTCTTTACAGGTGAATTTCAACTCACTGCAATAAATACTTAACACTAATTACCACCATTATCTGTAATTCGATGAGGAAGGAACAACAGATTAATTGTTAAACGTTAGATTGCATGCAATCAGTCAGTTATTGCACATAAAATTATCTCTCAGGGTCGGTAAAGTAATTCTTGAATAAGCAATTGTGTGCATAGTTGCTAAGGAAAAACTACGCTACCCAGCTGACCTTGCACTCCTCCTTAGGGACATTGACACACCTTACGTGTTGCTGCAGTGACAATAAATTTTATCACCGCATCGTGAAAGGCGTGCGAATAAGCATTTTTACGATTTTTATGTAATAATACATGACTTTCCAACTCTGCTTGGGCAAGCCATGATCTCTTTTCACCAAATGCAAAATATAAAAGCGAAAGCTTTAAATTTGGACTTGATATTTTGACATTTCGATTTCGGTGAAACGTAAAATTAGCTTTTTGTCCACTCCTGAAAGGAAATTTATTCCGCAAAAGAAAAAACTCCGTAAAAAATTCGTTTTATTGTGCAGAAAATTTGAAGAATTTAATTATCCATAGAGCAGTCTTACGTTTTTCGATGTTTAGATAAAATTTTAGTCAACTTATCAACTTCAATTCCCACAATTCTCTTTAACCCTTGATCATTCTGATCGTTGACTAGGCAAATGGTAAGTTCGAGGCTAGAATTAATTTTTTTTTTCTTCTGATTATATATTCTTCGTCTACACGATTTTAGACGAGACATTATCTGAATTTTGTCCTCAAATCCGAATGTTAGCAATGCTCTTTGTGATTAGTATCCCACTTCTGAATTTTAGCACAACAAGCTATTTTTATTTGAGCTCAAAGTAACATTTTTTCTTCTATTTATTATCTCCTGCAGAATGGATCAAGATGGTAGTCTCAATATAAGTTTCGACGAGTGGAGAGATTTCCTACTTCTGGCGCCCACAACAGACATTCATGGACTCATTAAATTTTGGCGACACTCAACGGTGAGTCTGACTAATCATACTTTGAGATTACATCAGCAAAGTTTCGGGGAATGAGAATCGCTTTCACGATCCTACAATTTACCACCGTCTGCCAAGAAAAGACCGACTGAAACCGGTTCGTGCTGGTTTTAGCAATCTCGTGCCTTTTTTTTCATCTCACACTGTCGCCGGGGCGAACGAACACACGCTGAAAGGAGTTTAACTGCGGAAGATGGGTTTTCCGCAAAACCTCTCCCGTCCTTGTCTGCCGCGCGCGTTGTCGAAGGGAAACCGGTGAGATGATAAGAGACCATCATTGCAGGACGATGAGTCGGCTCGCTCTCAAATGTCTAGCGCTCTCTCGTGAGAGCATTTGTTGAGAGTGTGCGTGAGAGTTTGATGGGGGCTCGTCTGGCACACAGCAAAGTGGATTGGTCGTCCATTTGACTTTGCCCTCACTTCGAGCATGAGAAACTCGTTTCAACTTTCAACATTTGATACTTCCTCAGTGTATGAAAGGTCAATTTTCCATAAGTTTCTACTGTGGAAATAGCCATTTCTCTTGCTTTCCATATTTGATGCTGATTTTGCAAGTACTTTGATCTCTTTTGCCAAAAAATTCCACTCACCGACCGCAGAATATCAAACATTTAACCTCTGGTCGCTAAATTGATAAGAAATCTTACTTGATAAACCACAAAGGCTACACGAAATGCTTTTAGACTTATTTTTAGGAGGTGTGTCGCAGCGTCCGTTCGGTCCTAACCTATCTTTTGTCGATTTATCTCTGTCGCCATTTTTTTTGTCCTTGGGCTCCACTTTACACATTTTCTCCGCACTCATCGTGATTCTTTCGTTGTTTTCCACACATTTTCCTCTTCACTTGGTGTGCTTCTTCAGCAATATTCAAAGATAGACGGTCAAAAACATGTTATTGTTTATGCACAGATACTCTGAGAGAATATGATACTTTGCCCATTTAAGCTTTAATATAATGGGCTTTAACGACAGATGATAAGCGAAATTTCCTGCCTCTAATTGAACCTTTTTTGTTGACTTGTGTGCAAAACTAGCGCATAAAAAAGCAATAATCATTTAAATCGTGCTAGTTGTTTCTATGCCATATTTTTTTCAAATTTCATCCTAGTTTCTTGCCTTTCTCGCTCAAGTTTGCACTTCGTAAGACAAAGACTTAATCTAATATTGCGCGCTTGGCTTAGTGCTTTGCCTTTCGATTTGCTTGGTATTTCGCCTCGACTGGCAACTTCTTTTTGGGTCATTTTGTGTCGTAAGACATTTTATGGAAATATGGTTGAGGAATCGACGTCTCGTCGAACTTGTACGAATCTATTTTTAGCTGGATTTTCTGCCGAGTCTGGAGAATGTGTGGTGAACTCTAAATATTCGTTGGAGTGACCTTGATAATGCGCTTTATTTGAATGGGGAAAGTGGGATTTAAAAGGTGGAATGAATTGATAAAATACTGACATTATCCGTGGAAAAGACTGTGTCAATGTGGGTGAAATTGATGAAAAATTGATGGATTTCAAGTTGAAAATTGAAGTTTTTTTGGGTTTCCGTATTTTTAGCCGGCGCGTGGGTGAGTAAAATGTGATCAGAATGTGGGGGTGGCTCGAAAAATGTCAGATATTCTTGGAGTGTGCGCGTGAAAATGCAAATTAAAATTCCCAGAGTCTTGTGACCCCCTCGGCTTTTGGCAATAACGCCTGAGAATCTGAACAAAGTTCAGTTGACCAGAGCATTTTTATATGCCTAGTTTGCAAAAGATGCATATTATATTTCGTGTAAAAATGCCAACGCTCTCAGACTTTGAGTTCAGTATAAATTGCGCATTAGAAATTATAATGGCATAAGGGGCATAAGTTCGACTTCATTGAGTGCAACGCAATATCTAATCTCAAACAGTTCTGATTCAATAATTCTGCCATTGAGATTTATTTTATTGATCAAGCTGTATTAATTCCGCTATTCAATCAAAATCATAGAAGTCCACTTATGCCTTTATCGCTGCCCAAGTGCGAAATGTTACGTATGAGCAGCTGATTGCTCACCAACACACCGGCGGCTGGGGATTTTGTAATGGACTCTCGCACGCAAACACAGTCACACGGGGTAATCTCCGATTCACGCATGCGCTGTCTTGCTCTCTCCCACTGGCGAAAGGCATCGACGACGCCTGGAGTGGGGGGAGAGGGCTTGACAACGTTTCTCGTGTGTGTGGCGCGTGTATCAGCGGCAGAGAGCAGCGCTAGTCTGTTGCTAGGTGCCGAGCCAAGTGGTCGAGTCTGGGGGAATTGACATTCTGGGTCAGCTAGTGGCATTTCACTATAGAGTGCAATTTAATATTTCATAAACCCCACACTCGAGATCATATTTTGGTCGGCTATTCTGAAAGGAAAACAGCACTACTCTAGTGGGGAACACGGAAGAGAGATCAGTGACTGACTTCTTTGTCTGGTTCGCCCTGAGAGCGCGAAAGGGACGCCCAATCGGGCTGGGCAACGCGTGAACTCGGTGCAAGAGTGAGGTTAGGTCGTGGAAAGGGGGACTTTTTCACGATTTTTCATACTTTAGACACTCTGAGGGGAAAGGCGAAGGAAGTATAGGAAAGTGTGATTAGGTCACAAGTGTGTGCATTTTGAGTGTGATTTGGTCACGGTGACTCAAATAAATTGTGAAACAATCGTGCGGTAAGATAAGCCTGACGCCTCTCTTTCCGGGAAATCAGTCGTTACTGGTTATGGAAGCGACTGGGTAATACCCAAAAAGAGTTTCGAGCAGAAAATGTTGCAAAGACTATCCTGAAAATTTCAGAAGCGCGAGCATTTTTGCTTGGTCTGACAGTTTTGTGCTAAAAATACACCGTTAAGAAAAGGTGAGGCGAAGAGAGAGTGTGGCAAAGCCAACTGCAAATGCCAGAGACGCCACGTGCCTAAGAAAGGAAACTCTGATCGGTTTTTTTTGTGGTGCTAAGAAAAGACTCAATATACCAAATAATTCCATAAGTTAATTCGTAGTTTGTGCATTAAAAAATATATTGAATGAGTGATATTATTGGAGTGGAGCAGAATACGATAAAAATGTCTCTGGAACAAGGACCAAATATCTCCCTTGGCGGAGATCTTGAGGAATTTTATATTTTCGTGAAGGATCTTCTCGATCGGGTATGTCTTCTTTATGATATCTTTCATATTGTGTGTACACATGATATCTTTTGACACACACGCGCTGAGTGTGTAAAATTTTCCTCCAACTCTGCATTACTCATGATTTCCGATGACGTAAAAGAATGGAATTCCATTCAATTGTGCCCACTCGATCGTTCCTGCACGATCTCATTGCTGTGTGAAAGAAGGTTTTCCCCGCCACGACTTTGGTGTCAGCCAATGAATTTTTAGAAAGTCTCTCTAGGTTGATGGTTAAAGCACACTTTACAAAATTTACTTTCATTGCTCACATTCAGCTGTTTTCTCAGGGGAATTCACTGACAAAAACGCTGGGATCGAGTTTTGTTGCGTTTTGGCTGTGGTTTTCATGATGGATTTTGAAAGTTGGCCTTTAGCCATGGCGTTACCCAAAATAAATAGGATCATTCCGATCATGCCTTTAAAATCACAACAGAGTAACCAGAAAAAAGTCCAAGACGCCGCGTGAGTGCGCTGTCGTCAAAAGATGGCGGATTGGCTAAATAAAACATATTTAATGCTTTTAGTCGTGATAAGATTCGTCGTAAACACACAATAACAAACATGATTAAAACATTTTAACGGTCAGACAGGAAGATAGCTGGGGTTCTTGACGCTAATCTTGAAATTCCGACTATCAAATAATCATTTATATGTTAGATAAACAACGGACTTTGCATTTGATATACCACCAGAATTAGTTAGAAGCTTTTTTTTAAATCTCAAATCTTTTGGTTTAAAGGAAATGCGATAAACCACCAACAGAGGTGCTGCGATAGAATTTCAAGAAAATGTGACAATCATCAAGGCGTACTCAGAAAGTCCATTGACGCAGATTTTATCGTAGAAATTGGGGGTTGAGCTTGTTGGATTAATAAATGTTTTGCCTTCGCGGTGGTGCAAAGATCAGCGTCATTGTCTGGTCTGGGTTGAGGTGTTGATTTTTTCACGAGGTCACTCGTGTGTCTCTCCTTCATTTGTCGCTCCGCGAGTACGCAATTTATAATTTGGAGGAGTGTTTATTAATTGATAAAGAGTTTTTCCACCCATGAAATTTTCCACACAATTAAGTGCGGTTGATGTGTAATCTTTTCAAGCACCAGGGGAAATGTGTCAAAATTGAAGTTAATCTAGAAAGGGAGGAAATAAAATGATGCCTTATCAGTTGCAATGATGATTGTTCTCAGTGTTGGGGAATTTCTTGAAAATTTTTATTAAGCTCTCGAAAAGAAGAAAGAATGATAAAGACGATTAAGCGTAGAATGATTAGATTTTGTATTTTATATACTCTTAAATCCCGTGATCAGTGACTTGTCATTCCATTGGTTTTTTCTGTCATATAAGATGTTAATCGCCAAAATGCAACGTCCGAGACACACGCTAACCAGTCATCTGACTACGAAATGACGTTGGTATTCAGATTAATTGGCATCCATTATTACGATCTTGTTTTATCCGGTTTCTTCGGTTTTTTTCTCACAGCCTTCTTGACTGGATGATGAGGAAGGGGTATAATTGAGAATTAGCCCATTTTGCTATCTATAGAGATGAAGAATCCTTACAAGGAGCAAGCAATTGACTTGTGCGTTACACCATCGACAGACTGTATTGTGGGGAAATTGTCTCAAGTGGCTGGACACATGTGTCTCTCAGTATCAGTCCACTAAGTCACGTTGCAAATGATCAATCACGGGGCCAGGAAGTGTGAATTTACAATTTGCGCCTCACCAGAGACACTCTGCGTGAAAGAGGGACGTGAGAAAGAATTTCTAATTGAGTTTAAGGCATTTTTTGTGCGCCTCTGCGAATGGTGAAGAGCGCAAAAAAGTAATTTTCCAATTAAAGCTGCTTTGAAAATGACATGAGTCATGAACTGTGCGATGTTCAAGGAGTTTTGATGATTTAAATCGATTTTTGACGTTGATTCACATGTTAATTGTATGTCAATGGCATAAACAATTACTAATTACCTGATTTTGCATGTTTCTTACCTTGCTCTTCGTGATTTCTCACTCATTCATGTATACAATTCTGTGTAATTGCCATGCTGAGAGATTCTTTATTTTTATTCTTGATAGCATAGATTTGTTCTCAAGTCACATTAAATCTGAACTTTTGTTATGGATTTTATTCAGTGAATTGATCAATAAATATAATGAACTGTGCTTGCGTCTAGTCCCGCCCATTTAAATGCCCCGCCCTATAGAATATAATAATGTGTCCAAAACATGAATGGATTAGACACGATAGTGAAAATTAACGAGATCAAAGAAGATATGTTCAGACAAACACAGATAAAATCTAGAATAATCTGGCATAAAGTAAGTAAGCATTTGTGAATTCTGAACAAAATTACAGAACACCGCTCAGATTGAAGTTAGTATTTATTTAACAATGCATACAAATTCACTATCAAATATTAATCAAGAACTTTACCATGCCTCTCCAACTTGTAACAATTCAACATGATCACTACTTTATTCTCGTGAGTTTCCAAATAGAGCAATAATACAGTGACTTATTGAGTGGATGGAAAATTCACCTAGTGAAGAGAGAATATTCTAGAAATTGAGACAATTCGAACCGAATAGTGCATGCGCGAGAATTTTATTGCGTGACCTTTAAACTCTCTCTCTCTCTCTTCCTCTCTCTCTCCCTCTCTCGGTTTGTCGTAAATGTTCTTTTCCGAGGAGGAACATTCGATTGACTCTACATTTTGTCAGTCTATATGCAGCTTTTGGTGGGTTAAAATTCACCAAGGCATTTCCGGGGTTGAGAGACAACTGAAGAAGGAGGAAAAGAATTGAGGGACAGCCAATGTGAAATTATTATTATTTGCTGGGTAAAAAATCGATTGTGAAGTCGTTGAATGGAAAGCTGTGTGCCTTATGTGAAATGTGTGTCCTGCAGTCTTAGTGCAGTTGGGGCGCCCCAGTGAATGGATCAAATAGACTCGGATTTTTATGTGGAACTTGTCATTAAGGTCTCTTTCATTCTCATGTCTTTTAAAGTAGTTTTTCATTCGCTGCTTTTGCAGACTCAATTGTCTCTTTTGAGAGAGTCAATCGAGACATAATCATAAATATTGATAAGCAATATATCAAATTAATATGTGAAAGTAATATCCGAAATAGTGACCAATAAAACATTCGTGTGATAAAGAGAAGAATTGCCCAAGCGCGTTGTATCGATTTTCTGATAAGAGAACAAGTTTTTTGAGCCATTGAATTGCAAGTTGCGAGTTTGGGAAATACGGCAGCGTCAGAGTGACGAATTGCAAAAAGATTATATAATTCAGATCCACGAAAGCGAAGAAAAAAAAGACAGAGAATGAAGGTAAAAAGGCTGAACAACTTGCAAATTTCTTCCTCATTCCTTCAATTTTTCCACCTCTACGCATTTGTGTGGACTATTTTTGAAGAAAATCTCGTGCCTTGTGTACTTTTCACACAACACTCTTTCGCATTGATTCTATGAATAAAACGGGGAATGACAGTGTCTAGCTATAGGTTTAGCATTGAACTTGATTTTGTGTGTGTGACAAGTGGGAAGAAATTAAAATTCTTCAGCGAATTTAAGGGATTTTTTAGCTACTAATTGACAGCCTCAAGTCTTTATGAATAAGTTAGAGGCATTTATGATGAAATAACTATAATCCGTGTGTCCTCATAAACTCTCTTCCGCTTCGTGAGTGTGTGTGAGTTCCTGACAAAATATGTGGTAATAAACATTTTATACCGAGTGCTTAGAAAATGACTTCGTCCTTAAAAAAATCTGAGCAACATTTTTATAGGTATATTTTAGCATTTCTTTCCATTGAATGATCTTGAAAGTTCAATTTCTCCGTAAGTCAATGCGGAATGGATCAAACGAGGCTTTCACTTGATTGTAAAGTATTTGGTTCACTCTTTAATTGCCTCATGGTTGAATGAATAGCTCAAAGTTGCTTAAAGGTGATTCTTACTTGTGTCAAAACAGACGTTAAACAAATGTTTTGCCATAGTGGAATTATATTGTCGCACTAGATAAACGTGTTTCTGTAATCAGACGAGTGTTAAGATGAAGATGATCTGTGACGCATGACGTCAAGCAATAGGCAGATTTTCATGTTGTAACATTCATATGTTTGTGTCGTCATTCATAAAGTAACACTTCACTTCGATATTGACTTATTTTCTCTTATGAGAAGCGAGCGGATGATTATACTTGTGGAGGCGCGCGTGGCTTTGTGTGAAAAGTGGTAAATGTTGAATGAGTCCAGAGTTCATCTGGATGTTTAGTGACTGTTCTAGAATCACATGAACAGATCATGATATAACTCCGTGTCTCGCAATAGCCTAATTGGGTGTCCAGGCAATTGAGCACTTTACACAATGCTAATCAATGACTATTTTGGCACTTTTATGTGAGGAGCCATTAGAATTTTACTAATTGACGACGTGTTGTCTTCTTTTGCAGTATCTGGACATTGGCGAGGATCTCAATGTGCCAGATGACTTTACACAGAGCGAAATGCAAACGGGCATGTGGTGGAGACACTTGGCGGCTGGTGGAATTGCAGGAGCAGTTTCGAGAACATGCACAGCACCATTAGACAGATTAAAAGTCTTTCTACAGGTAAATATTGATTGTTACTCGTAGTATTGGGATTTGAATGGGTGGGCAACTCAATTAGGCGTGGTTTAGCATTGCCGGTTCTCTTTATCTGTTGGTACACAATAATCTGATTTAGCAGCAGAGTGCAAATGAAAGAATTGAGTTAAGTGTTACTGCACATGTTTGGGCCTCACTTCCAAAAGTCACTTTCTTCCAAAAGTCCACAATTGAAATCTTGCGAAATTCTCCCATGACGCAATAATGATAAATCATGTAGATTAAGCCTAATTAATATTTGCATTCTTCACGTGCGGTTCTTATCACAGAATCATGTGGTGATTTCTGATTCGCTTCCTCTCTGTGTTTGCAGGTTCAGTCGTCCAAGCAGAGAATCTCAGATTGTCTCAAGTACATGCTGAAAGAGGGAGGAGTGGGCAGCTTGTGGCGTGGCAATGGCATCAATGTCCTGAAAATCGCCCCGGAGAGCGCCATAAAGTTTGCGGCGTATGAGAAGGTGAAGCGCCTGATTCGGGGGAATGAGAAACGACAGATGAGCATCTATGAGCGATTCGTGGCGGGCGCGTGTGCCGGTGGCGTGAGTCAGACTGCAATATATCCACTTGAGGTGCTGAAGACGCGCCTGGCACTGCGCAAAACTGGCCAGTATTCGGGGATTTTGGATGCTGCGAAGAAGATTTACATGACGGAGGGCATCAGGAGCTTCTATCGGGGATACATTCCAAATATGTTGGGTATTATACCGTATGCTGGGATTGACTTGGCGGTGTATGAGACACTGAAGAAGAAGTATCTGAGCACGCAGGAGAACAAACAACCTGGTCTGCTGCTTCTATTGGCATGTGGAAGCGCCTCTAGTACACTCGGTCAAGTTTGCTCGTACCCTCTGGCCCTGGTGAGAACCAGATTGCAAGCACAAGGTAAGACATCTTCATTTAATAACTACAAGAAATCTCCTCTCACTCACATTCTTGGAGTGTGAGATTGTCTAAGAATGAGGAAAATGCGGAAATTTACTGGAATAACTCACAAAATTGTGGATGTGGGCCAAAGGTCATGTTGAATGCTGAATTGGCTCGAACTCATGCGTTTTTATGGCGCCTGACCCACTTTTGGCGTGAAAAGCTTGTAAAAGCTGCATTGACTTAGATTTTTGCTTTAAAAATGGGCGGGGCGTTTGAAGAGGCGTAGCTTTTTATAAGTTAACTTGAAGAATCAACTGTCTTTTCACTATTCGTAGTCAAAAAGCATTGACAAAACGTGGCTTATGTGTTAATTTTCATTCATATTCTACTTTTTCAGTGATCGCAGCTGGAAAAGCGGGCCAGGCACTGAGCGAGCAGCAACAGACGAGCATGGTGGGCCTGTTCAGGCACATCTTGAAGACCGAGGGCTTCCTCGGGCTGTACCGTGGCATCACGCCCAACTTCATCAAGGTCTTGCCGGCGGTGTCCATCAGTTATGTGGTGTATGAGTACTCGAGCCGCGCCCTGGGCGTCAATATGACGTGATGCAGACGCTCTCTAGACACACTAGCCCACTTTTCAATTGAAATTTATCTCTAAGTTTAGGCGAATCATGTTTTCAATCATGATCCTCGCGGATCTGAATTGCAAGAAGAAGAGAAGCCTCTCCATCCAAAATGATGCAAAGACGATACAATGAGAAGACTCTTTCATAAATGGTCGATCTCTAAGTAAAGATCAATGGAAAATACTATGAGAAAAATGGTTAACTTAACTAATTTATGATAAACAAGAAAGTAACATTAGTGGAATTTAGAAGATATGAAAAACAGCAAGAAAAACTAGACAATTTTAATCAAACTCACAAGATCTCCTGAATCGAGAAGAAATGTTAGGTTTTCTTTCATTCTAATTTACAAAAGAACTTGAGACTCTGAATAGCATGTGAAATAAATGTATTTTGTTACCGTCACGATATTTTTATTTCTTCCCTGTGGAGAATGGAAAGTTGTATTGATTGTAAAAAGACAGATGAAATGTTAAACTTTGGCATTGCATTTCGTATCTTTGTGAGTTTATTTCTTATCAAATTAATTTAACACCGAAAGTATGATTTATTTATTTATTTAAAATAGGAAAATATGAGCAAAAATTATATCTGTGGAGAGGGAAAAATCATTCATTATACTTTGCTAGGGTCATTTTTATAATTTTCTTCAATTGGCATTCGATCTATTTTGATTTAAATTTTTTGTCAATAGGTAGTAAAGATTCTGTGATGTTATATTTAATGGATTAGCAAGAATGGGAAGATTTATTGGGGAAGAGACAAAAAAAAATTCCGTACAATTCTTTAACAAGTTTCGACGAAAAACAAATACTTTGACTGTAGGATTGTAAAATGTTTAAAAACTATTCAGAACACATTGATAAATTTTTTTTAGGTAGGCCTATAAACAATTAAAAGAAATTATAAAAGAAGGAATATAATATTCTATGAATGTACCATTTTTTATAATATTTAAACTGATAAAAAATCTTTACCTCTGGTTGTTGAGAAAGAATGGAAAAATTGGTAAGATGATTGGCGTCACTTCATTCAAAAGATTTAACTAATTATATAATAAAAAAGCTTCACAACAAATTTTCTTATGACGAATATACAAAAAAAATGCTTGATAATATAATGTTACAAAAGCACATCTTCCTCGTCGAGATTTCTTCAAAGAATAATTCTCTACGTTGTGTTGATACTGTATTAATTGAATTTTTCCTCAAATAAAGTGATTTTGCCAAAGACCGGCTGTTTTAACCACTTTTACCAACATTTTACCGATTCCGAATCGGGAGGATTCGACATGCTCCGCCGGGTGGTGAATGTCAGTGAAAAGTGGTGAATTAATCTGCAGTGAGTATAGGAAAATTGACGCTCAGGGATTTGCTTCAATTTCGGAGTTGTTTGGATATTTTTCACGCTATAACTACATAAAGTTTGAAGATAAAGTTCAGGTGAGCATTATTTCAGTCGAATTTTTATTCACATATCACTTGATTAGTCCTAAAAACGCTCAGAAATGTGAGCGTGGGCGATGTGAGCGCCTCGTGTGGCGAAGTCTACAGATGCCCGAAATGGTGTTCAATTTGGTATGAAGCCGGGTGTGAATGATAAATTTTTACTTTCAGCTGAAAATGCGAGGTGGACGTGGATTTTCGCGTGGGAGTTTCCCACGTGGTGGCAGCTCGTACAGGGGAAATTCGAGCAGTTCCTATCGCGGCGGAGGTTCCGGCCGCGGAGGTTCCGGGAGTGGCTACAACGGGAGCGGAGGACGATATTATGAAAACAACTCGTACAGCTCTTCCCATGGCTCTCGATACACCGATAGCAGGTCATATGGGGGCCGAGATCACTCTAGTGGACCCCCGTTCAAACGCACTTCCAGTCATCGGGATTTTCGGTCGCCAGACAGGAAGCGCATGCGAACTGACAATCAGGTATTTTTCCGCATAGTGTTCCTTGTATGAAGGAGTTTAGGATCTAAGATAGGATATTTCGCATAGAGAAAATATTTGTTTTTCAGTCATTCTGAAAGAATTACAATTTAACAGGCCCGTTTAATCATCCTATTCACGGGAGGAAAGTCTCTGCAAACATTTTATTTCCGAGCCTTTCACTCAAAATATCTTGGCTCCTGTTTAATTATACTGACACATTGGAGCAATTTGCGTGAGTTTCGATGCTATTGTGTCGGTATGTTTAGACAGGGGCTTTGTTTTGATGTTCCTCTCATGAAGATCGTTAAAATTAACCAAGATCACCTTTTCGTTTCTTCTTCTCCACCTCGTAATTGACGAAGAAAGACAGAATTAGAGAGAATGAGATATTGATGACGTTATGGAGCTGATGGTAGAAGAATTCTCACAAGTGTAATGTAGAGACACTGATAAGGTCTCACTACTCAGCAGTAAATATTGCAACATGTGCTCAGATTTTTCCGAACAAAAATGCCCCAACTCGATATGGGCGGCAAGAATGCTTGAGAAGAGTTTGTTTGAGTTTAGCAAAGATGCGAGAAGAGATTGATGGCACATCCTCGTAATCATTCAAGTCGATGCGATTCCCTGAATTGCTGGCTTGGAATGGTTGGAGATGATGTGGGAGACTGGCGAGATGAGAGGATGGCAAAGCAAGCAAGAAATGCATGTGTGGAAATCTCTCCTGTTTGAAAATCTAGGGTATGCCACCGCCGAGACGCAGTCACGAGTCATACGGAAGCTCAGTGGATCGTGGCTACAGTGGTGGATCATATGACAAGCCCAGCCACTATCGTGGCGGCAGTGGAAGCCGCGCCGGACGTCACAGCCACGCATCACCGCCGCCATCGCGTGGCTCATCCTTCCGGAGTGGGCGCAGTGACACTCGGGGCGGCAGCACGCATCGCCAGCGCAACGACGGCCCGATGGGGCCTCCGCCGCCACGCCACAACCGCGTCACAGGCTTCCGTGGACGCGCCCCGCCGCCCAGCCGCGGCGGCGGAGTGATAAGGGCTCGCGGAGGAGTTGCCCTGGCCCGCAAGCGAATCGATATGCGCATGAAGGTCAGATCTAGAGAGATTCTGCAGCAGAAACTGGCGAGAATGAGGAGGTAGTGTATTTCTTAAGACCCCCCAAAAAAAAACAGCAGGCAAGACTTAACACGTAATTGTTTAAGACTGAAGTGTGTTCAAAAAAATATTCGAGTACAACAACGGAAAAATCTCCCAAAAAACTGTTAAAGAATAGTGGGAGATTTTTTTTCACTCAAATGCCAAAAAACAAACTTATTTAGGCGATTGCGAGATGATGAAACAATCGAAAGTGGGAAAGGAAGTGAGAGTCGAAGATGACGAGAAAGATTTCCTTTGATTCACACACAAACTTGTTGACGATAAAGAAATTATGAGAAGAACCATGTTGCATTCCTAAAACAGCTCCTTGAGAAAGCGTCCACCGACACGCACGTCAGAATCATCGACCGGGAAGAAGGAGAATGAAGAAAAGAGGATTAAAAGTGAACCGTTGAATGAAGATGACGACGATGAGAGTCAATCCAAGGCGGATGGCTCAAGTGACGCCATCGGAAAGGTAAAGTCCGAGACGGAGGCGGAAAAAGACGACGCTGACGCGACGGAAGCGGATGTTGATGGTGAGAAGGGTGCAGATGCGCCCAAGAAGAAGAATGCTGATGATGATAATCTGCCCAAGAGTCGCTTCACTGGAAAGTCCTTCATCAAGCTCACGTGCGTTCACTGCTGCTCCAAGTTTCTCACATTTAAGGTAAGGCAAATCCTCAGATATATAAAGCTAAACTCTGGAAACTATTTCAATTTCTTGGCCAGGCTTACAGCCGTCATCTCTACGGCGGAGGCCATCGACAAAGCATGTTTCGCCTGTCGCGCGAATTGAAGGAAAAACTGACGTCCATGCGACTCGTTCAGCGGAGCGAGCAGCGTGATTTAGAAAAGGACTTGACCGAGGACGAGATCAACACACGTCCACATTACTGTCTTCTTTGTCGCCTCAGCTATCGCCAAGAGAGGACTGTTCATCAGAATTCTGACGGTCACAAGTCCATGAGGCGCTTCCTGTTGCCGTACTGTGGTACGTGCAAGCTGAGCTTCAAGTCGCCAATGCTGTATGAGACCCACAGATGCTCTCTGGAGCACATCAAGAAGAAGGCTCGTCAGGATGCGGCGAAGAATCGCACGGAGAATAGCGAGGATGAATTGGAACTGGAGAACTTCACGACACTGGATTCCGTGGGGAGTGTCGATGGTGAGTGTTGAGGGGTGATTGGTGATGTTTTACTGATTATGCGTCTCCTTTGCAGAGGATCCAGACATAGCTGATCCTAGCGAGATTGAAGAACCGTCGCCAGATATCAATGTGGGTGCTGAGCATGTGAAGAAGGTGGAGACGCTGTATTGCGAACTGTGCCGTGTTTACATGTCTCACCGAGATGATCCTGAGCGTGTGTTGAGTGTGCACTGCAGCGGCCGTGGCCACTTGCGTGCTTATCTGCGCTTCAAGGAGAACAAGTCGCTGCGTCAGGAGGCAGAGAGGGTACACAGGAAGCACGAGGAGGAGGAGAAGAAGAAAGCGGCCGAGGCAGAGAAGTCGAGCAAGGATGACAGCGCTGAACAGCAGAAGGACGGCGAGGAGGAGGAGGAAGAGAGCGTGGCCAACACGACGAGCCAGAGTGATCAAAAGGGCGATGACACAGGAGATGACAAGATGTGGGCGGATGTGGATAAGGATTTGGGGGATTTGTTGAGCGAGGTGATCCCTGAAGAGGGCAATGAGGATGAAGATGACGACGAGGACTCCCACCTCAACAGTGAGAGGTTGACGAATAACTCCTCGCCATGAGTGTGAGGATCCAGGGTGAGATTGAGGACCTTTCCGGCTGATTACCTGTGTTTTCTCTCAATGCAGGTACGACAGATTCAAGTATAGTGAGAAGAATGCCGATGAGAGCCAGGAGGATGACAATGCTGCTAAGGAGGAGGAGGAAGAAGACGCCCAAACCGGCCAGGCGGATGATGATGTTAAGGAGAATGGAGATAATGCAGAAGTAGCAGCATAAGAGCACGTTCCTCTTTCAATTGTGGACAGTCTTAAATTTAATGGGCAAATAAATTTATTAGAGTTCAAAATCATCCCGAAGATCGTTGTATTCAAGAACGTGTTGTCTGATGGCCGATCCGTCCACCCAAGTGACGAAGTCTTCATTGGTCCGGGAGACTAGAAAGGCAGGATCTTTCACCACTTCAGCTCCCACTCGAACGTGGCCGTGTTCCACCAATTTTGTGGCATTCTTCACGGTTTCTGACATTTTGTCTGCAAAATCATCAGAATTAGCGCTTCCAAAATAAGCAGGATCCTAAGATCTTACTTTTAACCATAAGGACAGGTAATCTTCGGCGACAGAAACTGCTGGCTGTGATTTTATCTGCATTTCCGAGATCCCACTTCGTGGGAATCAATCCCAAGATGTATAGTTTCTCAAGCAGCTTTGAACTAGTTTCAGTTCTGAAGGTGTCTGTAGGATCAATATTAGCGATCTTCCTGGCCACCTCCCGAATTTCCCGGGATAGTTTATTGTACCTGAAGAGAGAAAGGAATTGATGAATTCCTGGAAAAACTCATTTTCACTGCCATTACATTGTGTATTCCTCCCTCTTCTGAATGTGGAACAATCGCATTATTTTATTCTCATGGAGAGTATTGTCAGCATTCCACTTTATAAAGTCCACTTTCTTGAGCAATTTCTGCTCATGATACTTTAATTTTCTCACCATTTTCACGGTTTTTCACACGCACGAGCTTGTCGACTTTTGTTTACAAACACGAGGAGTTTTGAGGTTATACTGTCAGTATCCATGCGTTTCGGAAAGTAGCCGGAAGCGCAGAAAATAAGGTTCCTCTACTTTAAGGATGTGTAGCATTGGAGAAGATGATTTTGGGGATGAAGGAGGCGCTCATTCTATGCCAGTGACAGAAAAGGAGACTCCAGCAGACCTTGGAACTTGCAAGAAGTGCGGATCTCCAGCGGTTGTGAAGCTGATCTTCAAGGAGGCTCAGTGCAAGGATTGCTTCTTGTACTACATTCGCCACAAATTCCGTGCCAATTTGGGCTCCACGAAGATCCTCCCCCGCAACTGCAAAGTGTTGACAGTATTCGATGGCAGTGCCGGCAGTGTCTGCCTTCTTGACCTCGTGATAACTTCTCTACGGATGGACAACCATAAGCGCCTGAACATGGATCACTGTGTGGTATTCTTGGATGACTCATTCCTGACAAAGAGAAAAGAGAGTATCAATAAGGTTGTCCAGCAATTCCAGGAGGAATTCTACTATATCTCACTGGCAGACGATAGCAACACTCCCAAGAAATGGGAAGCAGAGGTAGAAGTCTCCAATGACGAAGCATTTCTGAAGATGAGAATGAACTTCTCAAGTCAGACAGCTTGGGAGGACTTTCTTGAGCAGCGTAGGAAGAATCTCATCCGGAAAGTGGCCAAGAAGCTCAACTGCAGTCATGTCTTTCTCCCAGACATAACAATAGACCTTGCATCAAGCCTTCTGAGCAATATTTCGCTGGGAAGAGGATCTTCTGTGGCCTTGGATGTGGGATTCATCGACGATCGTGATCCTGAAGTTACGCTTCTGCGGCCAATACGAGATCTCACAATGAAGGAAGTTGAAAATCACATTCGTGTGAGGCAATTGAAATGCTTACAAGCAGCGGCTTCAGATTCCCAAGGAAGCATTCAGAGTTTGACTGAGAAATTCGTGCTGAATCTGCAGGAAAACTTCTCCGCTACTGTGTCTACAGTCTTCCGGACGGGGGACAAGCTTGCCCCAAAGAACTTCTCAGACGGAAATTGTGTTCTGTGTCAGTCGAATCTCGACTGGAAGGGATCTAGAACCTTGAGTGCAGTGGAGTTCTCTAGCACAGTCTCAACGGGAGAGGAAGTGGCACCCAGAGATGAACAATATTGCTTCGCATGCCAGAAAATCATATCAGACTGTCCAGGAATTTCTCAGTACATCATCAAATAAAGACCAAGATAAAGACGGTTAATTTTCAATACGCGCGTTCCGAAATTCCCGATTCATTTGACACCTCTTGGACGATTGCAGCGCCGCCCCTTCACTGTTTCTTCTCCGCAGATTTGCTGATTTTCACTGTGAAAAAAGGAGTGGAAATTTCCGTGTAGAAACACCGCAAATCCTAGTGAAAATGTAAGTAAAATGTGCTTTGGTGATTGAAGTTGCTTTTTCCATTGCGGACCCTCTGGTGAATGTGTGGGATTTTGTGTACAATTGAGGGAAATTGAGGGGCTCCGCCATTATCACAATCGCCATTACGTGTGTGTCTTCTTCACCCAGGTACGGTCGTGATCGTCATGGAGGAGGTGGATTCCGGGGCAGCAGCGGAGGCCGAGGAGGTCGTGGAATGGGATCTGGTGGCGGTGGCGGCGGAGGCGGCCGTCCGATGGGCGGTGGTGGAATGGGCGGCTTTCGGGGTGGTAAGAAACCGATGGATCTCAAGTCCAAGATGAAACAGCCCGGAGATCGTTTGAGACGTGTCCGCTGGGACACAGCATCGCTCACTCCATTCCGCAAGAACTTCTACCAGCCGCCACTGAGTGCAACCAGCCGCTCGGCATCGGAGGTGGACAGGTATCTGCAGAAGAATGAAATTACGGTGAAAGGGCGCGAAGTTCCACCGCCGAATCTCGATTTTATGGACAATGGGTTTCCCAAGTATGTCGTGGATGAGATTTTGAGGCAGGGATTTAGTGCGCCGACCGCCATCCAGGCTCAGGGATGGCCCATCGCCATGAGTGGCAGGGATATGGTTGGCATCGCCCAGACTGGGTCTGGCAAGACTCTGGCCTACATGCTGCCGGCGTTGGTGCACATCGGGCACCAGTCTCGTCTGCAGCGCGGCGACGGACCCATTGCTCTCGTCTTGGCGCCAACACGAGAACTGGCTCAACAAATCCAGCAAGTCGCTGGGGATTTCGGAACGTGCACTCACACCAGCAACACTTGCATCTTCGGGGGCGCTCCGAAGGGGCCCCAGGCGCGTGACCTCGAACGCGGTGTGGAGATTGTTATCGCAACGCCGGGAAGGTTGATTGATTTCCTCGAGCGTGGCACCACAAATCTCCGGCGCACAACTTATCTCGTGCTGGACGAGGCTGACAGGATGCTGGACATGGGCTTTGAGCCACAGATACGCAAGATTATCGAACAAATCCGCCCAGATCGCCAAGTGTTGATGTGGAGCGCGACGTGGCCGAAAGAGGTGCGCAATCTGGCTGAGGAATTCCTTGACAATTATGTGCAAATCAATATTGGAAGTCTCGGTTTGGCGGCCAATCACAATATCCTGCAGATTGTGGACGTGTGCGAGGAGTACGAGAAGGAGGGGAAGCTGATGAAGCTACTGGCGGAGATTTCGTCAGAGGGTGAGACGAAGACCATCATCTTTGTGGAGACGAAGCGTCGCGTTGAGGAGATTTCACGCATAATCAATCGCAATGGTTGGCGTGCGTGCTCGATTCACGGTGACAAGTCACAGCAGGAGCGCGACTACGTGCTCAGTTCATTCCGTAGCAACAAGCATGGTATCCTTGTGGCCACTGACGTCGCCGCACGCGGACTGGGTGAGTACATGAGTGTCCCTTGCAATCCTCATTCCCGAAAAAATGCGCAATGTTGCATCGATAGATAGTGAGAAAGGACCTCCGGCTCTGATACAGCGCAAGGAGGATTCTTCTCGTCAGTCAGATGTGTGGCCGAGATCTGTTGAGTCCCCAGAGATTTGTCTTTCTCAATATCCATCAAAATTTCCATCCAATATCTTTTTTTTATCTTTGTGTCCGGAGCAGGATGAGTGTGACAGGATTGGATTTTGCCGAGAGATGTATGAGTAGGGATGTAAACCAGTGACTTGCAGTGAAAAATTGTGTCTTTTCGATATAATTCAACTTAAGTGCCTTGACTTGATGAGCAATGGATATTTGCAAATTGAACAAATGCTGCAGAGAAATCTTAACAAAGGTTCAAATCTCGCTGTGAACAGACACTATAAAGAAAGTAAAGCAATATCATAGGATAAAAATTCTACTATTTTTTCAGATGATAAGGTTTGATAAACCATTGAAGACAAATATGTTTTCATGGGAATTTTATATCCTGTAGAAAAGAGAATCCTGAATTCTGCACTACAGATCACACAAACAAAATGTGTCTTTGTTTTCAAGCGGAGTTTGAGGTTTGAGATTTAAAAAAAAAATCATCTCTTTTGTATATCTAGTGCCCAAAGACTTAAAAATAATTATCACCGACGTATCTGTGACCAGATTTGAACTCTTAACTTTCAATGAATCACCAAACATGCAGCGTTTGGTCAATTAAAGTGATTATTAATAAGTCCATTGCGACTAAAGGGAAATAAGGTTCTATTAACGAGATAATAAGTGAGTGTTTGTGGCAAGTGTTTTAAGATATTGTGATACTTTTTAGCAACATCGATACTTGTACATCTTTCCGACCATTTATCAAGAGGATTGATTTTTACCTTACTTCCTTGATTTTTGCAAAAGTATAAATCCAACAAGAAGCGCTCGATTGTTCTCCTGCCATTGTAGATTTGATATTAAGTGTAAGAAGAGACAGAGAGAGAGACATTGTTGTATGTTGGTGATGAGAATGAGCATCACTATGGAAGAAGTGTCAGCCAGAAAGGGAAGATATCTCTTGGAGAATGTTCACACACCAAAAACTCTAACTGTATCAATATCTTCTGAAAAAGGAATCCTTTTGATTCAACTTCAACGTTATTCAACTCGTGATGGCAATATTTCCAGTATTCACGCCAATTTTAATAGGTTTTTTTATTCAAACTGTGTACAGATAAGAGCAACAGTGTGAATGAGAATGCGTGAATGTGATTTCATTTCAGCATGTTGGATTAATCACACTCGTCAATTAATCTCCGAGGGAATTTAAAAATGTTGTCCAAGGGGTTTGTCGAGAGGATTCAGGTGAAAAAAGACAGGCTATCGATTGAGCAAAGAAAAACAGACCATCACAAATCGTAAGTCAGACAAAATATGTTAAGTATTCCTTTTAGTTTAGAGATCTTTAGATTGTAAGTGAAGTTTGAGGGAAAGTGTGTTCCTCAACAAATCAGTGAATACTGGGAAACTTCGAGTTACAAAAAATATGAAGATATAATCTGTTGCGGTGGTGCTTAAATATAATCAAATATTTACCAATTGGCCTCTGAAACTACAAAAAAATATATTTGAAAAAGAAAATATTTGACTATAGTGGAATCACTGCGGCAAATTAGGTGGAAGAAAGTGCAGTTTGCAGTTGTTGTGTGGCAAAAAGTATGAGGGAAAAGTTTCTGATACGCTCTTTCTCCAAATGCGGATACGAACTTTTCAAAGTGCTGACGCGAGAAAACAAAGGCATTTTATTGTGGTTTGAAGAGTGACGCAAAGACTCTAATCGCGATAAGTCTGTGGAGACTTGCTCGTATTATTATTTATTAAAGTGCCTTTAAATATAGATTAACAATTCTAGCATAATTTAGTTGTTAATGAAGTGATCTTAACTTCTCTTCATCGATAAAAAAGTGATACAGACTCCCGGCCAATTATTTTGACTGACCTGTTTATATGTATCTTAACATGAACTATATAAATATGCATTAAAAACAACAAAGAATTTAGTGTTAAGATTATGTTTTCTGTTTATTACCAAAACAAAAATGAAGGAGAATACCAAATTTGTCGTGTTCTGTTGTCTGACTTCTACAAAAGCTTCTCTCTTTCTGCCGCATTATGTTTTTTTTTCTTTAAATAATTATTGTTAAGATATAAAAATGATTATTTTTAGACGAAGGTATGTATGATAAGCTTGGATTTATTTTTAATTAACATATTGCTAAGGTGAATCTTAATATTTGGGAGAGAAGGCAAAGACAGAAATCTGACTACGCTACATTGTAATCTCTTTCATGCTAGGCTTATGAAAAAAAAGAAAAAAAAACATTTTCATTTTGCATATCTTTTATATATATATATATATAGAGTTTTGTGTATAAGAACAAGATTATTTGTTGTTTTTAGAGAAACTTAATACAAAATTGATTTCTTTTCTTTATAATCAACTCTTTTCGCTGAAAGTAATTGACATTTTGTTGTTTTGCACCTGGATCTTCTCCTTTAGATGTGGAAGACGTGAAATTTGTAATCAATTATGATTACCCATCGAATTCCGAAGATTATGTTCACCGTATTGGTAGAACGGGACGTTCTAATAATACGGGAACGGCCTATACGCTGTTCACGGGCCAGAACTCAGGAAAGGCGGCAGATCTCATTAGTGTCCTGCAGGAGGCTAATCAAGTGAGTCCTTTTGTCTGTTGGCATGAAAGTCGCTTCCTAAATTGATCTTTTTCCTGCTTTCTTTAGGTGGTGAATCCAAAGCTGTTCGACATGACCAAGGGCGGATATAAAGGTGAGATCTTACTCAATTTACATGAACAATTTCTCTCAAAAATCCCGCCGACTTGCAAACCATGTCCAAAGACTATTCATTGAAAGGGAAATGAGATGAAAATGACATATTTTGGAACATCTTTGGCGAGCATTGAAGTTGTGGACGATGAATTAATGATCTGTTCTCTGCTGCTTTCAGGCCGTCATCGCGGACGTGAAGGTGGTATGGGCCGAAATGGTCCTGGCATGCGAGGCGTCGGTGGATCACTGCGCGGAGGCTCCGGCGTGGGCGGAATGGGCGGCATGAAGCCAGGCCGCGGCGGCGGAATGGATCGCATGGGCGGTGGAATGCGCCAGAGTCGCATGGACGGCGGCGGATCGCGGTCGGACAACAACTTCGAGTCGCGCGATCGCAGCCGCAGCGCGATGGGCGGCGGTGGCTCCAGATTTACTAATCGCGACCGCGAGGCTAACGGCACTACGCAATACGGTGGCGTGGCGTATCAGACGATGTCGGGTGGTGAGATGGGTAAGTTCGGCGGTTCCGGGGCGGCGTTTGGCACCTCAGGTAGCGCCAATTACGCTAATGGTGGCTACGCTGCCACCGCCGGCGCGCCCTACCCCAAGCCACCCGTGCCGGCCGCTGCATATGGCGCCACTCAAGGGGCCGCGGGCTCCGGAGCCGCCGCCTATGGCAACTACAGCGTCATGCCACCCAACATGTTCGCCTATCCGCCACCTCCGCTCCCAGTGAAGAACTAAGACGGAGACATTCTCACCCACCGCGCGCTCAAGAAAAAGGGCTCTCCGAACTACATTAAGTGGTTTCTGTTTCCTTTCTATCCTAATTTCAAGTTGTCTGTATCGCTATTCAGTGTGGCGAAGTGTCTAGAGAGAGGACATGAAACTTCCTGGCAGGACGGAAATGTATGTGAACTTGTGCTACAGGGACAGGAAGTCTGTTTTGTAACTCTGTGTAAATCTACAGTACATTCTAGAGAAGCCACGGCGTGTGCAAATGAGATGCAATTTAACCAGGAGGATAAAATAAACCATTCACAGTTGAGATACAGGGGAAGAGAGAAGAGTAGGCGTAGCTAAACTAAATGAAATAATTTATGAATATATAAAAATGATGGTTTTTTCACAATATTCCTAATGTTAGACTTAAGGATGGAGGATGTTTGGTGGATGTTCGAAGGATTTTAAATTTTGGGGTGGCCGCGAATGAAAGATTTTGATTTTATTTTGTTTCATTTATTTCTCAAAAAAAATCAAATAGCAGTTTAAATGGTTTAAATCTCCTCAACATTTTAGCTGCTCTCTGGCTTATTTTTTCGTTATTTCTCTCTACAATTTACTGTAGTGTGTGTGTGTGTATGTGTGTTTGTGTATGAATGTGTGGAGAAAGTTTTTGGAGAGAAAAGAAAGATATCAATATGCAAGAGAAAAAACTAATGTAGTAAGTTTTTTTCATCACTATAATCTCTATAAATCAATTCATTAGATATTTTCACTAATTTCTGCTCCTCTGAATTTTTGCGATGTTTTTCCTCTACAGAAAACAAAGTTAAATTGAGTAGATTAAAGACGTGTTCGCGAAAACTGCGCTTCTTCATTTCGAATAAACAACCATGATAAATGTGAATGTCACGATAAAAGTATTCCTCTTTCTTTTTAGCGATCTCTTCTCCAAATTTTATTTATATTCTGTAGATGCAAAGAGTAAAGAATAAATAAAAATTTCCAGAGATTTAATAAGCATTGTCGATAATTTATTTTGGCTGATCTCAGGGTATTTTTTTTGTCATGAACATTCAACACTTTTTTTCCTTTTTTAATACTGCACTAGAGAAAATTTACTTTAGAGATTTTCCTTCACTCGCGCGCTTTCATTGTGTGACTTGAGAAAGTAAGAATTATACAATAGTAGAGTTACTTAAAAAAAAACGAATAATCTACAATTAAATTGATTTACAAATTGAAATTAATATCAAACTAAAATTTTTCCGCAATTGATTATCGTGCTGGTCTATTTTGCCTATCATACACGCCACATTGTTGCTCTCTTTCCAGTAATTTTACATACACTCACAGTCTATTTTTCATCCTTGTCTATTGTGTTCTCACGTTATAATATTATTTACTATAAAAAAAACTACTTTTTGTCTCTCCTTTCCAAATTAAATAGCTCAACTATCTATCATTCTTATGTTTCTTCCTCCTTTAAACGGTCCCCGCTTATTTTCATTAACAATTCATAGTCGCATTCCGGCTAAAATTTTAAAAATAAAATTATATATTTCTGTGTGACATTCTTCTTATTTGGGCAAAAGAGTGGATAAAAAATATATTACTACAATTAACTAAAATAAAGAATAAATAAATTGAGAAAGGGTTCTTTTTCATCTCGCTGTGTTCAGTATTTTCCGGCCTTTTTTTCGAAACTATGAAATTCCTAACGATATACAATTCCTTAAGTCGCATTCTTTACACCTTTATCCTCTCGCCGGAGAAGTTCACCTTGTCCAGGTAGCCCGTGTGCTTGGCCGCACTCCCGACGCCACTTCGGCTGCTCAGGAGACTCGCCACGGCGCCCACACTCGCGCCGCCGCTGTTTGTCGCCTGGCCCGGCGTTGTGGCCATGCTGGTGGACATGTTGGCAAGCAGAGCTTTTCGGAAGTTGTAGAAGCGCCTGGACAAGATGCTGCCGCCTCCTATGCGTCTCAATCTCATGCAATTCACCTGACACGGGCGTGGAATTGCGCTGTGCCACGTGTCAATGTCCGGGAACTCCTCAGTGGGATCAGGTGTGACTTCAGGCTCTTCCTTCACGCCCTGCCGCCTCAGGAGATGCAGCTTCGAACGCTGCACTTCCCGCCGAGCACGATTGGACAGTGTGAAGAGACTCGTGTCAACCGAAGGCTGGGAAATTTGTCCAGACGCACTCAAATTCATCACACTGATCATCGACAGGGGCACCGTCACGGTGAGTTGCTGCTCCGGTGCTTGGCTGATGCTCAACAGAGTCTCTGGCGGCGCTTCAGTCACAACCTCCTGAATAGGTGGAACCGGAGGCTTCCTCTTCGCCTTACCGCCCAAATTACTGATCGTGTGCTCCCTCTTGAGTTTGTTCAGTGTCACCGAACAATCGGTGAGCTTAATATGCATTTGTGGTGACTCCTCGTCCACATCTTCGCCATGCCTGAGCGGCGATTCCATCAGAGCTGCGCCACAACTCGAATTGGAATTCGATGCTCCACTCAAACTCTTCCGCTCGATGTCGAAGCTGGAGGAGGAATTGCTAGAGTCTGCATCTGGCTGAACACCGCTCACACTTGTGCGTGATCTCGCTGCCCTGGAATTTCTGTGCTCCAGCAGTAGCTTGTCAAACGGCACCGTTCGGCCTGTTACTTGTCTCCTTAGCGATAATGCATGAGACTTGCAAGTCAGTGTTCTCGTGCATGGCTTCCCAGATTCCACAGGAACCCCACAATGTCTGTCCGGATCATATTCCCTCTCCTTCGCCCCCGCCTGTCGGCCACGACCTCTCCCAGTGCCACCTCTCCGCACCACCGAAGCCTTCACTGTGTTCGATATCAAATTGTCCGAATGCAGGAGACTGTCCAGCGTCTCAATGCTGTCCGGGTGCGAAGGCGCCGTGGTGCCTTTGGAAGGACTCGTGCCGTGTTGCAGTATCGTCAAGCCACTCGACATGCACGCCGTTGCCGTCATCGGTGGCTTCAACTGACTGTCCAGACACCCTGTCGACACCTCTTCCGCCCCATCCCCTTCGGTCCAGGGCTTTCCCTCTGTCCACATCACCTGCACCTCAGCCGAGTCCGTGGCGTGACGATTCATGTGCGCCTGCAGAGCCTGAGGCTTAACAACACTGCCACAGAAGTGACAGACAACCGCCGTGAAGCGATCCACCTCCACTGGCAGTTCCGTCCCATCCAGACTAATAACACTTCCTCCGCCATCGGCTCGATCTTCAGCTGAAAAACAAACACATCGTCAATACTCTCCACGTTAAAATACGCTCCACACTCACCTTTCCTCTCAGCTTCTCGCGTCTGATCCACGCTTCTGAGAAATGTCGTCCACTTCTGCCCTTTGAAAGACATCAAACTCCCAGGATCACGCACCTCCAATCCCTCAGCCAACAACGAAACCGTGGAACCCTTCACGTGATTCACTGCCAGCGGCGGTTTCAGTTGATTCTCCTCCATTTCTGTGTGATCTGTCCATGCAACAGCCTGAAGGGCAGTGGCAATTGCAGGATCGGCGGCGTGACGTCGAATGTGGGATTTGAGGGCTTGAGGCTTCACCACAATGCCACAATAGTGACACACGACAGCCGTGAAGCGATCAGTCTCCGGACACACCCCGTAGATCGACATCTCTCTACTGTCCAGACGCATCACGCTGCCTCCGACGTCTTCTCGATCGTCGCCTGGAGAAGGATCACAATAACAAGATACATGTAAATTTTTGTATTATCTACCAACTCTGCTAATGTGTCTGTACTATCAGTATCCTAAACTAGTGATCTGCACTAAGTAATTGTTATTTTAGAAAAAAATATCAAGATTTGCTCAGCAATCAGAGAACCTCTAAGATCGATACTTTGATCGTCAGTGATCCGATCAACACAAAGAGTGATCATAATCGGATTTACTTTTATAACTTTCCCAGAATTCATATATTATTTCTATTATGCTTACTAAGATTCTTAATCTTCCTCACTTACACAACGCTTTGTTAATCAATGTGACGCAAAATTGATTTGTTTATTGAGGTTTATCGCCAGTATTTGCTAGATATATTAAAAAAGATTTGATCGTCACTGTCCAAATATTTGCGGAGAAAACTGCAACATTTCAGCATGTGTGATTTTTGATAAGCGTCTGTTATTCTGTTGCATTTTTACCTGGGATTTATCAGTCAAAAAAGCCCCACTCAATCCTATCTAGCAATTCTAACAAAGAATCGCGCCCAAGCTCATCAGCGTACCTCTGCGCTCCGCGTCCCTGAGCGTGTCAGCACTCTCGGGAAAGGAGCTCCACTTTTGCCCCTTGAACGAGTGCAGACTGCCTTGGGGTCTGGCCATCGGCGGGGGCGCGCCGCGGATGGGTGTCACCGGGGCGCGCACCTTCCGGACCATGGGCAGCAGGCCGGAGGGCCCCGAGCTGGGACTGCTGGAGGGAATGGCGGTGGTCTGTGTCATTCCGTACATCACGTCCGTGGCCTCGTCGTCCCTGTGGGAGTCACTCTGGGGGCTGCGGAGGACAGGGCGTGTGTGTGTGTGGCCTTCTCGCCAATCCAACGGCAGTATGTGCCTCTGTTTGTGATGATCTCTGCAAGAGTTGCGAGAAAAATTGTTGGTACTCTGATGGCGAGACTTGGGCAGCTTGTCGCCGCCTCGTTTGGCTCCTGGCCACTCACTTGTTGCTGTCACGCTGTCGGTGGGGATGCTATGGGCACCTGAGAACACCTGAGATCCAGCAAAACTTCACAAAAGATCCCAAATATTGAGCGTTTTTCCCTTCAGTCTCTCTTCTCTCACGCACACACACGACACTCGCGAGGAGCGAAGTGTCAACTTTTCACTCGCATTGGGCAAACACCCAGGCAAACTCCTCACATTTGTCCCAGTGACGGGCCGAATCACCACCTTTGGCACTCTCCCGAGGGTGAGGAAGCACGCGAGATGGAAACTGTGGGGCACAGTGGCTGGTGGAAAGTTTCCTGTGCGAGAAAAATCCTCGCCTCCATGAAACACACTTGACAACTGCCTCTTTGACAAACTGTCACTGGGGTTGCCCACTGCGACCATCAAATCATGGCCATTGGAGTGAGGGAGACAACCACAGTTTTCCGTGACTTGCTCTCCTGCTTCTGAGGGCGTATTAATGGAAGGTGGCGCTGGTAACTGTAATGAAATGTCATGCCAATGCTAATATTAATAAAGTCAGTAGCTTGCCAGTAATCGTGGCGTTTAGACCAACTCGTTACATGGTGGCAGCGAAAGAACCCAAGTAAAGTCCAAGGGTAAATGAACGAGGATCAGGACCAGGAAGATCCCGAAGAACACTGGCAGATGGCCGAAGAACAGCAGGAGAGGCCCAGGAGTTTCGGGACAAAGCCGAAGCCTTTGGAGCTGGGAGGAGACGTTAAAACAAAATGGCGGCTTTGGAAAGCGTCATTCAAATGGTATGGAAAAACCATTAAGCTGAATACTTTGCCCCCGGAGGACCAAGTCGCAACGCTTATGTCCTGCTTGGGAGAGCAGGTGATGGACATCTTTGAGGGATTTGCGCTGACCCCGGAAGAGGAGAACAATTTGGAGATCGTGAGGTCGCGTTTCGACGACCATTTTGACGCGCAGGAGAATCCGGCGTACGAGACGCACGTATTCAACACGATGGTGCAGGAAGAAGGTGAAAAGATGGTTGACTACATAAGCCGAGTCAAAGCACAGCTGCAGAGATGCCAATTCACGGAGACTGGCGCGGAGATGCAAAACAGATTGCTGCGAGACAGATTGATTGCGGGAGTGCGGTCAGAGATCTTGAGAACAAAGCTATTGGAGGACAAAGATCTCACGGCCGTGAAGACGATCCAGATGTGCAAAGCTTTTGAGCAGGCTGTGGGGCACAGCAAGAGGATGGAGGGTGCATCTAAGACTCGTGACAGTGGTCAAGCTGAAGTTAATGCTGTGGCGAAGAAGTCCGGAAAATCTGGGTCGAGTGGAGCTCCGATAAAGTCCTGTCAGTGGTGTGGCCGGGAGCATCGTCCCAAGCAATGTCCAGCGTTTGGCAAGAAGTGCCTCAAGTGTCAGAAGACCGGGCATTTCGCCGCAGTGTGCAAGTCTTCCGTGAGTGCTCAGATGATTGAGGTGGGAGAAGACGCCGCAGAAGACAGCGAGACGAAAGCTGTGGACTCGTTGAATATTTTCTCAGTCCGAGGAAAGGAATGCGCTGAATATTGGACGGAGACTATTCAGCACGAAGGTCAGTGTTTTAAAGTTCATATTGATACTGGGGCGGAATGCAGTGTGATGTCCGCCAAGACAGTCGCCAGGCTTGGCATCAGGAAGATTGAGAGATCGTCAGTGAAGGTTCTGGCCACATACAGTGGGCATAAGATCGACGTCAAGGGCTGTGCAATGCTGCCGTGCATGGTTCGAGGGGTATGCTGTGATCTGCGCTTCCAAGTGATTGACCAGAACGCGACTACGATACTCGACGGCAAATCGGCTGAGAAAGTGGGGTTAATTAAGCGCATAAACAACGTGACGATCGAAAGTGGAGTCTTTGAGGGACTTGGAAAGCTCAAAGACTTTGAGTACGACATTGACATCGTTGAGAATCCGAAGTTTGTGATTCATCCAGCCAGATCCATCCCGTTCAGAGCACGAGAGGCTGTCAAGCGAGAGCTGGACAACATGGTGAAGCTGGATGTTATCGAGAAGTGCCTGGAAGCCACAGATGCTGTATCCCCGCTAGTCGTGGTGCGTCGCAAAGGAAAGATACGCATCTGTGTTGACCTGACGGACGTGAATGTAAACGTGAAGAGACGCCACTTCCCGCTGGTGAGTTTAGAAGAAATTGCAACTCGCTTAGAGGGCAGTAAAGTGTTTACGCTTTTGGATTGCTTTAAGGGGTTTTGGCAAATCGTCCTGTCAAAGAAGTCCTCCCGGATTTGCACGTTCAGTACGCCATGGGGGCGGTACAGCTGCAAGAGACTTCCATTTGGGCTGGCGTCGGCTCCAGAGCTATTCCAACAAATCATGTCAAATGTACTGGGCGACATGAGCAACGTTGAAGTATCCATGGACGACATACTGATTCATGCGAAGGATGAAGAGACCCTGAAGACGGTTACTGAGGAAGTAATCAAGCGACTTAATGACAGTGGGTTGAAATTGAATGCTGAAAAGTGTGTATTTAATCAGAAGTCGCTTAAATTTCTAGGCCACGTAGTCACGAGTGAGGGCTTGCGAGTCTGCCCGGATAAGGTAGAGGCAATCGAGAGGATTCCTCCGCCGAGGAACAAAGAAGATCTGCACACATTCATTGGAATGGTTAACTACTTGGCTAAGTTCATTCCGAACTTATCGCAATTAAATGAACCACTCAGACTGCTGGGAAAGATGGACGCTGTGTATCAGTGGGAGGCGGAACATCAGGAGAGCTTTGAGGCCATCAAGAAGAAGCTTGTAGAGGCGCCTCTGCTGCACTATTTCAAGATCTGTGAACCAGTCGTGCTGAGTGTGGATAGTTCGTCGAGAGCATATGGAGCGGTGCTATTGCAAGACAACTGGCCAGTGGCGTACGCTTCAAGGAGTCTGAGCGATGCAGAAAGTAACTATCCGCAGATAGAGAAGGAGGCAGGCGCCGTCAGATTTGGGTGTCAGAGGTTTCACGACTATATTTGGGGAGCGCCACTCACCATCGAGACAGATCACAAGCCTCTAGAGACTATCTTCAGGAGACCATTAGTTGACGCGCCGCCAAGATTGAAGCGCATTCTATACGACGTGAAGCCTTATGCACCAACTGTGGTGTATAAGAAAGGGAAAGACATTCCCGTAGCCGACGCCTTGAGCAGAATTTGCTCGCCCACAACGGAAGTCAATGAAGAACTGAGAGATGAAATGGAAGTGTGCGCGTTCACGTGTCTAGAGCAGTCAGCAGAGGACAGATATAGAGCAGCAACAGCTGACGATGAAGTGCTTGCGTGTGTCCTTGAGTACGTCCGGAAAGGCTGGCCGGACAGCGAGCATGAGGTGAAGAGAAGTGTCAGGGAGTACTTTTCGTTCCGTGAACAGTTGTCTATTGTCGATGGATTGCTCTTCAAGGGAGAGAAGATCGTAATACCAGAGTCGGAGAGAGCAAATGCGCTGAAAGCAATCCACGAAGGGCACTGTGGAGTGCAGGCCTCAATCAGACGCGCCAGGGAGTTCGTATTTTGGCCTGGCATGGCAGCCATGATCAAAGACTACGTGGAGAAGTGCAAAACCTGCTTGGAGACACAGCCGGCGAAGAAGAAAGAGGAACTGCTGCTGAAGAAAGTGCCAGAATACCCATATCAGATCGTGGCCACGGATCTATTCCACTACGGAGGGGAGGAGTACATCGTAGTGGCAGACTCCTTCAGTGGATTCTTCGAGTTTCGGCGCCTGAGAGACACAAGCTCAGACGCGGTAGTGGAATTCCTCAAAGAGCAATTCGCTGCTCATGGCTGCCCGGAGATCCTGGAGACTGATGGAGGCCCACAGTATTCATCAAAAGTATTCTCGGAGTTCGCCAAGAAGTGGGGGTTCCGTCAGGAGAAATCTAGCCCCAGATTTCCGAGAGCCAACGGCCTGGCTGAGAGATATGTGCAGATCGCCAAGAAGATGCTCAGGCGATGTCAACGAGAGGGAGAAGACGTGCGCCATGCGTTGCTGATGGCTAGAAATACTCCGAAGGAAGGTCTGGGTTCTCCAGCAGAGCGCCTCATGGGACGGAAGACGCGCAATGGGCTCTGTGCAGCTAAGAAGCTCGTGACGCCGGAGACAGCATCAACAGTTGCGTCACGAATCGAGACAGAGAGGCAGCAGCAAAAGAAGTACGCTGATCGAGGGGCTCAGACATTCAAGGAGTTGTCTGAGGGTCAGCGAGTGATGCTACAAAATCCGGATGGCACTTGGAGCTCCGGAGGAGTGAAAGCCAGGAAGGGGCCGCGCTCCTACATTGTAGCGCTTGACGATGGCCGGGAGTTGTGGAGAAATAGCCATTTTCTCAAGCCCACCAACGTCACCACAACCATCATTCCCGATGACTACCGCAGACCAGTACAGATGCCGGAGAAGAGCTTGCTGCAGAGCTCACAGTCCCAGTTTGAAGCTCTGAGCGCGCCAGAAGAGCAGCCACAAGTGCCACGAGACTACTCAGCAGTCGGAGAGAAGCCAAATTCCCTCCCAGTACAGTCTCAAGCCTCACCGCAAAACAGGAGTTCACTTGTGGAGCAACCCAGATCAGCTGTTGTCGTTTCCGGCGTTCCAGAGGGAGGCAGAGGAGATGGACCATACATTACACGCTCGGGCCGAGCTGTGAAGAAACCCGACAGACTGGATCTCTAACTTAAGCATGACACCCCCTAATAGAGTCACTTAATATTATTCACTAATTTAATTGAAATTTGCCAATCTGAATTTATCGAATTTATTTGTTATCCAAAAGAGGGGAGATGTAATGAAATGTCATGCCAATGCTAATATTAATAAAGTCAGTAGCTTGCCAGTAATCGTGGCGTTTAGACCAACTCGTTACAGTAACAATAAAGAAGACAAATTTAAAGAATCATGCGGAAATTTCAGTTATGATAAAGGGAATAAATAATAGCGCAAATTCACAAGATTGAAGAATTTCTCATACTCATTTCAATTCTATCATGCTTTAGCGAAAGTACAAGTACTGAATTTGTGCTCAACGATTACTGAAAAGGTTTAATTAAAAATTGCCGGAAGAAGATAAAAGCAGATTATTATATCAAAATTGCCAATCAATCTTGATGTTTTTTGTCATCCAAAAAAAATCTCGATGAATCACACTATCAATTCTTCATAACTTCCAACAGAAAAGAACAGTCCAAAACCACAGACTCACGGAACGCATGAATCGATTGAAATAGGTTCAGAACAGAGAAGAGGTTTTGGGGAATAGAAATTCACTGTTCTTTGCCACGCGTGGTTGTCTCATTTGTAATTCAACATGACGAATTTATGACGTAGTTTCTAGAGTAAGAATTGCAAGAAGGAGGTCAGGCAAGCGAACCCGGACCCACGCCAATAGTGGCCAAATAAAAGAATGTGGTGAGAAAAATTTATCTGTGTGAAATCTCTTCATTGCGGCGAGAAAATGAGAGATTCATGTGCCGCGCGAACAAGGAGGGAATCCCACCAATAAATTGTAACACGGACTTTTGGGCAAAGGTATTTTATCAATTAAACTTTTTTCCATCGCCGTGATTCAACTCGATGGTCAATTTTACTACGAATGTTTCTTCTCTACTCTCGATTTCGCACTGCTTTTTTTGCATGCTCGCAAGATGCCCACGAAGCCGGAACACAGGCCGCAAAGTGGACAGAGCAAAAATGAGTGTGAAATTAATCAGAATGGGAGGAATGAGGCGGAAAAAGGTATTACAACTTTCAATACCGGATCACATTGTAAAATTACATAATTTGTTTATACTTCTCAAGGGAATTCACCTTTTTACCCCGCGTCGATTCTTCATTGATGAGCGAACACTCAGCGCGACTCAAAAAGTACACTTTGCGTGACTTGACGCACACCCCCAAGCGCGCCCCCCGGTGAGGTGGGGCCAGCGAGTGACTCAAGTTTCTTCCCCAAAAAAGGTGACTCGTAAATCGTAAATCAAATGGAACTTTTACGATTGCCAAAGTGCATCGAATGGGAAAACACTCCGCGATAATTGGGAGGAAAAAGTTGCAATTAAAATTCTCATTGAAGTTTTTTCTCTCACAGAAATCGTAAAAAGATCGAATCACTAACGCATTTTTTGCATTCAATGCCTCAAAACTGACCGGCAGCGATTGAAAAGGTGACGTGAGAATGACGAAAGATCTTCACTTGAACAGCAGATTGCCAGAAGTTCAGCCAAAAGTGCTTAAGAAGACGATTTAGAGAGAAATTGAGGAGGAATATTGAAGAAATCAAGATTTCTAATAAACGTTCACTTGATCGATCACTTGAATGCTTTATTTGAGGCTTTGTATGTTAATTTATATAAAATAAACGCTAAATTAAAATACAAAATAATGTGGATGTTAAGGGTAAATTGAAACTTTAGCCATTTTCAAATGATCCACCCTAAAATCTATGTTGATCTTGGCGTCAGGGTTTACAATTCGAATCTGGAAATTAACAAATCTTGCATTCCAATAAAATAAGAATGTCTTCATACAGGTTGTAACTTATGGTGAAAACACAGCATTTGTAATTTGTAATTTGTCCGCGATCATCTCTTTCTTCCCCTCGCGTTTCGTGTATTTTCCTTCCTACTCTGTCAGCGTCTGACTCTGACATGTCGAGACAGCCACTGTGCGAGTAGGAAGGAAAATACACGAAACGCGAGGGGAAGAAAGAGATGATCGTGGACAAATTACAAATTACAAATGCTGTGTTTTCACCATTAGAAACTGTCACGATGACTGAAATCATTTCGCCCTTTCGGAAATGTTGCTTTTATCATAAATTTTACTTCACCACCATTGTTAAACATTTATAGATCAAAAGATATGACAAAAATTCATGCTCTGTGAATTTCTTATGAATAAATTTAAATTAAAATTAGACTATTAAAAAAGTTCATTTTAATTTATTGATGGTCATCCATGTTCGAGCGAAGAAAACGCATGTATTTAGTCCATGTTATGCGATATTGTATACACGTTTGTGGGCATGGAGCATCGATAAAAAAAATAAAAAATGAGTGAGGAAGAAAAATCAAAACATTTATCTTTGCTATTTCACTCTCTGATGCCCTTTTCGTATTTGCTACAAACCCAGATGAAAGTGATTACCATGTTGTTTACACATGTCCAGTCCATTTGCAGTGTCGCCCAAAGGCTGGAATGCGAAAAGGCAGGTCACAGGCATGAGCATAAATCCACTTGTGAGGTTTTGCTGAAAGACGAACACCAGCTAGGCGATGTGGTACAATTTTTTACCAAATTGGGTGGTCTCGCTGTGAAAAAGTGACAAAACCTCGTGATTTTAGCAAGCGAACTGCACTGAGGAGACTTCCAGAGATTTGATGGAAAAGCGCGTGAAGAAAAATTCCCCTAAAACTCGCATGATCAGCGGAATAAATTTCTCAATTTCAGCGTGGAGGACAAAAAAGAGATTGACAAGTGCAAATTGGAAACATCAATACCTCTCCCAGAAGGAATAATTGAATCCCACAAAACCCTCTTTTTACTGATTCCACGCGCTATTCAATAGCATGTCTTTTTGTCTTGCTGTGCCCACAAAGTGCGCAATATTGAAATTCCCTCTTTTTACTCCTCGTCCACACCGTGAACATTACTTTATCCTGGAGATCATCTAAAGCAGGAGTGATAAGGGAATGACTTCTGCGTGCCACAGAAGGAATTCTTATCGCGCCAGTGACTCACTTCCGTCACAACATGAGGAATGCGCTGAAAATTGCAGAAAGTTTCCTGGGCGCAAGAAACAATGAGAAATTCCTGGCATGCACCGGGGAAAAGATGTGGGGAAGATAGGAGAGAGTGCAGAAACTACCAATTTCCAGTAAGACGAGTGCGTAATTTGCACAAGAAACTCCCTCAGAATTTTTGGCTTGTGCGCTCTTTCGCCATTATTCCTCTCCTTTTGCTATCTTGAAGAAGCTTCTTTTGGTATCTTCACTGAGCGATCAACAATCCAGGCGACTTGAGAGGGGCTACTCAATCCGACAGCAAAAATACACCCTAATATCTTCAGTAATGTCGATATTAAAATAATAAAATTAAATACGACTTGAATTGCAATGAGAGTATCGAATAAAAATTCAAAATTCGCCCAGCTCAATTTTACACTTATAAGGCTTGTTATAAAACTAATTTATTTCATTCTCATTTTCTGTATCTTTTATTATTACTTTGATTCAATCATACGTATGTATACACATTAAAGCTATGGTTTAACATTTTATACATAATTAATTATCGGATTTGTTACCTTATAACTCTCTTTAAGAAAGTATTAATACATATCGCTAATCTAATCTAATCTAAACCGTTCAGGGCTCAAGATCGTGGTGATCAATGATCAAAAATAGAAGTCAATCATTATAATAGCTAAATTTTTCGTCCTTCTCCATTGGCGAACTTCAGCTTTCATGCTCATTTACTTTCTTCTGCTTCATTCAATTTTGAAGTTCCACTTTTGGCTTTCTGCTAAACTCAAAGTTTTCAGTATTTTCGTTTCTGATCCTTCTGATCAATAAGTGTGAATTAGTCACAATCAGAGGTGCAAAGAACTGAATGCCTTGATAATGCGCAAAATGCCTCAAAGTGATTTCCAAAAAAAATACCGAATTACCTGAGCGTTCTTTTCGGTCATGGCCATGTTGTCTTATCTGCTCTCATTGCGAAAAGTCTAAACTTGTGCTACCTTGACTTCCGGCATCGCTGCAGATCAGGCAGAAAAGTGTATCACACGATCGGAGGAAAGAGAAATGAAAACAATAGCAGCAATTCAGTGTTCGGGGAACTACAAGTTTCCTCAATGTGATATGAGATTGCTTGTAAATACTAATAAAAGATTTGTCTAAGTACAGCAATTTACCTTAATTGTTTTACAACAATTGCATCGTATCATATCAGTTAAATTGCACCCCATCGGATTTCATACACATTGTGAAAGATTTACTGAAAATATTGGGGAGAAAAGACGGTATATTGTAGGCAGGAATGACTATCCCCTTTTGGAATTGGTGCCTTGGCGAGAGTGTGCGCTTGTGTTGGCGCGAGAGATCGTGAGAGCGAGAGAGTAAAAATGAGTAACGGAGATACAGAAAACGTTAAAAATTATAAAAAGCATTTTACCGTGCAGCTTGGAGTTTAGTTTTGATTTAAGCACTCAACAGAGCTCATCGTGGTTCGGCTCTGAAGGCATGATTTCGGCAGTGCCTCACCTCAGTTGCACCAGCAGCAGAAGCGCATGTTTATGTGAATTGAAGACAGATTTCTTGTGGGTGGAGAAATCATTTAGAATGTGAAGTGCAGAAAATTGCTGCCTGTTTGAATCATTGGTGTAGAAAAGGATCTGTTTAGTGTGGCAAACATCTCGAATATTTGGTGCCTGTTTGTTGAATAATTCCAATGTGGAGGATGCAATACCAGAAGTTCTGGAATTTTATCAACACCAAAACCGTGCACAGTTTGACTTGTCCCATGAAAGGGTTATAAATAAGTATCATCTATTTTTACCGCGCTTTTTCTGGCGGTTGTGAATCAAATGTGAGAAAAAGTGAAGATCCTAAATATTATTTACGTTTCCGCACACGAAACATTTACCAATCTCTTCAAGACTGATGAGGTGAAGAGAACAAGCTGTGTATTTGTGGAATTGATGCCATGTGATTGACTTGAGACAGTGGGAAGAATTTTATCAGACTCGGCGTTTATTTAATTGAATTTTGATAAGGGAAAAGTGACTTGAGTGAACTTTTGCAATGGCATTTGCAGAGTTTCAGTGCTGTAATGCAGGACACGCAAAAATCTTCAGCAGCATCTGGAGACCCTTTCGCAGGCGCCGGAGATCGCTGGAGTCCCTGCTGCACCGCCACATGAGTGGCTCGCTAATCTTAAGCCTAATTTATGTTAGCCTAATAGTTCTCAGTGACTTTGTGATGATGGCCAAGTGTGAACAGTGGGGCGATGAGCCAAGCAAGAGGCTAGTGGACAGTGAAGACGCTGAGACCGCGCGGGAGCCCCTGAGCTCCAGTGATTTGGAGAGACTGCACCAACTCGTAAAGATAGGATTAAACCTCACCCACTTGCCCAATGTAGCACAGGTAAGTCGCACAACTCACATGATCGACAATCATGAAATCATGATCATCCTTTGAGAAATGGCCAATAAATTAGCACCGAAAATTGAATTGCGCCACAATTGACGATGAAGGAGAAATTCACACACACTCTATATTTGTATTTTAATTAAAACTTCCCACAATATTTCACGTGATTTATCTGGTGGAGTGAAAAAGAGAGAGGGACAGTGTTGGAGGCGCACAATGTTCAAAAAGGCGGAGAGGAGAAAGATTGTGTGGATATAAAAGAGGAAAAAATCCAAGGCATCCCACATTTTTGTGGACCAACCGCCTCATGCTATTTATTTTCAGACGATCTCTCACGATCACATTCCACAAATTATCCAATGGGTGGATGATTTGCCCAGAATTGCCTGTAGTATTGCGCAAAAGACCCCCCAACGGGCTTCCCCAAATTTCACTCTGCGTGTCTATATGCAATCGGCATAGAGAATGTTTAGAGAAATGAAGAAATGATTAGTCGAGAATAGCCTACAATTTAGTGATATAGCTTCACTACCACAATTCAATGCATTGTTGTGGAATTTCGCTTATCTCACGATCATTCGCGCGGCGTTATCGCGACCAATTAAAATCTAATATGCACTGTGAATTCCACAAGGCGCCAAAATTGATGTATCGATCAGTGGAAAAGCCGCATTTCTCATAAAACACCAGGTAATATTTCGCAAAAAACCAGAGATATTCTCGCGGTGACGCAGTGAATCATACGTTTTGGTGATAGAAGACGATCAAGCTTTTGAGGTCACACTATGGCAAAAACTCCGGGAAAATCCGCAAAAAATGATTGATGTCGCTAAAGATGAGAAAAGTTCTTAATTTTCCATTTTTTCCTGCTCTGAAGAATTAACTTTGCATTCTCTAAATTGTGAGAGAATGGTGAGAATTCAATTGTAGAATTTTTTCCTTTTTAAATGCCAATTGCATGAATGTAAATTCTGGGGTGTATAAATTGGGTATAAAAATAGATGGATAGAAAAATTTCACAACTAAAAAAAGCACATGAAAAATACTTCTCATCTCCCAAGTAAATAATATAAAAGTTTTGAGTATTTTCCTTTGTGAGAAGATCTCGCCTTCATATATTTGTGTTAGAGAAATAAGCGCGGTTTTGGGTGAAGGGCTCCATTCAATAAAGAAAAATTACTTGTTAGATCGAAGCGTACACACATGAATTCCCCTCGACAAACAAGCCAACCAAAATGTATGGATTTGAGAGTTAATAGAAGAATCTCTCTGTCTGAAATTGGACTTTCAAGAACTCTAGTCGATAAATCGTTAAGTAAATAACAAATTAAATCTTTTTTCACACATTTCTCCACCTGTGGCATCTCCAATGCACGCAGCGGTTTCCCACTGAACACAGCAATGTGTGCGTTCATTTAAATTTCAACATATTTCGTAATTATATCGTGTACTTAATTAATTAATGTACATTTTCTGCGGACAACTCTGCCTCTTCGTGTTTCTCACACATTCAATAGAGAACTCCAACTCTGTATTTGTCATAATCAGCCGACAAAACGATCATGAGTGCATCTAAATGCAACTCTTATTTGCATATTTTCTCCTACTTGGTGAACTTGTTTTTTTAACGCATTATTTTATTGCCTCACACTAGCTTCACACTTCGCGTGTCTTTTCCCTTCGACTCTGTGCGTTTCATCATCTCATCAATGGTTTGTTTGAAAATTTTGTACCTTATTTGCCTTCACGATCAGTCAAAAAATTCAACATCTTCCACCGCAATTCCCTTAATTTGAATTTAATCAATTACAGCCACGAGAAGAATGTTGAAAATCCATTAATCATCTCCATGCCAATAAACACCTAATTCAACATGATCACCGCTGATCGTGAGAGGATTGATAAAACATAAGAACGGTTGCTTTTCACGTACGCGTCGTGCGCGTGTCAACTTATTCATAAATCAAGACATTAATCCAGCTGATTATCATTTACGAATTCTCAAAGATGCTGATATCAATTAAATTCCCATTATCGGATTGCGGGTGGGAATCTCCAGTGATCCATCGAAAAGATATAAAATCCCACACAAACCTTGCCAAGACACTCATTAAATTATAGAAAAAACGCATAGGGGATAAGTGGGACGATTTGGAACCGAAATTTACAAAATAACACGAAGAAAACACTCATGCTGAGCCTAAACTTCAACCCTTAACAAAATTACCCAGGTGTTAAAGAGAAAATCAATGTAAACTAATCAGTTTATCTGATTACACTGAAATTATTGGAAAAATCTTCGAAGAAGCACGGCTTTTCTCTATGCACACATTAAGTAAATTAAACAAAGAGCGATATGAGTAAATCTCTAAATTTCGAAGGTTTCCCGTGGGCCCAGAGAAAAAGGTACAATTCGATAACACGACATACACGAAAATGTGTGAATTTGTTGATTTATTGCTGGCGATGGTCTAACCAATACTTGTATTCATATTTTGGTGCTTTTGGTGTATATGCGAAGAGAGAAAGAAAGAGACAGAGAGAGAGAGAGAGAGATAGAGAGTAAAAAGTGAAGGCAAGACCTTTAAACCACGAAAAATACTCTTTTATTGTTATTTACTGTACTTCATCCCATAAATCTAAATTGATTTTCTTCGCGCGCTTCTTTTCTCGTGTACTTTTTCAATGGTATATTTTTATGATTCTTTTCCTATGCTTCTTAGTAGAGAAGCATAGGGTCTAAGAAGGAGGGCTGAGGGTCAAGAAGGGGGTCAGATTGAAAGTTTATTCAATCCCTATCATTTATCATGGAATGCATCGACTCGGCTTTGGGTATAAACGCTCCCGAAAATTGGAAATAGTAATTGACGTAATTTGGAAGAAGCAATTTGTCGTGAGAATATTAATCTAGATTGATCTTTAAGATTTCCCATAAAAACACACTCTCGAATGGTGATGTTTGTGAAATCAGAGAGTTTTAGTGTTGGTTTTGTCACAAGATCAAGCAATAAAACGAAAAACTCTCTTTTAACGATCCGCCGAAGCTTCAACCAAAAGTCATTTTCTAAATTTCTCAGAAGCACGCACTTCTGAATGTTCAAAAAGAAATTACAACTCCTTCACAATGTACTACAAAACACTACAACCGCATAGATTAGATCTGTTTGGCCCACACAAGTCCAAAATAAGGTAATGACGCTCCCCACTGCGTTCAAGAGATGTGTGACTCCTCAATTTCTCCAGAAGATCTCCAATAGTGGTTCAATGACTCCAAAAGTGTGAGTTTTCACTTGGGCAGTTGCATTGAAAAAACGTTACAAGTTTCCCCTCTCGGTGAAGTAATTTGAATCCAATCATCGATTGTGATTTTCCGCACCTGGACAAGAGTGTATTGAATGTGAGCTTCCCTATTTTTTGGCTTAAAGTGTTAAGTGATATTTGATATGACCAAATATCATGCGATCGCATGACTTCCCCCTCGTGATTGAGTAAATTATGAGGGATAAAAGCTGATTTGGAGCAAATATGAATTCCTCTCGCGAGGAACGCACGTCACAAGACGATTGGGATGATCGAAAGAGACTTTTGTGGCTGTGTCTCATCCCAATAAATTCGGCTGAGTCGCAGAGACAAGGTAATAAATTCATTAGGCCACCACATCCTTGGAATTCTTCGCATTATTTTCAATGATTATCGCATGGGTGAGAAGATTAACTCGTCTCCACATTTACAGTGTGGCCAAATATAGCATAATCCCTCCCCCTCGCGTATGGACAATTGATTAGTTGGTAACTAAAAGAGAATCATACATGGTTGTATGGAAATTATCTGGTGAAACTGATGACTTTCTTACCTCACGCGGTTCCTCATGGAGGAATTTCGTGACTTGGAGTGTCTTCATCTTCTTTTGGGAGATTTGTATTTTTGGAAATGATGACAAAAATGTGATTCATTCAAGTGTTTTTTTCTCGTGCTTCTTCTTCTCCTTAACTATAAGTTGATCTTTTTTTCGGGTGTCAATTTCTCCTCTCTCATGCCACGAATACCTGAAGCTGAAGGGCGCACACAATGTTTGATTTCTTCTATTTCGGGTCGCTTCTTATCGTTTCATAAGGACTGGATTTTTCTTCTCAATTGATACACACCCACGAGGCAAGAACACTGGCGTCTGCTCCATTGATAAAGACACACAAGCGCGAGAGACAGACAAGGAAGGCCCAAGAATGGAATTGTAAATAGAAATCTCCCTCCAAATAAGTCACTTCACATCATGCCAAGAATATCCGGCGGAAAGGGGATTTTATTTTTCCTCACCACCCGTAATTAATTACATTTGTGTTGATCATTGTCAACGATCTCAGCATCTGCTCGTGATAAACACTGCGCGCAGCGCTCCTGAGCCGATTCCACTCAGCGTGCAATGCGAAAAATGCGAGTTATTTGGCCGTTTTCCTTTGTATATTATTATGGGCAATATGGATTAATATTGGTGATGGAGAGATGATAATTTTAGATGCCGGACATTGTACGGAAAATCTAAATAGAGACTTTGGGAGTTAATTTTGGAAATACAACTAATTTGTTTGTAATGAACAATTTCTATATTTATATTTAAAGCATGGGTTGGTATTAAATATATGTATTCCCGCATGATGAAGCCAATTAATTTATGGCTGTTTATTGGCAATTTTGTCACTTTTTCGGTTTAATTTTATACCCACACACACACTTTCTTAACTATTTAGGCGCCACTGAAATTCCTTTCTCTCTCTGTTTGGCTTCAGCCACTCAAAATCATCCTCAAGGTGTTGCATATATTGACATTTTATCCCCTTGTATGTCGGAAAAGGATACACACTTGAAGCTGAGAATTCGGTCATCAGCATACCAGTCAATTTAATGACTCTCCGCCACCCACTCGAGTCATTCAGTTCGTAGTACAGAAATTGGGGTAAACACGCGAAATTCCCTGAATTCCAACGGAATTCTTCACTTTTAGTATTCATCCCACCACCTTCTATGCCATGATTAATGTACCAATTTATAGAAATTATACAATCGCCACAGACATCTGGGCCACACCGCATCATATCCCACCAAATCCGGGTGGTTCGGAAGACAAAGACTGAGCGGCGATCATGGATCCCATTTCCCGATCGTCAGCCCAAAACACGGTGTGAAATTGCTAACACTTATCGTTGAAAAATGATCGACTATCAAGTCATTATATCGCGCCGTCGAGAGTCATGTGAATGATCTCTGATTGCGATCTTCCAAGAAAAATCATTTCTCACGATCACACAGAAACGCATCAATTGCTTCATAGCTTCTTTACCTCGATCGTCAATCACACTTTCAAGCTCATTTCTTTGTAATTTCTCCACAATTTCACAATATTTATATTACTTTTCTTCATGGGGCTCATGACGATCTTTAGCTGTGTTCTCGGAAGTGATCTTACATTCAATCAGCATAAAGATCGATATTCCCATAAAGCTAAGTCCGGTTTGGAGTATACTTAAGTAAAATCTGCACACGAACAAATCGCAAGTCATTTAAAAACACCTTAAGTGCCCTGACTAAACCCATGTTTCGGGCAATATTAAATTGCTTTTGCGCTAAAATTTAAAACAAGGTGTTGACGGGATGTTCTAGAGGACATGTTTTTTTTTCTCTTTTCTTGCAACCGAATATCTGAAATTGTTTAAAGGATATTTCGCAAACAATGTATGATGGATCAATATCACGCAAGAGCCTCAGCAGAGTGCGTGCTTTAATCCCTTTCACGCATTTTGAGCTCACCAACTAAAGATTCCTCTCTTTATGCTCACCACACTAGCAATGGAAGGCCTCTATTGTGTCAGAGGCACTTTGGACACTGTGAAAAGTGACTCATATGCATTTTCCATTATTTGTTACATTTTCACAGAGCCATAATCGTATTTCTCGGTGATTTCTGTTAAGTACACACCGAAGAGGAGAACACGCGGAAGAACAAAAGGAAAGCGACAAACGCTTTCCTCTTTTTCGTGGCTGTGGGAAAAAGTGAACTTCTGAAGGACAGGAAGATTAAGAAAAGACCCTCGAAATATCGTGAAATGCATGAGGATTATAAGGAATTTATTACCATAATAATTTTTATGGGTTTTTTCCTTTTCTTTTTTGTTGTTTCTTCTAATGGACATTTGCAGACCTGGAAATTGATATGTATGTCCTGGATAGACATGAAAAGCCTCAAAATCTTCTCTTGTTCCTTATCGCACTACATCTCAGACAGAGGATCGAGAAGAGGATCTCTTTGTTGGAATTTTGCGAATACACAATTCATCCGGAATGTGGTCACAGTTTTTCATACTTTACTGGTTGAATCGAGATGTGGTCAGTTTTTCTTCATCTATATTCACGAAGGCGGATGGGCATGTGAAAAAAGGGAATTAAGACTTTGAAATATTGTTTTCTTCATATAATTTTGGGGAATTTCATGCCATACGATGAAAAGACTTTTTTCCTCCCCGAAACGCAGACTTCCTGATGAAAATCTTCTGAAAAAATATTTGTGGAATAAATTATACAAATTAGCGGATCTCGGAAATTCCATTCCTCTCACTTTTACGGTGTGGAATAGAGGAGGGAAAAAAAGAATAAGCCGCCTTTACTGGCACCGTTGGATGACTAAAAAGTCTCACGACATTGCGAAAGGCCGGCAAAAACGATGGAAATATCTCAATTATTTACATACTACAACTTTTCGGCGATCTCAGCTGATCCTAGTATTTTCTAGACAATTCTAAGGTCGATTTGAGTTTGAGATGCATCTGAAATTGCAGACAAATTGCTTCTCTCTCAGCATTTTGATGCTGCTCAAATTGCAGAACGTCAATTAACTTGAATTAATTTCTCCACGAGAGATTGTTAGTTCCCATTTCGTGTGCCTTTTTAATACAATTTCTCCAATTGCTCAATTCCGTTTCCCAAGTTTATTTGGGATTAACTAACAGGCGAAGGTAAAAGACTCTGCAGCAAGCTTTATCTAACAACTCCGAGATTATAGAGTCTCCACCCACTGACATGCCACGCCCATTGAAAAAGGATTCAAATACAATATTTACTGTAGTGTTCTAATGCTGGCCAATGAAACTTATAAATATAGTTTTTCAAAATCATTAGTTTTTGAAAAATCAGAATCGAGTAATTGATTAATTATTAGCCAGTTTCTTGCGATACCTTTTCATAAATATAATCTTTTGCTCTGATCCTTTAATTAGGAAACCTCCATATTCTCTTTCTTACGTTTCTGACAATGACTTGTTCTATTGATCATTGAAATGCACTAATAAGCAACAGAGCGGATACATAATCCTAAGGAAGTGGACCAATTAAATAATTAGAGACAACAGTTTAGAATGCAAGCACTTCCATCAGAAGTGGGATGAAACATGCAAGTCATTTGAAAAGCATATAAAAAGTATATCAAGGTATTTCACAATTTCAATAAATAAAGATGAGTGCCTTCCGTGGCGGATTTGTAGAAAAAGAAGCACAGAGGAGTGAGAAATCTCATAGTCATGACGCCAATTGTGTACACAGTAAGTCACAAGAACACATGACACCAATCAATCGAAATCTAAATCATCGCGTCTTTTTTCGCGATAGCACGCCAAATGGGAGGCAAGTCAGGAGCGTGGCGAAGAGATAATCGATTTGAGTGATCACCTGGTTGGCGGGATTTTACGAGAGATAGAGAGAGAGAGACAATCGAGTGTTTTCCCCACAGATTGTGGCAAAAAGCCTCAAGAGTACAACCGAAAGTTGACGCGTGTGCCGAAAATTATTGAATGAATTGTGATTACTCCACTTAATACCTGTCCATTTATCAATTATGACAGAGTACCTGTTGTGATTCATGCCGAGAACCACCACACGATTTTCTGTATTTTGGTGCTCATGATGTCACACAACTGCCTCTAGGGTCTTCTTACTTCACAAGACTATTATAGTTTCTTTGCCATGTTTTTTTCCCGCCTCTTGCTTTCAATGGCACTCTTGCGTGTGAATGGCAATCACTCAGCAATATTAGTCGCAAGCGCGAGAAAAAGTGCGACGCTGTGTGCAATTTTTTATGCCCAAATCGCCTAAGAGTTTCTCTTTCTCACTCTCTGAGTGAAATGTCTCATTTCCGTCTTTATGACCACTGATTTTCACTAATTAATTACTGTATACTTTCAATCATCGCGTTCTAAAATTGTCTCACATTCATAGCACAGTGATTCATATTCGCCTTCTTCATTCCAGATTAACATTAGCCAGAGAGAGTATGCAGAGAAATATCAGCTGTATTTGGACAGGGTTCAGCAGAGAAAGCGACAAGAGACAAATCTTGTCCACGAAGATGACGAAGAACTCATTTTCAACTCATTTGCACCCAGTAAGTCTTCCCAGAATCACCCTTCTTTAGTGCTTCTTAGAAGTGTATTAAAAGGGGCTGAAACTTCACATTTCAGCTTATTTGATGATCGATGGAAAAAGTCATTGTCGCTAAATTTTATTGTTTCTTGATCTTTGCAGCTTCTCAGCCTGATTTTCGACGTCGGCGTCCACGAAGTGTGAGCCATGACTTAGTATTCGTGCGCTTCCCACTCCCAGAAGCTGAACAGCCTCCGCCAGGAGTCGAGGAAGCCACTCTGAGATTACTTCTGCAGAATCGCCACCATCACAGCAATGCCAGTCGCGACGATAGCATCAGTTTGAAGGTTTACCAACTGATTGAACCGTATGGAAGGATCTTCCTGGACGGCCAGGTAGTGTCACTAGAGCACCTGAGTGGCAGCCGATGGGTGGAGTTGGACGTGAGTCGCGCCGTGGAGAGCTGGATGGAGGCAAGACACCAGAATCTCGGCCTGGAAGTGCATTGTGACGGTTGCCACCGAAATGGTCTGCACGTGGTCCACGACGCCTCTCAATTTGGAGATAGCGATGACGACGCCAATCCTGCACTCAACATCGTCACACGTGTTGTACAGCGCGAGAAACGCTCCCGGCAGTACAAGCACTACATTCAGCATCCCATCCGCCGGCCACGCCAGACGGACTGCCAGAAGAACAACCAGAAGTGCTGTCGACACCGCATGGAAGTGGCCTTCAAAGACGTCAAGGGCTATGAGTTCATCATCCAGCCCAAGTCCTTCGATGCGGGCTTCTGTCGCGGGAAATGCCCGCCCAAGTACAATCCGGCACATCACCATGCGCTGCTGCAGAGTCTCATCTGGAAGCAGGACAAAAGCAAGGCGCCACGGCCATGTTGCGCCCCTCTGAAGCTCGTTGATCTCGAGGTGCTACACGTGGACGAGCGCGATCCCACGAAGCTCAAAGTGGCCACCTGGACGGACATGCGCGTCCTGGAGTGCGCCTGTTCGTGAGCGCTCATGTGATCCGTCGCATTTTGCCGTGTAAAATGCGCCGCAATCCGCCATCCTTCATGATTGAGACTCGCATTGAATCACACCATTTTCACCAACTTTTCTTTTTATATGCCAAAGACCAATAAATGTGACCTCTCAGTGTTAATTATGGTTCTTTGCTCTGCTACAGCTAAACTTCAGGTCGGACCATAGCGACTCATAATAAAATTGTTGGCGTTTGTCATCATTTTAAAAGAAATAAGTCATCTCTCGAGTCCAAGAACTCAAAAAAAACCTTCAGAGATAATACAAAGAAGTGAAATTTATCTTATTCTATATCGAATCGTTAGCTCAGGATTTTATCGGCCTCAAAGTGTTAAACAAGTCAGAAATTTTACCACTATTTACCAACCACGGGTAAACTTTTCCCGCGCAAATACGACTCTTTAAAGTCGATAATGCAGAGTCACTGCGGTTCAGTGGAAAGCTGAACACAAGATTTACCGAAATTGTGAAATGCTTCTCTCATTTCCTTGCAGTTTCTGCAAGTAATTCCCATGCACACATTTTCATCTAACATCAAATGCGTTTAGCACGTATCAGGAGCAATTATAAACATAATAGTAATAATAATCTAATGACCATATTTTTAATGATGCTGCGGCAATTGATGTTTGGCGAAGCACAGACATACCAGAAATAGGTCAAAGATTTCTATAAATATTCCTCTCGCACCGCAATTGAAACATGGCTCTATTTTTTACAAAAAATTTCGCCAATATTTTATTTCTCATCTATCAAATTTACAATGAGAACCTATTAGGAAATCTGGGGTTCAGAAACTGAAAGATCGATATAGAAAATAAAAGCGGGCCTTCTCACCTACGTGTACATCATTTCCGCCATCGAGGACATCTTCTTGGGTATGTGGACGAACGTCTCGAAGTAGCTGGCCAATTCGTCGATCGTGACATCGCATGTGGCCGCCACAACATGAATCCGGGCTTGTTGCGAACAGGATGACCCATTTGCCGAGACTCTCGCGATGCAGGAACTGTTTGGTGCGATCCCAGGGGAATCCACTGGATCATCCGACTCGTCGTCACTCTGTGATGCTCGGCGCTTCAACTGGCGAGGAACTTGTTGTCCTGTCGCCGGAAACATTGTGTCCGGAAGCAGTCGACTCAGATCAAAGCACTTGTCCGACTTTTCACTCTCTGGAGGCTCCTTAGGCCCATCGCCAGTTGTGGCTCTATCGTGCATGCACCTCGTTACCTGCTTGAGGATAGGTTCACGCAGAATTCGCTTCCGTGAGTGTCGCTTGAAGGCCTTTCTGTTGATTATACTATGCTCCAGTCTGTGCCTTTGTTCGGAGACGCGCTCTGTGGCACAGTGACTGCATTTGGAGCCAAAGAGCCGCTCAGCCATGCTGTTCTCTCCCGATTCTGGTATTTTGAAGCCCTCGCTGCAACTTCCGGACGTTGTCTTCACGCCATGGACAAAGAAAGGATTCCCAGCCAAACTTCCATCAGACATCCGTCTTCCTCGACTAGGCAGCGCTATTTCCAACTTCTCCAGCGACTCTGGCAGATTCTGCTCCTCCGGCCGGGCCATTTCCTCGCTGTGCGGCTCCTGTGACTGGAATATTGAGGGGAAAATTGCAGGTAAAAATGCTGCCCAGAAACACGGAAGTCCGTGACGTCACAATGCTCACCATTGGCTTTTGCGTTGTGGCCAGCAGCAAGCATTCTTCGGGGGGTTCCCGATGATCTTCCACGATGTGATATTTTTGTGCTAGCAATACGCAAAAGAGGAAAACTTGCGTGAACGTGAAGTGCGAAAATTTTTGTTGCTGAAATGTGAAATGTCACTCCGCCCCCACCCCTCAGCGATGTTTCTCCGTGCACACGCTGGCGCTGGTGTAGTAGTGGAGTTTTCCTATGGCGTGCGGTTTATTGTGAGATTGTGGAAAATAGTGGCATTTAGCAAACCCGTGTCACAAAAACAGATAATATCTGTCTAATGGTGCATCCCAGACGCCCAGGCAATATCAGCAATGTTGAAGGTGAGTTGCGATGTTGCGAAAATGTGTGTGACATTGAGAATGGGGTGCGACAATTTTTCATCCATTTGTCCATGTCTTTCGCGTGGCCAGGGCAAAGGGGATCAGCAGACATTCGACGTCTCGTGGCCGGTAATGCGTCCCATCATACTGAAGGTGTTGAAGCAGGAGGCTGTGACGCATCACGAATGGCAGGACATCTTCTACCTGATCCACTTGGTGTGCCTGTGGGACGAGAAGGGTGCCACGAAGATCTATGACTGCCTGCAGCAGGACATCGTGGCGTTCATCAAGCAGGCGCAGGCCAGGGTGCTGGCGCACCGTGAGGAGCAGGCCCTCCTCAAGGCCTACATCGTGGAGTGGAGGAAGTTCTTCACGCAGAGTGAATACCTGCCCATGCCATTTCGCACGCTTGAGAGTGTGCTTCAGGGGAAGGGCTCGGCGTCCAACCACAATTCGGGCAGTGGCTCGCAGAAGAAGTCCACGATTGACGACAGTATTGTGCGCAAGCTGATGCTGGACTCGTGGAACCAGAGCATTTTCATCAACATCAAGCATCGGCTGCAGGACTCGGCCATGAAGCTGGTGCATGCGGAGCGCAATGGCGACGCCTTCGACTCGCAGCTGGTGATCGGCGTGCGCGAGAGCTACGTGAATCTCTGCAGCAACCCCGATGACCAGCTTGAAATTTACCGCGAGAACTTTGAGGCGGCTTATCTCCAGGCCACAACGACGTTCTACACGTTGAAGGCCAGTGAGCAGCTGCAGGCTAACGGAGTGCAAACTTTCATGCGCTACGCCGACACGAAGCTGCGCGAGGAGGAAGCCAGGGCGAAGAGATACCTGGAGCCGAGCAGCTTCGCCGCCCTGACTCAGTGTTGTGTGGGTGTCCTGATCTGCGATCACTTGCCCACGCTGCTGGCCGAGTGCGCGCCCCTGATCAAGGCGGGCGAGACGGATCGGCTGCAGCTTATGTTTCGGCTGCTGGACAGAGTACCGGGCGGCGTGGAGCCGATGCTGCGCGACCTGGAGAGCCACATCGTGAACGCCGGCCTAGCGGATATGGTGGCGGCGGCGGACATCATCACGCAAGACTCGGAGAAGTATGTGGAACGCCTTCTGGAGTTGTTCAGGCGCTTCAGCACGCTGGTGCGCGACGCTGTGAACGATGATCCGCGCTTTCTTACGGCGCGCGACAAGGCCTTCAAGACCGTGGTGAATGATACGACAGTATTCAAGCTAGAACTGCCCACGGCCACGACAGCGCGCGGCACAAAAGTCACAACGCCCGAGAGCAAGTGTCCAGAGCTGCTGGCCAACTATTGTGATATGCTGCTGCGACGGACGCCGCTGAGCAAGCGTCTCACGAGTGATCAGATCGAATCTCGCCTGCGGGACGTACTGCTTGTGCTGAAATACGTGAGCAATAAGGATGTGTTCATGCGCTATCACAAAGCTCACCTCACGCGTCGCCTCATCCTGGACTCGAGTGCCGACAGCGAGAAGGAGGAGGACATGGTGGAATGGCTGCGCGAGGTGGGCATGCCGGCGGACTACGTGAACAAGCTGGCGCGTATGTTCCAAGACATCAAGGTGAGTGAGGACCTCAATGCGCAGTTCAGGTCCTCCACCACGCGCCATGATGCCATTAACATCAAGATCCTGAACGCCGGCGCCTGGGCGCGGGGATCCGAGAGGGTCTCCGTGAGTCTTCCCGTGGAGCTGGAGGACTACATTCCCGAGGTGGAGGAGTTCTACAAGAAGAAACATTCCGGACGGAAGCTGCAGTGGTACCATCACATGAGTAACGGCACCATCACGTTCGCCAACGAAGTGGGACGCTTCGACTTGGACGTGACAACTTTCCAGATGGCTGTCCTTTTCGCTTGGAATCAACGCCCACTCGAGAGGGTGTCCTATGAGAATCTGCGATTGGCCACTGAGCTTCCAGGCGAGTGCATTTCTATCGTAAATCTCTTTGTCCTGTTTAGTAAACCTCTTGTGTCTTCTTTTGCAGATCCGGAACTGAGACGAACGCTGTGGTCACTGGTGGCTTTCCCCAAGCTGAAACGCCAATTGCTCATTCACGAGCCGGCTGTGACTGCACCCAAAGACTTCGCTGAGAATACTCTGTTCTGGGTAAATCAGGAGTTTGCCCTGATCAAGAACAATCGACCACAGCGTCGAGGGAAGGTGTGTGAGAGATTGAAGGACGTATTGGTGGCTGTAATTTCGCTGATTCTCTATCCATGTGTCCTTGCAGATTAACATGGTTGGCCGCCTGCAGTTGAGCACTGAGAGATCCCAGCAGGAGGACAATCAGTCGATAGTGCAATTGCGGATATTGCGAACGCAGGAAGCAATTATAAAGATAATGAAGATGAGAAAGAGACTCAACAATGCAGCTCTCCAAGCGGAATTGATTGATATTCTGAAGAATATGTTTCTGCCGTCGAAGAAGATGATAAAGGAGCAGCTCGAGTGGCTGATTGAGCATAAGTATATGCGACGGGATGACGATGACATCAACACATTCATCTACATGGCCTGAATGCTCACCGGCTGGACGCTCTACACTCTTCTGCCGCCCCCGAATTAGCAGCAATGAAGCTCTAACGATTATTTCCTCCCTTAGTGCGCTGAACTTGTGCGCTTTTCATCCCTGCTTCAGGGTGACCGTCTCTGTCCCAGGATAGAATAGGCTTCTTCACTCACACCTCATATAGCAATTTTGCATCCCTCTTCTCCTTCCCTTCATAACACAACAAAAATTATATTATATACAATTAATTGTACATATATTGTAATGCAGTTGGACAATTTTAAATCCTAGAACTTTGAAGGTGTAATAAAATTGCGTAATTTGAATGAGAACATGGTGGGAAATTGATACTGCAGGTATAGGTATTGAGGAACTTAATCGCTATCGGAAGAGTCATCCTCTAGATCTGCATTCTTTGCCAGCAAGGACTTAGCGATTTTATCAAGAGAATCGTGAGTGCGGTGAAGATTTTGGATGTTAACCACAAGGAGATCATCTTCCTTCCCTAAAATTAAAAATAGAATCTTTTATATCATTCTGGAGTCAAAATTGCTTAATTTTCTAAATTTACATTTCTCAGTTTCATGAGAATCCTCAAAAGTTTCATCGCCATCATCACTCTCTGCTCCAAAATCAGGATCATAATCCCCCAGCTTTAAATAATAATATTCTTCCTCAGGTAGTCCGTGAATGTTTGTACCATAGGTTAAGGGCATCAATTCACATACAAACGTAAGTCTCAGATCAGTTGAGTCCAGGAAGGAAAAATCAGGATAGAGAGTAAGGAATTCGTGCCAGAAACTGTCGAATCCTCCCAATTGGATTCCTTTACGTTCAAACACGTACTTCGACATAAAGTGAAGCAATTCCTGAGAATGCGAGTTAATATTCTGCTGACCACTAGTAATACTGGAACTGGAGAGTGACATTTTATCGGATTTTCGGGAATTATCCTGGGAAGTGTGCCACAAAGCGTGGGTTTTTCAGCAAATTAACGAACGCTCTGAATGCCCTTTTCAGACTGCAGCGCTCCAAGTGGTTGGGTGACGGCAACACTAACTGTCAAGTTGATGAATAACAAAAACAGAATATCTTGAGAGAGCCTTTTGGAGAGAGCTGAAAATAAGGATGTCTCTTGTGGCATACGATTATAGTAGCGGTGAAGAGAGTGGTGATGATGGAGATTCTGCAGTGGCTGTGGAGACGCTGAAAATTACGACAGCAAGTCGCCAGGAGCTTCCCATCAGTGACGATGAAGAACCAGCATCAAGTGCTGTCAGCAATCTGATGTTCAATTTACCAGCTCCCACTAAGGATAGACAGAAACAAATCCTAGAGGAAGATGATGATGAGTTCTTGAGAATCAAAGCCACTCCAACACAAAATCCGCCCCCAAAACGAGGCCCTGTGCGCATATCCATTCCTTCCCTGTCGCAGTTCAAGGATCTGAAGGATGCAGAGGCGGAATGCAAGGAGAAAATCCAGCAGAAGAGCAGAGGAAGTGACTTGCTGAGTTTATTGCCGAAGCCACTATCAGAAACTCTATTCCAACCCACGAAAACCACGGCAGATGGGGTGAAAAAGCGCAATAGTTTGGTTCCGGACTCCGTGATTAATCGCCAAGCAAAGCAGAAGGCACAGAAAGCAACTAAAGCTCAGGAGATCGAGGACGATAGCGACGGCAGCGATACTGGAGATGACTTTTTCCGCTTGAACACTAATGAGGAACTTCCAGAAGTCAGTAAGAATGAGATAACAGTCTTGGTGGCAAAGAAAGCGGCTCAAATTGCGGCCACGAGTTCTAAATTTGAGCAGCAATCTCAGATTGAGGAGAGAGAGGTGTCTCCAGATGAAATTCCAGTTGAGGACGCTCTCATTGATGACACAGCCTATGAGAAACTCTGTGGAGGTAGCAAGAGGGCAAAGCGTGCTCGTCTGGATGAAATTAATGTGGTAGACATCAGGAGTACTGATGTTATGCCCACGCAAGAGGAATGGATGCGCCATGCATTGGCCAACTCGACGGAAATGCCTACAGCCAAACCCGCCGCTGGTGCTGACGCTAGTGGTCTGAGCAAGAGGAAGCACCAGATCACGTACTTAGCCTACCAGGCGAAGGCCAACGAGCAGGAATTGCAAGCAATGTGGGCAGCCAATCGTCAGACCAGAAGACAGACGCAGAGCAAGTACGGTTTCTAAAGCCAGGGTGAGTGTTTCTTTGCGAATAAATCTCTTGATTCAATCTATAAATACTACGCAGTCTTCTTGAGTGCATTCGTTGAGTGGAAGCAGTTCACAGTGACGAATCCTGGTCAGTTGCTTGAAGTCGAGCACAAGTTCATTGCATCTGGGAGGAGCAGGAACGGCACTATTGATGTGAACATCTAAGAAATCCATGTCCTCCTCCAATCGCGCTAAATCCGCAAGGAAGCTTAGAATGATCTTGAAGTCTTCGGGTTGTAGTTTATATGTCATTTGTGAGATAGTTGCCTTGTACCACGCGAGATATGTGGCTTTCTTCCTCTCCCCGAAAGCGTAGGAAGTCTCTCTGGCCAGGAGGAGGAAGATCTGAAATTGGTGTTCGCTTCTCGCGGAGCAGGCTTTCCAGAAAAATCCCTCTAGGTATTCTAATAAAAGAAAATGTGTTAGGAAAAGGAAAAGCTGTACAGTCGCAAAAAGGATTCCTACTCTTAAAGTGAAGATAATCTTCTTGAGAAGCAGTCCTCACAATCATGTTTATCACAGCCAGAAAGAATTTCCATCCTGAAAAGTTGGTCTTTGTCATGAGCTTCAGTAGCAAATCAAGAGATTGTCGAGGCTTTTTGATCATTTGACGCAAAAGTTCTTCCAGGGATGAATTTCTTACCAAAGCGTCTTCACTTATCCAACATTTCTGACTCTTTAGCGCATGAACAATCTTAGATTCATGTATAGATGTTAATATCGTCAAGTGCATGTCACGGAATTGCTGCAAATCAGCGTCTCTCAGGAATGCCTCAAGGCAGTGCAGATAGTTGGGAATTTTGAGACTAGGATTCGCTAGCAGATCTTTCAATGCATTTTCGCAGCATCTCTCAAGGAGGCAGACGAGTTTCTCTGTTTGAGGACTCTCAATCCCAGCGCTGAGCACGACTTCGGCCAAGAGTGAATGCTCAACTTCCAGCAAATCATTAAGAATGTTATCCGCCTCATTGGCGCTGTCTAGATTGCTGAGATAGAGGCAGACATTGAACAGACCTTCTTGCTGCAAAAGGGACATCAAGTGAGGACTTCCCACTTGCCATTCGCAAGCGTACAGTTGCTTCCCAATGCAAATCTGGAAGATGATCTTAGTCAGAGGCTGTGGAATCAATTGTGAATGCAGTTGTTACCTTTTCCCAGCTGGATAACTGCTGCAATTGAAGCAGGAATTCTTCCTCGTGGACCAGGACTTCATCGCTTTGATTTCTCTCATGAATTTCCGTCAGAAGATCCTTCAAATGGTCCAGCATGACTGCGCGCGTAAATTATCAAAACATCAGTGAAGATTTTCGAGCTTCAACTCAGCAGACTGAGTCCAACTGCTTACTCAGTATTGTATTGGTTTCACTTACAATTTCAAGTGTTAGAAATTTATAAATGTTTTATAAATCAACACTTTGTGAGTAGAAAATATCGCATTTGTCTATATAATGACCGTGAAATTTTTAAAGTATATTTATTGCATTGCACGATAGAACATTATTAATTTTAGAAAATAAATCAGTTAAGTACGAGGGCCTTTTAAGTGGGTGGAGCTTAAGGAATATTACACGTCAATTTGGGGAATTGAAATGAGCAATAATAATACTTTAGAAAAAAAATCTTCTATATTTTACCTTTATTCGTCATTGGTACTAGAGAGATTAGAATAAGCGGAGCTGTGTGAGCATTTGATTGAGCAAATGAAGCACTGGGAAATGTTCGAAACGCGAGTTGTACAGTGAGCAAAAAACAAGAGGCGAAATGACATTCCAAGTGGGGCAACAGCTGTATTTTCACACAACATTGCTCTGTAATTTTCGCCAAGAATAAACCTGTCCAGCGCATATCAGAGGTCCTACTTCAATAGGTTAATTATTTTTCGGGATGTCCAGTGTGATATTTTAGCAGAAACCAAACGAATTCTCACGTGAGACGTGAATGAAATTTGCTGTGTGCACCTTCCGAGTGATATTGTTTAGCTGCAGAGTGGAAAATCAGACGAGGTTAGTTGCTTTTCCTTGGAGTGATTGAAATTAATTAAGCAAAAAAAACAATATTTTTAATTGTGCTCCGCTTGCTCGCGCTTCAAAATATATTCGTCAAAAATTGATGAATTTTTTTGTGGTGTGAGTGTGAAGCCATCGCGAGAGTGTTGTGCAATGAAAGCACAGTTCGGTGCTTATTATATGGGAGTTTCTTCAATATTCAATCAGTCTATTAGATCTTTTATCATATTGGCATAAATATGGCAAAATTGTGAGTAAAACGATGGGTGGGAACATAGCATTTCAATGTGAATTGGATTCTTGGAGGTCAATATCAGATATATTCAGTGATGGAGCTCTTTGAAGAGCGCGTCTCAAGAGAGGCGCGTTTATTTGCTTTTCGTAAAAACAAGAAAATATGATTCGTTTGTTTATCAATGGGGAGAAAATGCGAGTTGGAAGTCTGTAACTGTTCGTCTGAGAGAGATTATTCGATGGTGAAACATTGAATTTGTTTGTTGAATAAATGAACAATAAATTTGCCAGTCTATTTTGATGTAAAATACTCTGAATTACAGCCGCGCGCTATAATGTTCTCCAACCACAGTTGGAAGCTAATTCGCCAACTCTGGCGTCACGAAGAAAAATCAAGTGCGCGAATAAAATTTTATTGCACAACACGACTCTCAACTTGAGAGATTCTCTATTTTTGTGCGTCTCTTATTATCTCTACATTTTTTCGTTTTGTGTTCTTTTTTCTCCTTTCGCTAAGTGGAGAGAAATTGTGGGGATTTGAGTAGGAAGATAGAGAGATGGATATGAAGATCAGTGAGTCACATGGAGAAAAGACACGATCAGGAAATGGTTTGTGGTATTCTTCTTCAATGTCTCTAAATACCACCCCTTTGCCAAGTCCACCTAGCATCTCTGTTTACGCACACGTCTTTCTTTCATCATCCAAGATAAATCTATCCCACCCACACTTTGTAGATACAAATCATGTCATTTTGCGGAATAATTGATATTCGCCCACGAGCGCACACATTGCCAAAGAGCACTGTGGCTGGAGAGACTTGTAGAGGAAACAATGAGTTTTTGCATGTAAACAAGAAACATTCTATAAGTGGATGGTAAAAGTTATTTTTGCGGATCTCTTGGCTTATCTCACGGATCTTTCAACTTCAAATATTTGATATAGTGCCTTTTACCACATACACACAATTCTCATCTTATTTAACGAACACCACTCATGCTTGGTAATTTCGCATTTTTATCACTTCACCAGTAGCTAATTTCCATTTTCACAGCATTTTTGCGGATTATTTCTGGAAAATGACTTCCCGTGTTGACTGAAGTGTGGCGTATATTTATATTCAAATTGCGATCCATTATTTATGATTGTTCAATCAGTACTAATTATAATATAAGAAATTGCACGGTCTTCAAGACACAAGGGAGTAATAGAGCAATTTATCTAGAGAAGGCACTTTTTCCTTCATAACTTCATTATCAGCCTGTACTCTTCAACTGGATACCTTCTCTACACTATCTTTCCTTCGTCCGTAGTCTTCTCTGTAAACTATAGATTTTTGATCATATATTTAATAGCACTTTTCACAGCATTTTTCTAATTTCTGTCTTCTCGTGCGTTGCAGATGGAGTCAGAGTGTCGTCGTGGGTCAGTAACTTTCTGAGTGACATTCGAAAGCGAGGTCCGGAGCCTCTAAATCAATCCGGAACATCTTCTAAAGAGCCACCGCCAAAGGACGACACGGATGAAGAGAGTTTCACCGTTGACGATGAAATTGACGCAATAAACGAGGCGAGTGGTGAGACCAAGGATGAAACAACTGTAGAACCCTCGAGATTCCGGAGGATAATTTATGCTGGCGAAGTGTTCGGCCGCTTCACACAAACAGGAGAGAATTCTATGGAAAGTTTCACATCCATAGGCAGAAGGAAGATTAGTGAATTGTACCAAAAATTGAGTGTCAACCGGATCAAGTACAGTGAGATCAAGGGGAAGCGTATGGAGGCTAAGAGAATACTCCAGGAGCTTCAGGATGTGAAGGATGAGCGACCGGCTGAGGAAATGGCACCATTTCCCATTGAGGATGACTTTCTGGCGTATCCAGAGGCTGCTGGGACGCAGGAAAAAGGGCAGTGCAAGCGAATGGGAATCGGAGACATTGGGCGGAGTTCCAGTGCAAATCCCAGCATGAAGAGGAAGGCTCTGAGTGAGATTGGACGACGATTCAGCGAGATGAATGACGAACAAGAGGGCTCGAGCATGCTGGGAAGTGAGCAGAACAGCAGCTATCCAAATTCTGGGTCATTCAACACCAGCAGCCTGACCATTAAGAGTGATCCTGGTGTGAATAACAATCCCAAATCACTGCCGGCGAGCCCAACGCCGCGATTGGCACGCAAGAGCGCCCCTGACGAAGGCTCCCGACATCATCCACCCATTCTGCATGACATGTCAATCCAGGTGAGCGCTCTCAGCCCATGAATATTGTCAATGAGTTGAGCATCTGCCTCTCTTTCAGTCCGATTCCAGTCGATGCTCAAGTGTGGAGAGCCTTTTGGAGGCGCGAAAGCCAGATGCTGAGACAATTCTCATAAACCTGGGCTTCGGACCAGTGCAATCGGAAGATATTCTCTCGAGGATCCCCAAAAGATTCCTCAAGCCGTCCCAAGTGCGAGGAATCGACACGGATGCCTTTCTCAAGCACCAGCAGCTGGCCAATCACTTGCACGATCACAGTGTCCTCGGCTATCGCGGCCTCGTGGGTGAGTTTCCCATAATTTCTCCCCTCCTTTTGGTGGTCAAGGGACACTTCTAACTAACCATGGGCTCATCTGGAGGACACATCTCAGCTGATAATTCTCTTTTCTCTTTTCACTGGTGGCCAGACTATGAGAAATCACAAATTCTGCGGAGATTTCATCGTCATGCAAAATAGAAAATCAGTATTTTTATTGTTAAAGGGTATTTTTCTAACTTATCAAACTTCTAATGCATTTTGTTTTGTATTTCTTTTATTGTTTTTGCATGTTTTTCATTTGTTTTTGCCTGAGTGTATTTATTTGATTTGAGTTTTTATTACTCATGCCATTCTGTCACTGATAATTTCCCTGCAATTCTTCTAGGTAATCCTCACACACCACCTTCGCTGATCGTGGCCAAGATCATGGAGAGATTTCAGGCAAATGAGCAACAGAGAATCCTGGCTGATATGAATGGGAATCATCAAATGACTTAGAAAAAGTGATCGCAGCACTTTTTTGTGACAACATTCCAATACTTGTTTTCTTTGTAATAGGAAGAAATTTGTTACTTGTACGCAATTTTACTATGTATTTATATTGTTTTTAAGATTCACAACATTATTGTGATAAGCAATTAACCCATTCGGAACAATTCACTAGTTTAAACGGCATAATTTTGCGTGACATATCAAGGATGGTCACTGACATGGGTTAAAGTTGATAAGGAATTTTATTTTATTTTTACGTATGCTTTCGTCCCCAGTAAAACTAACGCACGAAAGTATTGGATGGATATTAATTTGTTGAATTTGTATTTATTTCTCAGAGCATCTTTTAGGCAAAAATAAATAAACATACTAAATCAATAGCATGTTCACAGTCTATGATTTCTATGGAAATGAACTCATATCTGCTATCGAATCTCATATCATATCATAGGTTGAGCAAAGTTTACTGCTTTTTCTTCAGTCAGACTAGCTGTTGAGTTTATCTCGCGGTTCTTTGCGTCTGCATCAGCCGCAGTATTTGGCTAAACTGTTATCATAGACTCACTTGTTAGGATTTCGTGTGTCGTTATGCCGAGATCGACCAAACGACATCTCTCAAGTAATTTAATATTACTTCTTTTGCCAGCTTTGTATCCTTCCATGCCATGTTAATTTATGGATGTTTTCCTAGTAATTCTTTTATTTGCACTTCAACTACAATTCTGCAACAGCATCGTTCTAAAATATTCTGTATTTCGCATTTCTCTCAATCAGCTTTACAGAAATCTCTGTAATAGATAAATACGTGAAATCTTATCAAAAGAAACCAAAAAAACGCCATTTACCATGCAATAATACTAAGTCTCCTGACATGCAATTAGTTCATCATGCAGAGAAGCCGAAAAGGACTAAAAAGGACAAAAGAAGCACACATTTGTGGAGGAATACGAGGGAAGCTTCACCTGGACTGTCCTTGTACTGCACATAGTCCACTTCCTCATCAAACATGTAGCACTGCTCGTAGCTGGAGCCCAGCATTCCCGTGAATGTGGCCTCGAAGTTGTAGATCATGTGGTTGTTCTCATCTGAGTGATTGTTGAATGCATGGTCGCTTCTCCTGGTCTCGTCCACGAAGAACTGCGCAAAGTACTGAGCCGCCAGGATGGCGTCGGGCGTGTGAGAGATGTTATTGTTGTAGATCCACTCGTACAGATTCTTCTCAGGATGGAATTGAATGCCGTAGAAGGGATACTTTGTGTGCTCAATGGTGGAAATGAATGTGAAACCATCCCAATCTTTGTTGTCTGACATCACGTGCCACTCATCGGCAATGCCGTAATCCGTGAGATTCTGCTCAGTCACGCAGAACTGGTGGAAGTTGGGTGTGACAGGCTCATTGGCCAGGATCTCGAGGACTCGCGTTGGCGCCTGAGCAAACATGCGACTCGTGCGATAGTCAGGCTTGAAGTCCAACGGCAGAGGTTGCTTCTGCGAGCTGCAATGAGCACGATGCTCCCGGCTATTGGCCGAAAGGTACGTGAGCAGCTCGAAGCCCAGGCAAGTGCCCCAAAGAGGGAAGTAATCCCCGCGGTCGTTGAGATCCATCGCCACAGCATAAATATGTTCAGCCGCTTCTGAATATCCATTCGTTTGGTTGAACCAAGTCGCTCCTCCCGGAAAGAGTATCCCATTGATCTTCATCATGATGTCCTCATAATACTCCCGAGGTTTGTCGATCCTGAAAGATTTTATTTTGACAGTGAAATTACATTGTTGTCCACTTCAAAAGTGATCTTGTTTCCGGGGAAGTCAAGCAATAAAAAATCCATTATTTGTCGAATTGGTCATTCAAATTGAAGATTTTGATAAAGCGCCAAACAATTATAGGGCAATTTCGCGTCAGAAGCTCTAATTTACGACACCGATAAGAAGCACACAACTCAAGAGGGAATACATGATAAGCTACTCACCAGATCGGCACAACACGTGCGCCTCCGCCCTCCACGAATTTCACATAAGAAGCCGCAATGAAGCTCTTGAACATACCAGGATAGCGATTCTCCAGCGAGTAGGAAATCTCTTGGGACAGAATACCAATGATGGGGTTCTCATTCTCCACTGTGGCCCTCACGGCGGCGAATGCTGGGCTCAACAGTAATCCCAGAATGGCGAAGAGCAGAAGATTCATCGCTCACAACGGGTGATAAGTCACTGGACAATAGTCACTGCGAAGAGGGCAATTTATTCATTCTCACTTATCTCTCTCGTCGAGCGATTTGATGCTTGTTTTGTCGCAGAGAGAAATCGTGTGTTATCAATCGCAAAATTCAAACAATGAGCACGAAGATGCATCGAGTCTATTTCGCTCGCTTTGGAGTCGCCTGGGAGTGCGTCTCGAGCAATTCCACTTTCCGGATCAATTGGTCCAAATTGATACTCAGTGACCTCATACGATTTTTCTGGAAATAGACAAAAATTGTGTTATTTTTGGCGCCTCTTCGGGGTAGGGGAACTCACCTGCTTCAGATCTTCCCACTGCTTGTTCAAGGACAATTGCTCCTTCTTTAGTTCTTCGGGATTCTTCTCGTCAAAATCATCAAGAAGTTTTTCTAACATGGCAATATCCTGCTCATCATGTTTCAATTCTTTCTCCAGTGAGTCTATGTCAATCTTCAGCATGTGTCCTATCAGACCATTTTTCGTTCTTTCCCTCTGACGTGCCAGGAAGTACTCGGAAAGCGACGCCTTGTCCAGAGATTCCACTCCACTGTTCATCCACAAAGTGACGCATTCACCAAGAAGAGTGTCACAAGACTTCGGCAAACACATCAAATCCACTTCTGATGGCAGCATCCTTTCCAGTTTAGCCACTAAAACGGGGGAAATCGTGAAAAATCAGTATTCTTCTTCAAATCATAACCTCAATTTCTTACCCTCACGAGAAAATCGGTCTTTTTGCAAATCTCTCGCATTAGACTCCATTTCTTATTCACTTATGAAATTCTATGTACACTAAAAACTTGTCTTGATGCAAAATCGTAAGCTTTCCTGAGAGAAAATGCAAGAAAACCAAAGAGAACCACAAGAAAAGCTCTCAAACAATCCAACGGTGTTTTTGATTGTACGCGGCTTCGCGAGAGTTCGTTGATACACTTCATCATCGAGTGGCACGAACAATTGTTTTTTTTTCTTTTTAAAAGCCAAAACTGATCCTTTTATAGCCTGAAAAAGGCTCAAAAGCTGTTTTCCCAATAGAATACTTTTCCGTTTCATCGGCGGACCGCAATCGTTGCGAATTAACCGTTGCCAGTGATAAATTCTAGTAATTTTCTATTTTATTTTTTTCAGTGTTTCACTAGCAATTTCATTGATATATACACTCTACTTCTTGGGGGGTTCAATCTGCTCAGTGGCCGGATTGGCCTTCCTGAAGTTGGGGAATTGTTCCCAGGGCGCAGACAGGTCAAAGCGTCGGAACTCCTGGGCCAATTCCAGAGGCTCCACAACCACGCGCTTCTTCTCATCGTCATAACGCACTTCCACGTATCCGGACAGAGGGAAATCACGCCTCTGCGGATGTCCCTCGAAGCCATAATCCGTGAGGATGCGTCGTAGATCTGGGTGATTGGCAAAGAAGACTCCATACATATCCCAAATTTCTCTTTCGTACCAATTTGCAGCCTTGAAGATATCATTGCAGGAGTCAATGGGCGTCAATTCATCCGTGTAAGTCTTCACGCGGATCCGGGAATTGTATCGCAGAGAGAGGAGATTGTAGATGATCTCAAAGCGGTACTTCCGGCAAGGAACATCCATTCCAGCGATGTCGGTCAAGTTTGTAAACTGACAATTGTGGTGATCCTTGAGAAATTGCAGTACCGGAAGCACTCCTTCAGGTGACACCAGAACTTCTAACTCATTCCCGGCCGTTAGTTGAATTTTCTGAACGAATTTGGGGAGACACTCAGCGACGTACTTCCCAAACTCCGTAAGAGTGTCGCGCTGAACGGCATCAGGCTTCCGAACGGTGGCTGGGATGGGTAGTAAAATAGTTAAAATCTCATAGAATGTTGCATTTGGGGCTTCACTTACGCCTGGTTTCCTCATGCTTAGGCGCCTCCGTGCTATTCAGCCGAGACAGAGCAAAGGAACTCCGGGCAACACCTGAAATCACAAGCAATGAGGTTACCGCTTGAATTTCTTACGTAATCCTCGCCGTGGGGTGTTTACCGCTGAATGTCTTAATGCTGCTCCTTAGGGAAGGAGTTAAGCTTCGTAGAAGGGATGCCATTTAGCAGGATTTTCTCCAAAATACCCACGAAAAGCGTATTTTTCTAGAGCACCTGACACTTGTATTATTGTTTTGCAGTGTCCCACGAATGTCCCACTGCTAGAATATTGACATGGAAGTTTTGATGCTGTCAGTTTCTTTGTTTTTGAATTTTCCGAGACGCGTAAATTTTGTTTTTTCTCTGGATTTTCCGTGGTTTTCATCATGAATATCATTTGCCCCATTTGTACAGAATGTGTACTGCCAAATGAAGACTTGTGCGCTAATTCCTGCGGCCACATTTTCCATTATCCCTGCATTCGACAGTGGATTGAGAGGTAATGGAAATTTATTTTTCCCCTGACAAATATCCTGTGAAAATCTGTACTTCTCCTTTGTTTTTAGATCCCAAACGTGTCCCCAGTGTCGGAAGCAGTGCACAGAGAAGTACCTGAACCGAATCTTCTTCACTGTCGCTGCCGGTGAATGCACAGAACAGGACGTTGCGAACCTGGAGAGGAAACTCGAGATCTTGAATCAGAATTATCAAGAGCAATCGAAGAAGTTTGATAATCTCCAGGAAGAGGCAAAGAAGCTGAGGAGTGATAATAAGAAATCAGCAAAAACCATTATAGCATTGGCGGACAAAGCTAGGAGCAAAGAATTCGCCCTGAGGAACTTCCAGACTGAAGTGAGATTCCTTTCAGGACTTCTTTATTGCAGCGTTTCAATTTATCTTTATGCAATATTTTTCACTGATAGTGTTTGTTGACCTTCATGAGAAAGCTTTACAGATATGCATGACGAATGTGATGAAATATAAAGTATTTCTTGAGTAATTTCGCATGTTCTTTCTTTTCTTCCATTGCCAGATGAAGAAGATCAAAGATGAATTGCTGGAGCACCAGGGGATAAAGAAAGAGCTGGATGCTTTAAAGAACCGAGTGGATCTGGTTTCAAGCATTGAGGTTCTGCTGGATTCCAATCATTCTAACGTCCAGCAATTACTGGCAAAACGCCCAAGCATGGATACTCTCGCTTACATGGTGTCCAATCTCAAGCGGTGAGTGAATTATGACTTTCAATCGTCTGAAATCTTGTTCTCAGAGTTACTCTTCCTCTTCAGAGACTTGATCAAAGTTGTGAGCTCCAGGAACGATCTCAAAACTACCCTCATACAGACCAAAAACATTCTAAAAGAAGAGAAACAGCGCCGAGAGTGAGTCTGGAGCACACTTTATTATGGGAAACAATTCAATAGTGTTCTTATTTCCAGGCAACTGCAAGATCAATTGAGTGTGGTTGAGAGTGAAAAGTACGAGCTTGAGCGTCAGATCCGGAAGAGACAGAGAGAGAATGACGAGGATGAGATTCCTGAGAAGCGGAAACCCAATGCTAATTCTTCCAATTCTTCTGTCTCGTCTCTTGAGATTGATAACAGCGATTCGCCTTATCTGCGTGTTCAGTCTAGTGCTGTAGGATTGACGCCCATCCTCAAGAAGCCATCGCAGTTCAATGCAACTGATCTGCCACCGGATCTCAAGAAGCTCTCGATCTTCCAACAATTCCGCCCTCAAGTGCAAAGCAAAAACAATATCCCAAGTGGCACTTACGTGTCCGATGGGATGGGTGGCTTGGAGAAAAAGGAAAACTTCCCAGGTTTCCCATTGCGTAGCAAATTAGATCTCAATTCCTCATCAGTGAAAAAGCGCCTCAAGAGTGGCGCTCTGAAGAAGCCCTCGAAGTAAGATATGGCGATTGTGAATAAATTTTTCTTGAATTTTCTCACTTTCATGTTTATTTCATTCGGAATTAAGCGATTTAAGCCAATTTATAGCTTGATGGGTTGAGGCTTGTTCTCCTTCTTGCGCTCTTCATGGCGTTTCGCTGCCTCCGCTCGGGAAATGTTGCCCTTCTTGGCAAATCGCTGATTCCTCAAGAATTTGGCGCACATCTAGCAAAGTATGCAACGAATTAATCTATGAAATTACCATTATGTGGAGGTTTTACTTACACCCAGAGTGGACTCATGAAGCTTCCTCGTGGGACGCTTGATGCCATTACGATGGGCTTTGCGGTCTGTAAAACAACAAGATAATATGCAATTTCTCTGCGATAATTGATGATTTTCATCTTACTTTGGTTGTGATTTGTGTGATTCTTCGACTTGGCCATTTTAGGTTACCCACAAAGTTTTCCTGTAAGTAAAGAGAAAAAACATCCAAATAACCCGGAAATTTCATTTGCTATACATAATTGCTGACGTGAAGTTGCGATTTTGATAAGAATTAGAGCCATGAAGAGCCTTTAAATAGGAAAAATCGTGAAAAATACGCACCGCGTGTGAAAAACACCAGACAAATTGTCAAACTCAACCGGAAGAGGTCGTACGTTATCCAGACTACTAGAATTTCACTTTATCCGGATTTCGGATAAGAACTGAAAGGTGCCTGTGTTTTGGTTTTTCTCGGCAAATTCAACTCAATTAAAATGCAAGTAAACGCAATGAAATTCATTGCGAGATGTATTCATCGGATCCGCTGCACTTCCGAGAATATTTTCCCATTGTCTGCTCAGACTGTCAGATGGAATTGCCCTGTGAAATCAGAAGTAATTCCTGTCCTGGGACAGACACAGCACCAGACTTCTCATGGACCAGGAGTTGTTCTGGGGAGTTTCTACTTCTGGAATATATTTAAGAAGAAAGACGATAAGGAGGAAACACCCGAAGACAAGCTGATAATGACGATAAAGCGATCGATTTTGAGTATTCAACGTGGCGAGTATAACAAGGCTGAGCAGATGCTTCATCTGGCTCTGAGAATGGCACAGGAATTGCAACATAAGGATGGTATCACCTACATTTACGACGTGATGGCAAACCTAGCCTTGGAGAAGGGTGACTTTGAGAAGGCAGAGAAGCTGTTCGTCAACGTAATGCAGAGACTCTTTGGGGAAGGCTTCAAAGAGAGCCACATTAAGATGCTTCACATCAGCTCCAAGATAGCCCACATGGCGGGACTCCAAGGAAACTTCGAGAAGGCAAAGCAGGGCTTCGAGTGGACACTGCAGAAGCTGGAGGAGAAGCTGAAGATACGGGAAATTGAGGAGGAACTTAAGGATGTGCGAGAACTCTGGGGAATGACCAAGAATTGGTACGGACAGACACTCTTGGAACTGAACAAGGTTGAGGAGGCGAAGCAGTGCTTCTTGGCAGCATGGGAAGTATTTAATGAGTTTCATGATCAGCTCAATGAAGACGCTTTGATGCTTCTCAACAATCTGGGTGTCGTGTGTATGCGACTAGGAGAGACTTCAGCCGCTGAAGACTATCTCCGGAAAGCCATCACAGTGTCCAAAGAGATTCCCGATTTTGTGGAGGTAAACGTCTTTAGAGCGAACCTGGGTCTTGTGTACCTTCAGCAGGGCCTCCTCCAGAGAGCCACCGACATTTGCAGCCTCTCGTGGCGCCTCAGCAAGAAAGCCGAGAACGACAGGGCCTTAGAACAGGCTGAATACTGCTTAGACCAGATCAAAAAGCTGACATCAAGCAGCAAAGGGTGAAGAAGCAATTAAAAAAGAAAAAGAATTTATTACAATTGTTTGTCTCAACTCAAATGCTGGCTTTTAGTGCACTTCCCAGCAATAAAATTGTTCACCCACAATGGGATCTCTTCTATTTTACCTCTAATATATGTTTTTCTCATTTTTTTCTCTTTAAATGTATATATAATTTTCTCATAATGTTTCCATCTCTCACTATAGAACATCCTTCTAAGAGTGTGATTCATCATGCGCCGTTTTCTAATCTTATTGTATACAGCTTTTCCTCTGCTTCTTCTCAGCATTAACTTTTTTCATTTGCAAGTTTTCCTTGATGTTTTTCTTTTATTTTCTTCTTTTGCACCTTTTCGCCACAAACTACAGGAGAAAAAATACAAGAGAGAAAAAAAGCTTTAATTACAGCATTCATGCAGAAGTGGACTGCATTCAACTCACGAATCTTTGTGAATTGTCCGCCACATTTAGCGCGGAAGTCCCCATGCGGAGGCAATGGTTGGAGTATCATTGGCGGCCGGAGCACTGGAGGCCAGCCCGAAGTCAGGGAAGTCCTCGTGTGAGGACGTGTTGGGCGCCTTCTTCTGCCACGGCGCCCCCTTCACCACAAACCCCTTGGGCGGCTGCTGGCCAGCAGATTCGCCGCCGGAGCGATGATTAAGGCCACTTTTGGTGAGCGCCTCCTCAAACACGTCGCTCACACTCATGGGCTGATACGCCGGCTGGGCATCGGCCACATCCTGGAGGTACTCCTCCTCGAGATTAAGTATGTAATCCTTGCACTCGGCCACCGCCTCCTCATTGCCCACGATCGTTACTTGGTTGGGATTGGCGTCGCCTGTCTTCGGAAACTTCACCTCCACCTTAAACTCATCCATGATGCGCCTGATGTTGCGTCCACGTTGCCCAATCAGGCGTGGATAGATGCGCACATCCACCTCAATAGTCTCCTTGGCCAGCTTGTTGAGATCATTAGCGATCTTCATGATGGCATCGCGGGCTGCATAGGCCGCTTGCTCATATCTATAAGGAGAAAGAAGGACATTGATAAGAGATGTACAAAGGATTGTTGCATTTAGAAAATCTAAAAAAAGTATCGAAATCTATACAGGATCTGCACAAAGACTGTGAAAATGATATTAAAAATAAAATAATAATTGCTACTCACCCTTGGATAGTGATGATATTATCAGCGACATCATCCTTCTTGGGGAAGGATATCTGCACTCCGTGATCAGCGCGTATTTGATTGATCACGTTCCCCTTGCGACCGATGATCTTGGGATGATAGTCCGAGTCAATCTCGACCTTCAGCTCGAACGATCGCAGCTCACGATCCTTCCTATCCTGCTCCAATTCCTCGACACGCTTCAGCACCGCCTCCTTGGCATCCTCCACATTCGTCGCAGCGCCTGTGATCTTGATCACATCCGACCTCTGATCAGGCGGCGACAGCTCAATGTGCACATCATATTGATGCATCAGTTCGCGCACACTCTGCCCCTTCTGACCAATTATGGAGCGATGGAGGTCGAAACTCACATTGATCTCCTGTGTGATGGGGATCAGATCAAAGAGGGCCTGCTTAGCCGCCTCGCACTTGTCACTGCTGCCCGTGATCTTTATGATGTCACACGATCGCACACCGCCGTCCTCAGCTGGCATTCCACCGGCAGCTCCATCGCCACCGTTCAGTTCCGTCATTGACTCAGCACTGTTGAGCTCGCGATCGGGGAACTTGATCTGCACGTCGAAGCGCGCAGTGATGTCCTGCACCTTTCGCCCCCTGGAGCCCATGACGGTGCGATGATGACGTTGTGGGATCACACATTCAATCGTCACCTGGTTCTCGAGGTTGTGAATGAGCTCCTGAATGCGCTGCTTGGCCGCATCAATGCAATTTCGTGCTCCCTTGAGAGTTACACGATCGCTGTCCACGCCAGGCCTCGGGAAGGAGATCAGCAGACCGCCACACTCCTCAGCAATGCGATGAAGCACTTCACCACGCTTCGCTACAAAGTAGCGATGATGCTTGGGATCAACATTGATCTCATCCTCCACGATGTTGTCAATGTCTTTGATGATCAACTCCAGCTGCTGCCGCGCCGCCTCGACGCTATCCTTGCGCCCTATGATGGTGATCACCTCTTTGTCCTCATCTGAACTTGTGGGGAAGACAATGCGCGCCCCTGTGTTGTCCCTGATCTTCCTAATGGACGCACCATTCTTGCCAATGAGGAACTTATGATGCTGCTGCTTCGCTCTCACTTCAGCCGTGAAGCTGCTCTGCTGACGTTCGTTGCTCATCTCAATCAATTGCTGCTTCGCCTTCTGAACATCCTCCTTAGGTCCACGAATGGTCACCTTGTCACTTTTTGACTCAGGTGTCGGGAACTTTATCGACACATTCCCACACTCCTCCATAATGGACGAGATCAGTTTCCCACCAGCACCAATGATGAAGTTGTAGTATTCAGGCGGAATAACAATTTCCTCAGTCACAATATCACTCAACTCATCCTGAATCTTCCTGATGCGGTCACGCGCCTCCAGGACATTCTCCTTCTTTCCCGTGATCATAATCACCTCATTCTCATCCCCCTCAGCTGGCAAGTCAATCTTCGTGTGAGTCTCATCGCGAATCTTCTTGATATTCGCACCACCTTTGCCAATGATAAACTTATGGAACTGCTTGAAGATCGGCAATTCCATGATGAATGACGACTCCTGCAAGTCCTTCACAATCTTGAGCAAGTGTTTGGCGCACCGATCAACATCGTCCTTCGGTCCACGGAGCTTCACGGTGTCTGTCTTATCATTGAGATTGGGAAACATGATCTGCACGTGCTTAAAGCGCTCGCGAATCTCCTTAATGTTCTCGCCCTTTGCACCAATAATCGTGCGGAACAGACGATGATCAATTGTCACGTCCTTCTCCTTCTCGTTCTCCAATTTCTCAATCTTCTCCGTTAGCTCCTTCTCTGCCTTCAGCACACCATCAATCGGACCCTCAATCCTAATGCGATTCAAGCCATCCTTCTCCTCAATGTTGATCACAACATCCAATTCATCTTTGAGACGGTTAATGTTGGTGCCTGCCTTTCCAATGATGTGCTTGTAGTGCTTCGGATTGACAGTCATGTCGCGATAAGTCAGCTTGTTCACATAGTCGTCAACAATAGCGGACAATTGCTCACTAGCCTTGTTCACCTGATCAGGTGGACCCTCGATCTTGATGCGATTGTCCCCAAACTCCACGTGAACATTGACAAACTCCGCACTCAACTCCTTGATGTTGGCTCCCTTGCGTCCAATGATGTACTTGTGGATCCATGCCGGGGCATTAATGGTCAAGCTCTTGACGCTGTTCGCCTTGGCGCACACAGTGCTGAGGGCATCACCAAGATGTTCCTGCGGCCCACGAAGAATGATCGTGTTCGTGGTTGAGTCATTGGGAGGAATCTCAACGGACACACCAGTGAGCTGCAGAATCTCCTGAATGGTCGAGCCACGATTTCCAGACACATACTTGTGCTGCTCGCGCGGCACTTCCATGCTCACAGTGGTGCACTTGCTCTCCATCTCCTTGTAGATCGCCTCAATGCGCGACTTCGCCTCAAACACGCCCTCCTTCTCGCCCGTGATGATGATCTCGTCCTTCATGACCGACTGCGGAGGCACATTGATGCGCGCTCCAGTCTCCTCGATCATCTTATTGAGGTTCTCACTGAACGGCCCCAAAATGAACGGATGATAGATCTTCGGCACGGAAATCTTCTCCATTGCCTTGCGACTCTGCTCATCACTGATCGTCTTGATCTCATGTTCTGCCTTCTCAATGCCCTCCTTCGTGCCAGCAATCGTGATCAGTTCGCTCTCATCCGAAATATTCGGCACGGAGATCTTCGTCGACGTCACCTTCTCCAGTTCCTTGAGACGCTCGCCCTTCTTGCCCAGAATCCAGCGATGATGCTCCTTCGGAATCGGCACTTGCTTGCTCGCCTGCGTCTGGAAATGCACCAAAATCTTGCGACGTGCATCCAACACCTCAGAGTGCTTTCCAGATATCAAGAAAGTCAGTGACAAGTCCTTCCCACTAGAGATCTCAATATGTGCTCCAGTGTCCTTCATGATGTTCTGGCAAGTGCGCAGAGACTCACCCTCGCCAAACTTCTCAGAATCAAACTTGCGCTCGCTGTACGGAACACGGAACACCTGCAAGGATACAACGGACATTTTATTTCACAGCCAGAGTAGCTCAGTAACTTTCAAGATTTAACCCAATTCGGAATTAACTTCTCACTCACATTATTGTTATGTCAATATCTATCAAAGAGATTCCCTTTGCTTCAAGATCATGATATAAATTCGATTACTCACTTGAGTCACAACGCTGCTTCCAACCCGCATATTAGTCGAATTATGAGCGGGCATCGCCGGCGTTGAGCTCTCGGGCAGAGCCGGGAATAAGTCATCATAGTTGAATCCAGCCGATTGTTCACCCATCGGCAAAGTACCTAAAGAAGTAACCAGGTGAAAATTAAAGCTAGTGTTATTATCATATAATCGGACCTTTAAGCTTACCAGAAATTTCCTCCATCGTTGCTATTGTTAGTCTGAATTCAGAAGAGACAAGTCCTATTCCAATCCAAGTCGTTACAGTAGCACTAGAAGAAAACAGGGAAGATGAAAGTGCGTTAATCAAGCACCAATTTTCTATCAGTGTTTTTACAGAGCAAAGAGGGGATTCATCGTAAAATTTGGCAAAATGACGGCCAAAAGAGGCAAAGGAAAAATGCATATGAGTTGCAAAGAGACACAGACAGCCTTTAGGTCAAGGGCCACGTGAGAATAAAACACACTCAAGCACTTCCCGTCACTCTATTTGTATTGTGGCTCAAAGTAAAGAGTTCAATAGCATGTGGCGTAGAATGCATCGACAATTTTCTCTCCCAAAAATTCCCTCATCTTATCATACGAAATTCTCTGATAATATTTTTTGCCTAGCAAACGTAGCAAACTCAACAAGTAGGGCAACGAATATGCGAATAATGAAATGAAAATGTCACTGTTTTGCATTTTCTTTAACTCATTTTTTTGTCTCTTGATGAAAAACCACAGCTACAGAATGACAATTATACAATAAAAAGAATAAGAGGGCAGTGAACTTAACTCCTTCGCTGCATTACTAATAAGTTACTTGATTTGCAAAACAAAATGCCCACCAGAAAAGAAAACTAATCCTGTTACATAGACACATGATATGATTAGAAGTATGTTTTCACACAATCTTAGAAATATTTCTCAATTGTATCTTCCAGAACATAGGGATGAACATTCGGCGTGAGACGCTCCACAGGATAACCATTGCGATCAATGACAAATATGGTGAAATTGCAATTTATGAATCCACCCATATTTCCAGGTCGTTCAGCCTTTAGGAACTTGTAGAGAAGGGCCGCCTTCGCGCCATTGACCTGAAGGAAAAGAAAGCCAAGACATTAGAGAATATTTACTCAAAAAGTCTCTCAACACAGAACAAGAGCAATACTCACATCAATCTCTTGAAATAGATCACCAACTCGAAGGTGCTCTTTGTCGATCATATTCATGATTTCTCTCATGGAATTCCTTGGGCCAAATTGCGAGCACGGGAAAAGGAGAATGGCAAAATCGTGATCCTCATACTTTCGATTGAGTGTATCCAATTGTTTGAATTTACCCAATGTGGCAGCATCATTTGACGATATATTCACAATCAGACACACTTTCCCCTTGTACACCTCCAGCGATATTTCATTCCCATTGGCATCCGCCTCTCTGAAGTCGAAGATAGACTTCGGCGTGGGCATTGTTGTCATTTGATCCACAATATCCATATTTCTCTTTGCCTTTCACGCTCCTTTCTTTTCCACAGGATCGAATCAATGAAATCCACCAAAAGTTCAGCACACAAGACAAAACCACCTTTTCACTGCAAATGCACTCTTTCAACTGTGATTCCACCGTCAAGAAGACATGTATTTTATAAGGCACATGCCAATTCGCACGATGGATGTGCCACTAATTCGACAGAATACATTAAATTACAATTAGTACTCAATTGTACTTAGGATATTCTAGTCACCCCACTCTCTATCTCTCTTCAGAATGACAATCAGTTCCTGGTTTTTGTTCCCTTTCTCACTCTCTGGATTTTCTCTGACCTGCTTTTTCTCCCATCGAGTTTAGTTTCTTTCAGAATAATCAGCAGATGCCAGGATAAGATAAATTAATTGGGGTAAAGTTGCGAGATAAGATTTCGAAGCATTATGGAATTATCATTATTATAATCTTCCCAAAAGTGCATTATTTTCTATTACATTAACATTGCACACATTTCTTAGTAATCCAAAAGATTTCCAGTGAGGAACATTAAACAAAATATTTTAGGAAAATACTGTTTCATAATGAATAAAAAATCTACTTAAATCTTTTTGGAAAAATGGAATTAAATGTATAACGTTCATCTAAAGAGTAAACGTTGTGTGCTTTTTTTCTTGTAATAAAAATACTCAAACCGTCTGTCTTGTCGACCTGAAAGGATTAACCATCTCCTCATGAGTTCTAAATCTAAATATCCTTATTGATATCTAGTAGCTCTTGCGTGGGTAAATTCATTAAAAGACTAAGTAGAGTGAAAATGTTAAAAATAACCCTGTTTTCTCACTAACATATTGATTGCACTCCTGAGGGTTAAAGATTGAGATAAATTGAGCACGTATTTTCGCTTGTTTTGCAACATATGGACAGGTCAAAGAACGACAAAGTTCAAATAAGTGACTTCAAAATATCAATTACTGAGGAAAGTTCAGGGAGTCTTCGGCTTTCTAATCAAATGGAAGCTGCTGCCCAAAGATGGGGGCTTAGCTTCGAGACTTTCAAATGGTTTTTTTTTTGTATCAAAGCCTGAAGTCAAGGGCAGTCCTACTTGAGAAACCGAGAGTTGCATTACCGGTGTGATTCCTGGAATACATGGAAGGATTCACTCAAGGTTCTTCACCTCGCGCGAGATTATTTTTACATGCTTGAATTACCAAGAGTGAACATAAACTAAAAATAATACTCATAATCTCTCGAGTGTCGTTCGGAAGAGACAAAAAAGGAGCATTTGCAGGCACTCGAAAAACCTCAAGGATCACGATTCGCGGACTATCACGAGCCTGGCATGTGAACGGGATGAGCTGAGATGAGACGATCTGCTGAGCGGTTTCAAATGACTCGCAAGTCTGGTGAATGTCCGATACACGTGGCAACAGACACAAGATAAGAATTGACTGTCTTTTTGCCATTTACGCAATCTCGGGATCGCGACTTCTCGCCAAATCCATCACGTCTTCCTCCGATTTGCCGGGCAAGAGTGGCTAGAAGAGCGTGACGGAGGCGCTGAAACATTGAGCGAGATGCTTCTCCGTCTGCCGATGGGTAGTGATTGAGGAATTTGTGGGTATTTTCTTGAGGAAATTTCTCATGACGTGTCATGGAGAAAGACGGGTTTTTACGTATGCCACGGCACGCACACATAAAGTGCTATTTTGAGACGCTCCCGTGTCCCGGGGAATGGTAAATAATACACAAAACCACGAAATGGTGGCAAAAGTATTGAGAGATATGGAAAATACTCACTCTACTGCTCTCCAGTAAGTCCGGTTCAGAATAAGATCAAGTTCACAAATCCAGCTTGAACCACCTACGTGTCAAAATCCCTGAAAGCACACGTCGTACAGAGTTATCTTTGAGTGAAAAAAGCGAGCTAAATAGTCACAGTTGCATGACAAAGTGCACACAAATCGATCAAGTGATCAATTGTGAGTGGAATTAATTATGTAATTGATGAGAAACGCACCGGGAGACTGTGAAATTTCCTCAAAATATGCGATGCAATGAGAAAATTATTCTCACCGTCTGACAGTACTAAAAAGATGGATGACCACGTGAAGTTGCCGCTGAATCGCCTTTCCGGCCGCCGATTGCGAGAAAAACTGCCCGAAATGTGGCGAAAGGTGGGGGGAACCCGACTGACTGAGTCTGAACCTTAATCTCGCTGCAAATTGCGCAAAATTACTATGAAGAACATTGTTTATTCGGCACTTTGAATGCTTCAGATGTCCAGATGGTTGGGAAATAGTCTATAGTGAAGTAAATCACTGCAAAAGGGCCCAGATCACTGAAAAAAGTGCAGGAAAATGTGTGAGGGGGACGATCAGTCGGGTTGTGGCGAAGATGGGCGAAAAGTGTCGGCGCGCCATTTGTCAGAACTTCACCTTCACCTTCATTTCACCTTCAGTGTTTGGGGAGAAATCTGCTGCTCCAGTGATCTCTCACATTTCCTAAGGAACACTCTCGAGGCAATCCACAGTGCACCACCTCAGCTTTCCAATCATATCACCTGCTTTGCGGTTCATCCATCAACTGTGAGTATTTCTTGTCGAGAAGCTCTCATTATTGATTTTTCTGCCCATGTCCAGACGCAGAAAAACCAGAGGTGAACGCCTCACACAAAATAATGGGAATCCAGTTTTTCCCACTGGCTTTTACTGGGTCAATGGAAAATTCCACGTGTCTGACTATCGGGAGGGAATTGCAAAACAGCTTGCACTGACCTTGAACCGTCCTGAAGGAGAAGTCTCCATTTTCACAATCCGGGAATTGTATTGTATAAATCCGCTGCTTGTTGCCGGGAACGCCGGACTCTATCTTAAATAAGATCACAGTGCGCGATTCGTGCTAGAGCTTCCTTTTTCAGGAGCCAATAATTTTATGTGAAAATAGCCATAATCACCATAATGTTGTGTTAAGAAGAAACTACAAAATACCTGCTTAGTTAAGTAAGTTTATTGAATTTGCTTGCTGGCAAATTTCATGGCGGCTGGAAAAAGTCATTTACATTTTTAATACACTCATTGCAATTTAGATTGCAATGGCAAAGAACTTCAAAGGGAAATAAGAATTAATTCTAAACATAAATTTTCAGTTCTGAATGCAATAATGAAATCGAGAATCAAGCTTTGAATCAGAATCTTGTGGATCAAGGAAAAGTGAGAAAAATCTCCAGAAAACTCTCCTACTCCAAATGCTTCGCAATTATATTTTTATTTTCATTTTTTGAATTCTCACATTTTCTCCATTTTATTGCACCCGAGACTTGGATTATTGAATCACACACTTATTAAGTGTGTGACTCATTTTTACAGATTTCAGCATTAACTTTAAAATTTTCTTCAGCAATTTAAAGAGACTTATTGAAAATGATCACCAGCACCAACAGGAGCAGCTTTCGTCACTATCCTCACTATGATTATCCTTAACGCCAACCACAGACGCTCTCACTGCCTCGTGAATGGCTAATTGGACGTTTGTCTGGTTCTTTGCCGAGCTCTCGATGAATGTGTTGGCATTTATTCGCTTCCTGAGCGCTTCACCTTCGCGTGTGGACACTGAATGGGCGGATCTCAAGTCTTTCTTCGTTCCCACAAGGACAATGGGCACATTGGGTCGTGTTCGGCGGAGTTCCGGAATCCACTTGAGTTCGATGTTGTCGAAAGATGTGCGCTCGAGAATGGAGTAGCACAGGAGGAAAGCATCGGCTTGTTTGTAGAATGCTTGGCGAATTTTATCGTACTCCTCCTGGCCGGCAGTGTCGTACAGTTTAACGCAATACAGCATACCGTCGAGTGTCAGATTAAACTCCTCCTTCTCGTAGCTAATCAAGAGACCATGAGAGCACCTTCAATTGACTTTCACAACCATCTTGGATTGAGACTTACATTGTGGCTTCGTAGGTTTCCTTGAAGGCTCCGTCTGTGTAGGCGAACAGGAGGGATGTCTTGCCAACTTGTCCATCACCAACAACAACGATATGCTTAACATTGTCAAAAGACATACTAATAAATGGTCAGGAAATTGTAGAAACCTGCACTGACTAATGCCAACTGATGTGGCTCCCAATAGAATTCAACCTGATATTCCGTTATCTTATCATTTGTGCTCTCTTTCTGATGTAGTCTTTTCTCTGTTTGAAGATATTGATAAAAGTGAGAGAGTCTATTGTGTAGTTTAATCTGTATTCTCTATTCTCTTTCAGAAGAAAAATGGTTCTGCAGAAGATTGTGGCTCGTCAGATCTTCGATTCGCGTGGAAATCCCACCGTTGAAGTGGATCTGACCACGAATCTTGGGATGTTCCGGGCTGCTGTGCCATCAGGCGCTTCCACTGGTGTCCACGAGGCTCTGGAGTTGCGTGACAATGATAAGAACAACTACCATGGCAAGGGTGTTCTCCAAGCTGTGAATAACATCAATAGCATCATCGCTCCGGAGTTGATCAAGTCGGGTCTGTGCGTGACACAGCAAGAGGAGGTGGACAACTTCATGCTGAAGCTGGATGGGACTGAGAATAAGAACAAACTGGGCGCCAACGCCTTGCTGGGAGTTTCTCTGGCTGTGTGCAAGGCTGGAGCGGCTGCTAAGGGTGTGCCTCTGTACCAGCATATCGCCAATTTGTCTGGCAATCCTAACATCATTCTTCCTGTGCCGGCATTCAACGTTATTAACGGTGGCAGTCATGCTGGCAACAAACTAGCCATGCAGGAGTTCATGATTTTGCCAACCGGGGCGTCTTCATTCACTGAAGCCATGAAGATCGGGTCTGAGGTTTACCACCATCTGAAGAAAGTGATCAAGGATAAGTTTGGCCTCGATGCTACTGCTGTTGGCGATGAGGGAGGTTTCGCTCCCAATATTCTCAATAACAAGGATGCGCTGTTCCTCATCCAAGATGCCATTGCCAAGGGTGGCTACACTGGGAAAGTGGAGATCGGAATGGATGTGGCAGCTTCGGAGTTCCACAAGGACGGACAGTATGATCTGGACTTTAAGAATCCTAATAGTGACAAATCTCTGTGGATCTCGCCGGATAAGCTCACTGATTTGTACCAGGAGTTCATCAAGGAGTTCCCAATTGTGAGCATTGAGGACCCCTTCGATCAGGATCACTGGGATGCCTGGAGCAAGATGACTGCCGCCACGAGCATCCAGATCGTCGGAGATGATCTCACGGTGACCAATCCGAAGCGCATTGCCACAGCCGTGGAGAAGAAGGCGTGCAACTGCCTTCTGCTGAAGGTAAACCAAATTGGCACGGTGACTGAGTCCATCAAGGCGCACAATCTGGCCAAGAGCAACGGCTGGGGCACGATGGTGTCTCACCGATCTGGCGAGACTGAGGACACTTTCATTGCCGATCTCGTTGTGGGTCTGAGCACTGGCCAGATTAAGACTGGAGCTCCGTGCCGCTCTGAGAGACTGGCCAAGTATAACCAAATCCTAAGGATTGAGGAGGAATTGGGAGCTGCTGCCAAGTTCGCCGGTAAGAACTTCCGCAAGCCACAGTAAATCATCACACACATGAATTCTCATAAACAGTTTGGAAGGAGAGACAATAGGAAGCGGCTTTAGAAGCAAAGAGTTCTTTCCTTTTTATATGCATGTAATACTTGAAAAGTATCAATAAAGGATTTTCTCGTTGGGACATTGGAGATTGAATATTCTCAGCAAATGGTCATCTCCGCAGCTGGCGAACTGAAGAGGTTTTCCTGGTCGGAAGCGCAAGCTCTTCACTGTCAAACTGTGTGCATTTCTGTGAAACAGAGGGGAACGAATGAAGACAAACAGATCTCTCACTCAAATAAGGATTACTTACGAATTGTCAATTATCTGAAGAATCTCCCATTTGTCACTCAGAGAACATATGGCTATCTTTCCGGATTCGAAGCCCACAGCCACGAATAGTTTCTCCTGCACAAATTCTCCGGCGAAATCTAGCGCAGTCACGGATTCGTCGGTGAAGTTCTGTGTAGCCAGAGCGTTGAACTCACCTAGAGACCCATTAGATGTGCCTGATTTTCTCCAGGATACCAACTTCCCATCCCTAGAACCCGTTGCAAAGACTTTAGAGTCATGAGACCATCCACAACACCAGATGATCCTTGTGTGAATACCATTTGCTTTATCACTGATCGCTGTGCAGGAGAATTTTTCGGCATCTGACGACTGTCTCTCGAAGACGCTGAACTTGCGATCGCGTGAAACCAACAAAAGCTGTAGATTGTCCGGAGAAAAGCGGATTTGTGTTACGGTGAGTTGATGAGCGTGTAGGTTTTGAGTGGGATGCCATGTGCTAGTGTCCCAGAGAATGACTTTGGCATGTTCAGCATTGCTAGCTTTGCACGAAGAGGCCAGAATCTTCCCGTCCGGACTCACAGCGAGAGCATAGACATCATATCCGTGTCCATAGAGTTTCTGGAGTTCCACCCAGAGGGAATTCTGCTTGAGATACTCTTCATTCGGTGGGGAATCCAAGACAGCGGTCAGAATTGCAGTGTCTGGAGTTTGAGCTGAGAGTCCCAGAGCAGAAATTTCCACTCCTGCTACGTCACTGCTCAGCAGACTTTTAAGTTCCTCATCCTCTGTTGGCTTGCAGATAGCTTGGAAGTTTCTTGCAAAAATTGTAGGCGCCTGAAAGCACCTGATGATCTTCTCTTCGGCTGCGGAGAGGAATTTAAAACGCGACATTGGCACTATTGCTTGCAAATCGTATCCATGGATCTGTGGTCGGGCGATTTCGTGCCATGTTGTGTGATCTTCGTGCTTCCACTGTCCATGAATCCTTGTAGTTTGATCTGCAGACACAGATATTAAGTATTCTCCAAGTGGTTCCCATGCAATCTCCCGGACAGCTCCAAAATGACCCCCGAAAGTGCACGTCACGTCCCAGTTTTCACTCTCTGGCAACTTCTGCCAAATCTGCAAGCATCCCTGGAAGTTCTGCGTGAGTACGGCGTTGCACTTCTCACCGAATTGTGCCGTCAGAAAGCCCATTTGATTGCCTCCCAAGTCACCCAAACGGACTTCTTCCAGCCACAAGCCATCGGATTGTGTCCAGATCACTGCAGACTTGTCTATAGAAGCCGAGAGAACTTTAAGATTCCCGGCAGAATTCCTTCCCAACTGTACACTATACACCCACCCTTCGTGGCTCTTTAGGACAGACTCCAAAACCACCTGGTAAGTCTCATTGCAGTGCTGGAAGTTGAGTCTCTCGAGGTGAGTCCGAGCCACATCGAAATCATTCGTCAGTGGCGCTTGGAATGCTGAAACTCGCCACAGTCGGACATTATTGTCTTGAGAAGATGTGGCTATGGTTATCTGCTGACCATCTGAACTAGTGTCAATCCCTCGAATCCAATCCGAGTGTCCAACAAGAGTTTTCTTCAGTTCAAACTTTCCCTTTTCCTGGTCAGAATCTATGTAAAGATTAACCCTGCTTTCGCTGGTGGCCACAAGGAGCATGAGACTCTCTGTGTTGAGAAATTGCGCCATCCTGATCGCCAGACAGAAGCCTTTTCCTAGATTCAGGGTCTCTTTCACGCACACATTTTCCTCTCGCCTTTCCCACACTTCAACGAAAGAATCCTTGAATCCGGCTGCAATCGTCATTTTTCCAGATAGTTTTACTCCATCCACTGTGCAGATACCACACTTTCTGCCACTTTCCAGAAGAACTTTAGTTGGGAAATCTTCTCCATCCCGGAATAACCACAGAATGACAGTGCCATCATCGGAAGCAGACATCAATGCCAAGTCTTCATTCTGGTCGCATTGCATCCACTTTACCGCGTTCACGAGTCCTCTGTGACCAGTAAGAATCTGGGTAATTTGCCAGCTTCCCTGAAAAAAAGCCCAATTAAAAGATAGAGGCTTTCTCAACAAAGAAGCTATGAGTCAAATAGGTAAAATACACACTTGCTGTTCCTTTGTCGTTGCCACACTGTTGCAGGTGCCAAAGGCAATAATTCCTCGCGAGATGCACCAATCCACAGCACCGGAAGTCCGGTTGCAAGCGGCTGATGTGTACAAATTCTCTATTTTCATCCTTATGAATCAAACACGTGTAATTTGTTTACGCATCGAACGTCAAACTGCTTTCTGACAATGAATCAGGGCCGAATTGGAAGCCGGAGATTTTTAAATCACGTGACTTTGTTGGCGAAGAAAATAGTGGGACAAGCCCATAGACAATTGGAAGAAAATACATGAAGACTTGAAATGAAATTCCAAATCAATGACAAAAAATGTTGATCAGCACTTTCCTCATTCTAATAAGATATACAAAAGTATTTCCAATATATTATTCTCAATTATTAAAAGAGAATTTGCAAGACTGAAGCAAAAAGGACATCATAGGAAAGACTGCGACGCAATTCTCGCTTGCGAGATAGACTTTCCTTCGCAGCTTTCTTGTGTGACCACAAGCTTTGCTCTTGGTAATAAAAATACCGATGCTTTTTTCATATCAAGATCGATCAAAGTCTAATTGGCCATCGCGCTAATCGCATTCAAGTTTACCGGTCAGTAAATTGACTGATAATTCACCTTTCAAGTTCAAGGGTTTCCGCATAGTTCTTGCGCAAAATGCTCACAGTTGTTATCCTGTAGCCTAGATCCGTGGTACACTGCCCTGTATCTCGAAAATTGGGTTATTTCCCGAGATAGAACAACACGTTCACCTCAAAACAATCAAGACACGAGATAAGATGAGCGCGGGAATGAAATTGAAGTGTATTTCGAAGAAAATCCAGAGATTTAATCAATTACTTTTATCATCAACAAAAATGCGATAAGCACTCAGAGTATCTTCAACCACTTCCAAGTCTTTCATTCGCAATTGAACAATCGTGGACTATAGTCACACTTTTCCTCGGGTAATTACTGTCTTTTCCAATATGTATTTTAGTATTTTCTCACGATGTTATTCCACTTGAAATTCGCCAACATTTCTGTGAGTGCATACAGTGAATAAAAAAAGTGACAAGAGAATTTACTGAAGAAACCAGTTTCTAACGATCCACGAATGAGTTTCGGCTCGAGAAATTTACGTCTTTTCAGTAGTATTTCGTTGCCTCAATACCTTTAATCAAGTTTGAGCTCTCTAGTCTGTTTTATTACACAGTTTCCCTCAAAGATAACGCATTTCCAGACGGTTTGCTTGCTCCAAAAGTATTGAGTGTTCGTGTTTGCGATTCATTCATTAAACGTGACGAAATGATTCATTTTACAAATAAATGTCGTGAGAAAATGCAGTTTGCCATCGAATTATAGTGTAGAATTATATTCACAGAAGCCATGAGTGGAGCTGAAAATCGTGCTTTTGAGTTAGAAGAGGTAAAAATTTAGCGACTTACAAGCCTACAAAAAGTAATTCACGTGCTTCTCTGATTTGCAGACTCATCTGGAAGTTGCGGAGAACAACGAGAAGAAGGAGAAACTCGAAAATGACACCAGCATTGCAGAAAATCAGGAAAACTCTCCGCAGAAAGCAACTTTCTTGGATATATTCTGGTCATTCTTGGCTAAACACAAGGCCAAAATCATCATTGCCATTCTCATCATACTTAACATTTTAGTATTTGTGTACTTTGGCTTCGCAACACACTTTCACGTGGAATACAGTAAGATATTTCCCTGACTTTGCTATCTATTCAAGAGGTTCAAGAGCACTTATATTGGTTTTATTTTCAGCATGCAACGTCGACGGCAATTGTGATTTGGGCTGGTGTCACGGTTATGGATTCCTCGTCATTCTCATGGTGCTGGTCTATGGTGGTCTTTTCTACTTCCAGGTGATAAAGCGCTTCTGGGGCCAGGCGATCTACAAAAGCGTCATTAATCCCTTGTCGCAATTCATACGAAGTATCTTCAGATTGTTGTACGTTCGCGTCGGTGCTGTGATAATTGTTTTGGCGGCATTTGTTGTGTTTCTGGTGTTTGAAACCTCAGACAACCGAAGTAGACTTCGAGGACTTGTAGGAATATGCATTCTTCTATTGCTCGGCTTTATATTCTCCAAGCATCCTTCCTATGTAAGTGATTTTAATTTGTGGATATATTTCCGTTCATTTCCTGGATTATGGCTTTGGCAGATTAGATGCAAATGTGCAGTTCTCTGTGCTTGTTTATATTTATTATCTGTTCATTTGCATCTAATTGTGCTGGGATTTCTGGATTAGTCACCTCATCGCAACACGTTTTCGCGATGGATCGGAAAAGTCAATGTCATGAGATCTAAAGTAACTATAGTATGGTCATAAATTGTGCTAGAGAGGGAAAAACATTTTCGATATAGTTCTATTATCATCACTTGAATTGTTTTCAAGAATTCTTTATTTCTGTAAAAAACAATATGTTTGCCTTAATTTTTGGGTTCTATTGGCATCACTCGAGCCAAAGTTGATGTTGAGATTAGAAAGGTCTTCAAGATCATCAATATTTTTCACCTAATGTTAAAAGTTTGTTTTGCATATTGAAATCACGCCCCTATCAGTCAAGGTGGCAATGTTATTCGATTGTTATGAAATGGATTTACATCAAAGCTCAGTTGTGAATTCTCAGAATTTTGATATCTATTTTAATAGTTTCTTATATATTAATTATTCCCAGAATTAATTGAATATTTTATGACCTCATTGACAGATAAACTGGCGGCCTGTGATCATGGGAATAATTCTCCAATTCCTTTTGGGCCTTTTCTGCATTAGATGGGACGTTGGACGCAACATTTTTGATTGCATCGGCGATAAAGTCGCAACTTTCCTGAATTATGCCAATTATGGCGCTGAATTTGTATACGGCGAATTTTTGATTTCTGCAGGAGTTTTCGCTTTCACCGTTCTCACCGTGATCTTCTTCTTCAGCTTCATAATATCAGTTTTGTACTATCTCGGCGTGATGCAGTGGATTGTGACCAAGCTAGGATGGCTTCTTCAAGTAGTCCTAGGCACAACAGTTTGCGAGAGTGTTAATGCGGCAGGAAACATCTTCTTGGGTCAAACGGAGTCACCTTTGCTTATTCGGCCGTATTTGAAGGTGATAAAGAGGCAGATTTTAGTAATTTCATATTAAGGCAACATTGTTTGCTTGCAGAAATTGACTCTTTCGGAAATGCATGCCATCATGACATCAGGATTTGCCACTGTCGCGGGATCAGTTTTGGCAGCCTACATTTCGTTCGGCGCCAATCCAGCCTATCTAATCACAGCTACAGTCATGGCAGCTCCTGGAAGTTTATGCTACTCAAAGCTCCTCTACCCCGAAACTGAGAAGAGCACCACTAGTTCGGACAACATAGAAATAGAGAAAACCAGCGATTCATCAATTCTGGACGCTGCCACAAATGGTGCCGTAACAGCGATCTCTCTTGTCTTGGGAATCATCGCCAATCTCATTGCCTTTGTGTCCTTTATCGCATTTGTTAACGGATTGCTGGGATTTTTCGGGAATCTCGTTGGTTCTGAGGATATCTCACTTGAACTGATATTTGGAAAGATCTTCCTGCCTCTGGCGTGGATTATTGGCGTGCCAAATGAGGATTGTGATCGCATCGGACAAATTATTGGCATTAAGACAGTAGTGAATGAGTTTGTGGCCTACAAAGCCTTGGGTGATGCCATTAGAGAGGGCCAGGAGAATCCAGACGTTGCTCTGCACCCACGAAGCATTGCCATATGCACTTTCGCGATTTGCGGCTTCGCCAATCCCAGTTCTGTAGGCATCATGATTGGAGGTTTGGGCGCCATGGCGCCTGAGAGACGATCAGCGATCACTGCTGTAGCCATCAGGGCATTTGTGGCTGGAAGTTTCGTCTGTTTCATTACAGCCAGCATTGCTGGGATTCTAATGGCAGACAACATGTTCGTCACAGAGTCAAATGTAACTGTTAATGCACATAAGGTCTACATGTAAATCGATTTGAGACACATTTTTAATAAAAGTGTTTAGATTAGTGTTTCGTACAACTTAACTGCATTTTATTTCGCATTGTTATTGTACTCTACATAGTAAGCTGTAACACATAATCGATAAAATTAATATAATACAATAGAATCATCATTCTCATAATTAATAAATGAGAACATCTGGCAAATTGATAAGAAATTATTGACTAACAGCAAACAATAATTATCTAAAATCAAGCAGCACTGGGCAATTTGCTAAAAAAGACCCTTTAGGTCTTTGTAAAGTCCTTGGAATGAAGCAATCACTTGAGCAAAAGGGTTGCGGCTGGTCTCACGGAAGTCCGTGCAAATCATGAGCAGTGTACATTGATTGAGTGCGATCGTAGACCTGCTTCAGGACCTCCAGCGTGTGTGGAAGAGCCTCAATGGCGGCCTCCTTGTCCTGGCAGACTTTATCGAGCAAATTGTCGCGTGTGGGCAAACCGTAAACCGCCACCGAGACGCCCTTCCGGATGAGCCATGGATGGAAGTTCGCCAAGGTGGCATTGTAGGCATTCTGGCAACACGTTCCCGTCTTATCGTCTGGGTTCAGTTCCCCCAGTTGTCGCAAAAACTCCCTGATAAAATCTGACAGAAGAAAAACCCGCATTAGCTTCAATCCGAATATGATAAAGAAATCAATCAATTACCCAGGCCTCGATGAAGGCGCAAAAGTGTTCGGCTGCCCGACACGTAGTCCTTCTTCTCGAGCAACCCGCTGTCCTTCTCGTAGTTGATCATCTTCCGGAAGGAAGTGAAGTGTTCCTTCGCCTCCTTCGTGCGGAACTCCTCCAGAATCTCAACCTTGGACTTCACGTCGCTGCTGACAAAGCCAAACACCTTTCCCATCAGCTGAAAGAATCTACAGACAAGCAAATTGATATCAATTAAGTGATAGATTGTTGGGTGTGCAACAGTACTTGTTAAGCTCTTTGTAGCCACTCAAGTAGGCATCCATGAGCACATCCTCTTCCTGGCCTTCGAGGCTCTGGGAAAAGTATCCCTCGCACACTGTCAAGCAGAATCTGTTGTCGCTCCCCATTTCTTGGACTATAACATTAACATAAAACTACAGTAAATCCTGAAAAATATCCACTAAAACTCTGCGTGTAAAAACTTGTTACCAACTCATTGCCATATTGACACAACTGCCCCTATAAAATCGATTTCTACACACCTTTGTTTTCGTCTCAGCTGAAGGCCCCATAAAAATCTTGTCGTGGAATTGTGTTCATAGTGTCGTAGGACAATCTTTGTTTCAGCACCTCAGTGTTCTAAAGTAAATATACAGAATTTTCCGAATTTTCCTTACTATAATAAGAAATACCGAAAGATAGAGAAACAAGTAATAGATCTAAAATCTCTTGAGAAGCCTATAAACCTTTTTTTTAATTCTCTTATAAACAACAATTATCAAATTCGAGCAAATTTAGGCTTTATCCAATTTATTTCAAATATACATTTATTCAGAAATAAATTCTATTAATTTCTAAATTATTAAAGAAAATAGTCGCGTTTTCATCATGCCATATTTCAACCTTATGTCTTTGCTCGTTGTTTTTTTGGTCAAAATTTTATAGCCGAATAGTAAATCTGAAATGACGCAGTTGATAAAGCAGAATAATTTACAAATGCCAAAATCAATCTTAAATGTGACTAGAATGCAAATGGCTCGAATTACGATAAGTAAAGAATAAAGATTGTTCCAAGTTGTATTTTTGCATAGAATCCATGGAATATAATTTTTTAGTTCCGATCTTTGAAATTGATTGTAATGTTTCTTTTGTTATCTCAAATTGCGACGATTAAATTATACTGGAAGTAATAAAAAATTCTGTTTGAATAAAATAAAAGTGCTCTCATTCTAATTCAAAACACGATAGAGCAGATTGTGAATATATCAAGCAACGATCTTCTTTAATTTATGATCTCGCTTTTGGTCCTTCGAAGCGGGAAAAATGGAACTGTTTGATTGATGTATTTTCCCACGCCTAAATTTGTCCTGAAGTAAAAAATCGATGTTGAAAACAAAGTGTTGATAGGAAATGATAGGGGAATCGCTGTTTAACTTTCATGGTCTAAGGTTATCTCGCCGATTAGAAGAGCATGTTTTTATCCGATCGGACATTAATCAATCTCAGCATCTGAATTATGCTGGGAATCATAGTAAAGGTATGCGGATAAGTTCGATGGACCCGCGTGATTCATTGTTAATGCAGAGTGTGAAGCCGAAATTATGTGAAGGTTAATCTGACGCGTACGTGCTGAGGTCTATCTTTGACACACTAAATAAATTGTCAAGTGACCAGTAGCCACAACCCAATTGTTATATCACACTCAAATTGCATCAAATTTCATAAACACTCAGCTTTTGCTTTCAGCATTGCACAGCTACCAACGTTACACGAATTGAATAAACAACAATCGAGGTGTTGTACATGGTACGAATTTTAATTGCAGCTCCAATTGTATCGTGATCAAATGAAGGATGATACTGTGCTTTTCATGGATGGGTTTAAGCACTGAGTATAAATACAGTGCGTTCCTTATCAGCGTCAGTATCGTTTTGACTTCTCCAGCAGTCAAGTGAATTTTCTCTGTTTTAAAAAATTTTCTCAAATCAAACCAAAATGAAAATTGTAAGTGAAAAAAGTTCATTGCAAAAAACACATGATCAGATCAGTTATTAAATATTTGCATTGTGGTTTAGTGAAATAAGTTCAATTTTAAACCATCTCCTTATTGGTGTGATGTTAACCCTTCAATGCTGAATAGGACTAATGTGCTTCACTTTCTAATAAATCTCTTAAAATTATTTTCACATTTGGTGAACTAAGAATACCACAGTTTTATGCAAGAACTTCTCAAATACGCCAGGATATATTTTATGCAAATATTTTTGAGAATACATTAATATCAAATTTTGTTTAAAATTGAAATGTGATGACAAGTGAATCGAGCTTTGTTTCATTTTTCAGGTTGCCATCTTCCTTTTGATCGCCGTCTCTGCCGTTGTGGCCAAGCCTAAGCCGGCAGTGATCGCCTATTCGGCTCCCTACGTGGCTGCAGAGCCTGCTGCAACTGTTGTAGAGAGCACTTATCACGGCGTCTCTGCTCCTCTTGTTGCTGCTCCTGTTGTGTCTGCATATTCCGCCTACTCAGCACCACTGGTGGCTTCGCCCTATGCCTATAGTGCATACCCTTATGCTGCGAGCACCGTCTATGTTTAAAGGATGACCATGGCAAGTGACCAAAAGACAACTCAGGCCCTCTCAAATGTCAAATACTCTTCAATTTCCTCAACAATGCACACACTCAGCCAACAATTGACGAGACAATTTTAGCGACAAATTCCATCTCCATGCTTTTTTGTAAAAAATCACACAAGTTTTTGTTAAATTAAGATCGATTTTTTGAATTTATTGGTCGTGTTTTTTACATTTTTTTGAGGTTTTGTTGGCGTTCGGTATTGTGAAGTCCAAAACAGAGAATTTCTTGGTTTTGTTGGAAAGATAGCATCAACACCCTTCCCTTCCTCCTCCTATGCCACTTGAGGTTGTGCTATTGTGCTGAGGAATTGGTGGTCATCCCTCGATTGGCTGGGAGACACTTAGTAGGCATACTTGTATCCAGAGTATGGGTAGTAGCCGCTGTATCCGCCGTAGCCAGTGTAGGCAAGGGAGCGCACATAGGGAGATCCGTAGGATCCATAGGTCAGAGGAGCGGCGGCATAGGTGTTGGCGTAGGGGTAGCCGTAGTATCCGGAGTAGGAGAGTGGGGAGTAGCTGTAGGGGCTGACAACGCTTGGGGCAGCATAGGTGGAGACGACACCAGCACCGCTAGCGGCAGCGACGGCCAGAAGGCAAGCGAACACGAACTGCAGGTAAAGAATAAGGTCACAATTATTTTGTCTCAGCTCTCAACTTCACCATCCAAAGACAATTTGGAGTGTGAAGACAAGAGAAGAAAGAAAAACTTCACAGAGAGACACTCACAAGCTTGAACATTTTTGTTGGTTTTTGGGAGTTTTGGTGAGCTCAAGTGAACTGGAAGACTAAACTCTGTGGTATGATTTTCCAGAAAATGATCCACCTCTTTTATACCCAGCGCAGAATCATTTGGTCAATCAGGAAGCCCACTAACACACCCAGTGTAGTTTCGTGTTGGACCCACCGAAAACGTGTCTATGGCCAAAATGTCAAGACATTTTTTTCCCCTCGTGGAGACAATCGCTCTTAGATCAAGTAGGAGGAATTGACTCACACACATGTGTAACGGATATTGCCGAATATCTTGAGGACACAATTTTTTCTCCTCCACCTCAACTCGTGCACGATTTCCTTTTGGCATTAGGCGTTTCTGACGCGGAGACAAAGGCATTGGATAGTTCAAATCGAGTTTGCTAATTTTATTCAAATAAATCTTATCTTAATTGTATTTTATACACTTTGGCATAATGACAACATGAGACGAGACAAAAGTCACAATATTGAATATTCTATGGCTATTTTACAAATACTATAAATAGGTGACGAGGTAAATCGAGAAATGATACTGAAGACGAACCATATCATTTTTATGGACAGTGCAAAGTAGAAGAATGGGATACAAACATTAAATAAAATGCATTGAGAATACTTGACACAAACTTGTAAACATTAGTTCCATGCCTTTGAAGGTAAAATTAAAGCATTGCAAACTGATTTTTTTTTATAAATAAGTTAATTTAATTTAATTACTTAATAGTTCTCTCTATATTGGAGTGTTTCAAATATTTGCTCACTTACTGTATAGCCTGTTGGACTGAAAGATCGCCTCGAATTTAATTCAGTTAATATGATATTCCAGCCAATCTCTGGTTATATAATTCTCTCCAGAGGAGGAAATTAATGAGGTGAGCGATATATTGATATTTAACATTTGTCCACAAAATAGCGTCATAATTGAGAGAAGAGCGTATAAATTTGCATAGGAAATAAAAGCATTTGCTTTTAAATGTCTTCTCTCGCGTAATTTACAATGGAGTGTGTGCGTAAGATTAGTGTTATGCATTAATTCTTTCTCAATGGTCAAGTTTGAAGCCTTGATTGAGCATCTGAGGTCTTCTTATTGATTACAATTTCACGTCAAAGGCCCTCAACAGTTCACAAAAGAATCGTCACAATGCTGAAATTTCTCAATGTTTTTGTACGCGGATTCATAAACAAATTGAAACAGAGCAAATCCGGGATATTATTGGGTTGTATTAGAATTATTGTTACGTAATTGGACTCTGAAGAGTGATATACAACCTCTTTTTCGTGCGTTCTTGGCAATCATTTAGCGCAAGCAATCTCCGGGTCTTATGATAATGTTAAAGTGGCTCGAAATCAGTGGGTGACAATATGTACATATATACCTTACCACATGATACAGTTTTTTTCCTCTCGCTGGACAAGAGATTAAGCAAAAAGCCATTTATCTCCAACAATTACATATTCCAGCGCTGGCAGAAAAAAAAGAGTCAAGCAGTGAAGAATTGAGCCGGCTTGATCAGTTTTAGAGACTAGATCGGGTTCCATGAAGAAGGAGATGCTGTAAATTGTTGTTTGGTGAGATCTCGCGCCTTTTGTCTCTTACACTATTCTTGCTCGGCTTCTTATGCTGAATGGATGCTTTTCAATGACAGTTCTTCGAACGAGATTGTTGAACAATCAAGGTCGCAACATAAAGAAGTGCAATCCATAGAAATGCTACTGCCATCGTCAAGACAAGACATTGAGCATTTGCTTCATGGCTCACATGCAAAGTTGCCTCAAGTCCGAGAAATATTAAGAAAATTCTTCATTTTCTTTGTCTTCTTGGCATCATTATGTAAATTTTATGATAGCAAAGCTTCTACGCCTAGAATTCATCACATTGGCTGAAGATCCATCTAAATTCCAATGTTTTCCCTTTCGTGGACAATCTTGACTTTCGCCCTGGCCTATTTCCCATGAAATTTGCATAAGCACGAAAACACAAAACCGTAAAAAGATTAAAACCAATTAGGAGATAGCATTTAATTATTACCTCACATTTCGCAACATTGCAAATGATCTTCTTTCAAAATACTTGTGAATCCGCGAGAGATAAAATTAATTGAGATCACCTTAACGTGATTGATCGTATTTCCAAAGATATCAAGGCCTTTTTGTTGAGCGTGTTTCCCAGTCTAAAATCATATTTCACCCAGAAAATTGGGTGTATCGAGATTACGCGCGCGCGAGAATAAAAAACGAGGAAGAGAGACATTAAAAACGACTGAAAATCAATTTTAACGTCTTCACTGACGCGATATTGCCTTTTGCTAAGATCTTCGATCTCACATTCGTGCGGCGAGTACAAAAATGCTCTTTGTCCATCGACAGAGCAAGTTCACGGCAAGTTGTTATTGAAAGAAGTTGCCGTACACGCGCTCTTTTTGGTTTTAATTGTCTGCATTTCCTTGCATCTCGCCAACTCGCTGGATGTCGATGATCTTCCGTGGGGAGTGTGTACGCAATTGAGAGGGACAGAGAGTGGATCTCCTCCACGGTTTGGGTATAAAAGTGCACTTCACCCAAGAATCTGCACATAGTTCAAGTTGTGATTTCACAGTGATAACAAACCCCCTCAACTCAACAATCAAAATGTTCAAGCTGGTGAGCAGTGTTCTCAGTTCTTTTCCTTTCCGCAGTCGCCACTGTTTGAAGTGTGGCCGATCTGCTGGCAACTCTTGCGTTGAGGTTAAGGATTTTAATCCTGACGCCTGTTTGTGATATTTTCTAGTTGGTGCTCGCTTGCGTTCTGGCCGTGGCTGCTGCTAAGCCTGGTGCTCTGCTGTCGTACTCAGCCCCGGCTCTGTACAGCTCCTATGCCGCCCCTCTCAGCTATGCCGGCCCCTACGCTTACTCCAGTCCCTATGCCGCCTACAACTACCGCCTCCCCTACACATATGCCGCCCCTTACGGATACAGCTCCTACAGCTACATCAACAACTACCGGGCTCCGATCGGCTATCCCGCCTACAGTTTCTACTGATAGAATCGTCATGACCTGCAGCCTCAGCCCCGTTTAACAGCCATTCCTGACATCGTGCCCTTGAAGACTGATTGCATTCGATTCCTGCAAGACGCTCCAAGATGCCAGCATGTGGAGCCAATCGAGTCAATAGAGCTTCTAAACTAAGGATGAAATGCAACTTGAAAATTTGTGGAAAATTCTTTTTTCTGGGATATGGGACATCTTTGAAAGCCGAAAATGACAAAAATCACGATTTCCTGGACAATCAAATAAATTCATGACTTTTTACACAATGACTTTTACACTTCTTCAGATAGTGGGAGAGCCACAATTCCTCGTCCAAATATTCAAATCACTTGTCATGCGATCGAATTTTTTGTGATATCGAACGAGATCGAAAGCGTGTATGGGTTTGCCATGAAAGACGTGCGAAGACGGAATCCAAAAATTTCACATTTCAATGGCCAAAAAATTGTATCAAGGTCATTGAGAGTTATAAAAGTGTTTATGTGAGCAGCCAATCACCAATAAAACTTCTTCCAAATGTTGGGAGGCTCGTTCGTGTGATTGAAATATGGCTTGAGCTTACTAATGTGAAGTCTGTTATGCTAATTTTCAAAGCTTCTCAGCTCATTTTACATTTCAAATACACTCTCGATTGAAAGCACTTATTAGCTTTTCCCAAACTTTTGCTCTTTTTCTGAAACTCGTGCATAAAAAGGTCACCTGTGAGTCTTCCGCATTCCAATTAATAAAAGAATAAATGATAAAACTGTCAAATTCAATTAATAATTCTGCGTTTGCACAAGAGATTTGCTGAATTTATATAGAAAGAGAAAGGATGAAGTGAAAAATAAGAATCTCATTTTGATAAAACTAAGAAATTTTTGAGAAAATTCTTTTCTGTATTTACAAGAAATCCCCAAAGGAGAGAGTATCGAATTGCTCAATGTTTTGGATGGTATTTCACGCGGAATTAGCAGATCGATAGTCCTCGTGCTGGATATTCACACTTGTCTTGTACCGTATGTGGGAATATCACAGTAAATGGAGTTTTGATAAGTTAATAATTGTGTGCATAATTATTCCAATATTGTCGTCGATGCGATTTCACATGTAGGAAAACGAATGTGTGCGGAAAAGTGATGAAGATAATGCACTTTTGGAGTTTGCGCGCTCCTGTGCGGGACTCGGTTCTCGCGGAGGGGCGCTTTCGGGTGTTCGGAGTGCATCGAAACGGGATATAAGGGAGAGCCAGTAGCCTAATTCCTCAAGTATTCCTCTGGACTCTGACACGATAAGGAGAAGCGAAAACAGTCAATGAAGTGATACAAAAGAAGTTGAATTTTAAAAAGTGAAGCTGAATTTAACTGATTCAATTCATTGACCTAAAGTAATGTGTTCAATTGTCGCTGAATTGTAAAGATTAAAAGCACTGTGAGAAACTTTCAAGCCTATTTACGATTGGAATTGAGAATTGTTATATAGTGGAGGAAATTAATATGGAGGAACAAGGAGGAATGATTTTTATGCACGTACCACGGTCCAGTGCAAGGAATGTAAGACCCAGATCGCCTTCACCTGGTCAGGAGAGGAATTTAAACATACTGCATGATATCAACCGACGATTCTGTGTGAGATTCTCAAATGAAGACTTGGGCTACAACGGTGAGGAAGACTCAAGGAGCTCCTCAACAGACTCATCCTCAGGAGTGAACAGACACTCCACGGACTCAGATGAGGGTGCCTCGAATCTGGAGTTGCTCTGCAGCGGAAGCGAAACCAGTGGAGATTCCACAGTGACCAACAAATCGCCTAAATTTCGCATTCATCGACGGTCCATGTCTTCCATCCGGCGTGCCCTCAAGAGTCTCTCGCTATCTTCACGTTCGCTATCTTGCAGCAATACTGCCGATCCCAATGGACCTGCACTTCCGCGTAAGTCTGTGAAGAAGCTCTCCATCAGTCTCACGCCAAAGAGTGGCGAGAAGTCGCCCCCGCCCAAGAAAATCCTCCGCCAACCCGTGAGCTATACTTATCTCAAGGGTATGTCTGGACTGCCGACCCAGAGGGTGCCCAGGTCCACCGTGTGTTCCCACTATGCCCATCGGTAAGCAGGCAGCGCGGGGAAGAGGTGAAGACAGGCCAAAGGGTGTTCTTTTCAATGATTTCTCAGCATGATTTATTTTAAGACTCTCTGCAAGTACTTCGAAACATGTTCATTCATTTCGCGTTCTTCAGTGCAGTTCTTGTCACACGGCAATGCGAATGTCCACGTGACTTATCGTCCCTATTCAGTACATGCAAGTGCACAGCCGTGTGACCAGACTTGCAGCGTTTATAAAAGAATGATTATTTTGATTTCGGTTTTGTCCCTCATATGCGCTAAGAGAGCATGATTTTGGCCAAAACTTATAAAAAAGGAGTGTTAAAAATTTACGATCACGAGAAAGGTTATTGTGTGCCTTCACCGATATAGAACAAAAAATATAGAATTACATGAAATTGCGTGAAAATTACCTTAACATCTAGTTAAAAGATCTCATAAAGTCTTCTTGCGAAACTCAAAATTTCATAACTAACTTTGGTTCTGCAAGACCAAATAATTTCATTGTACATTAACGACTGCAACATTTTGAGTAATTATTCTTGTGTAGATTTTGATGTTCAGAAAACTTAAGGACATACGAAAAACAGTAAAGGAAAATCCGTGTTAGAATTCTTAGCGATATAGTCTTATTGTGAGTAATATTTGAAAAAATACCTACATAACTGGAATATTTAAAAAAAAAGTCTTATAACATGCAAAATAGTGAATTTTAATATTCAATAAAAAGTATACAGTTTACTCTGCAAAATATTTGCAATAAATGTAAGTTTCTTCTTGTACTTCAACGTGTCTGAAAATGTAATAGAAAAATGAAAGATTTTAAAAATACTGAAAATCAACCGAGAGACTTGTATTTATGCTGTATTAGGATTAAATCATTTTTGGATTCAACAGTACTCAATTGCAATTGTTAGAATAATTATTAAAAATAGTGGATTTAGGACGAGTATGTATTTCATTTTCTTAAACTGACATTCAAAATACCACCAATAAAATGTTTTTAAGTATAAATAAAAAAAAACACTGTTTAATCTAAATTGTAGAGATATGTACGTCATTCCAGACATTTTTGGAAATCTAAACATTTTTAGTAATGAAATTACTGTGATTCTACAAAACTAGCCCAATATATATATATATACATACATACATTGATGCATTATAATAGGAATTGAATCACAAATAAAATTCGAATAGGTCTCTGATATTGAATCTCGTAAAACTGACAAACTCAAAATAATATGTTGCACATATTATCACTGTAAAAAGAAAATCAAATAAAGTTTGCCAATTAATATTTAAAGCAAATCTTTAATTAAATTGCCAATTCTACAAATGATTGATCCCTTTATGTTTTTACCTTTATGTATTGATTTTTCCCAAAATCCTTATCTTAGAAAGGTAAAGTAAAAAGGTAAGTAGAAACTTTATTATGCGTTTTTAGCAAAATAAAAACGTAAGAACATTAAGGATATCTGAATTGAAAATTAATCTATTGGTTAAATTCAATATAAAGTCTGATAACTGAAATTTTCGTTCGATTTCATCTCAAATTTCTATTGGTATTTTTCTATTATTTAATTTAAACTTACACTTTTTGTATTTTTTTTTTAAATCATTAAAATATAATCGTATGAATGAATTGAGGAAGTCCGAATATTCGAGAATTATTACTTATCAGAAGGTATTGTATTTTGCTTATAGAACTTTTATGTATGTTACACATCTTCTATATTGATATTCTTAACGTCCAGCATTCATAAAAACTGAAATGTTATGGTAAAATTCCCTTTCAGACCTCATTTGAAAGATTCCTTAGAAACTCAACTGATTTTTTTTCCATTTTAGTGCATGGAAAACTGTAGAGATTTTCACTGCACATGTCAGTGGAACAAATTAGCAACTTATGTCAAGTGTCGTTCACGTTTTCTCTCATTTCTTTAAATCAAAGAGGGCAATTAAATTAGTCTTTTGCGTATGGAAATGATTAATAAAATTATTTTTCAACTATGAAAGTATGTGCTGCATAGTCGCAGAATTTGCACGTTTGCTAGAATAACGTGAGTGTAAAAGGAATCATCCATCAAAGACTTTATTGATTATAAATTTCTCTGTGTGCACTTTCTTCATGCTCAATTACTGAAAATTCATACATCATACATCGTCACATTGCCAGATTGGGTGCGGATGGCACGTGATATTTGGCTCTCTCAGTCGTCACAAGTCAAGGAAACCTGATCAATTCTCGCATTTTCCCATAATAACCAAAGAAGCAATCTTAATGATATTCGAGTGGAGTTTTCCTGGTCAATATAAATTACACGTGTTTCACTGTGGCTGTGTGAGAAAATACAGCAGAACTGTTTATCCGCTCACGATCTGGTACATCAGGGTGAATGGAAAAATATTTATAGGTGCACGAGACACTGAAGCCCCCAATGCTCAGTGAACAAAGCCTGGCAAAGTGATGGGGAAGGGGTGAGATTGTGGGCGATTCCACGGATGTTTGTACGCTCTGCGACGCTTACATGTGTTTCACATAATCACATTACATTGCTGAGAGCATTGCTTGCCCGAGAAATTTTCCAAGAAGAAAGGCACCCAATCGAATTGAAGTACAACATCGGAAATTCATTAATTATATATCCATACAAGTGCATTATTCTCAATGTTAAGCGAGAGTATAAAAAAATTTCCACTAACCTTTCACTCTGAGCTTCATCCCTGAAAAGTTTACTTGCAGCTTTTATAGTAGGTTAGTCATATATACATATATTCGCCAGTATTGCAATGACGAGGAGAAAAGTATGACGTTATCAGATCACGTATTCCCCCTGCTTATTCAGTTTGTTATTCACATTCACCCATATTCTTGCTCTCAAGCTCGCTTTTCCTTCGGGTTCATATTAAAATCCACACAACTGAGAGCAATATTCTTCCCTAAAATCGCACTCTGACTAAAAAATGTTCCAAGTCAAAGACGAGCATTTATAAATGTACCTAATTCAAGCCTAAAAATTGATTGATTTTTTAAACAAAAACTGTACTCTTAAAACTTATATCCTCTAATAATAAGGAGCACTGTGAATATATATATATATATATAATAATATGAACAATGAAAATATCAATAAGACTTGAAAACGCAAAAAGATTTAGTTATATTTGAATTTTCCCTCCGCTTACCTGAGTGAATCTACATATCTAGGGAAATACGGTGAATTTTATTTTTACCTTAGCATTTGAATATTTACTGAGGATATTTTTAACGCAATGCCGTTGGTATTAATAGCATCACACTGCATTTTACACGAATTCCTCAATGTGGGCTGCAAAATGTGAATTTCTCTTTAGCATTTACATTGGTTACGTTTAGCCTTTCGTCTAATGCTAATTCAATGAAATCTCTAATGAAAATGATCACAAGTGATGAGCATCCACTCGAAGTCTCTTGCCATTAAATAATTCGAATATTTCCATCCTTCCACAGGGATTTTCTTCTCAATAAATATAGCGAGTCCTTGCGCAGTCCCACCAAACTCCCGTAACCCTCGGACGCGACGAGGGAGGCGAGGAAAATGTGTGAACGAACCATTGAGACCTACTTTCCGTTCTATAGAATGGCAACGTCCGTGACGCTGCCACCATAACCATCCTGCTCGTCCCTTCGCAGCGATGTTGGCGGCATCTCGCTCGCGCACTCAGCATGGCGCAATAAGGTTCGGTGACCTACTTTCGTCATCATCACACTAAACAAGTCCTGTGACGTCATACCTACGCGGGGCCTACTTTCGAGGAGAATATCGATCCTGAGCATCCCATATTGCTCCACATTCAGACGAACGCTGGGCTCTTATGTAAGCACACTTTGGCGTAGAATGCGGAGAGGGCTTCATGTTTCATTGAGGAGGCGATTTGCGTCTCTGCGAGTCCTTGGTTTAATTCTTCCTCCACTCATTGCCGGCACCTCGTCATTTTGGTCTTTGGAGGGTCAGCGGCAGGACAATCTGGACGGGTGGAAAGGGTTGGGGAGGGCCATTAAGATGAGTGTCATGGATATCAACGCCTGATTTCCAGTGTAAACTTCAGGATGGGTTGGGCCTGCACCACAGTGCATCCTTGACACTTAGGCCTCAAGGGCGGTCCCATTGTGTCCCCGCAGTTGAAAATTAACAAATTGAAATACGAGTCAGGAGAGACGTCATCGGGGTAAGTATGCCTCATATCGCAGATCAGAAAATGAAAATGGTAATTCAAAATGTAGTAAAACACTAATTATATTTATATTTGATGTGTGTGTGTGTGTGTGAGATGCGTTTGTCCTCATTTCAAGCTGATGATTGTACAATCACGGCAAATGCGGTGGATTGTGAGTATCTCTATTTTAAAATTGTTCAGATGTAAATTAATAAGGTACAATATTATTCAATTAAGAATATTTTTGTGTTAACTTCGATGATATTTAAATTTCGAGTAGGGAACTCCGGCCCGTCACAGAGTAAATAAATAAATAAGACCCCTATATTGTTGAGTTTTCCCCTTGATTTTCAAAAAAAAACATTAGTGAGGTTATGTAAAAAAAAACTATTATATAAATCCTAACCTCAAATATCGAGTCACAAATCAAGGATTCGGGCATCAAATGCAGAAGGCCTAATTTCTTTAGGTTAGGACTTTAGTCAGAGGTCAGTCAGTGTGGTCAGAGACAATTTTATAACGACTTCACTTTGAAATATTGAAACGTGTTTGGATTGTCAACAGCCGTAAGAACTTCAGTGTGGTCATAGTGTTTTCAGTGCACCGGTTTTGTTGCGGGCAGTGTTTGTGACTTTGCTTTCTATAAGAAAATGCTGAAAGAAAAAGAATTTTTTGAGTGGCTAATCAGTATGGGTTGCCCAGCGCATCTGATTCCCGGGGAAAACAAGATGAATGAGTAAGTTTTCACGTATTTCCTATTCATTTCGACCTTATGTTTTGACGCGGTTTTTACGATAAATGTCTCCAATCTCAGGATTGTTCGGGCTAAAATACTTCCTGTGGAGAACATAATGAAGTATTTCCGACCAGCAGAGGAAGCGAAGAGAATTCAAGACAGGAATTTGCGTGTGGAATTGTGTAAAATCAAGAGTGGGAATTTCATGGTAAATTTGGTTATGTTTCATTATTATTTCTATTATGTTTCTCATGTTTAAATGTTTGTTCGTTGAAGATTGCTGACAAGAGAACTGTCCCAGAGGAATACTTACAATATGCAAAGCTGAATGCTATTAAAAAGGACATCCATTGGCTGGAAAGTAATATTGAGGATTTAAATAGTGACTTAAATTGTAGAAGTCATCAATTGGCTGAGAAAAGTGAGTAAAAACATGTTTTATACCTACTTTATATGATGAAGAATTTTGCTTACCTTTCTTTTTAGATGGTTTTAAGCGCCAAAAGAAGGAATTTATAGAGAAGAATACAGCCAAATTATTCTTCTACGAGGCGAAGAATATGACTCTCAGCGAACGAATTGCAGAGGCCAAAAGGAGCCTTTCAGAGTGTTACTCTGCAATGTATCCTTTGGGGAAGAAAAACTGCGATGGCCGAGCAACTCTTATGCTGTTAAGGGAACTCTTGGCGAAATATTACACTTCATTGGAGCAAAATCAGCAAAATTCATTTAACCAAGAGAATCTGTGGATAAAGATTTCGGAGAGTCTCAAAGACACACCTAATTCGGTGCTTTGTCGAGAGATTATGATTGATCTCGATGCTCTAATGGACGCAATGAAGATTCTCGTTGAGAAGAACATTAATATGCCAAATGAAGAGAAAGATCCGCTCTATGAGCACAATATTGGCCTGAAGATCTTCTTAATAAACCGACTCAAGCTCCTCATTTATCTGAAACACTACGAGGACAAAGAGAAGGACATTAGAGAACATTACATTGAGAAATACAACGCGTTCCAGGAAATGCTGGAGAATCAAATATGTTACTTCACTTCTCATTACATTTCGGGTAAGCTAAAAATTAGGTATAATTTAACAATGAAATTAAGAAAAAAATGTTTCTCTTCCATTGCAGAGTATCTAAAAAGTCTTGTCGTTGATGCAAATTTGCAGGGAAAAGTCGCTCTGCTGAAGACGGAAACGGAGAGATATCAAAATTCTTCCATCGATGATGACATGGCATTGAATTTGATAAAAATTTCGAAAGATGTGCGCATGTGGCATGAGGATTTCCTGTCGGAAGTCAAGAAAGTTGAAGTGAACATTTTTCAGTTGAAACGAGTCATCCCAAAACTTGAACACACAGTTCAAAATATTAGATCGCAGTCAAACGGTGTCAAAAGGCAGATTGCGAGTGAGAGCATCAACATGAATGCTTCCCAGAGGAATCACACGCTAAATTGCACATCATCTAATGGGTGAGTAAGAGACATTTATTCTTTCTTCTGCTTTTACTCGAAAATATCTTTAACTTATCTTATCTGCTTAATTTTGTGTCATAAAATTAATTTACTAGACAAGAAAAGTGTTGTAATAACATTTAACAACATAAATTGGCTAGTTTCATTCTTCTTCATCTTCGTCAAAAATATCCTTGACTCTCTTGTCGTTGAACAAGTGCCAATAATCCTTGATGTAGTCTTTGCCTACATCTGTATTACAGCCATCATCGTTGACAATACAAGCTGGTTTCAGGCCATTTCTTACTTTTTCATCGTCGAATCCCAAGAATATCTTGTTCTTCTTCGCCCATGAGCGAAGTAAATCGATGCATCCACACTGAAGAGGGTTGCTCCAGATATGTAAACTGTTGAGTTTGTTCAGTTTCTGTAAAGATGTGTTTAAGAAATAACTGTCCACCCAATTGATTCGCCCATAAATCAAATGTCTAAACTCACACTATTGACAGGTTGTATTATCGGAGGAACTCCTGGCATTTCTGTCCATCCGGGAACTTTGAAGAATGGCATATTGTTCCCTGTGATACTCAGCACCTGTAGCGCATTCTTTTCAAAGAGATTTGCTGAGAGTTGCACAAGAAGGTTATCCGAAAGGTCAATTGTATCCAATTTGGGTAATTTATCAAAGGCTCCACTCGCAATCACAGTAATATCATTGTGATCCAAGCGCAATGTGTTAAGTTGTGAAACTCTTTCAAAGTCTTTTCTGCCAATTCTCTTGATCTTATTGAATGATAATTGAATGGACTTCAGCTTTAAGTCTTCGCTTGAAGATTTGAAAATATTGGCAGTTGTCAGGAAATTGCTGGCTAATGTTAAGTATTCAATGTTCTTATATGTGTTGGCAAAGAAGAAGGGTTCGACGATATGAATAAAGCAGGAATGACAAGTGAAAGATATTAATTTCTCAAACGGTGTTTGAGTCTCCATTTGGAATACTTTGTTTGAGTCAAATTGTAACGAATAATCCTGGCCGAAGGTTGAAAGATTAACATTTTCCATAGTTTTAATGCGATTATATCTCAAATCCACACCTGATGCCATTGGTAGGTTTGGAAAAGAAACGGTGGTCAGAAGATTGTGAGCCAAATAAATAGTCTGTAAACTTGGCATATTCTGGAACATGTCCGGAGTTACTGTAGTCAATTGATTGTCATTGAGATAGATTAGGTACAAATTCGGAAGGATCAAGTCAGATCCTTTGAACGCTTTTATTCTATTCTCAGACAAATCCAACTTTCCCATAGTTTGACTTTCGATGCTAAATCGGGATATTTGATTGTTTCCAAAGTACATATTTGACACTTTGGGTAAATTTTCCGAACTCACTTTCACGTATTTTATTCTATTGAAGTAAGCTTCAAACTGAGTCACTTCTGGTAAAACAATATCACCAAAGTCGATCTTCACGATGTGATTATTGTTAAGAAATATGGCACGTAATTCCATTTCATCAGATGTTCTAAAAGCATCCATTTCGATCGATGTTAAGTCATTTTGGTTTAATTCAATCGCTCTAACTGCATTCATTCCTTGAAAGCAATCGCTGCTGACGTGTAACACTCGAGCATTCTGCAGGGATAAGTGTGATACGGAGGTGAATTTCTCGAACATTGGTTCATCGCATATGAATACATCTTTGCTCTTCACAGAAACTGATTCTACGTTCTCAGGATCAGGGTATTTGAAGAGATCCTCAAAGGAATTGCATGTGATACTCAATTCATACACTTCTTTGCAAGAATTGCACAGAACTTTTGATAGAAAAGCGCTAACAATGAGAAAAGTTACTCTGAAGCGCAACATTTCGTGAGAACACTTCCAAGGCTTCAAGATCACTGAATGTCTGTGAATCTGTGTGGCAAAATGTTAGTAAATGAAAAAATCACTTTGAGATACTGCAAAAAACAAATACACTCACAAGCCGATTAAAAATTCTGTTTAATATGTGGAATTCCTCGTGATGTCATTAAACAGGTTTGTTGTATGTTTTCATTTCATTTGTTGGATTTGATTCATTACAATTATGCACTTTCCACAATGTTGCTTATACATATGTTAAGTGAGATTTTCAGAACAATGACCTGTCGATATTTTCAATTTGAAATAAGTGTGAAATTTTTCTAATTGTGTATAATCAAAATTACAACATTTTATTCATCTCCTTCATTCTGTTCGAAAATATCGTGAATTCTCTTATCGTTGAATATGTGCCAATAATCTTTAACGTAGATTTTCCTAACATTAATGCTACAACCACCATCATTAACAATACAAGCTGGTTTCACGCCATTTTTCACGTTTTCATCGTGAATTCTAAGTAAAATATTGTTGTTCTTCGCCCAAGATCGAATCACATCGACGCATCCACACTGAAGAGGATTGTTCTGAATATGTAGAAGTCTAAGTGTATTTAGTGTCTGCAAAAATCAATATAATTTTTGTAATGATTCATAAGAATGCACGGACCAAATTAATTTGAACTCACAGAATTTATAGGCATTATTTTTCCTGTGTCTTTTTGCCACCCGGGAATCCTGAAGAATGCCATGTTATTTCCAGACAGTAGCAATATTTTCAAGTTGATATTCTTTTCCAGAAGTTCCAATGGTAATTTAAATATTAGATTATTTGATAAATCGAGATATTTCATTTCCACCATTTGATCGAAAGCTCCATTCTCGATTGTGAGAATATCATTGGTGTCCAAAATCAATTTTACTACTCGAGATAATCGTGAAAGGTCTGTTCTGCCAATTTTTTGTATTTTATTACGAGATAAATTGATATAAGAGAATTCCAGATCTTTCTCATGAGCTTCGAAAATATGTACAGTTGTCAAATAATTAGAATTTAACTCAAGATGACTCAAATACGTAAAAGTATTACTGAAGAAGAATGGCTCAATGATGTGAATTGAGCAGAACTTACATGAGAATACAGTCACATTCTTAAATGTTATCCATCTTTCGAAGTGAAAGATTTTGTTGGAATCTAATATTATAGCTGATCTAATTTGATTAGATGGTGAGAAGTTGACATTTTCCAGAGTTGTGATGAGATTGTGAGTCAAATCAGTCCACAGAGAATTGAAATTAGGTACGACATGAAGAAAATTATGAGAGAGATTCATGTGCATCAAATGTGGAATATTTGCAATCATGTCGGGTGTTATTTTGGTCAAGAGGTTATCACTAAGGTCAACAGAACATTCACTTGATATTCTTAAGTCTGGTCCTTGGAAGGATTTTATTCTGTTTTTAGTTAAAATCAATGTAGTGATTGATTCACTCTCAATTGTGAATTGGGAAATTTGATTATTGTTTAGATTTAATCTCGATATTATTGGTAAATTTTTTGAGTCAATTCTAATGGTTTGCAATCTGTTGTTGTCTGCTTCAAAGTGTTGCAATTCAGGTAATGTGATATTAAAATTAATTTGCACAATATAATTATCGGATAAATAAATGTATTCAATCTTATTTAATACACTGAAAATCCTCATGTCGACTATTGTGAGTTCATTCCATTCCAAACCCACAAATTTTATCTCCTTCATTCCACGAAAACAATCACTGCTAATATAAAGCACACGAGCGTAGTGTAATATTATATATTTCACTGAAGTAAATCTCTCGAAGACCGGTTCAACACATACGAAGGCTTTAAGATCGCTTCTGATGGTTTCATTCTCGTTTTGTCCGGATAAAATTATGTACTCCAACGTTTCTGGTTCGGAATAATTGAATAACTCATCAAAAGACGACCAAACCTGAGTCATTTGTATTATTGCCACCGAAACTATTAGAATAAATATTACCAATAGATTGCTGGGTAACATTTCGCAAAGGGAAAGCTACCAACTTGATTGAAAATCTAGAAATGAGTGTTGCGGAACTGCTAGTATATTCAAAGTGCTTTAATGTACATAAATCGCAATACAACTCTTATCAATAACTTATTTCTGCGTTATCGATGCAAGTAATAGTAAGTAAAGTGATAATAGCAATTTACAAATCCACATGACGATTTTTAATCGTTCTCTTCGTCTCGGAAGAAAATTTCCTCAGCTTCCCTATCATTGAATAGTCGACGATAATCTTTGATGTAATCATATTCAACTTTCGTACTGCAACCATCATCGTTGACAATACAAGCTGGCTTTAGGCCTTTTCTAATGTTCCAGTCATCAACTTCCAGGTCAATGCCATTCTTATTTGCCCACGAGCGAAGCAAATCGATGCATCCACACTGAAGAGGGTTGCTCTCGATAAAGAAGTATTTGAGGTTGTTTAGCGTCTGAAAGGGAATTTATTTGATAAGAAAGTGTTATATTGTGGGATGGTTTGCTTATTTGATTACGCATTCCATTTACAAACTCACACTATTAACAGGTTGAATTGTTTGATTTCCGCCTGGCGTTTCGTGCCATCCGGGTACTTTGAAGAATGGCATGTTGTTAAATGAGAGAACTAGAGCCTTTAGGGGGTTATTCTCAAAGAGATCGGCAGGAAGATGCACCAGAAGGTTAAAAGAAATGTCCAATGTTTTCAATCTGTGCATTTCATCAAAGGCTCCACTCTCTATATTGATAATGTCATTATGATCCAAGTACAACGTCTCAACTTGCGAAAGTCTTTCAAAGTCGTTTTTTCTGATTCTCCTAATTTTATTCACTGACAACTGAATCCGTCTTAGTTTAAGGTCTTCGCTGTAAGCTTTGAAGATATTTGCAGTTGTTAAGTAGTTTTTTCCCAATTCCAATTGGCGAATGTTCTTATATGTATTGGCAAAGAAGAAAGGTTCAACGACATGAATAAAGCAGGAATGACAAGTGAATTTCGTAAGTTTATCGAATGCTGTGTGACTTTCCAATTGGAAAACTTTATTTGAACTAAATCGTAAGGAATAATTTTGACCAAATGTTGAAATATTAACATTTTCCATAGTTTTAATGCGATTGTATGTCAAATCCACGCTAGATGCCATTGGCAGGTTTGGAAAAGAAACGGTGGTCAGAAGATTGTGTGCCAAATTTATAGTCTGTAAATTTGGCATATTTTGAAACATGTCCGGAGTTACTATAGTCAATTGATTGTCATCGAGATTAATTTGAATCAAATTCGGAAGAAACAAGTCAGATCCTTGGAATGATTTTATTCTGTTGTTATGTAAATACAAATCTTTCATCGTTTGACTTTTAATTTGAAAGCGAGATATTTGATTGCTTCCCAAATACATGATTGATATTTTAGGCATATTTTCTGTATGCATTTTTACATATTTTAATCTGTTGTGATTAGCTTCAAATTGAGTCACTTCTGGTAAGACAATATCAGCAAAGTCAATCTTTACGATGTGATTCAGATTGAGAAATATGGCCCGTAATTTCATTTCATCAGATGCTCTAAAAGCACCCATTTCGATTGCTGTTAAGTCATTATTGTGCAAATCAATATATTTGAGTGAATTCATTCCTTGAAAACAGTCACTACTGATGTGCAGAATTCGTGCATCATGCAGGTATAAATCCGACACAGAATTGAACTTTCCAAACATTGGCTCATCACATATGAATTGATCTTTGTTTATCACAGAAACTGATTCTAGCCTTTCTGGATCAGAATATTTGAAGAGATTCTCAAAGGAATCGCATTTAATACGCAATTTATTAGATGCATTTTCTTCTTCGCAACCAATACACTGAACTTTCATTAAATAAGTATTTAGATTCAAAAGGAGAATAGCAGAAAGGATCACTTTTAAGCACAACATTTCGTGAGAACACTTCTAAAATCACTGAATGTCTATGATGCTGTGTGATGAGATGTTATTAAAAAAGAAAAATCACTTTCAGATACTTCGCAACAAACAAACACTCTCACAAACTGATTAAAAATGCTGTTTAATATGTGGAATTCCTCGTGATGTCATTAATCTAGTTTGCTGTGTGTTTTCTTTGCGTATAAATTGAGTTTGAAAAAGTGCAATTGTGTGTTATTTATTCAAATAGAATTCTATAGCACTTTTCATACAATAATACAATGAAAACTATACAATTATTTGTCTCAGTGCAAAGTTTATAATATATGTTTAATAAATATGAAAAACTGTACTTTTGGTCCCTTCTGCTGTTAGAAAATATCGGATTGTAAAGATAGAAAAACGTGTGTGGGGCTATCAAGAATGCGAGGCTTTCAAAAATTTTAGGCTCTTATTTACAAGTGTTGTTTCTATGAAAAATGCTTTTCTATTTCCAGTAAATAAATACTTTCTCAGCAATAGCGTTTTCTCAAAGATGTCTTTCTTTTCAGGTCTGAATCCACGATTGAAGAGAGCTTCGAGGAGGTGAGAGGAAATAAGGAGTTGAAGGTTGTTGTTCCACCAGAAGAAGATTGTGACTTTTCACTGCCTCTAACTCAGAAGGATTGCGAAAATGTTGCCAAACGAATTCAGAATCAGGAAACTTCTCTTCAGCACATAACTCAAGAAATTGAAAGTCTTGGGCATCAGGTGCGGGAAAAGCTCAATGATACAGAAAAACACTTCAACTTCCTGATGGATAATCCGATGAGAAAGTATGTTCCATCCGCAAAGAAGTTCAATGGCCACACGTATCAAGAGTACGAGACGGAATTCATGTTGCACTATCGTGAGACTGAGAAGTAGTTTAATTTGTTTCATCTTCGCGACTAGAAATTTATTTACAATTATTTTCATACAATACAATTTCTCTCATTTTAATACTGAATATAATAAAAGAAAGAAAAACTCTTCGAAAGGAAATCTGTTGATAGCAATTGATAGGAAGAAGGCAACACTCAAAAAGAAATACTGCAATGCAAATGGCACAAAAGCACAATATATTTGGTGGGTGTGTTGTTGAGGGTTCAGAGGCTCATGGCTCGGGTCATTCTTAGGCGAAAATCACGGTAGAGCGTTTTGCCGCCAATAGGCACGCGATTCAAGTACATATCGAGACTCATGAGACAGAGAGCTTTGCCATTCATGGGGAACTTCTCCGCAATGTCGGGTGTCATTGTGAGTCCTTCCAGTGCGGCCAAGTCATTGAGCCACTTCCAAACATGAGCTCGAGTCCAGTCTCGGGGATCTGCAGAAGGGAAGAATAATTGGTCAGTAAATTAAACCTTGAGCAAAAATATTATGATCATGCCTATTGGAAGGTCGTCCGTTTGTATCCGATAGCTGGGATTTTGCCATGAATGTTTCGTGTTTTTCGAAGCCTTCCTTATGCTTGTCCAGCAACAATCAGTCTCCTTAGGACAAACGGATACATTAGTGATATTGAGAGGAGGCACTCTATTTGACCATTTGCTGCTCTCCACTTCCATTCTGCACTTTTCAGCCGTTCTGAAAGGATACAAAAGAAGTGTTAGAAATCTATATGCCATTTTTGCAACTCAAATGTTATCCTTGGGATACTTATTGAAAATTTTTGTTTTAAAATTAAATAAAATTTACAAATTCTTTATGTCGAACGCTTTGTAGAAGGAGAATCCATTGAAATGCGCCCGAAGAAAGAAAATTCTCCGTTTGAAAGGAAATTGCTTCAGGAAGCCGGCAATATTGCTCATTTATTTTTGGGCCATATAAACCACTTTTGTGTCTACATATTTATTTAATTTTCTGTTACATTCCGGTGATACACAACACATGATATATTGGCCTGAGTGAGCGAATTCACACAAATATTGTGGAGGAAAGTGAATGAATGTAAAAAAAGACCACCGGAAATCCGTCATTAGTGGCACGCATGTGTTTTTGTAAACAATTTGTAGATGTGAGTACGACGTGGAATCAATATTTACATTATCTTTGATATACTCAGTGATAGAATGCTTATATATTGAAAAGATATGCATAAGTGTCACTTCCTTACCTCACAATAAGTAGGTAGAATGTTGCTAATGGTGCAAAACTTGAAAAAGTAATCCAGTGATACAGATGTTCTGAAAATCCTCTCACATTCACATTGATCTTGCTTCTCAGAAGTGACTTTTATTATCGGATTTGATGACTCTTTTATGCACTATTTACACAACACAGACATTGGAGCAATTCCGTTCCCTGACTTCACTCCGCGGCCGATCGTTTCCAACTGAAGCCGGCAATGGCATAAAGAGAGCTCAGAGCAGTCGGAGTGACGATTGCCTTACGAACAAGACTGAATGATCCACTGAAGTGAAACAGCTGATAAAAGAATATCCCCCACATTACAAGACCATTAAGACAGACATGTTCCACCCCATTTTAACATTGAATCGCTATTTTAAGCATTTTCCTCGCGTCTGAGAATTGATTTCCTTATGCGGTGGAATAGCTTCAAAGAGTATTTTTAGGACATGAGTTAACATTCAGTGCATTTTCACAGATTTCAGAGTATCCTTTACCTCTTCCTCGTTTCTCCTTCGTCCTTGTGGTCCTTGTGCTTAACAACTTCCCAGGAAAGAGGAACAAATGCCTGTTTTTATGTATCCTCACAAAATATGTACCACAAACACTCTTTCATGTTAGAATGGTGAAGGAGTGAAATAGGAGCCTCAGTCGGAAATTCCTCATTACTAAATTTGACATCGTGCCCTCTTTTATCATTCAAATTTGGGCCGATTTCCTATAATGTTGAACATGACACTCGTTCAGATGATCCTTGTTCGACTTGCGCCAAAGGTCATAAATGGCATCAATTTTCAAAAATTGAAGAATTTGTTGAGGAAATTGATAAGACATGTGTTCCAGTTAGTCGAGAAATGCCACACATACCGATCATTGATGGGAAGCAAATTCCTCGGCATCGGAAGTGGGCTTTTGTGGCATTTTCTGACCCATCGAATGACATGTGAGAAAACATCATTGAAATATTGAAATTAATATTATTCACATGTCATCGTCATCCGGAGTGAGAAAAGAGAGAGAGAGAGAGAGATTTTTACCAGATCACAAAAGACTTTGTAGTTTGACTTCCGTTTTAGGGGCGTAATTTTGCGTTTCCGAGCCTCCAACAATAGTTTTGTTGGCGACAAAAAATAATACACACGAAACACGGAGGAAGGCAATTGAGGGACCGGGAAAGACGATTATATTTCTCCTTTTGCTTCTCCGTGTTTTCCTTTTGCCATTCATCTTAGCGTCTTTGTGCTGCTGTCCTTCGGAAGTTGGTCAAACGAGACATCACCGCATCTATTCTTATGCCTTTCCTTTCCGCACCTTCACGTATTTTGCTAATATTTCCTGTTCCTCTCATATGTATCCGTTCTGTATTAGCACAGGATGTGAGATAATTCAACAGGACTTTGTGGAAAAGATGGGATTTTAATTTAACCATAATATTTGTCGAATTTCTCATCACAGTTTGCTAAATTTAAAATCACAAAAGCTCTCAATTCTTGAATACATTGAAAGTACTATATTCAGATTAAACATAAGAATTACATATAACTGAAGTAAGTATCTATTTGAGTGAATGGTGTATAAAAGGCACCTTAGAGGCAGTCCTTGCAGTACGAGGAAGAGATACGCCAAAGTTAAAGAGATAAGAAAAGATGATTTAAATATTTTCAAGAGACTGAAATACTTCTTTTCTCAGATACCTCAAATATAAATACATGAGAAGTCGGAGAAATTTATTAATACCATTTAGTTTTAACGGATTTGCATTCAAGTCCACCAACTCAGCAGAAATTCAGCACATTCGGCGGCGCTGACAACGTGTTCGGCAGTTCGGAGTTGCGGTGAATTTGTGGACTTTGAGAGTGGTGAAAAAGTGAACCAATGGATGTCAAAGTTAAATTGATTTCTGAACTAAATGGATCTATTCTTGTGTGTAATTTTCAGTTTTAAATGTTGGTTTCCGTGAAAAATGGCAGAAAATTATGCAGTGCAAACTGCTAGCAAAGTGTCGGTGGACAAACTTGTGCGAGTTGGCCTGTATGAGCTGGGAAAGACGCTCGGCCGTGGAAATTTTGCCGTGGTGAAGCTCGCCTCGAATCTTGTCACAAAGTCAAAGGTAAAGGTTTTTTCCTCTGCACTTTTCCTGCCCTCCTTCGCATTTTCCACCGCCCCCGTGGGGCTATCCTCATGTGTGCGACGAGGTGGTGGCTCTCATTGGCCACACAGTGGGGCTTTTCCGCTGACAATCCGTGCGAGAGGCTCTCACAGCCAACACTTCCACGATGGTGAGAAAAAGTTGGGAGTTGGGATGGGGAGTCTCAAGGTGCAACTGCGGCGGCTCGACAAAAAACGCAATTGTTTTGCCCTCGCGGGGCCACCTTTCCGTCGACCGTGAGGCCCTTGGCCACGGAAAATCCATGCCATGTCACTGTGCGGGCAGATCAATTGCCGACCGCGCCGAATGTGGTGAGAATTCGAGGGCTTTTCCGCTCTGGGAAAAGGCATCTGACGAGAGCCACTCCGGGAGTATGTTTTCTCCTCTCTTGATGACGCGTGAGACGAACGACGGAGAGAGAGAGAGAGACACGGAGTGTGAGAAGGAAGAGAACACAGCGAGAAATGAGAAAAAATAATACAAATATTTTCCTCTATTATGTGAAAATGTCTTATCTCAGACTCGGTGAGAACTCCCTTATCACTCCCGTCTCGATGTCTCACGCGCCCCGCGCTCCGCAGCCCAATCGCGGGGCACGTGTCACGCGGAATAGAGCAACTATAGTGAGAGAGTTCAACGATTCCCACGGCACGTGAACACGCTAGGAAGGGCTCCTTCGCGAGGGTTTGGTCCGTGGAGAGAAGTTTTCCGTGGAAGAAGAAACGTGACTCGGTCTTGCTGGGGTTTCCCCAGAAAAGGGCGCCACAGTGCGTGTCTAAAGTACATTTTTAATTAGGTCTCCGCTCTGAAAAAACAGGAAGGGAAATCTGTTCTGACGAGTAAAACAATAATCGAATTTGTGCATTGACATTCTACGAGTCTTCATTCAATAAGCGTCTGATGAGTTTGAGACGTTTAGCCTTTTTCCAAAACTCTCTTAATCAATACTGCACGAGGAAAAGGATTCAATGAAAAGTTTTAAAATTGCACAGCAATGCTTTCATTACCTTTCCAGATAAACTCATAGATATAGATCAGATGCGAGATTATTCCTCAATAAACTATTCATCCGCAGGAATTCAAGGATTGGGATAACTCTTTAATTGCCTTTTTTTTATTTATTTACTATTTTCTGATGGTCTGAGCACTCTTGGTCTTCTACTTTTCTAACGTAGTAAAGCTGTTCGGCGTTAATTGTTTCACTTATAATCGTTTGAGAAAGGCACTCAATTTCCATATTAGATATACGCTGAAGTAAATTCGAAGAGCTTTGAAAGAGTTTCGACTGTCAGATTGTCTATAAGATCTTCTTGTTTGTCTTGTGAAATCACTACATTTGGTTATTAGAAAAAAATATACATTTGCAATTGTTTATTCAATTACCTTAGGATTTAATGGCATTATATTTTCAGTGATAACTTATCTTGGTAATGAAATTAGTTGAGCAAAATCACTTTTACTTTTATTATACATTATATTACTCAGTATTTAATCAAATCAAGTAATATTTGATGCTTCTCTGCCATCCGATATGAAAATAAAATTTTTGCTTGAATTCTTATCTCAAATATATTTATGAATTTTTCACTGATTACTTTTTCAATTTGCGATACCCGCAACACCACATGAACATTTGAGACATTTTTGTATGGAAATGACAAGCCTCCTGATCTTCTTCAGGCTTGAACATGTATGAATCTTAAAGAAGTGTGTGCGAAAGTGAGTGAATATGTGGAGCGACAAAAAGAAATATGATGTGTAGTGTGAGATGAGGAAGAATAACTTAAAGTAGACTTTAATTGAAATCTTGTGATCTGTAGTTGAATTAGTTTTATCGCTTTTCTGTGTGCACACAAACTCGCACGTCGAGGAAGTGAAGAGAAAATTTTCACAATTTTCTCTCAATTGCAGATTGTCGCGTATGGGAAATGGGAAAAAAAACGAGAGACTAAATGTTTTGCTAATGATAGAAGCACTTTAAAGTCAAGGTTCTGATGTTTGGGAGATGCGCGGTGGGAAATATGTAGTTTATTCTTCTCTACATATGATAAATAAGATGAAATGTAAATTATTCATTTTGTTGTGTGTGAACAACAAATGGGAAATTTACAATTGATAAGAGAGAAGAAACAGAATTTAGCATAAAGCTCAGCTGAGCGAGATAATGTCAAATGTGCGGAAGGGAGAGAAACTGGGAAGAAGGGTACTTTTTGCCATTACGTGATTCACATAGTACGCAACTAGTTTGCGAATTAGTTGTGTTTTGACGTCAGAGGAAAACGATGGCATCTGTTTGGATGTTTGGGGTTTCAAAGTGATTAGATTAAAGCTCTCAACTTCTTTGCAGGTGGCAATCAAGATAATCGATAAAACATGCCTGGACGAGGAGAATTTGCAGAAAACCTTCAGGGAGATTTCGGTGCTGAAGCTGCTGCGCCATCCGCACATCACGCGCCTGTACGAAGTGATGGAGTCCAAGTCGATGATTTACCTCGTGACTGAGCACGCGGCTCGTGGCGAGGTGTTTGATCATCTGGTGGCCAATGGGCGGATGACGGAAGAAGAGGCGTCGCGAGTGTTCGCCCAAATCGTCTCGGCGGTGGACTATTGCCACAGGAAGGGTGTCGTGCATCGTGATCTGAAGGCGGAGAATGTGCTGCTGGACAATGAGATGAACATCAAGCTGGCGGACTTTGGCTTTAGTAACACCTTCACGGACGGCGTGCCGCTGAGCACGTGGTGTGGTTCTCCGCCGTATGCGGCTCCCGAAGTGTTTCAGGGCCTGGAATACGATGGCCCGAAAGCGGATATTTGGAGTCTGGGAGTCGTGTTATATGTCCTCGTCTGTGGCGCTCTGCCATTCGATGGGGCGACTCTTCATGATCTGCGCAGTGTGGTTGTGGCGGGAAAGTTCAGAATTCCTTTCTTCATGTCACAGGCTTGTGAGGATCTCATCCGGCACATGCTGCTGGTGCAGCCGGAGAGGAGGTTCACACTGAAGCAGATTGCGAGGCATCCCTGGATGGGATTGTGGACGAGCATGATTGAAGAGGCCGCCACGATGGGGAGCAACGATCCTATGAATCTCGATTCTGTGGTAATGACACATATGCTTCAACTGCCTGGACTTACGGCGGATATGATCGCTCAATCGGTCCATGAGAACCGATATGATCACATTTACGCAATATACAATCTGCTGGTGGACAAATTGCAAAGCAAGAAGCGAGAACAGCAGAGAATTCAGCATCATGGGAACTTTATGTATCCCAGGTGAGAATTAACTGCTATGTCGTACAATTTATCATATCATATCATATCATTGTATGATGCTTTGCAGATCAAGAAAGGCGAGTATTACCACGGGAATTGTGGAGAGGAGTGAGCCGACAAAGAGCGAAGTTATCGATCGACTGAGTCCACTTACAAATAGTGGGATGCCCTTCCTAACAACCCACAATGCTTGTGAGTTGAGCACAGATTTTGAGAAGTTTATCGAGACGGACTTCGATGCGAACATTCCCGCTCCTCCGACTCAGGTGACAAATTCTTCTAACAATAAAGCTTCTGTTACTCACAGTAGATTTTGGTCTCAATTGCAGCAATTGGGAGATCAATACTTTCCGCTGGCGCCCAATACGTCAGGAGGCAATACAAGGAGACACACTGTTGGTCCTGGAGATGTGGCTCATGAGCAAGCGCTTGTGAACCCATCAGCTCAGCCGATTCCCTTCAAATTCGGCACAGAGTGTGGCACTAACTTACCTGTGAATTTACCTATGTTGCAAAATCAACCATTGCACAACTTTACAATCAAAGATCAACATCTACTGAAGCCACCAACAGTGATGGGAGCAAGTAAGATTAGTGTTATTTCTATAAATTCTGAATGGTTTGTTGAGTGTATTAAAAATTCTTCTAGGTTCTTTCGGACGACGAGCTTCCGACGGAGGTGCCAATCTTCATATTTACTACCCCACGACTAGTAACAGTGGTCAAACTATGGAGAATTTGTACAATCCTCCGCCGGCTGTGGAGTGCTTTGCCGTTGGTGGTCCGGAAAGAGTGGATTCGCGTCTGGAATCATCACCTATTGAAGTTGGGGACGAGTCTAATGATGAGATACAGAGGTGAAAAAGACTTGAGTTGTTGGGAGAGAACAGTTTTCGTAATGTGATTTTCGAACTCTAGATACATGCACGGACGTGGTTGCTCAAAACGCCATACAGTTGGATGTACAGATGATCTGCCAGCAACGCCCAGCAGTGTGAGCAGTCCCATGGAGCCTCCTTTGACTCATTCACCGGTGATTGGTGGCTCCAGTGGAGGACGGACACGACGCAGTGGATTGCTGACAGTGACGGAAAGGCCGCCAGGTGAGATAAAATGATCGCCCAGGGCAAGAAAATACCCTCAAAATATCCGTAGATGTTGCAAAAACTTCCGTAGAAATCTCGCATGGATATTTCTCTCACTCAATTTCTCTAGAGATTTCTTTTACACTTTCTTTGAAGAATTTTCTTTGCCATCTCTTTTTTTATTTGTTGACAAGTTTGTTTTCCTTTTTAATCACACTCCTTCTTTTTTGTATTTTTTTTACTTTTTGGTTTTTGCTTGGATGTATAATAAACTTGATTTTGGCTGCTATGTTGGGTGTTGAAAAAAAAAACAAAAAAAATGTGTTTAGTCATAAGTCCCGAACTGATCAGAGAAGTGGAAGCACGCATGAATCGGAATTATCTGCCACCTTCACTCATGCAAAATTCCCAGGGGCAATTGCAGCAGAATACAAGTGCTGCACGACGTTTTGGGCGCGCCTGCAAATTGCCAACTGTACAGGAAGTTGGTGAGTTTGTCAACGATTTTCAGTTTTCTTCTCTAGCTTTTACATTGACTTAGTCACATTTTAGATTAAAATTTTTAATGCTCTTTTGCCTTATAATTTTTTAATGTTTAAATCACACTGCCTTTGTGTGCAAAGTTTTTGATGTAATTGCATATAAAACAGAAACTTCTTATTCAGACAGATGCAAGAGAGGTAAGATTTGATTGTGATTTGATTGAGAGTCAATCATTAGGCTAATGGAGTTGAGATGAAGTGCCTCCCAAACTTCAGAATGCTTTATTAATATGATACACTCTGTCGTTCTCACGCAATAGGTCGCTATAGTCCGGTGAGGCGTGCTTCTGAAGGCTCCAGGATCAATACACAGTTTCAGGGACCACTTCAGGAGTGTCAGCAACTGCAGAAGGGATTGGCTCAACGAAACCTCCTCGTCACTCCAAGTCCTCCGCTTATTGATAATTCTGTCAGTTTACCGGGTGAGTTACATGACTCATGCATTTATTCATGGCCACTCCCACTCTTAAGCTCCGCCTTCAGCAAGATACTAATAATTGACGGTTGTCTTCTTCTCAGGTTCGCCGATACACTATAGACTGAATGAAGATCAGGGGGTGCATGACATCGATATTCCGGCGGACAAGATGATCATGCTAATGTCGGGACTGGAGCGTTTGCTGAATGAGTGCCGTATCAGCGTAGAGACGGCCAACAGTATTGTCACGACGCGGCGTGTACCTATTGAATTAGCGCAGCATCTCGGCCTGATGGCGCACTCGGGCAATAATGGTCTGGACGTGTCTTCGCCGGCGAGTCACAGTCAGAGTGTGTCACCGATTCCGGGGAGTTTCGCCAAGACGAGTGGCTTCAGTTCACCGCTAGCGCATTATAGTGGCAGTGCCTGCGCCTCGCCCATCTTTAATTCCTCGCCCATGCACCAAATCACGAAGGGAATCAGTGGTCTGAACACGGGCGGTGGGTCGATTTCAAAAGGCACCTCCGCTGTGTCGGAGTCTAATCAGCCGCTTGATCTGACGATGGACGTGGGTGGAAGTGACAATGCTCAGTGGTACATCCCGGGGAATTTCTACGAGCTGAAGCCACTGAATTTGTCTCCGGTGCAGCAGTTGAGGATTATTCCAACGCCGCCGGCATCGCCAAATCTGTGTATTATTCAGGAAGAGAATTCAGTGGCCAGAGCCGCGGGTGAAGTGACAAATCCGGTGGTGGTGAACGCAGATGAGAGTACAATGCCACATCCGCATCCACAAATATGTCTGACGGATGTGCAGGGCAGTGAAATAACCTTGGTGGCATTGTCAGACTCCAGTCGAGACAGTGAAGATTCATTAGATATTCACAATTCCATTGGACTACAGGGACTAGTGATCACTGAGCCCTCGAGCGACATGCCGTCAATTACACGCGGCGTTGGCCGGAAGGCGAGCCTTGAGAGTGAATCGACGGCCACAAATAGCTCCAAGGGAACCACCAAGGACGCACCGGAAGTTGATACTCGTCGGGGAAGTGATAAATCGCTGGGGTTTAGTGATGACAGCCTCAGCAATGACTCCAATAACTTGTCGCCCAGTCAGGAGCCGTCAACGAGTTCGGGGTTTAGGAGTAGCGTGGATTCGCGCAGTGAAGTGGACATTCTGGAGGAGTGTTATGAGCTGCCATTGCCACACGAGTGCTCAAATCTCGATCCGACGCACATTCTTGAGCTAGTGAAGAAGACGATTGACTCGAAGATGCCACCAAAAGGTTTTGTGCTGAATCGCGTGGATGCGGACAGGGACGTGGCTCTGGTGGACATCTCGAATCTCAGTCTGGAGTATTCGGGAGGACTGCAGATTGAGCTGCAAGTGTACGAGGGCAGGAGCAAAGACAACGGCGTGCGTGGTATAAAGCTGAGAAGGATTTCGGGGGATCAATTTGAGTACGGAAAGCTATGTCAGCAACTCATAAGTTCCCTCACAGTGTGAAATGCGGAGATTCATTCCTCTGGCCAGGATGGTAATTAAGGTAAATGAAGCACGAATGCCATTGGAATGATTCTTTGCGGTATTTAAGTTCTTTTTCTTTACAATTGCTCATCGATGATATATGATGGCAAGAAAATGCGATCTGCCATATAAACAGCCAGTATGATCTTACATATTTAGCAAGTCAAGGAGATCATATTATGAAAAAAAGGAAAATAATCTGAGAAAGTAGATTTACTTTAGGTGCCATATTCTAGCTTGTTTTAAAGCTTCCCTGAAGATTTTGTTGGTGTTTTAATTTTGAAATATCCATGAACTGTGTAAGTTTTAACCTGAATAATGTGAGTTACATAAAAATAGTTCTTAACAAAAGCAAGAAAGAAATAAAAACATCCTCTCAATACAGCAAAAAACCACAAATGAAGGGCTAAGAAGTGAAATACAAATTAACAAACATATAACTTAATGGAAAAAAAATTTTAATATATAAATATTTAAAGAGATATGTTTAGAATGTTAACCAATTTTCATATAACGTAGATTTCCTTGAGAATGGAACAAGAAAAGATAAAAAAAAAAATAGGCGAGAAATCATTCCAAAAGAAAAATCCTTAAAGGAAAGTCAATGCACAATTTGTGTTGTAAGTTTTTTTTCTGCTTTTCTGTTACTATGTTATATAAAAAGAATAAATGAATTTATAATACAATTGGTAGAACGATGAATTGCTGAGAGAAGTAATGTAAATAGAGAGGATTAGAGTTTAAGGTTGGGGTAGTGTAAAATATTTGTTCACATTCCTAGCATTTGGTATACTAAAGTAACACAAAACTTTGAGTTTTATATCCTTAAGAGAAAGGCTATCATGTAATGTTAGTTTATCGAGGGTGGAAAGATATAAAGGTGGAATTCGATATTGAAAACTATCACGATTGAGACTTGAATCTCAGAGGCAGAAACGTCACACTAATCTTACCACTTTTCAATATGCAGCAAAACAACGTCACTAGATTCGGTCTCTGAACTACACGCAAACACACAGAAAAAACACACTTTATCAAATGATTAAAAGGGAAAATAGAGGAAAAATCTTGTTCGTTTCACCAGTGGGAAAAGTAATGTTCGTGATGCATAATCATTGTTGGCACAAAGATTTTATATAGGAAATTTGTGAAGAGAGAGATAGAGAGGAAGATGGCAAAACAATTTAAATATCTATCAATTATCCTTTTAAATGTACATAATGAAAATATGTATTCTGTGGAATTTACACAAAAAACAGTCCGTTGTCGTGTAACTTTGAAGTAATATATACAAAGAAATTAACTACAAGTGTGCAGATCATCTTAAAGATGTAAATAATTGAGGATACATTATTATATATTGAGAAATAATTACATAAAAAGACTGCTGTGATCTAAGTAAATGAATAAATGGATTTGTAATCATCACAAGAGACTTTCCATTTTCCACCATCAAGTCACTCATCTGAGCAATTTCAGGCCATCTTCAATCCATCTGGGCATGAAAAACATCGGATTTCTTCACAGAATCTTTCATATTTACACAATCATGTACAATGTGACTATAGAACCTTCAGTTTCCCCACGATTTCCTTCAATTTATCACTACAATCCGGCCCTAAACCCAAGACGGTCATTGTTCCCGATGGGATTTCCGTGCGACCGGCATCGTGCACGAGAATACTTGTTATTTCCTGACTTCTGGCCTCGCTGTACAGCTTTTCCATATCATGTGTACTTCTTATCCGGAGAACCACTTTGGGCTGTCCGTCGAGCTTCCAAGCGCGCAAGAAACTCTCCCTTCCGGATGAGAGACTGTGTTCGTAGCACATGACTGCCGCATGGGCGCATTGACTGGCCGTCTTTCCTTTGGACAATTTCAAGTCCGTCCTCACGATCAGGACCATCTTGAGGGCTTTTGGCACGGCGGGTTGCTTAGGGTTGAAGATTCTTAGCAGCATACTTATTGCGTTGCTCCTCTGTGTACTTGCTCATGCATGCCTTGAACTCTTGCACACAATCCTGACACTTGCGCCAATCTTGCTGCTCGGCGATGCACTCCTGCAATTCCCTCAATCAACTCATCAAGTGCAATGAGGCTTGATAATTGACAGTTGTTACCTGAACTTTGTAGTGAAGATCAATACAGCCGGTCTTTTTCAGCATAGCCTCAACGGGATCTTCCTCGTTTCCTGACATTATTCAACAAAACTGAACTTAAAACAAACAAGAATTTGTCAATCATTCAACTTGAGCGTTTCCTACACAGTAAAATGATGACTCTTTGTGTATAGTTTGAGAATCTTACTAGATCTGTTAATTTTTATCATTGTTTTTCTTCGCAATGGAAGTCTTGAAAATGCTTATATTCTGAAGATATTGAGAAGGAAAATTTTGGAGAGCACAGAATCATTTTTTATCACATTTCATATTAGCTATCTTTTAAATGATTTTTTATCAGTGTATTTGCTAGTTTCAATCTCACTTAAAATCTTCACATTGGTGTACTTAACGAACTGGTGCCCATTGAATTCTTTTCCCGCTCTTTTCAACGGTTCACTCTAAAATACTAAAATCATGAACAGGATATCCAAATGAGCGGGATCACAAGGTAAAAAAAAGACGCCAAAAACCAACAAATTTAGTATTTGTTAGAAATGTAACGCACATCCATCATTTAATCATCTCTATCGTTACATAGTTATCACCATTGGAGTGTTATTGAGTATAACTTGTGTTGTTTTTGAGTTAAATTATGTACAAGCCTTAATGCTAGGTCGCGCGCGCACAGGTCAGCCCCTCAGTAGTCCAGCTCGTAGAGGGGCACGGGTGGTCGTTGGTCGGCGTAGGGCGGCGCGTGGCGCCGGATGGCGGTCGGCAGCTGAACGGCGGGCCTGAGCTGCGACTGTGAGTAATGCACATCTCCGGCGGCAGTGTAGGGCAGGCTGTACCGGCTGCGCTCCAGCAGCTTGGCCGGGGCCGAGATGGAGAATCCCAGGGCGGGGGCACGACTAGGCGCAATGGGCTTCAGTGTTGGGTTGAGGGCGTCATTCAGGGTGACGTCATAGTCGCTGTTGTAGATCTCCTCGAGGGTACTCTTGGGCACATCAACCTGGGGCGCTTGCGTTGTCCGGGGGCCGCTGTAGGCGAACTTCTGGGGTGTGTGTGGGGCAGGCGGGGGTTGGTGGTACTCCTGCGGATACCTCAGCACCGGCGGACTGTGTTCCAGCATGCGCACGCCAGACACCGTGGAGCCCAAGTCCACGGGAATGCTACTCTCCGTGACGACCTCTTTGGAGTTAATGCCAACAGGCTGAAGTCCGCGGGGCAGGACTGGATTTCCGCCACGACTGGGCAAGAAAGGTCTCTTCACCACTCTCACCATGGGGCGTGGTGGTTCTCGACCGCTGGGATCTTCCTGGATGGGATGTTGTTGTGGTGGCGGATGTCTAGGCCTCTCCTCATAAGTGTCCTCTTGATGGTACTGCGGTTCCTCAGGAATCTCTTCAACTGTATGCTGCAGTGGTTGCACTGGCCTGTGGGTGGATCGGAACGGGGTCTCTATTTGTTCAGGCGCTTCTTCTTTGCCCCTCTGACGCAGAGTGCCGAAAGAAAAGCTCCCAGAAGGAATACGACTACTAAATCTGTCTGAGGTGAATCTAGGCCTCTCTTCTTCAGATTCTTCCTGCTCCTCCGGTAGTTTGATTGGCTGGCGAGTTGGTGGAGGTGGTGCTGGAGTTGTAGTTGAAGTTGTTCTCAGAACCACTCCAGGTTTCTTAAATGTGCTCTTCGGTCGCTCGTCATACTCATCTCCATAGTACTCGTACTCTTGTGGTCTTCTTTGTTGCTGAACTGCTTGCTCCTTCTCCCGAATTGGTTCTGGTCGTTCTGGTCGTCTGCTCTCCACTCTTTCAGGGATTGCTGGTGGTGGTGGCTGGAAGCGTTTTTCGGTTGTCTCCTCTTTTGGGATCTTAGCCGGAGGCATAGTTTCCGCTGGAGGTTCATCTTCATACTCATCGTCGTAGTACTCCTCCGAAGGAGGTTGAACTGCTGGTGGTTTTGTGCTCGTCGTTGTGCTGTATTGATACTTTTCTCGTTCATTTATGGGCACAGGTCGGCGTATTTTAGGAGGTGTTCGCGGTGCAAAGAGAAGAGGATTGCTGCCACTTCCACCACTTGGTCGGATCTTTCCTGTCTCCTCAGCTGTCTTTGCGGGTTCCTCTTGAATGGGTCTTTTGATGATCTTCTCCTCCTCTTCTTCACGACGTAGTTGTTTCGGTCCCTCGGGACGTCGCTCTAGTGGTTTCCGACGATCTTGCATAGGTCTTCGACTAGGTTCTTCTTCTGGATATCGTCGATCTTCAGGTCTGTAGCGTCTTTCGTCAGGATTGCGTCGTTCGGAATATCCACGGCGATCATCATAGGCAGGACGACGAGTGTCTTCGTGTCGCGGACGATAACGAGGGCGTTCAAATCTTCTGTCATACTCGTAGTCATCATCTTCAACTTTGCCGCGGCTTCTCTCTGAATTGTAAGGTGGGCGAGGATCGTATCTAAAAATCAGAATGGGTTAAATATTTGTCTCAATCTCTTCATTTAACAGCTAACTCACCGATCCCCATCTTCGTAGTCATCGTATTCGGGTCTCCTCGGACGTGGCCTTTGCTTCCTTCGTCGATGAATTCTCTCCTCGTAATAGTCATCCTCGTAATCCTCGTCCTCATAGTAGTAGTCAACCTGAGGACGTCGTCTTCGGTAGGGTCTTCTGTAGGGTCTGCCTGGCCTGGGTCTCATAGGCGCTGCCAAGGTTGGCTGTGGAGGAGGAGCGGCGGTTGTGGTGGTGGTCGTCGTTGAGGGTTTCTGTGTGGTTGTTGTTGCTGCTTCATAGAGAGCATCGTTTCTATGGAAGTACTTGGGCGAGTTCTTGCAATCCACCTCAGAGACAAAGTGGCAGATGAAGGTTTTTTGGTCGAAAGCGGTGAAGTTGGCACACAGGAAATCGTAGCGAATCCCAAAGAGACAGTGATGATACAGCTGAAATGGATGGACATTACAATGGGAGCATCTTTTTCTGTTTTGCAACGATTTCATCTCTCAACGTTTCAACTAAATCGCGTGCTATAATGGTGTTGTATTGAATTCCATCAAGTGAAACTTCTTTATAAGCACGTTTCCCAATTCGCCCTTATGTTAAGTGGAAAAATTGACTTCAATTATGTTTCAGCTCTTACTCAATATTTTGCATTAATTATAGGGAAGTTTTTTTGTATTCACGGTTGATTTGATTGAATTTTGATCGCACAGAGAGTGTAAAATTTGTAATGGCTCACCTGACAATCGTACTTCACGGACGCATAGAAACCATCATGAAGGCCGTCGCATTTGAAGTCAATGTCCTCCAGGTCAGGAACGGAGACCAGGAAGGGATAGTTTGAGAGATTATAGCCGTTGAGCTCGCGCGGTAAATTGGGATCCCAAATGTAGTCGATTTGTGGAATTCCTGTCAATGTGGCCTTTGACGAAGAGTTGTTATCCGACTTTTCCGTAGCCTGAGAAAATGGAGAAAAGTATTGCTTTGATTGATATTCACTTCGAGAAATTTTCCTTCATTATGAAATTACTTGTTTCATTGAACGGAATAATGTTACTTGCTAGTGTACTATGTTTTGCTTATGTATAGATTTTGAGTTATATATATAATAATAGTAATTTTACTTTTGTGTATTTTGATATTCTAGTCTTGCACTTTCTCCAAAGATGTGCAAAATTTCCATCTTCGCACACTTGCCTCTCAAGGAGGAATAATTGAATTAAGCACGGGAATTAAAGCGCTCGGAGAATGTTAATAAAATCAGGGTTGTTCCTTTAGAAAAAGCAACATTGCGCGCAAAGTCCAGGAAATTCAATTTACTATGCAATTTACTCGAGTGCCGTAATATTTCGTCTTCTGAGCGGAATCATCATAATTTCCTCCTTATAAATTTCTCATCCACTTCCGTGTCGCAAGAACGTCTCTGCCTTCGGTTGAAGATCCTCAATCTCACGTCACAACCTCCTGAAGTGTGTGTGGAAGTGCAGCGGCCAGAAATTATAAAATTAAACTGAACATTGAATGGTGAATTCGTGCTCAATGGGCGATAAATCACTTCACCATTTTCGCTGTCGATATGGTTTGGTAACAGTTAAGTTATGCAAACAATATTTCCACGCGCATTTATTTAATCATAATTTCAAGTGGCAGAGACACTCGACATTCTCCATACAACCGCTTCTTGTTTCCTGCCCCACAAGTACGCTTTGGACGGTGTATGTTGTATATCAGCAAAAAGAGGCCCGCGAGTCACTCTGTCACCGACGCATATTTCGCCGGATGAATACATAAGAGCCCTTCCGCGGCCTCTTTTCATATTTGCAGAGAGTCACGACGTCAGAAGAGCATGAATGTCACGACTCTGGGCACAGACAACAAAGATTTCAAGCCAAATCATTTCCCACTTTAATGGTACTCGGATGAATTATGGGGTTTTCTTCTGCAGGTTCACGATAAATCTATTAATGGAGACCTAGATGTTTATTGATCATAGTATCGGTTTTGAGTGAAAGATAGTCAGCATTCAAGGGAAATCACAGAAGTGGGTCAAAATACTTATAAAACACAGGTAACAATTTTATTAATACATTTTGGGGCAAAATCTTTCTTCAAAGGCGATAAAAAATAGAACGGAACCTTATCTCTGGAAAAGGATCAGTCTAATGTGGGGAAAATTTAGTTAGACAACATTAAAGTAGATTGAAGTAAAATAATTTCAGTATCAAAATTTTAAAGTTTAAAAAAAACTCTTGAATCGTGATGAAGTCTTCTAAAAATTTTACATCTCCCAATTACAATACTGGTTTAAATATGGTTTCTGTTTTCTCACGATTCTAGGCATATTAAGCTGAAAATCTTGTTATATCCTGGTGTCGAAGTAAGAGGAAATGTTAAAAGAAGCTGTGTTGAGACATTTAAAGGCGAAGTAACTTGTTCTTGCAAGTTCAAGACTGCTTATTTTCCAGAAAAGCTGTTAAATTTCCTGGTACTTCAACTGCATATTCTTCTGCTAATTGCTCTGACGCAAGAGAAGCACTAAATGCCAGCTGAAACACTTAGCTATACTTACTCCTTCGTCACCACTGGCGCTGGGATCCTCCTCAAGTGGAGCTTCTGTGCTGGTGGTTGATGTCTTGCCGAAGATGAGGGACGTTGCCTTCACTGCATCCGTGTGAATGGCCAGGAAAGCCGCCAAGATCGTCAGCATCAGCAGCCATCGCAACAGTCTCTCCATCTCTTCTCAAACTCTCCGAAGGCACCTGTGAGAAAACAGTGATGCTCAATTAGTAGGAATCCAGATACAAATTAGTATGGATACTTGTGCAGTTTTGTATGGAGAGGAAGCGCGCGCGCGAGCGGAGATTTATCAATTTGCGTGAAATAATTGTGAGAAAAATCCGTGAGACAATCGCTCATTCTTCGTGCTGCGCATTATGACCTGAATGGCGATAATTGCGGTGTAAGTGCGTTTAGCGCCGAAAAAGATTTTCGTGAGTCCATGACACAAAAAATTTATGTACGGGAAGATGCCAAAACTTTGGCAATGTATTGACAAGTGGATTTTTGTGCACAGAAGCCGTGACGGAATGCAATGGTGGGAAACAGGATAAGCCAGAAGAGAAGTGTGTGTGCAATAAATTTAAACCAGAGAGAGAAACAGCAATCTGAAAAAAGCATTGAATTGCAACAAGTAACAAGAGTTGAATATGCGAAGAGAGCAAAAAGTAAAGCATAGTATAAGAAAATGGCTCAAGCCAAAGTTGATTGCCTCGATTTGATGGTGAGAGAGTGAGAGAGCAGACGAAAAAATTATTAATTCCCGTATCAATTCTGCTCAAGCGTTAAAAGTGAAAGTGTAACACGCAGACGATCGTACAATGTGACGACAATCGACGGTCTCGCGTGCAATTTTTCGCCAACATCTTCTCTGACATATCCTCAATTTATTCAGGAACACTTGCAAAAGCACTTTGTAAAATTACACTTGTTGCTTTCGCCCTGAGCTTTGATGATGGCGACGCCACACGACTCCGTTGGGTGAAAGGTCAATAAACAAGAGGACTGCATTGTGTGCATACACATCCTTGTCAGCAGAATCGTGCGCAATTATGCCTTCCGAGAGGATTGGGAAACCATACACTTTGAGACATAGTTTGCTTGACTTCACAGACGAAATCGTGGCTTTTGCTTGTCAAAATATGCCACATATATTGGTGGTGTTTTTTTCACTATCACTTCTCAGTCGGAATCAAGAGTGATTTGTAGGTTAAATTGCGCAATCACATCTTCAGGTGCAGTATAAAATCGAGAGCGCGAGAGCTTTTCGTGAGAGACGTTTTCATATTAATTGATCAACTTCTTGTACCATTTACACTTCGTCTAGTTTAACTTTCAAAATGCAATTTTACCATTTCGATTGAAAGGGAATTCTTTCACTTGAGCGAGGATTTATCACTTCTTTGCCTGCTAAACAGGAAGTTATGTTTCTGTCGTGAATTACCAGCATTAAAATAAAAAAAAAGCATATGCCAAGAGAACTTGAGAGTTTCTCAGCCATTCAGTCGCACGTGGGGGAAATTATTACCTCAGACAAAGACATTGCTAGAGAGATTAAAAATATGGGAAATTTTAGATAAATATGCTGGAAGAATTAAAACTGATATTGTGCCTTGAGGGCAAGACAATAGAAGTTGTGTGGAAAACTTTCACCAAGAACTCTCCTTAGTTGCAGGTGAAATTTTTTATTAAGCAAAAATTTGAGAATCTCTGATGCAATCGCGCGGTTTTGTGGTGATATTTTGAAAGCGATATCAATTAAGCTATCGCCAGTCGATTGAAATGTAAACCGCGTAAACCCATCAGTGAATTTTTTCTCTCCTAAGCGATGACATAACACACCAAGTCAAAGAGTGAAAAATGATAATTTGCCCATCTCAAATATTTGTCCGAATGACATCTATTTTTTGCCTATCTTTATTCCTCGCTTTTTTCTTGTGTTGAACTTGAATGACTTTTTTATAGTCTCCCTAATGAGCGGCACATCTCTCTTGTGCCACCCAAAAAAGTGTGTCTCTTTTCACCTGCGGCACTGTGGATTTTTATAGAAGGGATATGATGAAATTTTGACCAGCATTTAGCGACATGATTGCGTTATTCAAAACTCTTTGGGTGTTAAATTGTTAGGTAATTTGCACGCGACTCTAAGGCTTCGGCAATTGCCACAGAATGTCACTTTCGCTGACGCCAATTGGCCCAAAGCATGACCGGCAGGAAGGTCACAAGGGATCCAGGAAATAAAGAAATTGCCTCCATGGCCAATTTTGTGCTCCACAAAAGAACCAGTGTGAAATTTCCTGGTGACCTTAGACACTTTAATTGGCCTTTTTCAGCGCCACAAAAAGACAGAGACACACACATTTCCTATTCCAACAATTTCTGGTATATGATTTGCAAGTCAAACTTTCACATAAGAATCTATGTGGCAAAAACTTGCACCCTGAAAAATTGCACTCTCGCGGAATCGTTTGAGGAGTTGCAATTTAAATTCCAGCTGTGTTCCCTTCGCGACTGGCATGGACATTAAAAAGAGAGACATTAAATAAGCTGTGCGTGGAAGGAAAATACCAAAGAGTGTGAAATGTTTGCTTTGGCTTTCATCTGTTTGTCAAATTGACCACTCAAATACCATCCCGGTGTCACGTTGCTCACGCGAACACCCACGGCATATCAGCCGAGACATGTGGTAAGGCATTTCATAAGCACTTCCCAAAAGATCAATCGAGATATGTAGATGCAAATTAGATGGAAAAAAATCATGCCAGCAAGAGATGCAGTCCCATTATACTGCTTTTCGAGTGAAGATTAAGTTTAAGAGTGCTAAATGGAAAGCTGTAAAAAGAAGAAAAGCCTCTCTGAACTACTGTACAGCCATAATTCATCTTTAATAAAAGCAAACCCAAAGCAAAGCTTATAAATTGACACCAAACCCATTCGTCAAGCATATTCATAACACCGAGTCACACCTTTGCAATGGAAATTGTGAGGCACAAGACAACACCTGCAAATTGTCTGATTCATCAAGGGATAAGCTTGATCTAGAAGTGTGCGACTTAAGCCTCAATAATGTAGAGGATTACTATCAGGAAATGTGTTTCTCCTCTAATTAGCGTCGTATTTTGAGGATTAAATATAATATTTGTCAAATTGCGTACTTGAGAATCTCGAGAAAATCTCTGGCTTATGTCATGAAAGATTTTCTATGATTTACATGTAAAAATGATGTAATATGAAAAGGCAAGAGAAAAACAGAAGTCGTCATATGATATTACAAAATCACGCTTAAAATACAAAAAGCTCAACATCCAGAGGCAAATGACAAGATTCATTTTACGATTTTTTAGAAGAACACTTGATTAGTGACAAGAATCTATGTAAACTTTTAGGATGATTTCTTTAAAACAACTGCAAACTTTTTTATTTACGCACTTTTCTCTGGATTCTCATACCCTTACATATGTGACTGAAAAAAAACAGTGTATTAAGGTTGCATTAAGTCGCATTATAAGCTATCTTTTCTCACCCACGCCCTCTCTATTAAATTAGCTTCTTAATTGTAAGGTGAATTCAAGAGAATGGACTCAATTTACAAAATCTGTGAAAAAGATTAAGTGCATTATTACATTATTCCAGCAATTAAATTGCCAAACACTACTTCTCGCATTACAGATGGAATTCAACAGTTGTACACTGGCAAAAGCCACTCTTAATTGCCAGAGAGTATTTTAAAATATCACATTGAGAGAGATTAATTAGACAATTTATAGGCCTTATTGGATAAAATTTAATTGCATCTCAAGAGCTTTTCCACTCCACCATAATTTCGACGCACAGTGTGTGTCTTTTGCGTGAGTGAATTTCCAAGTTTCCAATGAATTCAGCTCTGTGAGTGATATTTTAGTGGTGGTTTCTTCTCTTAATTGCATACTTCACTTTTAGGGCAATTAATTTGGGTACAGTTAAGTATGTCTTTGCTTTGACTTTCGATGAGCTTTTTTTGGTACAGTTGAGCAATGTTTTGGTGGGAAAAGGTGTCAAATGATGTATAAAGAAGTGATAAAAATTGCGCGATGGCGTATTGGATGCAATATTTGCATAATTACAGTCGTGATTTTGCCTCTCACGTGGCACAAAGATTGGAAAAAGGGACTTTTCTCGCTTCTTTACCTCTACAATTTATTGTGATTAATTGCTTCCAAATGAAGTCAATTTTCCATTGTTTGATGGCGTCTTTTGAAACATGCACGGAGAGACTTTCATGTTGGCCTTTTTGCCTCCGTTTCAGTTTATACTTCTCTTTTCTGTTGTTCCACACACCATTTTCTCGGCACAACGCCAAAAGAGGCACTGCACGCGAGTCATTGCACTTGTTGGTAAAGGAGGAATTGCCAGACAATCACTTTAGCAATTCTCAAAAAGAGCTCGACGGGAGTTGAAGCGAGAAACCGTGAGCTATTTCAAGAAAATTCCTCCAATTTTTCCACAGAACTCTGTGATCAATGTCGAGTTGTGGTCAATTAATTATCAATAAAGTCACTGGCAAAACGGGTTTGATGCTAGGAATATCATTTAACTAGCGACTTGTTGACTTTTTTCTTCGGCAATTCCCAGGCAAAACTCCTTGGCAATTTCACAATGCGCACACGATTGAAAAGTGTGATGATTTAATATTTGATGAGATTTTTTTCCCGTCTTCATTTGCAAACTCATTGAAAAAATGAAATTTGTGTGTCTTCGAGAAGCGCGGCTTCTCTTGAGAATATTCGGTGTATAGAAATTAATATTATTCAACAGTTACAAATGTCACAAAACTATAAATTGAATATTGACTTTTTTACAAGTGTGGTCGGAAAATCATTAGAATAACTTAACCTTTTCGCTTACGGTTTGAGATAAAAACCATGTTTAGGTGTCTTTTTCCCCCACAAAGTGACATTAAAGTGAAATATACTAATGATGACGAAAATGGAGCTGAAATTATAGCATAAAGAGGCACCAAACATATTTATGAGGCGAGAGTGAGTCGGAGGGGCAGGTGGAAAAGCGACTATAAAAAGTGAAAAGATATTTTGAGTGTACCTCAAACTGAAATTTCAATGAGACGCTCTGCTTCAACAATGGTCACTGAATAAATCATAATAAAGAGAAGTTGAAGGAAAAAAACTCACTGAGATTTTAATTAATCGCACTCAAATTTTGTTGATTTGTGTTGATTTTCATTTTCAATTTTAATTCAGTGACTTCGCGTGTCATAAATTAGTATTTTTTATCACGAGACTGCAGATTTTCGTGGCCACTCTCGCGTGCTCAATGAGCTGTTCGTTCACAAGAGACACACAGCCAAATCGCGTCCACCGATCGAAGTGTGATTGACTTTGTTGATGGGGGAAAACTTTCAATGAGAGTTTTAAGTGTAGAAATTTTGTTGTCATTTAAGACTTGAAAGTTTCCTGACGAGGTGGAAATAATCCTATACTTTGCCGCGAATTTTAAACAGCAATGTTAAATTGATAGCGGCACCGAAATTGCAATACGTGCCACAATAACTGCGAAACCACGCCCAACTGGAAATCCCGCCTTCTTCTCATAAAAGGGAGATGGATTCTTTATTAAATGTTTTTAGTTCGGATATTGGTAAAATAAGCAGAAAAAGCGAACGAAAGCCGTTCAGTGGAAACTTCCTAATTAACTCGATGATTATTCTTAATTTGTTAAAAATCATCAATTTTGCTTTCATCGTTGGAAACATGAATATTCTTCTTTATAAAGTCATCCTAGAAATTTTAGCCATTAGATTTACTCTAACTTTGGTCACTTTATTTAAGCTGAATAAATAGCTAGTTCACATAGCTGAGTTTAACATTTTTCACAGTCTCAAAATCATCTTCTGCCACAAGCCAACCGATGTCACAGTTTTTGCAAAGAGAATGCCACTAGTTTTCATTGAAGATGAACTGAAATGAGCAACATTCGGCTGGAGTGAGAGTCGAATCAAATTTCCATGCAGAGATTTCATGAAATTGAAGCGTTGAGATATTGAGGAAGGTCTAGAGCAGGTTAAAAGGTTTAATCATTGTTCGTACTGCGGTAATGATGAAAATTTGTTCCGCAACATAAGAACAGTTTCACTTCTTGGACTCCATTATGTTAAGTGTTGCACAATCCTTTGGACACGCGGCGCCCGCAATCAAAGGAAAATTTTTCGAAATAGGTACTCCAAGTGCTCGTTGGTGATCGAAGCCAGGAGGAATTGATTGAGGAGAAAAAGTGAAAATTCGGTGGCAATGGCGCGCGGTGAGAGATGCCCTGATGATTGACGTGAGGTCGATTGAGATGGTCATTGGTAAATGTGGGTTAATTCCGTTTTCATTGATGGTTTGGACTTACGCGATTCAGCTGAGGACTGTTGGCCAGTAGATCGGCTCTCGGTGTGGATGGTATATTACTAAAAGCGCCAACTCTCTTGTGCGCTTAACTTTCACATTAACACAACGCGTGACGTAAGTTTAGTCTTCGACTTCGGTCTCCTGCTGGATTTGCGGCGATGATTGGGGAATTACATGATTCTCCCCGGCTGTGCCTGGGCGAGAATGTCCTCCAGCCTTCTTCCTTGCAGTGCACTGTTGCTGGGAATACTTGCTGAGATTGTATATTTCCACTTCTGCTCACAGCGAGGATTGTTGCATAACAATTTAACACACAGCACACAATTGATACGAAAAATGCAACAACTCAATTGCCACACACTGCTAGAGTGTATGAAAATCAGTGCAGAAAATCACTCTCGCACCACTTACTCGCTTTTCACTTTACAATATATGCAATCACTTGGCTTCTTCGCCGATTACTTCAAGGATTTCCACAGCCACACCATCGAGAGATTCAACATTCGTTCAGTCACTGCTCAACCCCGCGAAATTCCCTGCCCGCAAGCGCACTTCTGGGCATCTACGCGGCGAGTCTCTGCTGACGGTGCTGCTCCTGATGGGGCACATGAAACGAGAAAGACAGGAATGCCATTAATTGGACTGTGGGTGTGTTTTATAACAACTGGTAGTTCTCTTTAGATTGCCATCAGCGCGCATTCACCCCTCGCGGGGCCTTTTGATCGGGAATGGGCTTCGCCTTGGACATTCCTTTCAATATAACGGATAGGAAAAAACACAGTCGAATTGTCTCTGCTGGTTATAATGAAAAAGTGCAGTATTTCAAGACAGGATGTATTTGTTCAAATATGTACACCACACCTGCCTTTCTATTAAATTTACTCCCGCTTATTGCGCTGCAGAAATTTCAAATCATCATTACCCTCCTCAAAAGAAAAGTACACAAAATTGAAACTGTCTGTAAAATAAATTACTCAATTTCTTAGTTTAGACATATTATATCATTGTAATTTTAACACTAGATTTAATAAATGGGTCTAGGACTCATCAATAAACGTTTCACTGTTGTTTTGTGGAGTGTAAATCATTCCTTTTTTATACTAAAAATGTGTTTACAAGATACATTTATTTCAGTTATCACTTAATTATGTTGTAATAAGTTTTCTACAGCAACCTACTAATTCTCTAAAGTTCGCCCTTATCTATATTTTTGAAATTTGAAAATATTCAATAAATCTACAATATTTGAGCAATACTTTACTTTGTTATTAAGTATTTTACTGTGAAAAACAAATTTCTCAAGCTTCTTAAGTCTTCATATTATCTACCAGCTTTAATTTAAGTTTAGAGTGTCTTAAGTGTTTTTCTAGGAGTCCTTTAAAATGTCATTTAGTGTATTCACTTATGTTTTATCACACAATAAGATTGTTAACCTAAAATGTGCATTATTTAATAGAGAATCCATTGTAGAGATCAAAATGAAACTCTGCAATAAATTGTGTGTTAAACAATTCTGTATACTATAAAATCTAGAGCAAAATCGATATGATCACCTTTCTAATGCGTTAAGCTGTTTTTCATGAGTGCTGCAACTCATTAAAGTGAGTTATTCAGCAATTTTATGATGATTAGCATCGACTAGAAGTGCTAAAAGCCATTTTATGAATGAAAAGAGTGACAAATATGAATCCCTTGACATTTTTACTGAGATCTTGACATTTTGTACATCACTTTCATGCAATTCCTCTCCCTTGGTTAACACACAGAAGCAGCGAGTTTTCTTCAAATTAAAAATTCACTGCTTGAGACAATGAAATTTTCTGGCAATAACCTTACACTACAATTCATCTATAAAATATTTCATGTGGAAGACCTTCACAGGTCGAGTGATCTTCCCAGATATTTACATAATTTCTCGTCTGGACAGGGAAATTTCCACCGCTGCAGCGTATAAATTTTTTTTTAGGAATTCATTTAGGAGAAAAATTCACAGTGCTCTAAATTGTTTATTCCGCCAGTGCAATTTTGCAGGCAAAATTATTCTTCTGTGGCGAAGAGTGAAATCGGCGAGAAAGAGTAAAAAACATATCCCAGCTTACAAACTCACCTGGCTGGTCAACGTGGGCACGCTTTTCCAACGGGCTTTTCCACACTCACAGCCTATCTTCTCCTGTCAACCTGAAATAATCCTTGGCGCGGCGTGTGTTAATCCTTAAAGCCACTGAGGCAACAAATTTTGACTTGGGCACGTTTCACTGCTTTCTGTAGCTCTGGCCTCTTCGTGGGCTGACGCAGATCTTGTTCACTCGACCACTGTTGCTAAAAGACTAATAAACTGCTTGGAGCTTCGTTGGGTGGTTCGCCAAGGAAAAGTACCTCTCTCTTTTTTCCATTCAATGCGACCGAGCGCCGTGTGCGAGTGTATTTGTGGCCCCAACGCTGGATTGCCACTCGTCGAATTTTGTACCATTTATTGCGATCTGAAACGTACTTTTGACGGTGTTTTGAAACCATATTAGTAAAGAGACTCCGTGAAATGAATTTTCAGAACATATATTTTGAAGTATTCTTAAGCACATAAAAGATTAAATGAATTTCTCATACAATCAGTTGAATATATTTACAAAGAGATTTGGACAAGTGACAAAAATTAATATTCACTGTAATTTTCGAAAGGTTTCCTCTAGATCACCCTAAATTTTCCTGCATCTATCACTTTCCCAATTTCTAAACAACCCGCACAAGGAATAGTCTATCAATCCACACAGTTGTTCTCTATAAAGTAATAATAGGATATTATTTTCAAATATGCTTAACGTAAGAAAAAAAGATAGGAAAATAAACTAATCTTAACTCTTCACATATATTACAGTTACAGTTACACATAAATATAAGTCTAAATAGACAATTTAAAGTCAATAATCGTCATACAGTATACTTCTCAAACTCTTGTCCTTTCACTCTCCTAAATGCCTAAAGATGATGTGTAAGCGAGCCAAAACATTGATTCCACTTGTGGTCTATTGGCTTTGTATAGTGGCAAAAACTCCTCCCTAGCAACTACACTTAAAGAAAAAAATATAATATACTCATTGATATAAAAACCAAAGTTTTCCACAAAGAAACAGTTTTAGAGAGAGAATCTCCTTCTATAGCACTACTAATTTTTCTTCTCCGTGTCGCGCCTCTTAAATCTCCACGTCCGCCACGAGCGCTCTCACTTGGAATTTGCCGAAATGTGATCAGCCGTCTCGCCACGAGCGTGTCTTTCCCACATCTTGCCGAAGAGCATCTCCAGGCCCTGTGCATACTGCTTGCAATCAAACAGTGGACTCTCTACGCGCGCCTTCCACACCTTGGCTCGCATGGCCTTCAGGTACTCTCGATCAGTGCCCAGGCGCACAGCCACGTCCTGGTACTCCTGTCGAGTTCGGGCAATCAATTCCGGACAGCCAAGAGTGGCCAGCTGTGAAGCCGCGACTCTGCGAGAAAAAAGAGCAATGTTTCATTGCAACTCATTTCATCTTCTAGTTATATTTTTTGCAATTGATTGAACTTTCTAGTATCTGATTTGAAATTTATTTCCTTGTGCACTTTTCTCCTTATATTCTCAATTTGTCTATAAAATTCATTCCAACATACCTTGACGCCAATGTCTCACCGGGAAGTGTGACAACGGGCGTTCCCGTCCACAACACATCCATCGAAGTCGTGTGGCCATTGCAGAGCGGCGTATCCAGGCACACGTCCGCCAACTGCCCACGTCTAACGTGTTCTTCCTTCGCGGCGACATTCGAGAAGATAATCTTTCCTGGCGGAAGACCTGCAAAACAGAACACCAGAAATCCATTATTTAGCTAGTGTGACAAAAGGAATTATTCACGATGAACAACATCGAAGGCGGAGAGAATAGAATCTATTTTTTGCACACATTCAACACACCGCCATATCATGATATCGAACCCCATGTGTCTTTTCGTCTGTCGTCCACACTGATATGATATCGCGCGTCACTAGGAAAAATCTCTTGTGTCTTCAGACCGCGACAGAGACGCGATTGAATTTATTTCCTCATTTATAATTCACCACTTTGTCGTCAATTTCTCTCGTGAACTCTCACAAAATGTTATTACTCAAGTCACTCAGTGAAGCATTTCAGCACCATTTTCCCTCATCTTTAATACACTCCACTCAATTTTTTTTTACTTCTCTCCCTCCCCTCTTCTCTGTGCGATGTTCGGATTTTATAGTAGAAAAAGTTTTAAAAATACCAAATTACACTCTTTCTAAACTCCTCACACAAGTTGACATAATTAATCTTCTTCTCTTGGCGCACCACAACCATGAACATCTGCTACGGAATCGCATAGAATGATTTTGCAAATCAATAACTGAGCAACATATTGATTTTCGTCTTCAATACTCTTCAAGGAAAAAAACACCCACGCCAATTTTAAACTTAACCGCACACATTTAGCTTATGATTCTTAGTCACGTGAAGAAAACCACATTTTGCAATGCTTCATGAATTTCATTTTAAGTTGATATTATCCTGAATGATGTTTCTTAAGAAAACCTGTGACGCTCATTTATGCTAATCATTCATTTATGCTCAATACTTGATGAGTCTGTAGGTAAAATATTTTTGGAAGAAAACTTAATTTACCGACGCACTGCCTACTTAGAATACCCACCCTGATGATAACATTGAAAATGTTTACCACGTTTCCTTTCAATTTGATTCTTTACCAGAACAAGGATGCTTTATAAAATTGAAAACTACATAATGCAGATTAGCATCAAACCTTCATTTCGTTATTGAAAATTGAATCAAATAATTTGACATTCATATTCGGTAAAATTTCGTTATTACGTGAGAATTTTATAATACTAATGTAATGAATATCCAATTTCCATCTGCGCATAACACAACAGATAGATAAATGGAATTACATCACTAATTAGTCGTATTCATATCATGGACACAAATTTGGCTATTCAAACTCATCAATTTCCCCAATGTACTCTAAGCCGGAGATGTACTCACCGAACTGCTGAGCTGTAGCCTGCAGATTGGGCTCCCCAACAGCCGGGAAGCGGAGCAACCAAAGCACGGAGTTGGGCACGTGCTTGAGAATGTGCACCCACATTTGCAGCGTGAGCGGATCAATTTTGTACAGCTGATTGAAGTTACAGTACACAATGGCATCGTCTGGCAATCCATACTGCTGGCGTGTCGTGATGACGATATTTTGGGGCACCTCTTCGCCGGTGGCCGCCTTGTTGTTCGTCTGTGTCGTGGCTAGTCCATTCTGTACCACCACCCCATTCACTGACGTCTGTACCTGCCCAGACGCGATCATCGTCTCAATGGGCGTGGTGGTTGGCAATTCAGCCACCTTTAGGCTTATCTCCACCGGCTTCTGGGCAATCACCACTTCACGAATCTCCTTCACATCCGTACTCTCGACCAGCGGCGAGAGATCTGTAGCATTGATTACGGCCACATTGTCCGCCACAGCAGCATTATTGCCGTGTGTCTTGTCACTCACAATGAGACGCTCCTTGAGATGCGGGAACATCTGCTTGTGATCCCCGATAAAGTAGGTGTAGGGCATGTATGCCAATTTCTCGCTGTATTGCGGCGCCAAATCGAGCGGTGATGTCACGGCATCTGTAATCACGTAATCCATGAAGCTGGCTCCACTCGTTCCCGGATACCCAAGCCACATCACTTGAATAGGAGCTGGTCGCAAAGCGAAAATCTCATTTCTTGCACCCTTTGTATATCCATTCATATTCACGAGTATGTGAATGCCATCACCATGAATGCGATCGGCCGCCTTGCCATTGCATGGAATCGGTGACAAATCAATAAAATGTTCTGCCTCACGGGCAATCTTGCTCCTGAATGTCGTGCCGTCATCCGGCGACAGAGCGTAGCAGAACACCTCCACACGGTGTCGATCATGCAAACCGGGAATTGATTGCATGAGGTGCGATGTGGGATGATTACCAAAATCACTACTAACATAGCCAATCCTCAAGCGGCCACCCTGAAGCTCTCGCATAAACTTATACGGTGGCTTGTGCAGCACGTGAATTTTCTCAAGGCACAAATTGGCATGTCGTGCCGCAATATCGCGCCGGAATTGATGTGACAGTGGATACAACATCGAATGATGTGGATGTACAGACGGCAGACGATTCTTCTCCAACTGTTCCGCCACAATGCTCACCAATTTCTTCATACGCGCATCATAATCCGTCCAATCGCAAACAATCTGCAGACAGTGCGCAAGATTGCAATAGGCATCTGGAAAGTCTGGCTTCAACTTCAGCGCTGTTCTGTAGCTTTGAATCGCCTCTGGGATGTTGCCTGAATCCTTGTGGATGCTGGCCAAATTGCTATGAGCATCCGCAAAGGCGGGATTGATCTGAATGGCTCTCGTGTAGCACTGAAGAGCTCCCGAAACATCCTGCATCTCCTTCAAGGTGTTACCCATGTTCGAGTAGGCATCCGCAAAGGTGGGCTGAATGCGAATTGCCTCTTTGTAATGCATAAGGGCTTCATTGAGTTTACCTTGCTGTTGCAACACCGACGCCAAATTAGAGTGAGCCGCTGCAAATTCAGGAAACACTTCCAATGCCTTGAGGTACAGTCTGGTTGCCTCCTCAATGTACCCCTGTTCGCGCTTGATATTGGCCAAATTATTGAGGGAATCCGCATGGGTGGGACACAAGCGAAGAGCAGTGTTGTAACAATTCTCAGCTTCTTGCACCTGAAAACACAAAAGATAGACATTATCAGTCGGAAATGCTATTTAATGAACCCACAATGAGGAATTTTTATGTTCGTTTGCAGCAATAAACCTTCAAACTTTATCTTCAGTGTTTATTGCTTGATTTTAAGGACTCCTTTTATCGTTCCTCAATGACAATCATTCATAAAAAAAAACCACAGAGTTTGAAAGGCATTTTCAGCTTATCTCCCACGCCTTACAATATACATTGACAATAAAATGAGAAAATCAATCAAGCAATAATTGTCTAATTTTATCACAAGCCAAATTTATTTGGAAAAAATAACACCCTCTAAGGAATTTATACATGTCTTCCCACACTGGGACCATGAATGAAAATAGTGTTCCTAATTAAATTTTCATTCCGAACAGGACATGTTTCAGAGAGAAAATTACAGGAAAAATTCTCCATCAAAGGGAACAAATAAGAACATTCAAGGTGTGCCACATATGAGAGAATTGAGTGTCGAAGGGTTTGAAGTGAAATGAGGTCATGTAAATAATACATTATTGCTAAGTTGCTCGTTCTCTGTCAATTCTTTCATCGAATACCACACAATTTCCTCTTTCACCCACTTGTTTGAATATGAATTAGTAAACAATTCACTAATAACAGAATGTCCCGGACGTAATTGCTCTTCCGGATGAAATAAAGTGTGTTTCAACTTGAAAACTACCCACATGACATGCTCCAACCCACGCCTCCATTTTTTCCCACATCAATCATATTTCGTTTCCACATTCTGCCGAAATTGCTTCTTCAGAGATTATGTAAATAGTCATCATCACCCAGTGAAGATGTCATAAATGAAATTTAAAATACATTATGAGCATTCTAATGAAAAACTCACCTCTCCTTTCTCCTTGAGTGCATTCGCCAAATTGCAATATGCATCAGGGAAATTGGGTTGCAACTCAATTGCCCTCCGGTATGTGTCAATAGCCAAATCAATTAATCCTTGTTCATAGTAGACACACGCCAAATTTCCATGGACAACAGCATTGCTGGCGGACAGATTGAGGGCTCTCAAGTAAGCCGCCACAGCTCTGGAAATAGCCAAACAGAGAATCACGATAAATTTCAATTTAAATAAATTACAAGGGTAGCAATATTATTAATCAACCCAGATAAAACCTGTTCTAGGCATTATACAGTTAAACGCATATTTGATAAGGGATTTTTTGTGTTGGAAATCCCAAGAGGAGAGAAAAAGGGTCCTCCTTTGACCCTTTGCATAATTTACAATTCCTGAAGCCATGAGAATTTCAGACATTAATCAGATATTCTCTCTCTCTCCCTGATTTTCTTTGATGTACAACGAGTCTGAGTTGGGCGTATTTTGTACATTTTCATCTTTACCAAACAGATTTCTTGCTCTGCGAGTGACAAAGAGATTGCAGGTAGAAACGACAAGTGTCTGATCATTTTTAATATTTACAAGAACATATTTTGCCCTAAAATCAGCTCTCAAAGTACATCTTTAGGCATTTGTTTACCAAATTAAGGTTATGATTGTCCCCACTATCTTAAAAATTAAAAGATTCTTCAATCATATTAAATTTTTTGTTTAATATGTTTATATTTAATATTCATTTGCCGCTTAAAAGCTCATTTTCTCCACTGTCTTCATTTACCCTACTTGTTCTTCACCGTAAACCATTTGTAAAATGGGTTTCCTTTGTCAACTCATATCCAAGCCGATTATCCTTCCTCACTCCGAAACATGTCAAAATGACATTTACCGTTCCCCCAGAAGCTATCTCTGAATAAATACACAGAAAAATCATTTATAATGGATGAATTAAGCAAGTGACCTATAAAACGCACACACCGTACGAGTGGGAAAATGATTAAAAAGGCCTTAGGCACACAGAGAGCGAATGAAATTGAAAGAGAGAAGGAAAAAAGGACCTCCCACAAAAGCGTGGGTGGAAACATTTTCACTTTATACCCATTGTATCTCATTATTTTGATATTTCGCGGTATTTGGCAAAATTGCTTTTCGCTTCAAACTCATCAATCTTATCATTATGTGTTTAGTGAGTGTGAGGGATGGAAAATTCATAATAGTGTGACGCATTAAATAATGAGAGGGTGCAAAATCATGCGGATTTAACGCGCAGGAATCATCCGCCAGAGCACAATTTGCCATCCCATTAGCATCTCTCTGCATTACCTCTTGATTTGCGCCTTGATCCAGTCCAAGCATCCACTCTCTTTGTTCTTTGCATCAACAATGCTCGATTGCGGAGGATAGAACGGCGCAATACGAACAATTGTGTACACCACAATACACTGATAATCCATTTTGTAATAATAAAAAATTGTCTTCTACTCTCCTTTCTTCTCCCTCAAGTTTTGTGTGACACACAATTTGTGCAATTAATCCCCACGTTCGAAGAATGTGTTCTTGTTTATACACTTGACTTTAGTTATCCGTCGTGGACTTTTATTTTAACAATACAAAAGTACTAACGATCAATATACTCTAAAACAGTCACTATATAATCTAACTTTTTGGTTTGGTTTCCTTTGGTAATACAAAAATTTGACGACACGACTAATTATCTCTGGATATTCTGATACACTTTAAACGGTGGTACGAGAATTTAATGATGATCCTTTTGGCGCTAAACTCCTAACAGACACACACACTCTTTTAGAAATATTAACATTATATAAAAACTGACATATCAACAAGTTATTTCTTCAATATTACTTCGTGTCTGTCGTATTTCACTCGAGCCTCTCCTGCTCTTGCATCATTTCGAGAGCTTCCAACCGCACACACAGTGTATAAATAATTCTTTCAATGAATATATATCTTGATCTTCTCTATCCAAATATTTTCTCATAAATAATCAACGGTTACGTATAAATTTAAAATACTATTTTTGTAAGAATATCCTTTTTCTCACGGCCACAACCCGATTAAACACAGCAATATATTGACATTATTGTAAGATTTCATTTTTATTTAAATTCACTCAATAAACACCGTATATATATTCTTTACAATTGTTCTACAATTTTTTTTTTTAAGATTCCTCTTTGTGAAACAAACACGCGTGCTTTTGCAACAACGCTCAATCATGGGACGGTAACATTTATATTATAAGGTTGATTTATGTCCGATGAAAAATATAAACATTAGACACTTATTTTATTTTTAAACACTCGCGCCTTTCACGGTCGTCTTTAGTGTCAAATGGAATTTATGGCTTTGTCCAGAGCCGCAAGATCTTCACATATCACACACACACGCTATATTAATACTGAATTGCGTCCTCGCATGAACTTGATCCGCACACCAATTATAAATCTGCTCTTGATCTTTATATTTAACTCCTCTCCGGCGTTGCAGTGCTGAATGAAGTTTGCATAACGGCGATGCTCATGTTTATGTGCAGCTTGAAGCCAGAAACATCCTCACTTTCCAAGGTGGTCACGAATTTTGGCAAATCACCCAAAATGCATTTCGGAGCGCGCGCGCGTCACATCATAGCCACAAATTGAACCATTTTCCAAACATTAATCACTTCCCCCGTCCAATACTTCACTTTACGATTCAATTAATACCCCAACGGATATTGTGCACACACAAAACCGCACAGCGCCTGCCAAAGAGCGTCAGCATCATTCTCAACCCCCGTGAGAATGTTGGCAATCGTAGCAATTTTGTAAAAAAAAATCTCCTCTTTCACGGGATTCTGCTTTCTTTTAATTAAATATTTTTCAGTCCCTGTATTAGCTTTAGACACTATGTGCATTCTTTTATAGTGGAAGGACGAGTTAGTGTTTCGTGTCTCTCTTTTTCTCACACTCTTTCTCTATAGGATTATTATACTGTGTGCACAAACTCTGCGCTTTTGCGTCTGTCGCCGTCGTGGCGTCGTTTTCTACTGATTTCTAGTGACTTTTAGCACCTCCTGCAGCGAATGGCCACTTGATGTGTATGTGTGTAAATTCTCTTAATTCAATTAGTATCGCCTGCCTCCACAAACGTTTCTACTTTCTCCTTCTCTTCCTCCGTTCAACGACAACTAATTGATGAATATTTGTTTCACAGTACGTGGCAAGTCTTCAGATGGTCGTGGGTGGAAAAAACTGTCGTTCACAGCGATATAATTCATTTTCTGTATTATCCCTTCTTTATGTATTCTCTTCTCTCAGTGTTGCGTGTATCCTCCCGTTTTTTGTCGCCCACCCAGCGTAATCTCATGCCATATCAAGTAGATAAATTGTTGGGTGGGTGGTTTGGATATTCTCGTCGGCAAGGGTTGTGGAAACGCCTAAACGAGTCCCAACTATTTGCCTCCTGGCTCCGGACAGTCAAGATGAACGGAAAAAATCTGTGTAAAGGCGCACTGGAACTCCATCAGTATCCATTTTGTCACTCCCTTTTCCACATCATTTCATCACACGGCGGCTCTTCTCAGCACTTTACGCTCCTCTCAAAAGTGTTGCTATACACTTTGTTGTTGTCTGGAGGCTCTCTCTGTATAAATTCATTTGTATTCAGTGCTATCGAAATCTGATAAGAGCATCACTCCTCTTACTGGAGTGGTCATAAAAAATTTTGATGACACTCGCGCAATTTTCCCAAAATGTATTATATTAATAAAATATATATATCCTCATCACATAATTTGGTCGATGAGTTAAAAAGGTGATTTCACAAGTCTCTCTTTCTTTCTTTCCTTCCAGCAGCAGCTATTATCACCCAACCAATTAGGAACACACGCAAATCATATCGTTGGGTGTTTTTCTCAGCACAGAATTAAACTAATTTGCCAATGGCACGAAGAGAGGGAAACCCAAATAAATAGTCAATATGTAGAGGCAAAATTGGTCTTTCCTGCCCTCACAACGGAAAAATCCCTCTCTTCCTAGATTTTTCTTAGACTCTTGGGCGTATGCAATCTCATAGAATTTGCATCCGTAGCAAATATTATTCACTTTCCACCAATAACACAATTAAAGAAATTTTTATAAAATATTGTCTATGCGCTCAGGGAAAGAAGAAGGGAGAAAACAGTGCGATTTTCCTCGGTCCGTGTGTGAAAACTTTATGCCACAATCTACACTATGCTACTGAATGCCTTTGGAGAGTGACTGTGACGGGGAGCTCAAGTCCGCACACGAAGAAGGGGCAAGCCCGAAACACTCTCGTCAGACACACTATCACTCCTCGGAACACTCATCTTTCACCCCCAGCACGCGTCATCGTCATCTTTCGCAGGGCTTGCGCATTGCCATCAATGCTCATGGGCGCCACAGTGTTAATCATACCACTTGGTACACAGTCCCTAAAAACCACAACTCTCGAGTTTCCCCGCAAACTCACTGAGTAACACACTGAAATCAGTGTATTTTGAGTCGTCTCGGTGGAAAATTTGACGTGGGAAAATTCTACCACACTCGCAGTTGTTGCCAAGAGACCAGCGTCTGTGAAATCTGACTAAATCCCCACCCGAGTCACACACACTTTCACCACCCCCAATTTACATCGAGGGGAGAAAAAGAGTCCACCAGTTTGTGCGGCTGTCGTTTTGGGGATATTCATCCCAGCAGGCACACATACACATGCACGAAAGGGAGGACTAAAGAGAAAATGAGGACACAAAATAGCGCACCCCAGAATGAAAAGGGAGGAAATTCAGTGCGCCCTGAGGAAGTCTTTTCCACCCACCGGCCTCTCAACAATGAAAATCCAGGGAATTGTGTGGTGAAGTTTGGGAGGTACCTAGCGAAGATATTTTTAAGTATTCACCCTGCGCCTGCTCCTGTATTTACAATCGCTAGCAGAAGATCTCCAAAAAGGCTCTCAATACACACCATTCCACCCCTACAAAAAGTTCAGACACTAGACGAGCAAATATTGTCTGTCATGAGGCTTTTTCTCTCTTTTTTCTATCCATACACATTTAAATAAAAAAGGGCTCGAGCGAGCAGACTGTTACATTTCATGTTATTATTACATTCCCAAACTCAACGATTTCCTTTTATCCCACTGATTCTATATTAACAAAAGTATGTGGAAAAAAGTACAATGCGTTGAGATTGAAAAGCTCACTTATAATATATAGTGGTTTCTATCGCTAAATACCTAATAAATTTACCATCAATGCTAAGAAGTTCCTAATATTAATGGCAATCGAAAAATCACACTCTTCTAATAATATATTATGTATGATTGCTACTTCATTTTTATAATTCGACAGAGAATTTAGACATGTATTACTAATCTTCAAATTATATTCATGTTTCACGGGATAACTTAATGCAAATGTTGCTATTTTAGGATATATAATTTTTTGATTTTAAGTTCTGAAATTTAAGATTGCGATTAATATTCCATTCTATTTCTTATTTTCATATAGAAAAGCTTTATTAAAAATGAGAGACATTTGCAAAATCTTGTTTACATTTTCTCACAACCTGTGAAGTTCACAGTGCTGCGAAATTGTAGAGTTGCCATATAAAAGGCACAGAAAATAAAATTTATTTTTTTCATTTATTTGATTTAGTGCACAAACCTTAACAAAACCGCAAGAAGTATTTTTTAACGTTCTCTACGAATGTAAAAATGATGTCATCGTTTATTGATTATTTACGCCACAGCAGGATTCAATCGATATTTTCTTGATTCTAATACAGAAAAATTTTGGATATTTTTTAGCCTAATAAGAATTCTGAAAATATCTTCAATAATATCTTGATGAAAATATAAGACAAACAATCTCATTTTGTCACAAATCTATATGAATAACTTCCCTTTTCCACTAGATAAGCTCATGATCAGTGTTGTATTATTTTATAAGAAGAATAAGAGAAATACCCTCACGTTCGACCTCAATATCCATTCATCTCTCTACCCAGGAATCAAAAAAGGAACAAATTTTTCGTGTAGGAACTTTTGCCGCAATATTTCAATCCCACACAGAAATACCATTGAATCCTATTTCATGATATCTCTCCCACTCTATAATGTCATATATATTCGAGGAGTGTTGTATAGATGTATTTCAATATAAGCAATTCCCTGGGACAACATTGACATATGGGGCAGAGTTTATGTTGCAATTTCATTTGTTGGTTTTACTTCAAGCGTGACTAAATTCAAAGTCAAATTTAAAATCACAATTCGTAATATGTTATAATTAATTTAGACAAAATGATTAATGTAAAAGTAGCGAGAGCTTTATTTGATTTCGCCCAGGAAGTTCTCTTAAGTTAATTATTTAGCGATTATTTCAACATGGGGCGTTGTCAAGAAAAGGGAAAACATCAATCATCAGTCAAATTTCGGAAAATCCTTGCCTTGAGAAATATACACACACTTTCCCGATGAAATGGGCGGATTATTTTGGCAAATAAAAACCATATGATGTGACAAAGAAATCAATTTTATGTCAGAGGAAAAGGCTGACAGATTTTCTATGTATTTATACCATGATATGTGTGAAGCGTAAATATGTAACTATAACCTATGCTCTTGATCCCTCTACTTAAACCAAAAAATTGGACAACAGAAAACACGTATAAATGAACGGAAAGATTGCTAAATATAGCTGAAAGAATATCTATTCTCTCTCTTCTTTCACTATATTTCACAGTGAAGTGCTGTGTAAAGAGTTATTGAGAGTTCCAAAATTAGACATACATTTCTCCTCATTTTCGCTAAACAAGGTAATAAAAGACCATCAAATAGTTAGAACTCCTCCTGTGTGAAGCACATGGAGAAGATGAGTGAAATTTTCAACACCATAAACAATCAATTACAAGAACCGAAGGAAAATTCAAAAGAAGTGTGAAAATAAGCGAAAACAGATGTCCATCAGCAAACGTCATCCTCAAACTCAAGGATTTCACACAATTTCTCAACACATTCCAGATTACCCATCAAGCTAACACTTTTTTAATGCCACCAAGAGAGGAATTTGTATTTACGTGTGAATCTGTAATTATTTACGAATAAGAAAATGGTACGGATTGTTAAAACAATCCTGTACGGAAATTTCTCAAAAAGTGAAATGAATATTTTGATGAAACGTCTGTTTTTTTTCGCTATGCAAATAAATAAAAACACATTGTTCGCATTTGTTGTTCTAATCACTACATATCTGGACATATGATGATTGTGTGTCATGATCTGAGAATACGTAAAAACTGCGTGGAAGAATCTTGGCATATGTTCAAAATCTATCAGGTGTGTTAATTGCGACGGAAGTCAGGTTTTGCATAAATAATGACAAAAATACATAAACTCACCGATCGAAGATGCGAGCCTCCTTCAGCACATTGCCAAGATTGATGTAAGCGTCCAGGAAATTTGGATCAAGAGCAACGGCTTTCTCAAAATGATGAATAGCCAGCCAAATTTCCCCCTGAGCATTGAAGACGCATCCCAAATTGCTCCAGGCCACAGCAAAATCTGGACGAGTCTCGATGGCCTTCAAGTAGCACGCCTTTTGGTGGTCGCATTTTCCATTCACGTCCGGTAAAGGTGGATTTTTTCCCAGTCAACAATTGACAGAGGAAAATCGAGGGATTTGTTATTTTGTGTGTTTGTGTATTTCATAGGGAACAACATTGACGCCAATGTTGGATATTTTCAAGGGGGAAGGGAAACATAGGAAGAGAAAAGAAAAAATATGGTATTAGAAATAAAATAGTGAAAAGAAGATTTTCAACAATTTTGAACAACTTCCTTTTTGATTTGTCCAAATAAAAGATTTGAAAAAGAGGAAGATAGAGAGACAATTGTGTAATTTTTACTTTAGAAAATTTGACTCTAGAACCGAATCTGAACAATTCTTTTATGTGATGAAATTTATCATCAGTTGAGGACTTCAGGTTCTCAATCTTTACCAAAAGATACTTTCAATTGCTTTATAATTTGATATCAATTGCAAAAAAGATCTTCACACTATCTAATAATCAAATAAAAGAACGACAAAGTTGGTGTGAAGATATTAAAAATTTATCAATGATTTCAGTGAAATAAAACATGGAATAAATTTAGAATATCTGAAAAAAATCTCTTCTGTACACAAATCTTATTTGTCTCTTCACGATATTTTCTTGCTATTTGTGATAAAAAAGAGGAGAGACAGTCAGTAATGGAGGGAATTGGTGTTGAATTTACGCCAAAATTTGGACCTCTTTATGAATATGCACAGTGAAAACTTCAACATATTACTAATTTTTGCATTGATAAGACTTTTAAAATCTTCAACAGTTTCTCATCGCGATTATCGCCAAAAATCACACGACGCCAACAATTATCATCGTAACTACTACAAGCATTCTTTTATCAAATGAATTTTGCTCAGTTATATCGTTTGCTGAAGATTTACAAAAGCAAATCAATTATTTATAAAATGGGAATAAATGTGTTTTTTTCTGCAATGAAATGCCAAAGTTTTCAATGTGATACTTTCATAAATAAATCCTCTTCAACAATTGCTTCTTGTGATAAATATATCTTGCAGAAAATTATATATCAAATTGCATGTGAGATATATAAATACTACGCCACTTTTTTCAATTTACGCACAAAGGGGACATAATTTATCACGAAGTATTTGCCAAAAATCGCCAAGACAATTTACGCACAACTACGCCACATCATTTTGCACATTCCACCATCTTCTTCAATTCTCAATTCACGTGATTTAACCTTCATTACAAACATTCATCGTTCATGCAAAAATTTTCCTAACAGAAATTGAAGAATGCATGGGGAAATATGCAAAATTAAAATATAAACAATATAAGTCACTTTATGAGTATTTTACAAAAATTACGCCATACCAAAAACAAGGGAAAATCATCATCAAAGTGTATTTATCATTTCAAATGATGATTTTTATATTTCCTTCTTCACAAAGATAAATTGACGCCAAAGTGAAATGTTCACGGACTTCTTTTTATCTCGAAAATGTATTCAAGGAATCAAAATGTTTCAATTTTCTCATTCTGAAAAAGTATTTTCCTCAACATAGTTGCACATCATCGGTCATCGTGTAAATCCTGAACAAGAAAACAGCATTCGAAACATAATTTTTTTTCTTGCGTTTATCATCAGTTATAAAATAAAGAAGAAATAAACACTCAAACAAGGATAAAATGGAAACTAAGCTCGTTCAATCGTTGTATTAATACAAAATAGATAAAAAAAAATTTTGAATTTAAAAAAAAATTTGCAAAACAAAACTTCCGGTTTTTTTTTTAATTTCATGATTTTCTTTCGTTTTCTTGTAAATAGTTTTGGCCTACATCTCGGTTTTGGGCTACTTTACCTGACGACAGCTCAGTTCATCATTTGTGACCCCCTTTCAATAGCGCGACTGAAAAAGGGGGACTTTTTTGATGAGGCCCAAAGAAATGCTCAACCTTCATTTTTGGCAAATAGGCAGCACTTTTGGGGACTTACAGCAAATTGATTTTTGTTTTCTTTTTTTTGGGAAATCAGGAATATTGCAGTTTTGCTGATCTAGTCAAAAAAGTTTGCTTTTTCTGTGTCTAAAAATCACGTTCATAGAGAAAATACATTTCTCTCTTTACCATGTTTTTTCATGAGCGGCCATTTCATTAGTAAGCGATCAAATTTGTTGGTGAATCACTGAAATTATTTAGGCGAGAATTTGGTCAGTCAGATGGGAAATTCATAAGATATAATAAACAACATAAATATAATAAAAATCTTATAAGTAATCCTAGGATAATAAAAAATTTTGAATACTATCATCTATTTTAGCTTAATTCTCTGGCTCTTACAAACTAAATTATATTGTGAAAAATTTGTTATTTTCCTAAATATGCTCATCATATATGCTAGAAAAATAAATTAGATCATTTTCTCTTTTCTTTTTGTCTTGAAATAAAATCAAATAAATTAATGTTTTAAATTAGAAAAAGAAACGAACACCATTCAACAAAATTCACACAAATTCACGTTGTTTTTGCGTCTTCGTTCTTGTATATCAGCAAACTTGTTTATCAATCAACAATTATTCATTTATCATCTTTATCACTGCTATAGAAATTCGCGCGACTGTTGAAGCCGCCTTGAAAGATAATGATATAAATGATGTTTTTTACGCCAAAACACAATCATTCTGCATTATCCGTTGACTCTAGTTGAGACTAGAGTGATCCATCATCCTTTCCTCCTGTGCGAACGTCGTCATAATTTTTCTACGCCTAGTTTAAACATCACACACGATTGTTCTCTGCATGAAAAGGGACAGGGTCTTTACGCAAATTACGCCAAAGATGATTATTTTACGCCAAAAAATATACACATGAGAAGCACTCAAGTTGCCACTTGAGTCATCTCTCAAAATGGCCAGGGAGCATATTTGGGACTATGTGAGTATATATCGCAAAGACGGCTGCAACAATTGTACTTCAATCGTCATGACAATGTATTTAAGAGATACTTCAACAGAAAAAAACCAGTGATATAGCTTATCGGCTCGTCATTCATTATCAATTTGGTCCTTTCTTTTAATCACATTCAGAGAGTGGCAAAAAGAAAGGTTCAAATTGCCCACAGACATAAATGTTCGCATGCATTCCAACTTTGACAAAATAAATCATAACTAATTTGTGTTCGTATTATCAAATTTACGGATTTTTCTTCTTGAATTGATAATAATATTCATAGTAAAATAATATGTATGCAAAGAAATGTATGTAGATGGAAATACAACAAATATACCTTCGCTTCGTCTAAACGACCTAATGCTTTCAAAAGATTCCCTAAGTCACTTCGAACGCAGTATAAATCCTGAAAAGACACGAAAAAGAGAACCAAATTCTAAAATCACATATATTTTGCCACTAAAATGGGCGGGGCATTCCTGTGGGCGTGGGTCTTCACCACAGTAGACTGCTAATTTATCATGCTTCCGGTGAAAAATTTCCACAGTCCTCAAAAGAATAATATAAATTGACTTGTTATATAAATGCCTTACAAAACACACCAGCTGGATGGGATTCAAAAACACGTTCCCAATAAATCTGAATTATTGCGATGGAATCACTTTGAGTGTCAACTCCAATTTCTATAGAACCTCTGATATTAATGCAATTAACTCCGTGTTCTCTACTACTTATATAGTTCCTCTGATTGTGAGACCCAAATCCAACAAATTATGATTACATTCGTTGTCGCTTTAGGTTGGAACTTGCAAACTTGCTGTGACATTTTGGCAATTATGTAAATTATCTCACTTTATGGACTTTTTTTCTCTTTCGCATTAGAGCAAATATTATTGCCAATGTGACACAATTTCTATTCTTGGTACAGTCAATAGTATGGAATTTATTTTCTTAACATTTTCCAATGTGAATGCCAAAAAAATAACCTTGGAAATGTTGTGAAAAGCACATACATTTCGTCACTAACAAACCCAATCCATTAGTAATGCTTTTAATAGAATATACTAATAAAATTGCCCCATTTCTGCGAAGGACTGCGATGAAAAATCATCCTAGAAATTTATTAAAAGAAGCCTTAATGAAGCCTGTAATGAAGTCATTCACTATCTTTTCCCGCTTGGGTGATCACGAATTGAATTACATGCGAAAGTAGAGACACGTAATTGAACACTGCTGGGAGTCAATATTCTCTCCTCCCGAGAGACATTGGCAATACAATTGTGTTGGGTTATTTCTTACGGGATTATACTGCAGTGCTGTCACGTAGGCTTGAACAGCTTGCTCCATATCCCTGGCAGCCACCAGAGCCGCTGCTAAATTGATGTAGCCATCGATGAAGTCAGGCTTTAGTCGGACAGCATGACGGTAGTTCTCCAGAGCTTCCTGCAGCTGCCCACGCTCCTTATACACATTTCCCAGATTACTGCAAAGGCAACGAGAACAATTCTGTTAATAACTCTGAATGGAAAATTGTGCAAATATTTGCTTATGACTGGCAAAACTCATTCAATCGATACATAATTTCATAAACGGAGGCAAAACGAGATATTCAATTCAAATATGACAATTCATGACCGGTAAATTGATTTTACCAATTAAACCCTATAACTCCCAAGCTTCGCTTAAATGGCATTGAATGAAGAGCAAACACAAAGTCATCCTTATCGATTACTTGCTTTTCGAGACATTTTAATTCTCAATAAAAATTTTCTGCTTTATCAATGTACAACATTTATTTATAGTCTCTATGTAATCACAATTGTGAATAGAAAGCTGCTTGCTAAGTGTATTACGTACACCGAAGTACAGGAAAATAACTGAATTCTTCAATGAAAACTCGCAGTTGCACGTGTCTTACTTAGAATGTTTCGTCCTTGTTACATTGGACACTCAAGAATGCTCATGCACAGATTTGCCATTTATTTAAAGCCATTGTCTGGCTGTTGTTACCTGTAGGCCTCAGCCAACAGCGGATTCTGCTTGATGGCCAGCGTGGAGAAGTGAGCCGACTTGTCCAGTCTGCGGCACTGGAAGTGGATGGATGAGAGGAGCAGCAAAACACCCGTGTTGTTGCTGTCCTGTCGCCACAACTGCATGCAATGCCTCTCCGCATTCTCATAGTCCACCGCCTGGTATTCACGGTGGGCCAACTCCAGAAGACCTGCAAAGAGCAGACACTAATCAATATCTTCACTTACGAAAGCACCCCATTTCAGCCCCCGTTAAACATTCCCTCACTCATTTTCGCATTGCTTTCTGCGCATTCAGTCACACTGTGGAAAAGGGTAGCATTTAAAGCGCAACAAGACGGAATTTTAGGAAATTTGAATATGTATCTAACGATTTGAAATGTATCACAACAGTTCGGACGGTGATAGCAATTGATTATTTGTAGGAATCTCAGATAAGAAAGAACATTTACATCTGCTTGCATTGAATTTATAAGCAATGTGGAAATCTGCAACAATTTTCTCATTTAATAACATGAATTATCTCTGATGCTGATAAATTCTCATGCCACCTGTATGTGAAATTAAGAAATCTTCTCGTCATGTTACCCACATTTACCAATTTGTGCGACGACGGTCAAGCGTTTTCTATGAGTGTAGTTGAATTACAAGCAAAATGTGAAGGTCTTTTGACACTGGGAAGTCTTTGAGCACTCTCTGCGCAACCTGGAGTGTCATGTGTCCCCTTACTGATCTTCTAGCGCCCCTGCCAAATACCAGGGCTACCTTCTGGACAGCCTGAGGCACCGGCCCGATACACGTAATTCCCTCAGAAAATCAATCAAGTCGCCAGAGCGAGACAAAAGGCAGGGGAAACCATATTGGTTGGTGCTGCGGAAAATTTTTCACCTCAATCAATGTCAAGAAATCTCAGCGATTTCGCACCGAAATTTATGCTCGAACGTCTCCGTGGCGAGATAGCAGGGAAGAATGCCCAGAGACCTGAGCCCCATCTTAGTCACACACACACGGCGAGACACTCACCAACTGATGACAGTGGCACGTCGTTCATCTTCAGCATCACCTGCGTCTGCCCAAGCTGCTGCTGCATCTTCTCGCGTATCAGATCGTTGATTCACAGTAAATACACGATTTTCACTTGATTAGAAACTTCTTTTCACCACGCACAATTCCTCGTCAACACCAAAAGCGTGCCAAAAAACCTTCTGCTTGGAAATTTCCACAGCTACACGAACGCCAGCGAGTAAGCAGCGAAAGTGTTCCGAAGACGCTGCGATGAATCGATGAATGCATGCAGCGCCAATTTATCAGCAATGGGGAATTTTGATATAGAAAAGGCGCGCAAAGAGTAACGAATTGTTAGTTGGTACATATCTTTGTTATTTCAGTGATTATTTCACTGTCAGAGTGCATATAGATTAAGTAGTTTGCATAAATTTGTGACTAGAGAATCATGAGACTGAGTTCCGCATTTCAGGTGTTCAGGTAAATATCAAATTTGAGGAAAAGGTATATAAGAAATATGCAATTTGTGCATTGGGTATTGCATTTTCCAAGGTCGCATTTCAACCTTTGGTTTATTTTGATATCACGCGGATGTGCGACAGTGTTTTGCATTTGATGAACCTTTGATTTCACTTGAACAGGCAAGTGATACGAATTATGCGAAAAATATCACATCAATCAGAGAATTCAAAACAAATAACTTGAATAATTTATTATCAAATCAGAACCCAAGATTTCATGCGTAAGAAAAAATCACTCTTTTGCTAGAGTGGCGCTCTTCGTGGCGAATAGTTGCAAAGTTCTTGTTGAGGATTGGCGCTGGCGTCGGTTTATTAATCGATTGTCTAGGAAGTTTCCGGCTTTTCGTGTTTCTTGCCATTCCGCCGCAGTTTAGTTTATGATCTGCACTGTTCTCGCTCTGTTGAATTATATCATCGACAGAATGGCCGGCAACAAGGAACGCACCTTCATCATGGTGAAGCCTGACGGCGTCCAGCGTGGACTCGTCGGCAAGATCATCAAGCAGTTCGAACAGAAGGGCTTCAAACTCGTGGCCCTCAAGTTCATGTGGGTGAGTCTCAAATATGACTGCTAATGGTTTCTTGGCAGCGTCTAATTGGACGTGACTCTTCTAGGCCTCCAAGGAGCATCTGGAGAAGCACTACGCTGACTTGAGTGCGCGTCCCTTCTTCCCGGGCCTTGTGACCTACATGAACTCGGGCCCAGTGGTTCCCATGGTCTGGGAGGGACTCAACGCTGTTAAAACCGGCCGCGTCATGCTTGGCGCTACGAATCCAGCGGATTCCGCCCCCGGAACTCTTCGCGGTGACTTGTGCGTGCAAGTGGGCCGCAATATCATCCACGGCTCGGACTCTGTGGAATCGGCAAACAAGGAGATCGCACTGTGGTTCACTGAGAAAGAGCTGGTCAGTTGGACTCCGGCTCTGGAGAACTGGGTGTACGAGTAAATGGGGTCACCAGTGGAGCGAGAAACGTGCAGGACGTATAAGAAAAGTGGATTCTCAATAAAGGAGTATAATTAAATAGCTTTTTTTTTTAGTTCTCCGTCTTGTTATTCATCATTTTAATTGATCAATTGCATGGGGAATTTAACAGTGACGCTCTTCAGGTGTTTACTGAGGAATGTGGGGGTGGTAATTCGCTGATAATTAGATAATATTGGACAGGAAAACAGCTGCCACGTGCGTTGTTCCCAATCGGTAAACCGCTTGCTGTTGCTTTCCTTCGGCGGTTTATAAGGAAAACTGTGCCTTACCTTGTAGGAATCATATTTGTGAAGGTTTCTTATGTGGAGATCTAATAGGAAATAATCCCTGAATAAGGATTTCCGACGAGGAAAATTTCAGACACACGGACAAGTGGAGACGCCCAGTGGCGGCGAAGAGCGATGTAGTGACATTTCGTAAAATTGTAAACAGAAGTGGGAGTATTTTTCTCTCTACATATTTTCTAAATTTTCTCTAAGAAAATGGCTTCGTTGAATAATACAGTTGAAATAGAGTGCAAGCTAGAGAAGGTAAGAATGAGAATTTGCCAAAAATCACGATTTTTATATGATTTTTCGTCTCAGGAAAAGGCAAACTTAGCCCTTCTTCATACACGAGTGGAAAACTATCAGGACCTTACGAAATCCATGTCCACGATTCTAAATTCCTTCGAGCAGCGTCTCGGGAGGCTCGAACAGACCGTATTGCCGGTGTATCACGAAACTGAGCACTTGCAGAAGAGACAGCAGAACCTGGATGCCACGCTGCAGTGTCTAGAAAGTGTTCTTATGCACTATGACGCCTCTCAAGAGGTGTGCAATTTGATCCACTTGGGGCCAAATGAGGGCGATGTGGCCACATTTTTGGATGCCCTAGATCGCCTCAAAGCCGCCAAGGATTACTTCCTGAACAATAACTCACAGAGTGTTGAGCTGGACAATGTCACGAGTCTCTTCAACACCGGTTGCGAGTCTCTGAATAACCACTTCAAGGCGTTGCTGAGAAAGCACTGCAGTCCCATGAAGCCTGTAGATTTGCTGGATTTGATCTACATTGAGGAGGACTCGTCCAATGAGGACTGTCCCAGTATTAAGCAACTTCCGCCAACTGCCAGGGAGGAGTTGAAAATCGTGGCGGCGTGGCTGGAAAACAACCTGAGGCGCGAATATGTGGGAATTTATGCTGACGAGCGGTCGGACGTGGTGTTCAGATCTCTGGCGATGCTGAAGGATCATCAGAAGAGCGGAAGTTGGGGCAGTGAGCCGCTGAAAGTGAGATATCATGGGAAGCCTGAGCCGAGGAAATCCACATCGGCAAGGCTGCAGCAGATTTTCGAGCGCAAGGCTAATAAAATGCTGTTAAAAGCTTCCCAGACAATTGAGCAAAGTCGTTTTGCCATCCGAAAGAACTCTGCGTATGGAGACAATCTCACCACTGATGATCATGTTGGAGATGGAGATCAAGATTTAGAGAAATATCTCGTTCTTCTGCTAGGGCTTCAGCGTCTTCTGATTTGGGAGCGACAGATATTGGCCGATGTGATTCCCAGTTCACGCCTTGGAGAGGTTTTCTCTCGCTTAGCATCCACTTCAATTGAGATGGTGGTAAAAGATGCTGAGAGCATCACAACTAAGGTGTTGAGAAGCATCGCCAGAAAGGATTGGACAGCTGCTTTGGGCGTTTTCTCGGCTCTGAAGCATGTCATCCTCATGCAACCGGACATTGAGAAGCTTTGCGACACGAGTCAGCGTCATCAGCTGGCAATGGTGCTGCAGAAACTGCAGAGCACCGGAGCAAAAGCTTTGGAACAGTTTCTGGATCTTGTGAGAGGTGATACAGGAACAAATCTCGTGGCAATGAGTTCCAGTACAATCTCGGGATCAGGAAATGTGCCGAGAGATGCAACAGTGCATGAATTGACTAGCAATTCCATCTGGTTTGTTGAGCATCTCTATGAACATGCAGATGTTATTGGTGGAATTCTCCAGACGGACTCATTTTACGCCAGTCAATTGGATTCCATCGCACTCCACAAGTCGCTGTCACCTGAGGATCGTCGGCGAGCTTTGCTTGGACTCTACATCAAGCGAATTCTGTCTGAGCTCAATCTGACCATCGTCTCCAAGTGTGAACAGTACAGCGACGTGGCCACGAGACATCTCTTCCGTTTGAACAACATTCATTACATTCTAAAATCGCTTCAGAGATCAAATCTCTTGGAGCTTCTCTCCGTCACTGAGCCAGAGTGTGAGAAAAACTATCAGGATCTCATTCAAGACTTAAAGAATTCGTATCAGCGATCTTGGCAGCGCATTCTGGCACACATTTCCCCTCTTGAGGATCTTCCCAGACCAGCAGCTGGAAAGGTGCGTGACAAGGAGCGTGCAGTGATCAAGGAGCGCTTCGCCAACTTCAATAAGGATCTGGAGGAGGCGTGGAAGACTCAGCGTGGTATTTCCGTGCCAGATGTGATCTTGAGAGAAGGATTGAAGAGAGACAATTCGGAGACATTGATCCCACAGTATAATGCCTTCTTTGAGACCTTTGCAGATGTGCAGTTCAGCAAGAATCCTGAGAAGTACGTGAAGTACAAGCCTCAGGATGTCACAAGGATGCTGAACAGTCTCTTTGATGACACTGTCTAAAGTGAGAGGGAAGGTCAATACGATATGTATGAATTATATATTAAAGAAATATGAAAAATTCATCTACTTATGAGTTTATGAACTTTTAAGGAACAGTTCAAGTCGTACTCTTGGTCAGGATGGCAGCAAATGTGGAAATCGTCAGTGAGAGTCTTCAATACTTTGATTATTGTCTTTCCTGCATGTTCTGCGAATTCTTGCCCAAAATCAATAAGAAATACCTGTGGAGACTCACAGATCTCTTCAGATTGTGCATCTATCCACTGCTTTTGGCCAACTGTGGTTGGTGTGTGATTCAAGAACTCGTAAACGTGGAAATGGCTGCGAATCAAACGAAGTTGACCTATTTAATGATGTTCTTAGGAGCGGTTTATCAGAGTCTCTGGAAGTATTTTGTAATTCTCTCATACAAAAAGGAGCTGGCCAAAATCAAAGGTTTCATGAAAAAATTGGAGAAATCTATCAAAGAGAAAGACATGATGTCTGGCGTCAGGAAGTTTCATTTGCCGGAAACACTGAGTATTACTATGACATTTGTCAGGTAATAATTTGCAAATTTTTTTTATAACTCCCCTAACAAACAGTAGATTTTGGAAAGCATAGAGCGTATAGTCAGCTTAATAACTTATTTATTTTTAGAATCTACTTTGGAATCACTGTGATTGCATCGATCTGCACGTGTTTGACTAATTACTACATGACCAACACCTTTCTGATGTACTCGACGCCCTTTCTTTATCATTGGCTGGACATTTTCATTCAGTCTGCGACATTTGCTACGTTCATCATCGTTGTCCTTGGATCAGACTGTGTCCTTGTCATCATAGTGAGTTTTCTCGTGGGCGAACTGAAAATCACCAAGGATATGGCGTCCAGAATATCAGAAGTGACGATATTGAAGAGCATGTATGAAATGCACTTGACAATCCATGAGATTCTGGACGTCCTGAGGAGGATTTTTTGGCAACTCAGTCTTCATATGATTTGCTCAAATTTTGTGATGCTTTGCTCGAATTTCTACTCAATGCGTTACTTGTCCATCTCAATTGCAACTGTAATAGGATTGCTTTCTATCACTTTTCAACTGATTATTGTCTGCTCTATTGGCCAAATACTGCTGGATAAAACTCAGGAAGTGGCAGATGCGCTTCAGCAGACGCCGTGGTATGAACTAAGTGTGCAGGAACAGAAGACTTTCCTCGTGATCCTGCAAATGGCGCAGATCCCCAAAGGAATCGACGCAGGCGGAGTTACTGTCATATCTGCAAATACTCTTGTTCAGGTCCTGAAGACTTCGATGTCTTTCGTGGCCTTCATCTACACAGTGATCAACTGAGATCTAAAAGGCTCGAAGCAATATTTTGATACAATATTTATTATAATATAAAGTAGAAGGGATATGTAAGTGGTATGCATATGTTAATATTTATAAATCGATCGATATCGTGGTCTATGCCTAACTCCTCTCTTTCTCTATCTCTCTCGAAATTATGTATCTTTACAATTTACATAAATTACGCTTTCTCTTATCTCCTTGTATTCTCAATTTTATTGTAAATTTCCTAATTTTTTCAGTAAACAATTAATGTGTAGCAATAATAGCAATAATAAATGGGAGACACACAGTGTTGTTCGGAGTAACAAGAACAAAAAATATTACAATAATAGAATAAAGTAGATCATCACTTTTGTGTCCACCCTCAACAAGACTTGGAAGCACCAATACATAACATAAATTCTTCATTTTCTCTCTTTCGTTCTCTGCCAAGGTACAAAATATTTACACACGCTGGGAAGCGATTTGGGAGGGGGTTTCAACTCTTTTTATCACGTTCTTTGATACTCTTAGTTTTCTCTCTGGGGCATTCTTGTTGTTTTTTTTCTCATTTTGGAATGTCTTTCTCTCTGTTTCTTGATTCTTTAAAGCTAGCTTTCGATAAGAACTTCCCTATGCAGAATGCTGTTCATCTTTTCTGAATATTCAGAGACAATAAAAACTAAATAAGACATGAAAAAATCTTTACAAATTGCCACATTGAAGAAACAATACGTCGCATGTTATCCTCTTATTGTCTATCTCTCATCAATTCTATGACATAATCGCTCTAAATTGGCTCAGCCTCCACACACTTCACTTCCGGAGGGGATCTAAACTTTCCAGCGTAAAGTCGTCAACCCCAAACGCTAGGCCCTTGTTTGAAGTCTGCAAAAAAACAGGAAAAAGCGCACGATTAATCGACACATCAATGTCAGTAGCACACAAAAAAACACGAATAAAGCAACATTGAGAGACGTAAAGACACTCCATCGATTCAACAAAAGCCACAAAAGACGCTGTAAGACCCTTGAGACTCACCACCCATGGCCGCACTGGGCATTTGGGGTATTTGATTGACGAACTCGAGATTCTTGCCCTTGTCCTGGGCCGCACCCTTCATCAGCAGCTTATCGCTGAGCCCCTCAAAGGCACTCAGGCTGTCACTGGCGAACGAGCCGAACGGATTGGACAGTAGATCATCGAACTTCTGGCGCTCGTTCTCCTCCCCCACCCCAAGAAGAAACGGATCGTGAGCCGGAGAGGATGAGGAGCGATTCGGGGGCTGCTCTATACTTACATCAAAAGCCACCGGATGGGGATTGAAGGGCGCCGATCCGAATAAATCTTGACTGGAGTTTGTGAGCCCTTGAGCCGGACCGCTTCGGCGCGGCACGGTGGTTTTTGGTGGCGGAGCCACTGCAATAGATAAAACAATCATCTTCCATTCCTTTTTGTTTCTTCAACTCAGATTCACTTACAGAGTGGCGGCGTGATGGCCTGCATCCCGGCACTCCCGTTTATGCCGTTGGTGTGATTTGTGCCATTATTGACACTGCTGGCAAACAATTGCTGACCCATCGTCTTGGGTGGTTCGAACCCAAATAGATCATTGGCAATCTTGTGCCCATTAGGCGTTTCGCTTTCGCATGCGCGCGGATCGAAGTCACTGTCCGAGTCGCTATTCAGCAGCAATCCCTCCAATTTTGTGCCCACGCTGGGTTTCAGCGCCTCCAGCGTGTTGTTGATCTGTGTCTGCAGATTTCGTGGCGGGACTATTGGAGCAAAGTGCTTAGGCGACGTCTCAATCAGCAGCTGATCATCGTTACATGGCGCCGAGACGTCAATGCCCAAATCTGGTGTCTTCTTGCCATTTATCGCTGCCGTGTGATTATCGATGCCGTTCTCCATTACCGGCACCTCCAGTATATCCTTCAAACCCAGACGCACAAGCAGTCGATCCAGATCGCTCTTAGGCAAAATCTCCACCAATTCCTTCAGTCGCTGCCGATACAGTGTCACCGTTCGGTCCAAATGCTTGTTCTGCGACTGCAGCTTTGTCATCTCCGTAAATTTGCCATTCTCATTCATGTACCGTCTGCAGAGAGATAGAAAAGATGTACTCGCGCCCTGCTGCTGTACAAATGATGGACAACTCACCTGTACGCCAAGTCGAAGGCCTGACCAATGGTGAGTGTGATATCCGATGCAGACTTGCTGGAGATGAACACGAAGCACTCATGTCCCTCCTCACTCGGTGTTGTCTCCCCATTCGCAACGCCACCCGTTTTGGCGATGAAGCTGAAGAACTTCTTCACACCCTTCTCGTCAGCACAGTAGGAGATCTTGTACAGCGGGAACTGATGCAGGATAGTTTGTGTGCGCGGCTCCTGAATCGCCACGCCGTCTATGCTCACCGTGATCTCCAGCTTCTTCGCCTTCACATTAGTCCCACCTTCCGCCTTCTTCATCTGCTGCGCAAACTGCAGACGCCTGATAGCATCCTTCACCACCTCAATCCCCTTCGCCTGCTCCACAGGACAGCTTCCCAGGAACTGTAGATGAAACAATATAGAGAGCATTTTTCACATCTGCCACATCAACAGTTATCTCTTAACACGCGATGCGAGTGAATTTGTTGATCTTTTGATAAGCAGTGTTGTTGTACTTTGAATAGAAATGATCTTATATGTTGAAAGAAGAGAAAGAGAGAGAGAGAGAGACAGATAAATTTGCAATTGAAATCATGCGCTATATTCACTATATGTTCATTACCGAGTGCTTGCATAAATGGGATTACAAATATGCTATTTCCTAATGTTTGAATGCACTACTTTTCATTTACCGCGATTTTATTAGAATACTAGTACTCTGCCAGTCTTTTAATAATATCCAAGATTGTTGATATCAGACAAAAAACAAAATCTCTTACTCATATTGATACTCAGAAATGTCGGTTTCTGACAATAAGAACAGGAGCAGATCTATTGTAATTGCAACATCGCTTTTCTGTATCTATTACGCTTATCTTTTTATGAATACACCACGGAAATGCTCATCTCATTTTTCTTTCATGATCCGTTACCCAGTTTTCCAATATCTTAACATATCAGGATAGATTCGGTTAAATTGTCATTTTATCCAGGTTCTTATCTAAATCACTCTGTAGAATTCAATTTAAAGTTGCCAAGAAGTCACTCTGGAATTAATAAAATGTAATAGCCATAGTGACATGCTATTATAGTGCTGTTTATTCCAAGGTGATTCTCGACGTAACATTATCAACTCTTTAATGCAAATTTCCTTCACCTTTAATAAATCACAAGATGAATCATGCAAATGGCAAAAAATAGCTGCATTTTTCGTCAAACTTTGTTCAAGGCTCCGTCAAGGCTACAGAAAAGGGTTCCAAGACTGCGATACGACTATGATACTCACTTTGACTAGATAGGCAACGTGACCATTGACAAGAACATCCGGAGCGTGGAGCCAGTTTCTCTTGCCGGACTTTGCATCACCCCCATTCTGATTAGCACCATTCTGTTTGTTCCAAAACATAAGCGTAGACATAATGGCCTCTCTCTGCACTTCCTGGTTCACTAATCTGCAATTGGGGAGAAAGAGAGAGAGAAAAGAAGAACATTGAGTTTGGGCTTGACAATGGGACACATTTCTCTTCTTCAGTGGTGACTTTGACATACTAATTGTGTGGAATACCAATTGAAATTCTTCCGCAATGACACCATTCCTCATTTAGGAAGTCCAAAAACCCCAGGAGAAATTGCTAAAGTAAAAGTTCCTCCACACACAAGAGGCACATGAACGCTAATCACGCAATTTACTGGTCAATTTATTGTGTGTTATTAACTCCCTTCGTATATCTTCACTCTCAATAGAATGATTAACTCTTCACATGTTTTGTGTGCTCAATTAATTAAAACGGAACGGCGATCGATATAATCGTGTGAGTTTGACTTGGAAAAAGTGCAATCAATCGCCAGTGCGGGATTAAATTAAATAATTCCTCAAATTCTCACGCATTAAGTGTAAAAGAGAAGAGCTCTCAATCTCACTCTTGCAATTTTCCTCAAGAGGTGGGATTTGATGGACAAATTAAGTAATTTTCTGCACAAGTCTCGTCAAAAGTTTCTTTTCCTCTCCAGTGGATATTTTTAGATTCATGATTGCACTGGTTTTCGCCATATTTATCGCCTCTGCTACGGAGTAAAAGTCAACGTGACTCTATTGAAAAATTACTCCGCTGAAGATAGAATATTTTAAATAAAATTATTACTCCCATTAAACACTCAGCTTTTTTTCCTGTAAATTGTAGAAATTTTTCGTTACCACAGCCTTGATTCTTTTTCAACAGTCGCTTCAAAGATTTCATCGGACTTTCAATGTCCCTTACGCAATGTTTCTTTATACAATTTTTATTTATTTCTTCACACTGTTGTGACTTTCACAAGTCTCAGCAATTTGGAGCATTTTCGTGTTTGCTTCCCATGTTGAATTTTCGCTGTGTGTGTGCTTAAGGAGTCCCTGAATTTCCCGAGAAAACAAAAACACGCCATCAAGAAGGCAGAAGATCACAAAGAATGGTCAATAACAAGGAAATGAGTCATCTTATGATTTCCCCACTTTTTTATCCCTCCCAACTTTTTAATGTGAATTTGGTGCTGCAAACCAGTTTCCTGGTCTTGATCTTTCACTTCAGGATCGTTTGTGGCCAAAAATGTGCTCAAAGATCACGATCGTGACCACAAACAATAATGGGTGAAACTTTCGCGCGCGGGTGTTGTCTTTGCAATGGCACTTTGCATACAAATCACTCCTTTCAAGACGGAAAACCATGTCGAGCAATGCTGAAAATGGGCTGGGAGAAAAGATGTCACATTTCTCTCAATCGACATCACGCACACCTCAAAAGCATGTAACATATAAAACCATTCCCAGCGGCTATATGATAAATGCTCGCTAATTTTGTGCATTTACTCAGGTGATTATAAAGATTGATGGTCACATGGAAGGTGAATAACAGTCAAATTCTCAAGTTCCATGGCGCAAAAAGCAAGGCAACAATTAGATGTACATACTCAAATGTCTTACTAAATGCAAATATGATGAGTTTCAAAGCAAAAGAGTGTAACGAAAGGCACATTTTGGCACAATTTTCTGCTTCAAAAGATGAGAGAAACTAAATAGATTGCAAGAATATTGCAATCAGCTAAATAGAACAACGAAAATTCTCACCAGAGAGACACAGACAGAATTCATAGAACAAATGAAAGACGTGATAAGTTTGCAGAATGAGAATATAGTGAGATTTGAAGGACAGAAATTTACTTCGAAATACAAGCTTCATTCTTTCCCTATTTCAATACGTGGGATTCCCAGTCTAGATCATGTTTCCATCACCCACATTCAATTGCAGGAAAAACGATCGAATTTTGTCATGGACAGCCTATAAATTCAACAAAGTGGCACTTTTACGTGATCCAAGTGCTCAAGATTTGTTTATTCTATCGATCACGATGTGATCTGTCAAGATCATCGCCCTCCAGAGTCGCTCGCAACACACTGAAAGAACCACTTCGAGAAGATCTTTTAGAAGTGCGGTTTAACATTATTCAGTGGAAAATTTTCTAAAACCCACTTCTAAGAAAAACCACACATAAATTAAACTTCTTCTCAGCTGAGATTAATTACAATTTCCAGTGGCTTTTTTTGCTTCTCTCGCATTGACACATTATAAAAAGAAGTCGAAATCACCCCGTTAAATCGTGACTCTTTTTTAGCCACTATTTTTCTATTTAAATCAAATCAATTTATAAAGCATTAAGTAACAATTGTGAGTGTGTTATTGGATAAAATACAAGTGAATTGTTACAATTGAATAAAATTGGATAATTCCCATCATTGCGACAGTATATTGCATAGTATATCAACGGGCTTTGACAATTTGATCATCACCATCCAGAAGCGGGACAAAAGGAGCTTTGTTGACTCCTCAATGAAGAGCATCACAGGGCAAAAGGAACTCCCTCTTCTGTAGCTGAGTGTTGTGCAACAAGAATTGACGTTATGATGGTGTTTCTTCACAGTACGAAAAAAACAATGAAGAAATTTCCACAGACAATTATCTTGCTGCCACTGCAAAAATATGATTGCAAGTCGCAGACAATGCAAAAATTTCCTCTCGTCTGAACAATTTTATTCACACTCTCCATGTGTGGAATTGTTGTGATAAGGCAATCACGCTATAGATTAGACGCATGAAAAACCGCCCACACGAGGGGGAAAAACGCCTCCTGAATACTGTGAAATCCCGCCGGAAAGACGATATGATAAGACATTTTGCATTTTCCATATCTCATCTCGGCCGCCTTTTGGGGGCAATTTTCCTGCATGGCATGGCTTTTTTTCAATTATTGAACCACTGTGCACTGAGGTTACGAGGATATCATTATAATTGAGATAATTGGAATTAATTAAGCAATCAAATATGCTCTCGAGGCGCTTAACATCTCACTTTTTCGTCCATTGATCTCGTCTTTCTGTGATTTTTTTATCTTCTCTTCCCGCCTCAATTGCGAGATGCAGCCTAAAAGATTTTATTCGTTCATACAATAGAAGAAGTGTTGCTTGCTGAAGCCACTCACGATTACGAATGTGGGGTGTTATTTCTCGAGAAAATCTCATTTTTGGTCGCAACTCTTTGACGGAAAGAACGTGATTTGAATGACTTAATCGCACACAAAACATTGGATAAACTTAATATTTTCTAATTTATACAGAAAACCTCAATAAAAATCATCATCTCTCCTATCTGTGAAAGATCGAACTCTATAGTGAAATGAGAAATAAGAAAAATGCCCCCGCTCATAAACAAGCAAAAATAAAAAGTGTGGAAAAAGTGAAAGTCTCTCGAAGGTTTTGAATAAATTTGCTTCAGTGATCTTGAAAGGAAAGTTCAATCGTTTTATAGGAAATCCATCTCCAGCAGCATTGGCTTACAAGACTGTTGGATTTCAATTGTGAGGGAGAGTTTGAGGCTTTCCAACCACTTAAGATTTATCACCATCACACCAGAGACGCCAAATTAGATTTTACGCATCAAATAAACATCAACAGCGCCGATTTAGGGTCAACAGAATCTTCCGTCAACTTATTGACGAAACTTACAAGGTGATGCGACACTCAAAATACCCGAAAACGTGATTCTTTTGCGTTATTAGAGAGCAAACATTACAACATGTCTGTGATTGAATATTAATTTACCCTCGACAAGCATTTCCTTGAAGTTACAACAGTATTTTATCAGTACAATATTCCAAAAGGGTTTCAAACAAGATACAAGAAAAAACAGGGAGTCTCAAAAACTTTATGGATAAACAATCACTAGAATGGAATTTGTCCACTTGTTCAACTCCATGAAGGTGAAATATCTTGAGTTCTCCGCACTTTTCTCTATTCGCGATGTGCTTCACAAATCACTTGGAAACCACATGAATATCAAAATTCCACCACCATTCAATGATCCGTTAAAATTGCAGTTGCAAAAACCATCCACATGGGCACAAGATTGCATTACAGCCGAATTGCCTAATTCTTCTTTTCGGGTGTCACTCCGCTGGACCGTTTTTTGAGATCTTGTCTGGCTATTGCAAAAATCTCTCCCTACTTTTTGATCTTTGCAAAACACTCAGATTGCCAATATGAGTGGAGAGTTTCTCATCGTGTATGAGTGAATGTGAGAGATTCATCCACGGATGGAGGCATAAAATATAATGTACAAAACCAGAGTCTCCGAGTCATCGTGAGCCAAGAAAAAGTCAATGAACTGTAGTCGACCTACATTTCACCAATTGAATTCCTTCCACCATCACAACTGTCTTTTCTCTTGGTCTGAAACACCGTCTTTGCTACAGAGATTTTATCTCCGGATCTCTTATCAATTTCTTCTTCATTTGAACACTATGATCATCAAATTTGAAATAACACTCAATCAATTTCACTTTCAAATAACGATCACACAGAGTCTTTTGAAAAACTCATTGGCATTTTTCTCCACTCCCAACTCTCGAGGGAAACTTTCATTTTCAGACCACAAAAAATAGACTCTCCAGTGTTCAGATTATCATCAATCCAGCGATCATCGGACATGATCGAGAGAATTTTAACTGATTTTCCCCTCCCTGGACACAAACTACTCCCATTTCCGGTTTCAAATGGGCTATTCCTAAAAACCTGAGCACACAGTTGGGGAAAAAGTCCAACCAAGCGTGTGATCATTAATCAATGATCAATCAGTGGATCTCCTCTTCTGACTTTTACAGTAATGCGCAAAAGACGTCAAAATCTCTTACTTTGTGCTCAATTGACGATATGCTGGGTGATGATACAGCTACAAACTTGTGAGCATTAATGGGAGGATAAATGCACTGTCGATATGAATTTTCCTTCAAATAAAAACTCTACCCAGCGCCTTGTGATCTTGATCGCTCTCTCTCTCTCTCTTTCTTTTATCCACAGAACTCCATATAGAAGTTGATCACAAAATTCCACTCCTATTTAACCACTTCTTTGTCTCACAAATCTCTTCTCTTTCTCTCTCTCCTCTCCTGGCAAAATCGCTCGAGAAAGCACGTCTCCACTTCTATTCCACCGTATTGATCAACATTGACTAACCACAAATGACAATCGCACAGCGAATTCAACTGACTTTCAGCTCCGTTGCGCGATCACACTGTACAAAATCCACCCGAACACCACGCGAATGTTCGCCGATCATCGCGCGATCCCATCACGACATGCTGCACAAACACAGTGAATACCAATTTGAAAATCAGTGACGTTTTCCTCACTTGCCAGCAGCCAGCAAAACAATTTATATACTTGTTTCTCCACCAGCAGAAATGATGAAAAAAAGCAACGTAAAAGCCACTTTATGTATTTACCATCTCTTAAACAGACACACACTCTTCACTATGATGCCTGGAAAACCATTTTCTGTTTATCTCCACACACTCCATTACCTGCTGGATTTTTCACACACACACACAAATGCGCCATAGAACAGGGAGATTCATCAAAATCCACTATATATAAAGATAAATTGTGGATTTGTGCAAATAGCGGACAAGGGATCAAGGCTAACCAGCTCAACACCTTCTGTTAAGGTGGGTCAAACATTTTTTGCCATCACCCAAAGCGCGAGAAATACCAAAACATTAAAAACCATCTGGCATGTTTGGGAGCATTTGCTGGTGTGACTCTCTGGCCAAATTGCCGTGAGGTGTTTGGTTCTCGATGGCGCAAAAAAGAATGAGATCACGATCGATCATGTGAGAAGTAACTGACGAGAAGAACGCGCGCGCTGGATCAGCCGTATATTGAGAAGCCTGAGAAGTACCTCTCTCACTCATAAAACTGCTTAGCGCGAGATTAACGATCACTGGCAGAGGAATAAAATAAATTGGCAAAAGATGTCTAAGTCACTTTTCAATTCTATTCATTTCCTTAGTAATTTCTTCATCAAATATTCAACCGGTAATTGTGCAATGTTGATTATTACTTATTCTAACATTTGCTTTTATGTCTCCTCAGCAGTGGCGTAGGAAGAAATGTTCGGAAACCTCGACTGAAATTTTAATCTCCTGAAGTCCTGATCTATCACAAATCCCTGATGTTCCATTTCATTGTCTCAACAGACGAATCAAAGATCCAGCTGAAGATCAGAGCACGAAGTTTGAATAGATACTGAAAAATTTCCCTAATTCAACTAAAACAGCTATACCACTGAAGTTCTAATTTGAATAGCAAAAAATTCTTTGGAAAATAAACTCCTGAGGGAAGGTGATAACTTGGAGAATTCTGTAGTTTCTCTACAATATTTACCCAAATTTTGCACAAACTCGCTAAATAATGAATAAGAACAAATAACACACAGAAAAAAAAACAGTGGGAATGCTTGGCAATTGAATTTGCTTGGAAAGCAAAGTTATAATGAGCCAAGAGAGACCTCCTAATTTTCGCAAAAGCCACTATTTTCACACAACTTCGCATAAAGACACAGAGGGAAAACGCAAAATCAAACGGTTTTCCAGCGCTGTGCAGACCCACAATTGTATGTAGAGGCCTCTTAATTCTGTTATGCAACAGCAAGTGCATTATATTTTGATTCTATCGACGAGAGACACGAAGATCGTGTGATTTTTGCCAACACACACACACATTAAAGCCTCTCAATATTTATGCAGAAATAGTGGTTTTTCTGGGAAGAAGAAAGAGGAAAAAAACAGCAAAGAGAATATTTATGGAAAAAAATTTTATCTCTAGCAGCTTCCACGTTTGTCTATGATTCACATGCGGGTGATGCGCAAAAATACTTTTTTCCTCCGAGTTCAAATACATCATGAAGAATGTTGACAAAGTGTATGAAAATATTGAGAAATGAAAAATGGAAATTGACTGCGTAGTCTTGCTAACATGATAACAATGTTCTCTTTTTACCCACAATAACCTCAAAAACGCCATCTCACATTCAACCATCAGAGGAGAGCGCGACGACAATTTCTTTATCACTCCAACTTCCAACATTTTGCGACAAAGCGTCCTCTCTCGCCCCTCAAATAATTATGCCTTTTTCAGAGTAATTATCATTTCTCTCTGCTCTGCACACAAACACACCAAATGTGTTGCACACATGCTCAACACACAGCTTGGATGTGACAAAATGTTGAAAATAATATAAATTTGTCGTCATCTGACGCGCGATGTTTTACTGTTTGCCTTGTGTGTCTCTCAGGGAATTCCAAATATTTGCATAATGTAAATATTAGTCAGAAAAGAGAGAAGAACCTGATCTCTTCCTTTCCTTGGGCCCTCCCCCTCCCCCATCATACCATAAGCTACACTTATTTTTAATTGACATCCACGGGATATCATGCATTTTATTAGGTGACAAAAAGAAATCCAACCGATCGACGCGATTTCCAAGAAAATCTCTGCACACTGCGCAATTAATCGCGATGCTGAGAGAGTGCGATTCAAAGAGAAATCCCACGAAAATGGACAGTCTTATAGTGTATTTTAATTAGTGAAAATCTAAATATATCCTCTTGCCAAGGGAAATTCACACAATATCGCAAGTTGCGAAATTCAAATGGAAAATTGTGGGAAAATTCCCATTCCTCAAAGACCACCAATTACACTATTCAAATATTTCAGTCGAAAATTTTGAATTCTCCCTGAAATCCTTAACTTCTGATTGGCTCACAATTCACAAGTGAAGTCAGCTCCGAATGCTGTTGATCATTTACATGATAAATGCAAAACGATGCAACATGAGAAGCCATAAAAGATATTTTCACAATTCCTCAAACAATCGGGAAAATATTCAATTACAAATTCATGTGTGACTGATTTATTGATTTGCAGAATATCTACCATTGAAAGTGAAGCCAGTTGCAAATAGTGTGACACAACAATTGCATCAAAATGAAATATTGTTAATTGAGAAAAAGAGGTGGTGTTGTGTGCATTTACTGAATGAGATCTCTTGATCACCTTGCCATAGGTTGAGGTGGTGTCTGTGTCCCACGAACATACTTCATGATATTTTTTATCGAATCGAACGCCAAGTTGCAACCATACGAAGCCCATCTTCCCCTTTACATAGTACATCACATCTTTCTCGCTCTCACCCTAAATGATCTTAATTGAATAATGTATCCTTATCTATTTCCTCGAAAATTGAGCATGATCATCTCCGCTTCACTCCAGCTGACCCAATTTCCCGCCTAGAATACAGACTCTCCATTGATTAACTCCACGAGCTGAGATTTCCATTCAGTCGCACTATCAGTATAGTTCACTGATTAAGATAAATTGGAATGGATTTGAGCGACATACAAATGATGAGGCGCGCCACACATTGTTATTTGGAAGGAAATGACAATATCTCTCTCTCTGTGCATCTATTCTTGGCACTGTCAGTCTCTTCAAAACACATCTCACTCGTGTGGAGTTCCTTATTAAAATCATCCAAATAGACTCCCATTGAGACACCATTAATTGGATAATAAGCCCATTTTATCACTCACTCAATGGTGGGAAAAAATCATCAAAAATTTGTATTTGTTTGCACAATTAATCACCGTTGGAAAATTATGCAATTAATATATCATATTCATTCATGTGACAACATGTTTGACTTCGCGATTGCACAAATACAGGAAAATTTCGATCATTTTCATACCTCAACTCAAAAGCGGCTCATTTGAGTGGGATCGTTAACGAAATGAAAAAGAAAAACAATAAACGCATTGATCGGAGACTGTAAAAGTGAGCTGTTGTAAACATTTAACCTATGAATACACCGTAAAATCAACCGGCAAGGAATTGTATTTTTAGCTACTCATTTAAGCCGCTACTCCCAGTCATAATCCCCGCCCATTGAAGTCGAAATTCCCTTTATTTATAAACATCTTACATAAAGATGTTAATTTTTCTTCGTATTCCAGCAATATGTGTATTTTAAACATTTTTACCGTAGTCACAATCTTCTGAATATATTTTTAAATTTTAAGGAAAAATTTAATATTTCTGGTCCCTGGACAATGTCGAATGTTCACCTAGACAAGGATATTCATAAGACATCAATGGTGCATTATTACAAAAGGTGTCTTTCTGTCTCTGTATGTTTCCCATCACTGAAGCATCTTTTTATTCAGTCATTGGAATGCTCGTTTTGTGGATCAAGGTGTGATTCTTTCAGCACTTTGATTAAATTATTCAATTAGTCTTTCAATTACTTGATATTTTTTGCAAGAGAGCCGTTGAAAGAGAAGCTAATTGCATTTTGCACGATGGACTTTTTTCCCTGGCCAACTCTTTGCTTTGTTGCCAATTAACTGGTCGACTGAAAGTAAGTGTTTGACGAGAAATATACACAACAAATTTGTGAGTAAAGTAAAGGGATTTTCCTTAATTCATTTCTTCTGCAAACTTCTACATCTCGATACCAAAAACAGACACTTTTATTGAGAGGTTGGGAAAGAGAGAAAGATGTGTTGTGGAGGTAAAAAAAGTTATGGCATTATTAAGAAACTCCTATTTTCACTTTCTAACGTGCGTTAGAGTTCAATTTCTCTCGAAAAAGGTGTTCCAACATAACGATAGAGCATAAGTGTATGTTGGACTCGCACATCTGTGAGAAATTGTTATGCTTTCTTGCGGGAAAATTGTCTCTGCAGCGGAAAAGGGTGAATGAGCGAGAGACTCGCATGAATTGCATGGCAATTTGCTGGCGATTGACCATCTCAGGTGCATGATTTTCTTCACTTGCAATCTCTCAGGGAAAAATTCAGAAAATTGCACATTTCTCAATGAAAGAGGATATTTCTCTTACCCGTTTTTCAACATCTATCGCGTCACGCTTTAATTGTCCACTTTTCATCATTTTCTCCGTCTGATTTTCTCTTCGGCTGTTTTGCACACTCAAGGATCGAGCATGAATTAATTGATGAGATTTCATTTATTGACACTCACAAGGTTGAGTATATTATTTTTCCGGGGAATTGAGCGTGATCAAATATTTATTTGGACAGAAAAGGTGGTTTTTTTGCCCATCTTCACAAAATTCCCGTCTGACTTTCGTGAATATCTGCAAGATCACGAATGACTGGCAGAAAGATAATATCATATACTATGCTAGAGACCACTTAATTAGAGAGATCAATTCCCATCAATTTCATGTTTGTACAGCGCGTGGCTTTTTTGCTGGTACCGAGGAAAAATCTTTCAGCCCGAAAATCACAAACATCCCAGATTCTCAAGTTGATCTTTTTAGCGTTTGACTCAGTGCAGTCGTAATACAGCACACTTGACTGCTAACTGAGAAAATGTTTATTAATTGTCCCACAATTGAAACCAGGCGGGGAGAGAAAGATATTTGCAAGTCGCAATTTCCTTCCAACTCGTTCCGAATCATTATGAGATTTTCGCAATGCAATTTCCAACTTGTATATCGTGCGTTCTCTGCGGACAGGAATTTTTCGTTTACTGAAATCATACTTTTTTACTCTGTCGTCGAATGCAGAAAAAAGAGTATAATTCTCCCGCCTCAATCAAATGGGAGTCATATCGTGTTTAACCTATCGTGTTTATTGAGTCTATGATTATGACTCTTCCCTTTTTTCCGCTATCGCGCCAATCATATCGGGTGATAATCAGTATTTTCCGCGAATTGAAAATGCAAATTCTGCTGCAATCGCACAAAAAACTGATTATAAATTGAACGATAATAAAGTGACTACAGTCTCTTCCCAGTTGACAAGGCGTGTTGCTTCTCATGAAGACATACATATTATTTCGGTACCCATATGGAGAGCTGCTTGCTGCATTTCAGTTACGATAAAGAGATAGTATTGAGCAACACTTGACTGGTTTTGCTTTGTCCATGAATTAGACTCATCGAATTATAGTTAAATCCTCCGATCTTGTTTAGAAAATGTTCTTATTTGACGAAAATATCGTTCGAAAGCTCCAAATTGTCAGCCCCTCGTTTGTGGCCACTTTTAACTTGTCGCTCTGCAAAATTAACCATTTTCCGCTGACTTTTGAATGTGCATTGGGCAGAAATTTGCAATTGTATTACATGTCGAGCCCCACTCGTCCCTCTCCAAAACCCACTCTAAGTGGAGTGAATCAAAGTGTGACGGAATGAAAAATTCATTTATGAAGCTCGTGTACGTCTGGCCAGGCTGTTGTTAAAAGCGTCTGGAGGTGAAAGTATCACATTAAGAGAGAATCCTTTCCGGAAGTCCTTGACTCACTGATAACGCATTCTTTCTGCTAGGGTATCAGTGCTTCTTATCATTTTACTGACTTGATTGATTTGTCGCCAGAACCTGCGGAAGTCCCCATCGATAAATCATCGTTTGCTCAAGTTTCTTTACCGTAAGAAATAAATAAAAAATATCCAGTGACGTTGAAATCTTTCGCTAATGATGGCTTCCTAGGCGGAAAGTCTTGTCTAACAAAATGCGTTCTAGATGTAAACTCACCAGAATTTCCTGCCAGAATGTTTCTTGACGTCTCAACACGCTGTTCTGCAAAAGCAGTAGTATTTTCCTTGAGTTTTCCTTGCTATTGCAACGAAACCAGCAACAGGTTGCCTTCGACTTCTTGCAGGTCACTTTCAACACTTTCGCTCTCCCTCTCGTTGATTTTTCTCAGTAGAAAAACGCGATCTCGAGCAAATTGTACATTAAAACACAATGTCAGCCGTCACTGCACAGAATCAAGGGGAAATTATCGAGAAAACCAGCGTGAAAAACCGAGGAAAAGGCACAGAAAAATTGCGTTGTTTGCGCTCTGAAAACGAAACAGAAAATGATCTATTGGTCTATGACACTTGCCGCTGAGGGCGAGTGCGGCGAGTGGCGCTAGCATACGGTGAAAGGGTTTCAAACAGCTGACACAGGAGCTGAGGAAAACAAGCGAAAACTCTCGATTCCTGGGCATTTGGGGCGCTTTCGAGACATCATGGTGGTGACATACAATGTAGAGTTACCCACGGAGGAGGAGCTCACGGTTCCAGAGGTGAATCTTTCCGGGCCAGCTCTAAAAGCTGGAGCCTTCCATCTCGGGAAGTACTGTGAATTTCAGAACAATGTGAGTGAATTATCCTGATTTTTTCATTCTTTGCATCCTCCTTGGAGTCTCATTGAAGTATTCCATTTCAATTAGTGCACTTTTCTTGCAAGATTTCAGTGAATTATGTAACATTTTTGACCATATTAACATAACCTTAAAGTTTTGTTTTCCTGCATTGTTTCTCTGTCCAATTTTCAGGAGTTTATGCTGTGCCGCGACGAGCTTAAAGACCCGAGGAAGTGTTTGAAAGAGGGAAATGCTGTGACGAGCTGTGCTCTGGAGTTCTTCCGGAAGGTGAAGAAGACCTGTCGCGAAGAATTCACCCAATACACTAATTGTCTGGACAAGAGCAGCCAGGATCAGGCTTTCAAACCGTGAGACAATGATTTTTGCGGGAGAATCATCTCTCTTATCGATTCATATTGTTTCAGGTGCCGCAAGACTCAGGGTGTGTACGATAAATGCATCCTGGACAACTTGCAGATTGAGAGGCCCCACTATGGATACTTTTGCCGTGCTCGGATCCATGATAGCGAGCGCCCGGCGCCGCCCAAGAAGGAGAAGAAGGTCTATCCCGATGCCACTCCTGGACTGCCGGATGACTACCCAAGGGAATCGGCGAGGTATGGCTCCAGGAACCTCATCTTGGAGTAGAGAATTCATGTTTGTAGTAGGAGTGAATTAAATTAAGAGAGGGGAATAAATGCCAGAAACTCATGTATTGAATTAGTTCTTGTCAAATGGAATACAAGTATACTGAAAAATGTAGGGCAAATTCTCTGCTCTCGCCTTAATCGTCCTGCTCCTCGAATGACGGGCTGCTGGGCGAGTAAGTGGGACTCGTGGGACTGTAGCCCTGGGGCGCCGTGGGGCTGTACGCCGGTGAAGACGGCGAGTACGTCGGGGACGCGGGTGACGATGGTGTGAAGGCCGGACTCGTTGGCGAGTACTTGGTGCTACTCGGTGAGTAAGTGCTGATGTTGGGAGAGTACCTGGGACTCGTGGGAGAATAGTTCGGCGAACTGGGGCTGTAGCGGCTGCTCGGCGAGTGTTGCGGCGACGATGGAGAGTAGGAAGGCGAAGTGGGAGAATATTTCGGAGATGTTGGTGAGTACTGAGGTGAGCCCGGCGTGTATTGCGGACTGCCTCCATACGACGGACTGGCCGGAGAGTAGCTAGGCGATGTGGGCGAATAGGAAGGAGAAGTCGGAGAATATTTCGGTGACGATGGCGAATAACTAGGTGAAGTGGGAGAGAAATGCGGTGAGGATGGTGAATAGGAAGGCGTCGTTGGAGTGTAATTGGGCGAAGATGGAGAGTAACTCGGTGATGTTGGCGAGTAACTTGGACTCGTCGGTGAGTACCCAGGACTCGATGGTGAGTAGCTGGGCGATGTCGGAGAGTAAGCTGGCGATGTCGGTGAATAACTCGGACTCGTCGGTGAATACGGACTCAGCATAGAGTACGCCGGAGAGCCAGAAGAGTATCCAGTTTGATGACTGGCAAAGTTACTGTTCGCCGGCGAATACATTGGCGATGCTGGCGAGAAACTCGGACTTGTCGGTGAATAATTAGGCGAAGCCGGATTGTAATTGGGACTCGTCGGTGAGTACTGTGGACTTGTGGGCGAGTACATCGGACTTGTGGGCGAATAGTTGGGACTCGTCGGTGAGTAATTCGGTGACGAGGCGGCACTCGGAGACGAAGCTCCGTAGCTGGGACTCGATGGAGAGTAGCACGGCGAAGCTCCTGGCGACTGAGCAAAGTACGGCGACATCGTGATACCAGGCGATGCTGGAGAGCCCGGATTTGGCGACCAACTCGGTGACATTCCACTCACATCTGACGCTCCAGACGGTGAGAAACTCGGTCCTCCCGGCGTCATGCCACTCACACCAGCCGGTGACCACTCTCCATATCCAGGAGTAGCCGATTGCTGCCACGGAGTCATCGGTGGACTCATACTCGGCGTGGCTCCAGCCCCGAAGAACATTCCAGTGCCTCCAATCATCGACGGTCCCATTGTCGTCGGAATCTCAACGCCCAGCTTGCATTTATCCGAATCTAGAAGTAGATCGAAGCATCCGGTGCCCATTTTCGGTAACTGGCCCATGATTATGTTCTCCGACACACCACGCATTGGATCCACTTCGGCGTGCGCCGCTGCGTCCATCAGTACGTCCACCGTCTCCTCGAAGGAACACCTCATGAGTGCACCTGTATCTTGTCTGTTGATTCCGTGGCGAGTGATGGCCATCAAGTGGCCCTTAGCGGTCATCACGTCACAAAGCAACGCCAAGTGACGATAATTCACGTACAAGCCGTAGAATTGCAGCACAGCATTCATCTCCTTCTCCACAGACTTCCTCACAGCTTCAATGCCAAGGACCTGAGGAGAGAAACACACCCGTTAATTGTGAACAAAATAGAGTAATAAATAATTGCTAATTCACCTGGAATATCTCGCAGATGTCATTACTGTACGTCCTCACGGGATCCACATCCCTCTCGCTCAGCACCTTCATCATGGACGTGCCGTCTGTCTCCAGCAACCACTCCCCAATCGCCTTGAACTCTCCTGTCTCCGTGATAACGATCCTCTTCTTGCTGTCCGTCTGCGGCAAGTGCATGTATACCTTCCCGATTGCCTCGATGCCTTGCAGCGTCATATCAGATAACATATTCGCCTCAATGCATCGGAGGAACATGTCATCCTCCATCTTATCCACTGTGTCCTCTTCATTGTCCTGGAACTTGTTGTCATCGCTGTTCATGATACGAATCCTCAACACTAATTTATCTGCATTGTCATCATTGAAGATGCAGTTCAAATCGTCCCCAAATCCTGCATTGATCTTCTCAGCAATCTGTTCCATAGTCAATTTCTTGTCCGTCATGCGCTTCCTATCCAATTCAATACGCAGCAGCCATGGTGAGATCCGAGTGGGATCAAAATCAGGCATCTCATAATACACATTGACAAACTCCTGATCCTCAGCAATAACTGTGCGCTGCGGATCAGGGTCGTAATAGATTGCCGTGTTGGCTGTCACCTTCCTCAGTGTCGTGTGCTCCAGACGACACAGAACATTCTTCGCCTTCTCCGCGTCCCTGGCGGCACCGCCCGTCAAGAACACAGTCAAGGAAGGAGCTTTGGGGCGCTTCGAAATGTTAATGATCTCCTTGAGACGCGGCACACCGAGCGTCACGTTCTTCGACGACACACCAGCAAAATGGAAAGTGTTCAGAGTCATTTGAGTGGCGGGTTCACCCAGAGATTGAGCCGCTAAGGCGCCCACCATTTCTCCAGGGCTCACTTGAGCCTGCTGGAATCTCGTTTCGATCTCTCCAATCAACCAGTCAAAGGCTTCACTTGTCAATCTAAATTCCTCAGCTACATATTTTGTACATAGCGTCGATCTCACCAGACACTGAAACAGGAGAGTTGCATTTTCATTTGCTTGCTTCGACATCTTGTCATTTCCCGCCACGATAATGCACTTCTGGAGTAGCTCCTTTACGCCTTGCATCACTTTCAATGGACTCAAGTCCGTAGGCACTCTCTTGTTGATGTGGAAGATTTTCTGAACATTCCAAATCATGCGCTGCAAATTGCACGGCAACACAACTTTGCTCTCTCCGCTCGGGAAGATCTGCCTGAGCATTTCCCTGTCTCTGCTCAATTGATCCCACTCAGCTTCCAATTCTTGTATGACAAAGCCCGATTCTGTTAACTCCTTGATCACGTTCTCATTGAAGATCTTCCTCAAGTATCTCTCATTTGACGGATCAAACTTGAAGCGCTTCTCGAAGGCCTTATTTGACAGCTTCACAGTGGGTAAATTCTGGAACTCCACAGTCTCTCCACAAAGTCCATCTTCGCCATAACGCAACTGAATCAACTGTCCCACTGAATTCCTCACAGTCCCATCATAGTGTACCATCACGGACTCCATAGCCTTGATCAGACGTCGTTGAATATATCCAGTTTCTGCTGTCTTCACGGCAGTATCAATCAATCCCTCTCGACCGCCCATGGCGTGAAAATAGAACTCTGACGGAGTCAATCCGGCCAAATAGGAGTTCTCTACGAAACCCCTCGACTCAGGTCCATAATCATCTTTGATGAAATGCGGCAGAGTTCTCTTCCGGAACCCGAATGGGATACGTTTTCCCTCCACGTTTTGCTGGCCCACACAAGCGATAACTTGAGAGATATTAATGTTGGAACCCTTGGATCCAGACACCACCATTGCCTTCAAGTTGTTGTACTCCGTCAGGGATTTCTTGGCTGATCCACCGGTTTTGTCACGAGCATCGTTCAGAATGCGATTCACCTGATTCTCAAATGTCTGCCTCAACGTGTTTCCTGGCGTTGGCTCGAGTTCCATGTTGTGCGCTTTTTGAATCACACCTATCACATCCTCCTTGGCCTTCCTGATGGCCTTCTGGATCTCTTGGTAAGTTTGAGGATCGGCAATTGTGTCTCCAATGCCAATACTGTGACCTTCCAGCAACAGCCAATTGTTCACCACTGTCTGGATGTTTCCATAAAATCTCCCAGCGATATCATGACCCAATTCCAGAAAGCAAATGTGCAGCAGAGATCCTGCCGATGTTCCCAGAGTCTTCTTGCAGAGAATTCCCATGATCAAATCTCCATGCTCCACCATGACTTTGGTATCTCCAGGTGAAATCCACTTATATGGCCCATCATCCTCCTCGTCCGGATGTGTCGAGTGCGTTCGGATCATGTTCACATTCCCTGGAATGATCAGGGAGAATAGCTGCTTGCCTGACCACAAAGGCTTCGGCTTCAGAATACACGGTTGCGGCATTTTCCCGTCCCAAGTCGGCAGCCACATCAGCAGGTTCATCATCTGCTCCTTCTCAATAAACACATCTCGCTTCGTCATCTTCCTCACGGCCGTCAGAGTATCCTGCACAATACCCATGACCGGCTTGTTTGCCTGCGGTGTGATAATTTGACGCGGTGTGATGTGAATGTTCTCAACCTGGAATGGAAAGATAACAGATCGTTTTTCAACACATGACGAAATATAAATAAAGAGAAACACTCACCTCAGCTCGTGTCTCCATTGACTGTGGCACGTGGAGGTTCATTTCATCTCCGTCAAAATCCGCATTGTATGGTGAAGTACAACTCAAGTTCATCCTGAACGTTGACCAGGGCAACACCTTCACTCTGTGTCCCATCATACTCATCTTGTGGAGTGTCGGCTGACGATTGAAGATCACCAGGTCGTCATCTCGCAAGTGTCTCTCCACTTTGTACCCACATTGAAGATGCAAATCGCTGGGTTTGGGATGGAATCGCAGATCAATTCTCTCCCCATTGTCTCGCACAATATACTTGGCTCCAGGATATTGTGAATTACCTCTGCGCACTAATTCTTGCATCCTGTCGATGTTGAATGGCGTCACAAGCTCGGGAAAGGTGAGATTCTGGGCAATGGATCGCGGCACACCCACTTGATCAATTCGAAGATTCGGATCTGGCGTAATTACTGTCCGAGCGGAGAAATCCACTCGTTTTCCCATCAGATTTCCTCGAATTCGGCCCTCTTTGCCCTTAAGACGCGCTTTAATGGCTTTCAGTGGCTTACCGGACTTTTGCATTGCTCTCGGCATTCCTGGGATCTCATTGTCCACAAATGTGGCCACGTGAAACTGCAGCATCTTGATATTTTCAGCAATTACATGAGCAGCTGCTCCTGAGGCCTCATTTTTCTTCAGCTCGTTGTTAGCTTTGATAACATCAGCCAATTTGTGCGTTAGATCGTCCTGATTCTTCGCTGCGCCGAACATCACCACAGCCGGCCGCACAGACAGCGGTGGCACGGGCAGAACAGTGACAATCATCCAATCTGGGCGAGCATACTTTGGATCCATGCCGAGAATAAAGCACTCTTCGTCTGTGATGTGCTTCAAAATCTCCCACACACGTTCAGCTGACACGGAAATCTTCTTCTCCTGCGAATCCTCATTCACATGCTTCCATTCCGCAATCAGCTCCAGGCCTGTCTTCTTGATGGCCGGCTGGTAATGTCCACATCCTCCATGGCCTGTCTTCTTGTTGATATCCGTCTGCAAATTCTCCTTGCCCAAATCCATATCCTCTCCGCCCTCGCAGATTGTCTTTCCGCGACACAGTTCATAAACGTACGCTAGTCTTTTCCTGGGTTGTCCCTTTGACTTCATTACGATTTCCTTGATCTTCGGATTGTTGGGACTCACCAGGAGCTTTGAGCAGTAGAAGCACACGCACCGCAACACTTTAATCGTCTTGGTGAAGAAACCAACGTGAAACACGGGCTTTGCCAAGTCGATGTGCCCGAAATGTCCAGGGCATTCCGTCATGTTGCCAGCGCAAGTTTGGCATCTCGAATTTCTGTCAATCACTCCCTGCCGGGGGTCCATCAGACCCCCCAGTTTGGGTCGGCCGCCCTCCATAGTCTCGGGAAACTGCACGCCACCCTCGGTGCATGACATCCGGCGCTGCAAAATCGAAAAAACTCGTGACTTTGACACTTCAAGGGACGCCACGAGAGCCCCCCAATACTTACAATCTCATCTGGCGCTAGGATGCCAAATTGCACACGCTTCACAGTGCGCACGGGCGCCTTGGAGTCACCGGGTGACATTTTCACTCACTATTATGAGATTTTCCACGCGGAAATAGGGTAAAAGACACTTTTCTCGGAGGAACAATGCGCAATAGTCCAGCTTCCAAGATGTCCTCTGGAGAATTGTGGCGCATGGTGGCGCTGCGGTAGCTTAGTGTGATTGTCAAAAAGGAGGGGAATTTGATTGTCAGCATGTCAGCGTATTCAGAACATGATTTTCGTCATATATCGAAAGATTTTCCATAGAAAATCTCTCTATTCGATTGGGGAAATTGATTTTATTTGTGTTAAATTTGTGGAATCTCAGTGTCAAATGTTTTTTTCGTAAATAATGTAAATGTGCTCAATGCCCATAAGATGTCTCTCACAACAGTGCGAAGTTCGGCCGAAGGAAAACTCCCAGAGAAATTGGGCGATAAAAATTGTTGTGTGTGCCTCAGATTCTCTCATTTTATATTATCAGCGAGTAATTTCTCTCAGCGAACTCCATAGCTTGTAAGTAGATAGTACTTTGGGCGGTAATTGTGGAGAATTCGGCAGTCGCTAGAAAGCAGCGCAACAAGTGTGACGTGACACGCCGGCTTTTTCACTCTACACCACACAATTTTCCAGATTTTCCCATCATGTCTCTTCCGGACAATCTGAAGGCGCTCTTCGAGTACATCGAAGCGCATAAAAATCAGTACATCGATGTACTGAAGGAGGCTGTGGCCATCAAGTCCGTGAGCGCCTGGCCGGATCATCGTCAGGAGATCACGAAGATGGTTCACTGGACGAAGAAGGTGAGCAAGAGTGAGAATCTTGTGGTCCCTGAACTCATTTACTTGTGCTCTTTTGCAGAAACTTGAAGATCTCGGCGCCACGGTGGAGTTGGCTGATGTGGGAATGCAGACACTGCCCGATGGGAAGCAGATTCCTCTACCGGAAGTAATTCTGGGATCTCTGGGAAATGTAAGTTTGCCTTCCATTAATTTCCATATTAATTCCATTGAAAAAAAAATTCCCACGAAACATAAAACGAAGTGGTCAAATGAATTAGATTAGACTTATCGACATTATGTTCTTTGTCTCTTCAAATGAATCAGTGCAACCGCGAATAAAGAAAGAATGACTAATATTTTAATGTCAAAATATGCACATAGAATTCCATCTTCAAACCACAGTGAAGGTTCCCGTGCTGCTGTTGATAAGAGAGTCTTGTCAACAAGCAATTGAAGCTCTACTCGTACTCAAATAGATAATCTCCCACGGAGTACTTCAGCTGCATGATTGATAGGCTTGTTTGATGGCAAACTCACTTTTATCTTTCATGGCTTGTGTATTCTCAGGATCCGGCCAAGAAGACGGTTCTGGTTTACGGGCATCTGGACGTCCAGCCGGCGCTGAAGGAGGATGGATGGGACACTGAACCCTTCGTCCTCACTGAGAAGGACGGGAAGATGTTCGGCAGGGGCTCCACTGATGACAAGGGCCCCGTGATCTGCTGGCTGCACGCCATCGAAGCAATGAAAGCGCTGAAGCAACCGCTGCCGGTGAACCTCAAGTTCGTATTCGAGGGCATGGAAGAGAGCGGCAGCGAAGGATTGGATGAACTGCTCTTCGCCCGTGCTGGGACTTTCCTGAGCGGCGTGGATTACGTATGCATTTCGGATAATTACTGGCTGGGGAAGGAGAAGCCCTGCATCACGTACGGATTGCGTGGCATTTGCTACTTTGGAATTGAAATTGAGTGTGCCAAGAAGGATCTGCACAGCGGAGTGTTTGGCGGGAGTGTTCACGAGGGCATGGCTGATCTGATTTATCTCCTCAACACGCTTGTCGACGTGAATGGCCACATTGAGATTCCCAATCTCTATCGCGAAGTGGCACCGCAGTTGCCCAATGAGAAGGAGATTTATGAGAACATCAGCTTCGATTTGGGTGCTTATCGCGAGGATTTGGGCGCTAAGCAACTCCTTCATCGCGAAGATAAGGTCAAGACGCTGCAGCATCGCTGGCGCTTCCCTAGTCTGTCCATTCATGGAATTGAAGGGGCGTTTTATGAGCCCGGACAGAAGACTGTCATTCCTCGTCGTGTCATTGGCAAGTTTTCTATCAGGATTGTGCCTGATCAGCTTCCGGAACAGATTGAGGAGTACGTGAAGGCACACGTGGAGGCCAAGTGGCGCGAGCGTGGCTCGCCAAACACCATGAAAGTCTACATGGCTCATGGCGGGAAGCCCTGGACTGAGGATCCCAATCATCCTCATTACCAGGCCGCAAAGGAGGCCGTGAAGCACGTCTTTGGAGTGTATCCAGACATGACCAGAGAGGGCGGCTCCATTCCGGTCACACTGAGTCTTCAGCAGGCCACTGGGAAGAATGTCATCCTTGTGCCCGTAGGAGCGGCAGATGATGGAGCGCACAGCCAAAATGAGAAACTGGATGTGCTGAACTACATTCAGGGGGTGAGTATCTTTTCAAACAGTCGAGTTGCAGATTAGGCATAGAATTCGCGGAATCTAAGGTGAACGAATACAGAAATATCTACAACTTGGTTCTCAAGAAAAACAGGGCAATTTCAGTCAGTTTACTCCCAAAATTCTTTCCAAATACTTATCGCTGCTTTTAACACATTATTATTGATAAATCGTATCTCAATCTCTGGCAGTGTTAGCAATATATTGCAGTGCAAACAATTATAGGTCAAAGTGTTAAGAAGAAAGGTCAGAAAATTACACTCACATTACTCATCATATTTCTTTCTCTCTGCAGACAAAACTCCTCGGGGCGTATTTGTACGAAGTGGCTCAGCTTAAGTGAACGAAAAAGCAGAACTCTAACATCACGAGGAAGCATCACAATTTAATGAAATAATAAAGGATCACTTTTCTAACTTGAAATTCCATTTTATTTATTTAAATATTTGCAAAAGATTTGCCGTTGCAAAGACAGACCCTCGGATTAGCGGAAGAGCGGCATTTTATACAATTGTTCGCGCAGAAGTCGCGTGGGCATTTATCATAGGCTGAGGGTATTTTGGCAAGAACACTGCTCCTGGCTAGGGCTTCTAAATGTGGTCGGAAACGACGTCCGTAGCGAACGTTGAAGTTCACTGAGTCCAGAAAGTAGAAGTGCTCTTCAATGGGACCCACAATGATGGTGAGAGAGTGATACAGTGTATTCTTAACGATAAATCCTGAGCGAACTCCGGATTCCACCTTGAGGTGAGTCACTTTTAGCTTCCTTTCTGGTCCAATTGAGGAGAGTTCCTGTCTTAGAGATCGCGAATACTGGAAAGATTTTGTGTGGGTATTTTATCACTGCATGTGTTTTGACTGTTTCCTACCCATAGAAAGTGATTGAAGGCTGGTGGCCCAATGAGATATTTATCGCGCTCTTTGGAGTCTTCACGCTTCTGCAACTCCTGCTCGTCCATCTCAAAAACTTCTTCTATGTGAACTGTTGTTTTGGAGCCCAAATGGGGCTTGAACGTCACAAAAGCCACTTCCAGAGGCACAAACTCAAGCACAGACTTCTCTATGTCCATCGCAAAGAGCGTCTCGACAGAAACTGAGTGTCTACCTGGGACGAGGACGGTGACCAGGAGTAGTGTTTAATGGAGTTTCGCACCATGTGCAAACAAACAGAGGAATTGGAGAAATTTGTCGGAAATTCCCGGGTTGTAAATCACTTTCAGCTGAACTGAAGAGTAGGCAAAGGTCATAAAAATTCAAGGAAGGAACATTTTCGACACTCAAGATGTGCCAAAGCATGATTGAGCCGTTATCTCGAGAACAAAAGGGATTCCGGGATTGCCTTGAACTACCTACACGCAACCCTTTGAAACTATGCGTTTACTCACAATCATCTGTACATTTTTGAGTCTCCTAAGGATTTTTACTGTGACCACACGTCTCCGTATTTATTCTTCTGAGCAGAGCCATCCTGCGGCTGTGGCACTTCTCTGGGTGGCGGAGGTCGTCTCTCCACTGGCGGTGGGGTTTCTGGCTGAGGTGGACCTCGCATTTTCTTCATATACTCCTCGCGATTCCTCTGTCGAAGCTCATCATAACTTGTGGACGTCTTGGGCGGATCCAAGGGTAAGTTGTCATCGAATTTCGTGATAGGAGCTGAGGAAGTAGATGAAAATGGTTTAGTTCAATGCAAACTTGGGAAAAATCACACAAAAAGCGCTGTATGGTATCTTTTCTCTGTGCCATCACACTCACAGATTCACAGGTCAAAGAAAAAGGGTACAAACCCGGCTTTGCATCCGCTTTTTGCGATGAGGACGGATAAAAAAAAAGAGATTTTCAGTAAATTCTAACGGTGTTACATGGAATTTCGGTGGGTTTCTACAGTACTAGTTTGGCTCCAGACTTCTAATCTTAGATTTCTCGGATTTTTCCGATAAAAAATTCTTATCTCTGATTATATTGCGCCACATTACGCTATAATTTATCGGAAAATTGATACTTGAGGAGCCAAAACTAGCAGAAAGAGACCTCCGGCCTTACCATCGAGACTTGGTCTGTAAATATCATCCAATTCCGTGCTTGAGGGTCTCTCGGTATCGAGATTAAGAGCACTGGAGCGATTGCGTCCGTGGGATTCATCACTGTGAGAATCTGTGGAGCTGCCAAAGGCTGACAGTCCCAGTCCTGTTCCAAATCCCTGATCAGGAGCCATGCTGAGAGAGGAAATAATGCTTTTACTCTCAATATTATGAGGCTCTGGGAACTTCTCACCCTTCATACATTCCGCCTCTTTTGCGCTGCCTCAGCATTTCGCCCACTTTTGAATTGGGCAATCTCATCAGCTTCTCAGCACACTTTTGCTGATAGCTGAACTTTCCGAAGAAATATCCTGTAATGACGCCAACGACGACCTTAGGAGTTGCGCCCCATTTAGCGTTGGGCCGAAGGAAGCCTCTCTTCACGCCGAGAAATGCTGCCATTCCCAGTGCGGTGCTTAGTGGGAGAGATCTCTGATAAAAACTGTCTCTGTTGCACTCCTTCAGGACTCTCAATTCTTCAGCTGAGAATTGGAAATTGGCCTGGAACAGTGGGTCGGTGGTCAGAAACTTCTCAGGACGAATCTGTGAGGACAACTCACCCTCGGATGCTGTGGATGCTGAGGATGGTGGTCGTTGGGCTGCCCCGGAGCTCCAGCAGGAGGCTGATAGTACTGCTGTTGAGGATTTGCGGACATTTCTCAAGAATCGGTGTTTCCCAATTTTAACCAAAAATTGCACGCCAACAGCTGAAAAGTCACTTTGGAGATACTCACTAGAGGCACTGGCGGCGTTGAGAAATTTGGCGGGAAAAATATAGCAGAGTCCAAAACCAGTCACGTGTATGCAGAGTCATTTGAACGCATGTTGAACGGCGGCCAAGAATGCAATTCATTAATTAGCACTGAAGGTACTTTACTGATGACTCTGGTCATTCAATTAAGCGCTAAGAAATCTTTCGGAAAATTTGGGATATTTGGCGCAGACAGACAGGAAGTTGGATGCGAACGATGCGAATTAATTGCGTTGATCATCACTCTATTGCACGCTGAACTGTGAAGATCAAGATCAGATATAATGATAAATCCTCAAAATGTGTGTTGTCATTCATCAGACGATCACGCAAAATTGCGAGGAATTTCCTGCCATTTTCATCACGATCTCAATAGTACAGTGAAATGGAGTGAAAATTTTGCATCTTTCAACCAAGCGATCCTCACAGCTTTAGAGTTTTTTTTTTTTGGGCAAGTGACCAATTTGCGCTACAGATGGAATTATTCATATCCTGGCTTCATTATTTGAGCCTTGACTGTCGAAGATTGGCGATTACTTAGGGATCATATTGATTTCTACATGGAATCTTCAATCTTGTAAGTTTCCACGACATTGTGTGACGCGGAGGGTGAAAAGTACGGCGCGAAATGTGTGTTTACACATCATGGCCTCAGTTTTACGCATGTGCGAGAGAAAATTATACCCACAGACATTTTCACGGGCGGGTATTTTCGTCAGTCTGAGTCGAGCAGTGGCGCACAAAGAGCGTGTGCTTTCCAAAGCCAGTGGAGAATAGTGTTCCTGTGCTCATTGAATGTCTGCCGTGATAGACGTAAAATGATTCACGTGGACGAGAGTGATCCAGTTGGAGGTGCGTTGAGAATCAAAGATCGATCTGTGTGTGATTGAGTGACCTTCACACGCGCCGACATTAAATTCCATAAATTTCCTCAACTTCCCTCACTTCATGATCTATGTTTACACGATCACTCTTGGGCTGAAGACGTTGAAGATGAATAAACCACCTGTTCTGCTCCGCTCTTTACAATATGTTCACAATAACAAACGCGCCCCACGGACAGTTTGGCGAATCTTCCTTGAGCGCCAGCAGAGAGAACAATTAATGTCGCACAGTCTATTTTCGTGTTGTGGGAAAGCCATTTCAGAGACACTTTCATTCATTATTCCGCTCACACCAAAGCAACATTATAAAGCACGATGGATTTATGTAGATTCTCTTCTTGCTTGCCAAGAAAAAAATCTACGCTCTTCTCAAATTGTCTCGTTTGCCAGTTGATTTACACACCCAGTGTTGTGATCGCAACAGGAACAAGATCACTATAGAAATAATAAACATTCCTTAGTATGCTGAGAAATTGAGGAAATTTATGCCAAATGTTGCAGAAGTGGAGCCGAGTTTTCCCCACCGGACCATTGAAATTCATAGGGATAGAGTGCCCAGTGATCTCTATGAGATCTCCTCAGAAGAGCTCGGACGGTGAGTGATCTTCTGAACTGTGGGGTTTGCCTCTTTCTCATGGTTCATCTTAATTTCAGCGGAAAATACGGCACGGTTTTCTTGTGCCGTGAACGCGCCAGCGGCCTTGAACTTGCAGCCAAATTTGTCCCATGCCCAAAGCGTGAAGATCGCCGAAATATGGAACGCGAGATCGACATCATGCGAACACTTCAGCATCCGCGACTCATTCAGATTTACGATGCCTTCGATGATGGCAAGACGATAAGCATCATGTTGGAATTGTTAGTAGAACGCGATCTTTAGCGTGAGTTGATCACTGATCACGTGTTCTATTCTAGGATCTTGGGTGGAGAATTGTTTGAACGCGTTATTGGGGATGATTTTGAGCTGACTGAGAGAGCATGCACGGTATTCATGAGGCAGATTTGCGATGGAGTAGACTTTATCCACAGCAATAGCATTATTCATTTGGATCTCAAGGTAAGATGGATTGTTGACAATCGATAGAAATGGGTGAAAAAATGATCTTTTCAGCCTGAAAATATCCTCTGTCTGACTAAGACGGGAAATCGGATAAAGATCATTGACTTCGGATTGGCCAGGCATTATGATCCTGATAAGAAGCTCCAGGTGCTCTTCGGTACTCCTGAATTCACAGCACCGGAAGTCGTTAATTTTGACCAGATAGGTTTCTACACGGACATGTGGAGTGTCGGAGTGATTTGTTATGTTCTGTACGACATCCCTCCACCCAATCTTCCCTGTTATTTTAATGACATATTCTTCCAGATTGTCCGGCTTGTCGCCATTCATGGGAGACAACGATGTGGAGACAATGACAAATGTTACACTGGGAAATTATGACTTTAACGATGTTACATTCGATGCAGTTTCGGATGAGGCAAAAGACTTCATTCAGAAACTCCTGGTGAATTCGGGAAGTGAACGTTTGACGGCCAAGGAGGCGCAGAAACATCCGTGGCTCAAGGAGTCCGCTCAGAATACCGAATTGCTGGGCACAAAGACAAAGCTGAAGCGATACGTGATTAAGAAACGATGGATAAAGGCTGTCTACACGATCATTGCTCTCCAACGAATGGGAGCCAAAATCGATTTGGATCTTCTATGAAGTTATCGTGTTCATTTTAAGTATTTATGTCACTCTTATCAAAGAATTAAAAAAAAATTAAAATTTCACATAGCTTGATAGTAGTTTCGACCAATCATTTCGTTTAGACATGTGATCGCGTTCCCAACTTTTAAGTAGTCAAAGGCAGTCATCAGATCATCCAAAGAGCTTCCATGCATCTGCAAAGTTCAGTCAATCAGTAGCTATACACTTCTACAGCACTGAAGAAATATCGATGATCACTCACCTCGATTGCATTGAAGAGCGTCTTAGTTGGATTTGATGATCTCTCACAGATAGAGATTTGCGATGATTGCTCTAGAACCATTGCCAATTGTTTCCACAAGCCATTAGCATTAAATATGTCACATATCTTCGCTAAGCAAATATCATCCAAGAGAGAAGATTTGCTCGTCGGTTCAGTTTTTATGTCCACCATTTCCTCCTTGACCTCCACCAGAGGCATATTGTGGAACTCCTGCAAAGCATAAAACTCCCTTCAGTTTATCATCTTAGCCCACAATCACTTGATATCATCTTACTTGTAGCACTGCCAAAATTTCCGGCTTGTTTTGTGCTAATTCAAACGAATTCTTCGCCCTGTCCATGTCCGCTTCATCCTCAATTGCAGCCAATTCTTCGTCTTGAGAGATCTTGAAAAAACAAACAAGCCCAACCTTAACAAGCTTGATTCATTGTCAAAATGTTTATCAGTGATATACATTTCAGTTCGATAGAAGACTCATTTTACCCGCTTATCTTAATGATTATAGAGTGATAATTGCAGAAGGAGGGAAATATTTTGATTTGCTATAATTTTACGATGACTAAGAAATTATTTGTTGACCTTTCGTTTTTGTTTTTTTTTTAATATCGACATTCTGAACCATACTGACATACTTATTGCAAAGATGTAAATTTGATGTGAAGTAGAAACACTTTGTATACTCACTTTGATGTTATGCTCATTGGTCATCATTGGGTCAGCTTTGTGTTCCAGCAACAGCTTCACGATCGCTTTGGAGTCCGCGCTTTCTGTGCAGGCGCAGGCCATTTGCAGTGGCGTGTATCCTGCGGAGTTAGTCTGATTCACATTGATGCGTGTTTTTACGAGCAGGAATCTCACGATATCCACTGCACCCTCGACAACAGCGATGTGCAGAATACTGTTTCCATGTCGATACTCTGCTATTTTCACCGAAGCGTTCGCTTCAACGAGTCTCTTCACTGCCTCAAGATCTTGGTTCTTCACGGCGAGGTGCAGAGCTGTCATGCTTTGATGGTTGCTCAGGTTTATATTCAGCTCCTTACTCTTGGACGTGTAATTAGCACGATCTAGAATCCTAGCCATGCACATGTGGCGTCTCTCGGCCACAGCCACGTGCAAAGGAGTGTTCCCATTGATATCCCTGGCATTCGGATCAGCGCCAAGGTTGATCAGCGGTCGAATGAACTCCACCTTGTCCAGATCACACGCCACATGAAGGCAGTTCTCACCTCTCTCGTTCACATTATTAAGGAAGTCATTCAAGTTGAACTTGTGGATGATCTCCAGGATGTTCTTCACTTTGCCTCCATTCTGTTTTATGGCCCAGTGCAGCAAACTAAAGTGTGAAATAATAAATTAAATTATACCTTATTTTACTTCATGCATTTTATTTAGTAAGGAAAAGGGAAAGAAAAGTGATTTCAAGTGTCTCAATTTACGCATCATTCCTAATCTAAGAAACTCACTCTTCTCCTTCTCCAGTCTTCTTGGGCTCTGTAAGGAGTTGATGAAGAATCTGCTCCATTTTGAAAGGCGCCGAAGAACCGTACATGCGAGTTAGGGATAAAATCTTCTCATAAGTTGCTTCATTATTCCGATTGACACGGGGAGGATAAGATTCTTCCTTCCATCCTCCCTGCGTTATCAAATGACCTTTTGGAGGCGTTTGCGAATCTTTGCAGAGAAGAGCTGCATTTGAAGGTCCCGCGCAGTCTAGCATACTGATATCAGTATACATAATCTTATATTCTGGAAAGAATTGCAATCGTTGTAGGTGAAATAAATATTCTCAATGTCTCTCTCTTACCGTCAGAATTTCTCTCGAAATGTTTGGCGAAGTCCGCTGAGATGGACAGCTCTTGCAGGATAGGATCATTATCAGCGTCGTTCAGCAGCTGATTAAGGGTCTCATCAATATTGTATTCCACGCTGATCCTGGGCATTTGCTCCAGCTGGTTCACAGTCATTGGGATGTCTGTGGAATTGAAGCTGTCGTTGGGTCGCGGACGTTTCCTGGGCGCCATGATATCGAGGCACGGTGTATAGGTAAAGGGGAGAGAATCACTCCTGTCGCCATCACTGGGACGCTCAAGTTGAATCTTAACATCCTTTTGAGTCCTAATATCCTTCTTGTGATATTCCGGTGTGGTCAATACGATCCCATACTGGTGATGGACATCTATTTCAGTGAAATTTCCATATGCACTCCAAATGCATTGTCCACTCTCGTCTTCTTCGAAGAATCGCACCTTGATATTCTCTGGAGAGACATAAACAGCCCATTCAAAAATACATTCACAGTGATTGCGGAGGCAATACTCACTCCGGTTAACTTTCTCCACAAAGAGGAACACCTCATCACCTCCGTTCACGCTGCTGGCGGCACTACTCATTCTTACTATCTTCAGCTCACCAGTCTGGGCGCTCTCTGCAAGGGAAAAGTCCCATTATCACACTCTTATCTGTGGAATCACACAATGACTCACTCATGTTGTTGATTGTTGCCGAAAAGACTGGCTCGCAGAGCGTCTTCAGCTGTCCCGTGTCGTCCTTCACAAAAGCCTGGAAGCACAGACAGACCTGGTTCAGGTTCATGTTCTTCTCCTCCCTGGTGGCGGTGTCCTTCAATCTCTCCTCATCACGGAACGTCAAGTCTGCTCCTCTCTCTGCCTCTTTGCAGGTCTTTAGCTTCTTAAAGAGCTCCTCCGCGATATACTTCTTTGCCGTGTGGATGATGCCCATGCCGCGAAACTCTGCATGAAATCCCGTGCTTGTGGACACGATGACATCGTGAGGATCTTCACGATCTTCGTCGCCATTGCGAACTACTAGCTTATGGGAATGAGGCATGGGCCGGTCGGAATCGGTCTGGTACAGAGAGCAGCGAATTATGGCTTCACCGCGAAATCCACAGAGCTGAAGCGATCCCAAAATTCATCAAAAACTACCTGATTTTTACATTCACTCTCGGAATCTCACCTGGACAGTCGGGTAGAGCTTCTTGGACTTGTCATTTGTGGCTGCCATGAGGGATCCATGACTACCGTGCATCTCTGACTTATACCTGAAGCGGAACTTGTCCATCGGTTGATGGACAATCTTCAGATGAGGCTTCTGGGCGTTCTGAAGTTGCAGCATTTGATTCATATCATATGATAATTGTCCAAGGCTGCTTCCCGGATTATAATACGTTGCCTCGCTGCCGTCACTTGTGGAGGAGTTGGAGAGAGGCGATGGTGAACTGGAAAAGCTGCTGCTATCTGCAAAAACCCAGAGAAATCCTTGAAAATGTCACCGAAACACAGTAAAACGCAATTCAGTGCTAACGCTACTAACCAAGAACTACTTCTCGCCTCTGGCTGTCCAGATCAAGAATGGTTGGCATTGCGAATCCTGAATGGTGTTAAGAGATGAGAATTGTGTTGATCAGTGCGAAACTAAATTCTCTTCACTGGGAAACAAGGACTACAGAAAAAGTCTTCCAACTCTGACTTTCGCAAGAGACTTTTCAATACTGACTCTAAGCTTGAATCCAGAGTGAAACTGCGGAATATACACGTACAAACCTTTATCTCGTCATTACTCACCATGCGAATTGGTGTTGATACTGCCTTTTCGCGATAAAACGCTTTTTTCACGCCTCCGAGTTTGGTTGTGTTTGTTGTGACGTTTTGGGCCGCGGTAAATCCCCGTCAATTTGTTGGAAATATGGCTTGCTAAGGTTTCATGAAACTTTGAAAGAGTGGCTGAAGTTTTCGATGAAATATTTGTGAAGAACAATTTTTGACGAAAAACGTATTTTTTGGGCCAATCCTTCTCTCAAAAGCATAGACCTCAAGATAGACCTTTTAAAAAGTCTAATAAGTCGATTAAAAATTTTGACTATTGAAAATTGGATTTAGTAAGTTGCGTAGATAGAACGAATTATATCTTGGACATTTCTGAAGTATGTGCTGTTCGTCTTAGATCCTTCCGACCCTGCATTCATAGATGCTTACAGACAATGCATTTTCTCCGTTTATTAAAATTTATACTCTTTCTTTTTATTATACAATTTTTAATACATTACTCTTCAATGTATTTTTATTTCATATGGTAATTAAGTTTCTGTATTTTTCGAGAAATCTTGGAATCATTTTTTGGTCAAAATCTAGTCAAAATCTGTTACATCTTCCTTTTCAGTTATATTGTGAAAATTTCACCACACATTTTGAAAATTTCCAGACCCATTTTCTCTGTGTTGCCATCGCTGGGCCGTTGCTCGATTTCATCGCGTTTGAATTGAAGTGCGTCGCACATGGCAAGACGCGCGGTGAAAGTTTTTCGGTGTTCGAAAAACCACCCAGTGCGCTGTGGCACCCCCAAACGCCATTATTTTCTCTGGCTGTTCCGCTAAATTCCACGACAATATTCGTGATTCACGCATTCGCAGCGCGCTCAATCACGCCAGAACCCGCGTGAAATTGTGTCCAGTGCCGTGTCGGTGGTGTGCAGTGTGGGTCTGAGTCAGTGTGAGGTGAACGAGGGCTGCGATGGGCTGCAACGTGAGCACCAGCTCCAAGGAGGCCGAGGAACGCTCCCGGAAGATTGATCGGGCTCTGCGAGCGGAGGGGGAGCGCCAGGCGTCGGAAGTGAAGCTCCTGCTTCTAGGTAGGTGCATGGGACGTCCAATGGGATGGGCGCGGCGTGGAATGCTGGGTGGCTGAAAAGTGGGGCTCCGGAAAGGCGTCTCCGGCAGGTGTGACGTGATACATTTCACTCTCCACCGGGCGCCGCTTGTCGATCCCGAGTGCTTTTCCGCCTAATGTAAATATTTGGGATCAGAAATAGAGCTAATGAAGTGGAATTTTTCCGAGCTTATCTCGCGGGGCGGCCAATTGGGCGAAAATCCCCCGAGCAGATCCACTCTGTTGCCCGATTCATTAACCTAATTGGCGTCTCTGGGTGATAAAAGAGACACAAGTGTGATTCATCATCAGGCGAGACTCCACAAATCATACTCGCGACGATGGCATTTCATTCATGTCGCCTGGAATTCATTCATAAACTCGCGATCGCAGAAGTCATTTGTGGCGTTCTCTACACCCTGGAAATGCATTGGGGGCATATTTGGGCCGTAAGAACCACACAACAGACAATCCATTGAGATGCAATATAGGCGGAGTGTGCAAGTGGGCGGGGTACCAGAGTTCTCCCTAAAACCACAATATTATGGAAAAATAATTTCTTGCATGATTTACACGGTGTTTGCTGAAAAAAGTGCCTCACATTGACGTGTATTATTGTGGAAAAGTCAATAAATAATCAGAGGAATGTTTACACATTAAATTACAGAAGAATTTTGGGCATTCCTTTACCAATAAATGCTCTTTTTCCTCCTCTATTTTTACCATCTCTACTACACTTACTTTTTTGCGTGTTTCCACTGTGATTCATTGGGAAAAACTCTCCACGACTGATGGTATCTGTGCGTTGAAGAGATTGGAAAATATTGAAGTCCTCATTTGCCATTTCGCCCACGATATTTGTCCATCAAATTGTGACATTATTGCTTACCCCATTTTGACTTTTCCTTAAAGGCGCTGGAGAGTCTGGCAAATCGACTATCGTGAAGCAGATGAAGATCATCCACGAGTTGGGCTACACACAGGAGGAGTGCGAGCAGTACCGTCCGGTGGTGTATAGCAACACAATCCAGAGTCTGATGGCCATAATTCGGGCGATGGGACAGCTGAGGATAGACTTTGCCGATCCCAGCAAGACTGACATTGCGCGGCAGTTCTTCACATACGCCTCAGCGGCCGAAGAGGGCGTCCTAACGCCAGAACTGGTGCAGTTAATGAAAAAACTGTGGAGCGACATGGGCGTGCAGGCGTGCTTCTCGCGATCGCGCGAGTATCAGCTTAATGACTCGGCGGCGTACTACTTGAACTCCTTGGATCGCATCTCGCAGCCCAATTACGTGCCCACGCAGCAGGACGTGCTGAGGACGCGCGTCAAGACCACAGGAATTGTGGAAACGCACTTCAGCTTCAAGAACTTACACTTCAAGTAAGACAATTCAGTTATGTTTATTATGCCTTTGATCGATTGCGCTTATTTTGCAAGATTTTATGACAGTATTTTATTGAACTGTGGGCACAATTTTGACCAAGATATAGACCAAAACCTTAGGAAATACTATAAACTTTGTACTATAACAATGAGATATCAATCTTTGCTTGATATTTGAGGTGATTTATTGCTCAAAATTGTGTAATTACTGTAAAGCAATCTAATCAATTATTTGTTACTGGAAAAATGTTACTTTTGAAGACCAGAATCGTGACTTTATTAATAGGTTTTGGGTACATAAACATGGCTTTTAGTATTCTAACTGCTTTTTGCTATGCAGATTAAGTGTGAATTGGTCTGAAATGCAATCTAAGTTCATTGCAAAAGAATCAATTGTTAATATTTTGTACATTGCAGGATGTTTGATGTCGGCGGTCAGAGATCAGAGAGGAAAAAGTGGATTCACTGCTTTGAGGGTGTCACAGCAATAATCTTCTGTGTAGCCTTATCAGGATATGACTTGGTCCTGGCTGAGGATGAGGAGATGAACAGGATGATTGAATCTATGAAGCTCTTCGATTCGATTTGCAATTCCAAGTGGTTCGTGGAGACATCGATAATTCTGTTTCTCAACAAGAAGGACCTCTTTGAAGAGAAGATCACGCGATCACCGCTCACAATTTGCTTCCCAGAATACACAGGTTAGTGAGGAGTTGTGGCTTGTCCTTCAGGAATGGGAGGATGTTGAATGTGAGTGATTACATATTTCAGGTGCAAACACGTACGAAGAGGCTTCGAGTTATATCCGGATGAAGTTTGAGAATCTCAACAAGAGGAAAGACCAAAAAGAAATCTACACGCACTTGACGTGTGCGACAGACACCAACAATATCCAGTTTGTCTTTGATGCCGTCACGGATGTGATTATCAAGAATAATCTTAAAGATTGTGGACTATTTTAAGAATGAAGAAATCACAGATTCACTAAAAACACACGAATAAAAATTTAAAATTAATATTTATTGACATAAAAATCGGATCACAGCACAACTTACCTACTTTGTCAGATGATTCGCCTTTTGAGGGAAGATTTTTTTTATATCTAGTATTATTTTGTCACTCTTGCTCACAAAATTCATTCGTTTCACAAAGCATTCCTGAGATTCTCTTTTCGGTGAAAGAAAGTATTGATAAAGCAAAAAGATTTTCTCCTCAAGAGTGAAGGATCGTCTGAAAGTGGATTTGTTCGAGCTTCAATTGAGAAGAAATATTTTTAAAAAGAATATAGGAGACAAAAATTTATTGAATGTGTCTTTAGATGTTGACGTTACGTGATAATGTTGTGTCTATATTGTTTTCCATGCAAATAAGAAATGAAATAACGCTAAAAGAGTTTGTACAAAAGAAACATTGAAAAATTTTCACGTTGAATTGACACACTTTTCTGAAGAAGAGATTCAGAAAACCTGTCATATGTTTAATCCAATGAGATTTTAACGACTGAATGAACGCACAAAGTTCATTTTCACCTTGATTTTCTTCCCTGAATATATATATGAAAAAAAGTGAGATTACTAAGGGCACAAAATTCATGAATTTCTTCACCATCAGGCATTGTATTTTTTAATTTATTTCTAGAACAGCTTCATCTGAGGCAGCTTCAGAGATTGAATTATGACATGATTTAAATCAATATTTTGAGCATTTTTATGAAAAAATGCGTATTTTTTATCATATTTTCACAAATATACTTTTTTTTATTTCCCAAAAAAAACATCTAAAAGAGAGAAACGAGAGATATAAGAATATATTTTCTGACATCTTTAAGTATTTTTCTCCCTATTGAAATCATCAAATAGCTGAATAAGTGCACAAAAGTACAGAGATGAAGCACAACTCTGTACAATCTTCTCATCGAACAGCATTAAACTCTCTGCATTTCTTTTTTCTACTCAAAAGGCATTTCTTTGTATAATATTTTTAATGTATAACCGAAAATTTTTTATAAGATGTTTTCAGATGAGAATATTTTTTAAAGAATTGAGAACAGTAATTTTTGATGGATGACGAGATAAAGAAGTAGAAATTTATATTAATATTGAAATGAGATAATAATTAAATTGTATATTTAAGCAGAAATTTCATTGTGTCTTCAATTGTTCTCTGCGGAATCCGGGATGGATTTCTTCTCGCGGATGCGTTGAGTCACCGTTCGGGCAATGAGGATGATCTCTTCAAAGATGCGACGCAGCAGGAAGAAGCAGTGCTGGCAGGCGATGATGCTGTGATTCACTGCGTTCTTCATTTCCTGAGAACGAGCCACAATCAGAGCGCGATCGCAGGTGATGAAGAAGGTGGTCTTTGAGATGTCCAGGAAGAGTTTGGCCTTGTCCAGAGCAAACTTCACAAAGTTTTCCGAGTCTTCTGTCCGTTTGGCGAACTTGTTAGTCACATTTCTCGTTTGTTCGACGATATTTTCACCAAAAGCCCTCATTCTGGAATGCACAAAGTCTCCAGGTTCGCTCTTCAACTGCAATTTGGTGGCCATTAGACGATAATTTGGAAGCGTCACTAGGATTGATGATCGTCTGCTGAATAAGCGATTCATTTTTTCTGGATGCGAACAACTCTCGGAGTGATTCCTTAGTTTTCTCTCCAAATTTCATTTTAAACATTCACATTCGCTGGATTCCTTGAGAAATAATTGCTAGTGCCATTTTCTAAGGCTGTCCTTTATATTCAAAATCAACGAATATGTGAATTTTGCTCACACATTAATCACAATATCGACGGACGCTCTCTTGTGACCTTTGATCTCAATTCCGAAGCAATGATCTCTTTCAGCATAAACACGAGAGATAAGGTCGCATCGAGTCTGTCGCATTGTCAGTTAATCAAAGTCAATCATGGTGAAAATACGTGGATTGTTGGTCTTTTGTGCGACTCTTGGTGTTTTGGAGGCCAGAAGATCCTTCTGGCGAGGAAAGAGTTTCCATGAATTCTATGGGGATCCCATAAATCGTCCCTGGAGACAACCTTTGCCTCCTGAAGAGTGGTTTGAACAGCAATTGGACCCTTTTGATTCAACCAACAATGAAACTTGGAAGCAAGTCAGTATCTTTTGCTCTCTATTCATGTTTATTGTTTATATTGACGGTCCCGTTTCTTGTCTTTTAGCGATACTTCTCCAATAAGGACTACTTTCGACCTGAGGATGGGCCAGTATTTCTCATGATCGGCGGAGAAGGAACAGCCTCGCCAAGATGGATGGTTGAAGGCGCCTGGATCCACTATGCTAAGGAATTCGGGGCTCTCTGCTTCCAGCTGGAGCACCGTTTCTACGGGAAGAGTCATCCAACACCTGGTGTGACTACAGATGACCTGATGTATCTCTCTTCTGAAGTGGCTCTGGCAGATCTGAGTTACTTCATCGTGGAGATGAATAAGAAATACAATCTGAATCCTGCTAATCGCTGGATTGCTTTTGGAGGATCCTATCCGGGTTCTCTGGCTGCTTGGCTGAGAGAGAAGTATCCCCATCTCGTGCACGGTGCTGTGAGCTCTAGTGGTCCTCTCCTGGCCAAAGTGGACTTCCGGGAGTACTATAATACTGTGACTGAAGCCATTGCGGAGTGCAGAAATAGTGTCAAGGATTCCATCAAGCAAGTTGAACTGCAGTTACGAACAGAACTAGGAAGACATGCTCTCAAGGATCAGTTTCACCTCTGTGATCCTTTGGACACGTCCAATGAACTCGATGTAGCCAATCTATTTGAGAATCTGGCCAGTATCTTCGCTGGAGTTGTTCAGTACAACAAAACTCCTCGATCCAAGCATAATGTTGATGAATTCTGTGGGATTATGAATGACCAGTCAAAAGGGCCACCTGTTAATCGCCTTGCAATGTTAAATAAGATCATTCTCGAGGATGAGAGTAGTCCTTGCTTGGATTTCAAGTATGACAAAATGATCAGTGATCTCCAGGCGACGTCTTGGTTAGCTGCAGAAGTTGTGAACGGAACTCGCCAGTGGATTTTCCAAACTTGCATGGAATTTGGCTTCTATCAGACTTCAGATAGCCCATCTCTGGTGTTTGGAGATCGCTTCCCCGTAGACTTCTTCACTCGCCAGTGCACAGACATTTATGGGGATCGCTTTACGAAAACCTCAATTGAGAAATCCGCGCACAACATCAATATCCAGTACGGCGCACTGGACACAAAGGCCACCAATGTGATCTATGTGCATGGAACTGTGGATCCTTGGCACACTCTCGGGCTCACGGAATCGAACGACGTCGGTGTGAAGACAATATTGATTCAAGGAACGGCGCACTGTGCGAATATGTACGAACCTCGGGATGAAGATCTGCCCCAACTTAAGCAGGCGAGGCTGAAAATAAAGAACTTCATTGCTGAGCTCTTGAGGAACTGATGGGGGAGCTTCCATGGTAACTGAAAGGACGCTTTGAGTTACCCAAGTTACCAATAAATAAAGCGTTACAATAAAAGTGGTTTTTACTTTATGGTCTTTCTGGTCAAGATTGAAGATGGATTCGGACGAAAAAACACTGCAAAAGTTGGAACCAGTGGCTATTTTTGGCTTTGATGGTGAGATTTTCCTCAATAAAACTCAAGAAAACACATTAATATGTCTGTTTTGCAGGTAAAATGCCAGGAGGACTAAAAGTTCATCCAGGTGGGAAACATACTATCTTCGCTATTGGCAATAAGATTTCTGTGACTAATATGCAGACGAATCGTCAGGAATTTCTCTCAGGCCACACGAATAGCATTTCAGCGTTTGATGTGGCGCCGTCTGGTCAGCTTTTGGCCTCTGGACAGGTCAGTCACATGGGCTTTCGTTCCTATGTGATCCTGTGGGATTGGATGGGACGGAAGGAGCGAGCTCGACACGATTTGCACCGCGTTCGTGTAGAGAGTGTAAGATTCACGGGCAGTGAGCGTTTCTTGGTGTCGCTCGGAGGCGCGGACTGTGGAATGATCATCGTCTGGGACGTGGAAAAAGGCACGGCGATTTGTGGCGCGTCGGCTTCCAGAGAAACAACAGGAGCAGCGCTGAGACTTGAGACTTTGAGACTGAGAGGAGATGCCTTTGTGTCGATTGGTCAAAGAACATTGAGGCTCTGGACAATAGATTCTGAGGCTAGGCGATTGAAAGCTTTTGATGTGGCGGTCGGAAAGCTGAGGAGAGATTACACAGCCGCCAGAGTGGATGAGCATGATGAGATGCTTCTGGTTGGAACTATGAGTGGAGATGTTGTTAAAGTGAAGCTCAATCTTCCCGATGATTTGGAGAAGGGAGCATCTCCGACCCTTCTGGGCTGCTATGCTCGCCACAATCCACGGAAGTCGTCAGGCCAAGACTGCAGTCGCTACAGCAATGGTGTTCGTGAGTTGTGGCTGCTGGAGAAAGGCAAAATCCTCATTGGCGCTGGTGATGGCACAGTAGATCTTGTGGAGGAGAGAAATGTCTCTTTCAAGAACTACCACAATCCCACCTGGCCTCAGTACAAGTCCCTTAAGAGGACGAAAGTGAACGGACCCGTTTCCTCCTTTCAGCTTCTGGACAGTGGCACAGTCTTGATAGGCACAGAGGCCTGCGAAATCTACTCTCTAGCTTTAGGGAGCTTCGAAATCAAACTTCTGAAGACATGCCACACTGGACCAGTGTATGACATCGCCTTTCCTCACAACTTTTCGGGAGTCTTCGCCACTGCCAGTTTTGAATCCCTGCGGGTGTGGTCAGTGAAAAGAATGCAAGAACTGCTGAGAATCGTTGTACCCAATTTCACTGCTTCAGGCGTGGTGTTTTCGCGAGATGGAAAGAGTCTTCTGTCTGCCTGGAATGACGGAGCTTTAAGAGCTTTCACACCCTTAACAGGAAGGCTTGCATTTGCCATCCCCAATGCCCACAACAAAGGCTGCAGCGCTCTTGCGACCGCCGCTTCGGGAGGATTGGTAGTCAGTGGTGGATTAGAAGGCCAAGTGAGAGTATGGAGTGTTGCTCGCACTCCAACTCTCCTGGGCGTCCTTAAGGAACACACAGCAGCCGTGGCGAGTGTGGACTTCAACAGATTTGACACGGAAGTTGTCTCAGCCTCACGCGATGGCAGCTGCGTCATTTGGGATATCATTAACTTCTCCCGAAAGCACGTTCTACTGGCCAATACGCAGTTCTCCTGTGCTCGCTATCTTCCCAGCGGCATTCAAATCCTTGCCACAGGCAGTGATCGTCGCATCACATACTGGGAAGTCTTCGATGCCAGTCTCGTCCGGGATGTTGAGGGTTCGCTGAGAGGTTCTATCAACAGTCTCTCCTTTGCCGGCGACGGGGACTTCTTCGCCTCCGCCGGAAGCGATCAACTGGTGCGCTTCTGGGACTACAACCTTGGCACTCCTGTTGGCCTCGGGCGAGGTCATGCAGCCGAGATTCTAGTGGTGAAGTGCAGTCCTTGCGGAGGCTTTATCGTATCTGGAAGTGCTGATGGTGCGGTCTTCGTTTGGAGTGTTCCTGAAGCGATGAGAAGCGTCGGCAGTCCAGTTGAAGAGTCATCAGAAGCTTCTAGAGTAAAGTCTCGCGGTCCTCCGAGGGAGAACGTCAGTCAATTGAATGGTAAAACGTCAGGCAAGAAGCTACAAATCTCAGAATGCCCTCCAATTGAGAGCAGGGGTGGATCAGGAAGTTCAAAAAGCAGCAAAACTGGGAAGAGTGCAAAGAAATCAACCTAAGATTTTCATAGATTCCTTTTATTATAAATCTACACATAATTTTTCTCATCAAAATTGTCACCTGACTTGATAAAAAGCCTTCAAATCAGTTACACTTGATATCATTTACTTAATTAAGATCTTTTCTGCTTTTGAAATGATTTCTGCTCGTCTCTGAAAGATCGACACGACACAGTTTTGGGATAGTGAACTCAGGAAAAGAGGAAATATTTACAGAAAGAAACAGTAGAAATATTTTTCTTATCCTCGAAATGTGTTTAAAAACTACTTTGACGAACATTTATCTCACATCATTCAGCATCTCTAATAATGAATTCAATAATAACTACTCAACTCTCATTTTTTTCTCTCTTTTCACGTGGCCAACACATAACCGTGAAAATGCTCTTAATCGCTTGTAAACTCTATGCCTTTATATTCAAAAAAGAAGGGTTGATTTCATTGCGTCTCTTCGTGTGTGAAAAGTCATTCACATTCACATCATGTCTACAAATTGTCTCATCATTTTCTCTACTCTGGCTTATCTGTTAAAGAGAAAAGAAAGGAAAGAAAGAATGGAGAGAAGATTAATAAATTAAAAGCACAAAAACAACGGAATAAACACTGCTTCATCAGCTGGCGTGATCGCGGAGCCAACAAGATTCGCTCTCGACCATCCTCTCTCTATTGGTGCTCCGCTGTGGGCACCGTCTTAGTGCTATCATTCAAATTACCCTTGAGCGCTGACGCATAGCTCGGTCCCGGCGGCAGCGTTGCCGGCGGCACGACCATTGGGACGCCCTCGGTCACTGCACAAGATAAAAAGCGACCAGAATCAAAAAATCGCTTCACCTTTACAAAGGCTATTGCCTTACCGAAAGGCTTCGGTGGTGGCGTGTTCTCGATGTTCCTCAAGTCATGCTTCTTCACCAGTTGGCATTCGCCACCCTCAACGCTCGAAATTGAGTACACATATACATAGCCATCCGACGAGGCCACTAGAAGTCTGTAACATCGAACAAGCAGGGTCAGAATTGCCACCACCACATCAACACACTCATTCTCACTGAGATTTAGTTACCTGAGTTGCTTCTGGATCGTCGTAATGACACACGAATGCTTCAGTCCGGCCACTGGCAGCATGGCAGACGCGAAGGCTCTGCCCTGAGTGAAGACATCCGTGACGTGGGACGGCAGAGCCATATTGGTGAAATTGGTCACGGCCTTGCTGATATAGCCCATCCAGTCGTCCGCCTGCACGGCGTCCTTGGCATCCGGACTGGGACGCTCCAGCTTGAAGATGTGCACCGTCTCGGTGTTGGAGCTGCAGCACAGGTAGTTGGAGCAGGTGCTGAACGATAGAGAGGCTATCGAGACGCACCTCTTCACGCCTCGTCTGAACTCGTACAGCTTCGAGCCATCGTTGACCTGGAAGAGACGCCACGAGAATCTCATGAGACAGAAATTCCACAGGTGAATTGTGTCTCAACCCACCGAAAACACGCGGATCACAGTGCCTTTCTCGCTGGCTGTCGCCACCTCCAGACCGGAGATGCTGAATGCAATAGCCGCCAGTGGTGAATCGTGGGCCGGAATCATGATCTTGGCGCGCAGATTCACAGCGTCGAAGATCTGCACTTCGCCCACAGTGGCGCTGCCCGGGTACGCCAAGTAGCAGTTATCTGAACTGGGCGCCAAGGCGCACAATCCGTTGGGATTTGGCGGTGTGTCGCGAATGGTGTGCACCACTTTCATGTCGCGAATATTGTGGATGTACAGACTGCCCACCAGACACACCACCAGACGAGCCCTGTTCAGCTTAATGGCCAGCACCGTATTTGAGTACGAGTAGTTGCAGATCTCTGTGCCCTTCTTGAAGTGGCACACCTGGAAAGACAGTGATTATATGAAATTCATTGGGTAACAAATGGAAATTCGATGGTTTCCGTGAGATAAGCTTTTCTGCATAAAATAGTGTGATTTCATTAGCTATATTGATGGCAAAGTCTACAAATCTGGCAGCTATTTGGAGACTTGCACTCGGAATGATAATCTGTGTTGTGAAATTGCGCCACAAAGAAGACTCTCGCGTGAGAAAAACATTCCGCGATAACTGCTATCACTGGGCCATCATCGCAGTGCATTTTCTGTGCGATAAGGAGGAGGTAAACAAACTCTGGGAGCGGAAAGACAACTCCTGGACCCACCTTCAGCTTCCGGGGATGGTCGAGGGCCACGATGGCCACCAGGGAGCTGCTGAATAGACGCTCCACGAGGCGAATATCCTCGCTGTTGCTCCTGTAGATCTCCTCCAACATCGTGTCGATGGAAGACAGTGAGAACAGACTGTAGCCATTCTTGTACCCGGCGAAGAGTGACCTGCACAGTGATTAATTCAGGTAGGTTTTAGGCCACGAGTTTCTGCTCAGTGGCGTGTTTCTCTCTCTCTGGACAGAAAGAGAGGCAACACACATGTCCAAGGTTGTGTAGTTGTTTACAGTGGTGTTGAATTTCTTTGTTGTCCAGCGACAGAGAGAGACTGGGCCACTGGAGCGCCCCTTGGGGACAACTTACGAGCAATCCTGGTTGAAGTTGACAATGAATGCCTCCTCCTCCTTTTCCTTCCTTCCCAGCAAGTCCATTATACGCCCGAGAATCGCGCCCCTGACCAGAGTCTCCGTCTCCACGGACTGGGAATGCGAGTGCGACAGAGAGAGCAAGTGGTGGTAGGTGACAGTGGCCCTGCTGACAATATCATACGACTGCACAGAGCACCTTTCTCTACCCTCGCCAGGTCACAGAAACGCTTGTTTTCCCACACACAACAGCAAGACAGCTGACTTTTGTTTATGGCGACGCAGTTGACAAAAGAGACACACAGAAAAATACACTTTTCACTACTTTATCAAGATTTTCGCGGTCTAAGCACACTTGCAGCCTTTAGTTCAGTCTCTGGGGGCACGCACGGACAACACTTAGGGCGGAGGGGTGCGCTTAAAATGCCTGAAAAAAGTATTTTTACGATCGCACAAGGCTGCCACCGAGTTTTTGTTCGCTCACCGCTGTCAAAACTACAATAACGCCTGCTAGAAAAGCAGTCGATGAGATTTTGGCGCTGAAAGGAAATCGATGAGTGCCCGCATGGCTTTGCGTCTTTAGATTTTATTCATGATAAATCACTTCCAGTGTGATTAATGTATAAGATAATTACTCTAATTGGAGAAAAACGCCTCAAACTGACCTTTCCTTGGACAGGAGTTCACTAGATACTATCTGGCAGTCATGGAGGTTGGCGAAAAGAACATCTTTATAAAGTACAAAACTCGACTGGAGAAGAATCTCTTATCCTCAGTGAGTCTCTTACTCCTGATTTGTCAAATTTTCTGTGCTGCGCCTGTGAATATTGACTTCTACACTAAAAGGGTGGCTCAAGTGAAGAGTTTTGCACAATTTGGAGGATTTTACGGATTCCTGAAATTCTTCATCCATTCAATCTGGAGCTTCACTGTATTGGGATGTATTATAACTTCAACATATTACCAGAATATGGAGTTTGATCACGACATGGAAGTTATTCAGAAAGCGCTTTATATGGGAGAGTATGTATTTGGGACAATCAATGTTATCATCATAATTCTAGGATGTCAGTGGCAGAGATCTCAGTACGGATACCATTTAAAATGTATTGTCGATCTAACAATGAGACTGCAGCGCTTTGGATTTACGCCCAGATTTGAAGAGACAAAAATCTTCTTCCGACGTTGGCTTCTCATCTTTGGCGTGTTCTTCCTCATTGTGGGCTTCATTGATCTCCTGTATAACCAACTCGTGGCTAAGAGTTTTTTCCGCAGCTCGACAGTCTACACAATTCCCAACGTGATCAGTTGCATGGCGATCTTGCAATTGGTGGGAATTCTCTTCATACACCGCTCTATGCTAAGACACATCAATGATCACCTCATGGATCTCGATGGTATTTCACCAGTCACTCCGTCTAGTGTAATCTTCGTCCAAGAAGCCATCGAGACGATTGAATCTCTGCGAAAAGTTCATCGAGATCTTGCAAGAACGGCCGAAATGGCGATAAGAAACTTTAGCATTCTGATTCTCACCACGCTAACGGCGTGTTTCCTCATCCTCAGCATTCAGCTTTTCGCTCTGTATCAGATGTTTGAAAACTACGCTAGAACCAATTTCTTCCTGCTAACTTACACCGTCCTATGGATTTTTCTGCATGGCGGGAAGATAGTCATGATCGTGTACTTCAGTTGCAGCTTCACGAGGGAAAAGCATAGAACTGGACAGGTGCTTTATCACATGGAGATTCGCCGGCAGTTTCAGTCTGATTCCCTACAGAACACCGTCAGCAAGTTCTCAATGCAAATCATCCACGAGCCAAAGAATTTATCAGCCTGCGGGATCATCGATCTGGACCTAAGTCTTCTCAATACGGTGAAAAATTACAGTTTACTGCGATGAAATCTGTCTGTTGCTAAAAATGGCATTTTTTCACAGATTGTTGGCTCCTTGACGACTTACTTAGTGATCCTGATTCAGTTCGATGTATCCGCTCGCCAAATGAAGAACTGCAACGTTGCTGAGAAGAATGAAAAGGTCTCAAGTTGAATTGAGAATAGAATCTTCATTTATTACACATCCTCGAGGGTGTCTTTCTCATTTACATTTGTTCAAATTCCAGTGTGCATCTTTCATCATTTAATTTATATTCAATATATATGTATGTAGTTTTGAAAGTTGTCTTAAAGGGTCGTATTTATGGCATTGTTGAGTATTTCTCTGGGTAAGAGTGTTGTGAACACTCTTTCTGTAATTACTACTTAATATTAATCACTTCTTTAAACATAGACAGAGAAACATTAATTGTGACACAGAAAATGTATATTGATGAGAAACACTTAGTAATGGAACACAGGGATTAGAATTGAATATTTTATGGTTAATATTGCATACACATATGTATATTTCTGCATTGTTAATTTAACATTATATCTTGTTAATTGTGTGTCTCTTGTGGTAATATTTTGTGTTGTCTTTGCTCTTTTTTGATTTGCTTTGTGGCTTTAGACATTTGTTTACCCGACTTTTCCGAACACAGAATATTTTGTTCACCACGCATTCTTTGCTCCTCAACAACACCGATATAAGTGGACGAGAAATTTTCTTAGGAGTGCCAGGAAAAGAGTGAAAATCTGTGAAGATATTGCTTCCAAAAATTTCTCCTCCGACCAACCATTATCCACTCGAGCGAGCGTCTTTTGGCACTGAAACGTCGCCTATCGGCCGTTTCACTTTGGATATGCGTGCGACGCACTCAAAAACCGAAATGGTTTTGGGAAAAAACGAAAAGGCACGGTTTTATCTCTTTTTCAATAAACATTCGTGATAAATCTTATATAATCGGGCCTCTCGGAACCGGAGAGGGTTTGCAAATTGAACAATTTCTCAGGGCAACAGTACGACATCAAAGTCCCCAGTCATCTTGAGGGGGTCAAAAATTCTCTGGCAAAAATGACAGAGAAGAAATCCTTAAAATCTAGTGTTACGCTTTTATCATTTGATATTCCATTTTTGTCATCTACGATTAAAATTCGTGTGGACTTTTCTACTCACTTTCGGGAGGAAAAATTCAAGACGAGAGAAACGTTTAGACATGCAAATTTTTGTGATTAAAATGGACCCAGTAACATATTTTATCGATTCTTCAGTTAAACAGCTAAAACTCGGAACTGTGTGGAAAAACTTGCTGAAGACCTGGGAAAATTGCCAAGTGACGACAGAAAGGAAAACTTGCTTTTTGGTCCCTTTCAATATCCAAAACAAAGGGGGTTCAAGCCACAGAAGTTTATCCACACGAGGGTGCAATTCGGGAAAAAATGGGCAGTTTGTCATTTGATTTAATTCACTTTGATTTTCTTGCAGAATAAATATTAGTAAATTTCTGTGCAGACGTGTTAAAATAAAAGAAACAATACTTTTTTTCTCTTCCAATAAAATATATCTTAATCACACGTAAAAAAGACACCATTTGTCAACAACATACCAAATAATCAGTTCATAACGGGTATTTTAAAGAAACTTCAGTAAAGCAACTATAGTTGGTAAATATAAAAATCATTTTTACAAAAGAAAAAGGATATAAAAAATCTTAAATAGTAAACTTATAACTTAATTACTTTCGGGATATAAAATTCTTCTTTTAATTTTTCTACTGCTATAGCTTGACCTTGATCTGAATCTTGATATCCTTCAACGATTTAATGATAATAATCTTGTAATTCTTAAAACCGGGACGATTCTTAAACATTAACACTCAACTTCTAATGATACTTATTCTCTTGTACACTTAAAAGATTAAAATGTCTCACATTCAAATTTTAAAATGATTTGATTAAAGATCTAAGAACTTCACCTACAAAATACTAGTTCTACATCAAAACATCTCACTTGCAATTGAGATTAACGCGTTGCCGAGATGGACAAATTCGTGGAATCATCAATGAGCGATGCAGGATGACAATGAAATGAGCGTTGATGAATCTGTGGTCCAGTGGAGTGATTGTAAGGAATTTTGTATCTACAGCACGTGAAGATTCTCGCAGCTCTTGGACTTGGAGTCTCTCGCCCACACGCGACCCAGAAGACCCTTCACCTTCAGACTAGTGGACGTCCTGGAGCCTCGGTACTTCCTGGGAGAGCTGTGTGCGCTGCCCGGAGGCGTCTGGTAGTCATGGCCAGTTGTGGTGGGTCCCAGCGAGACAGGAGTTCCCGGATTTGTGCCCCCACTGCCAGTCAGACAGGCTGTGGCCGCAACACCGAGTGGTGAACAGGCTCTTCTCTTGGACTTCCTCGTCGAACGCTTTCTGAACAGATCCCTAGAAGTGAATCATCCGAATTAGGAAAAGCCCCTTCAATCGTCTCCCTTGAAACTCACCTCGATTTTTCGGGATTCTCCAACTTGAGACGAATCTGCGATAGAAGTCCCACCAGCAGTTCATCCACATTGTGATTGATTCCCACGGAAGTCTCGATGAATTTGCAGTCATAGGCTGTTGCCATGGCTTTTCCCTCTGCAAGAGAATTGAGACAAATTATAAGCGACCCACACAAATTCTATCTAATGGTCGTTCTCAAGTGTCCCTTCGACGAGGCGGAAGAATAAATGATACTCCCGCTCTTCGAAGAAATAAGATACATATGCAAATTTCTGTATTTTTAAAAATACCCACAAGATAATCGTGATATGCGTATACAAAAGAAGTAGAAAAATTAGGAAAGTTTCACGAAAATTTCAAATCATCAAGACTTTTTTCATTATTATTTCTTCTATTATAAATTGGAATCACAATTTCCCTCAGTACAACCAATTTGAAGAATATTCTTAAAGCTAAATAGATGAAATAGATCAAAGGCACCCCTTAAGTTATTCTGTGAAATGCCTATTGTCTGGGTTTTGTCCAAATTGCGCTCTTGGTGGCCACTTACAACATCGAGAGCCCTGCTGAGAGGCAACTCTCCTGAAGACTTTGGCTTTTCTCGGGTAAATCCTTTGAGCGGCGAAGAGGTCGCCTATGAATACATTGTCCCTCAACAAGTGCGCGTCCCAAAGTAATATTTCATCTCATTCTCGTTTAATTAAAACTTCTCCCTCATAATGCATGAGCCCAGAAGCTTCACGGAAAATGGTTGGAAACGATACATAATATTATCACAGGTGGTTTCGCTAATTAGCATAAGTTTCGCTCACCTTCAGATGAGACGACTCGACTTCTAGCCAAATCCGCCTTGTTTGCCACGAGAATCACTGCTTTTTGTGCGATGTTTTCAGACGTCCACAATCCTTGGAGGACTCTTTCGGCCACCATAAAGCTACAACGATCCGCCGATGAATAGATGACACAGTATCCATGGGGATCATACGAAGACAGGCAACTTTCCGGCTGAAATTTTGGTTGAAGGACGTTAATTGGAGGAAAATCGTCACATCGAAGTGATTCACTTACCGACATGTCTGTCGAAGCGTGGTCGATGAAGATCAATTCGGATTCCTCACCACTGAGCAGAACAGAGACAGACTTCTCGCCAGATTCGTCATCTGAAGGATATCAAGTGGAGTCATCAATGTATTTTGTCCATTTTCTCCTCACTTTCATATCAACATGATAACACAATAAAAAATGGTGATTGACAGTGGAATCAAAAGCTGTGCATTTTGAAAAAAAGCTCCAAATCAAATTTGCATATCATTTCACTCTTGACCCACTTATGGCTTCGAAAAGCTCCTGCAAATGAAATTCTAAAGAGCCAATTGTGTCCCATGTGTTTCAAGAGTGAACGAGGATATAAATCCACCCTGAGAATTTCAAGCACTAAAAGTGCCCCCGTAAGCACTACGCACTTCAATGCTTTACCGTGAAATTTCCCATAATTGTGGGCAAACAAGGCAATTATTATTTCCCAACAAAATATAGCACAATTACAGCTTTTGATTTCCACCTGGAATTTGCGCAAATATCATGTGGATTGCAAAATGTGTTTTTCTGGTGCTTCAAGTGTGTTACTAATAAAAACAAATGGAAATGATGTGGAAGAATTATAATGGAAAAATGCCTACAAGACAGTCAAAACTACGTGTTTGTTTATTACCATCATCTGGAACTCTTTCGATTTTAATTCTAACTCGACTTCTCCCTTTTTTGGAGTTTGTGTGTGTCAGTTTTTCGGGTTTACAGATTTTTAGATTACACAGAGTCAGAGAGACAGTTTTTTGTGTGGTTTTGTGTGTTATGTGTTTTGTGCGAACCGAAGAGAGAAGAGAAGAGAACTCAAGTTTAGTCAGAAGCTCAAGCGGAAAACACTGATCTTATGATTTGTACAATATTTCGGCCTGCCGGCCACTTACCTATGCTTGTGTCGTAGGCGTGCAGGTACTCCGAAGTCATGAACTGCGACACGAGCGAACTCTTGCCCACCGCTGTCGCGCCCAGCATCAGCACTCTGTAAGGGCCGCTGCCTGGGTTCGAAGTGCTGCTCTCGCGGCTCGACGCCAAGCTAGCCGTGGCGGAGGTTTTGGCCGAACCGCCCGCAACTGTGCTCGTCACAACTGCCGCGTTAGCAGTTAAGTGTTCAGTACTGAGAAGAGAATATTTGGAGCTCGTGAATTTTGATACATCACGATTGAACCGATCTCAAAATATTTAACTCTTGAAAGGAAACTGAATTTTTCAATGCTTCGAATATGCAAAAACGTCTTATGCAGAAGAAATTTTAAACCTTTCTTCACATTATTTTTTGAGGCATTTTCAATTCTTCATCGTCAATTTATTGCTTAAAAAATAAAATTTTAGTGTATTGACTTTTCAATATTGCTAATACGATAATCAAGATGATAACTTGTTAAGATAATCTAGCCATTACACTTCGCGAGACGCCCCATGAAGAGTTCTTCCAGGGCAGAACACCGTTCTAGCTATGTAATATCAATTAAGCCCACCCTCGACGCGCTTTGTGTCGCCGCGACGAGAGGAAAATAATTGCACAGTGTCGCAAGAATAAAAATCCGATGAAATCAATGTCATAAGCTAATTCAAATTAACGTCCTCACCTTGAGTTTGAGGAAGCCACGCTGTTGTTGGATCGACTTCGGCGACTCTTCAGCGAATCGCCGCGATTCACCACGCCTTTTCCTGTGATGGAGAAATGCCTTAGTCTGTAATACTCCTCCTCGACTCCAGTGTTGGGCATGGAGGCAACTCGGGAGCGCTGCTGAGGGAGACTCAGCTGATTGGGGCGTCCGGAAGCCCTGCTGCCCGGCGTCTTCACTGATTGCGACCTGCTGTGATGGGGCGAACCGTATCTACAACAGACAGAAAGACATCTTCTTAGCCCTTTTTGCTGCAGAATGTCCTGGAGAATTGCCTCGTAAAAGGTTCCTCCTGCCATAAAAGCCCCAATAGTCACTCTCATGTACTTCTGGCCGTGAGTTTTATTGCCACCAGCAGGCGATTAAGTGCGTCGTGAAATCAAGTGAAATCTCAAGTTCGCCCACTGAACATGAATTCCCAGCCCCCAGGGTTAAGGTGGGGGGCGCTTTCGCGCCGACACTTCACGATTTATGTCCAATTTTTATTCAACGAATTATTCTGTGTTCGTAAAAAAATAGTCTCACAAGTTTAAATGGCGCCTTGTTGTGCGCTTAAAGGGCAATTGAATCGATTTTACGGGGAGCAAAGGCTCCTTAAGTGCTTGATAAAAAGCTTTCAGTGTTAAATATGATTAGACCAATGCAGCACAGATAGTGATGTGACATACTGACTTTAACATTCTTTCGCACGTACAAGTCTTTTCTGCTTGAACACCACCTCAAGGGAAAATTATCATGCAAATTTATTTTCACGTGGAATTTCTACTTCACATGCAGAGAAAGAGAGAGAGAGTCATTAAAGTCACATTTGGCGAGGAGATTCAGTAGAAAATGACAATGTAACTCTTGCTCGAAACATAATTGAAAATCAATGTTTTCAATTAATTGCCCGCCCCAGATGGAATCCATTAATTGTGTCCAGTGAGAAGCCCCTATTCTGTGAGCTTTCCCTGTTTCCTCCCCTTCTCGGCTCATAAACCTGAAAGCTTTTCGCTTGTTAGTGGTTTGATGTACATCAGGCCGGAAAAAATCGGGTCACGTGCAAGAGATGATGGTTGGAAATAGGAGAAATTTCTCATGCAAATCACAACCTCCAACCTCCCGTTCGAATTGTTTTTCATGCCAAGGAGAGGAGATGATATTTATGTTGTAAAACCCCCGCCCACCGAAGTCATTTAGGAGGGACTGTGTGTCCAAAGTCGCCGGGCAAAAAAGAAGGTCTCGTTTTGTCGTCTATGAATTTTGTATGAATATCTTTTATGGGATTTTTATGTATGAAAATTAATGACTGAAAAACGTACACCATCAAGCTGAGCGCCTTTGCCTTGCAAGGTTGGAATTTTTGGTGGGAAAAGTTTGCCAAAATTTGTTTACACGAGAAATCAAACAATTGAGCACGCCTTTCGAATTGAATTTCTCGCCACCGGAAGCGCCTTTGCCGTAGCAAAATTAGCCACACGATGGATATTCTTAGGTGAGTTTATTGTTGGCCAAAGCAGAATTTTTTCTCCCCATAAATTCCCAACACTTCCAAACTAAACAATTCACCAAATGGCTATTGCCAAAACACAAACGTGTAAATACATAATTCCCATGAGATCCCAGCGGCTTCAGCAAGTAGAACACCAGAGAAGCATGACAATTGGGATCAAGATCAAGATCGGACAACTATTAAGCGCCCACTTTGAAGCTCATCGAAGAAATTGGATCATCTTCTTGATCGATTCGTGGGATTTGTGCGCCGTTTCATCCCAACGAGAATAGAAAAATATGCCATGACATCCTCTCATCACTTCGCCATATTAAATTTCACCGTCGACAGTGAGTCTGATGCGATTTTCCACGATATTCCTTCTCATTTATCAACACACGATGAGTCTGTGTGTGTTTTCTTGCGTCAAATCAAATAACTTTTATCATTTTGCCGCGTGGAGTGAGAAAAATTATTGCTCCACATTTTCATGATGTCTCATAAGATGCGCGCGAACAAGTCCAAGGAAGACAAATACACATAGCACAAAATAAAAACACACTTCCACGAAAACACCATTAATAAAGTTTCCTCATGTCTGCACGCAACTAAATATTATTAATAACGTGTCAAAAATCGACTTTTCCCTGTGATTTTTCACGCGCCGTCATGGAAAAACTCTTTGGCAAACGTTCAAAAGCAACAGAATAGAGACACTTTTGATAGAACGTAGTGCGACAAGAGTTTAATGTTTAATTTGATCACTACGTCCAAAGCAATATTTCATAAAATTTCCCAAAGAAAGTTTAAGTTTGACAGAGAAGTTTGAATCGAAATTGCAATCTGCGTTTGAAGAAATGTGAAGCTGTTTTGAGCGGGATTTAAAGAGAGAAATTCAAAATTTATACCAAAAGGTTTCAGATTTGAACAGATAAACTTTATTTTTAAATAATTGTCAGAAAGTCAGCCTGAAATTTTATGGTAAAAACTATTTACTAAACCGTAATTGGAATTTCTGTTGCAATTTTCATTAGCATAATCAGAACAGAGTTGAAAGCAACTGTTCAATTTCCACAATAATCAATAAATTGATGAAAACGTTATTGTGCCCCGCAATTAATTGAAGTGAAATGGAATTCAATCAAAATCTAATTATTCATTCCAATCATTTCAAATGGATTTCCACACTTTAATGTGCGCTTCTTTGTGCGCGACTTCAAAAGTTTGGGACAGGAAAAATGCTTGAATTTACAAGTTCGACCTCAATCTGTGCTGAATTATCTCTTTCCCATGTGGCAGAATGCATCAATGGCTTGATTGACGCCCGGCACGCGAACACCCCATTTTCTGGCTTACCTCATTTCAAAGTCCCTAATCTCCTCGGACGTGAGCGTGTTGGTGACATCCAGCAATTGCCTCATGTTCTCCTCGCGCTGTTGCTTCTTCTTCTGTCGCGATTCCTTGCCCTGCTCCACACTAACAAAGTCCGTCTCGTGCTTCAGGAGGAACGTCTCCACTGTGTTGTCCAAGCTCAGCGACGCCTAGAGAATAAATTTTTATTGTTACTCCATGTTTGAGATATTTATAGACTCATGTTTCAAATTCATTCTCATGCAAAGAAACACTGATTTTTGCACAAAATGATATTATTAGAAGATCTCTTCGGGAGGAAAACCAAATGTCTCGAAATTCCAAGTAGATTGAGAGAGAGACGCAATTCTCTTCGCGGTTTCAGCGGAGCCTTGACTCTCATGCTCATTCAATGTTTATAGTCATTCGTTTAAATTCGACTGAAAAACAGGACTATAAATCTGAGTTCTTCATTTCTAATCGAAATTTGTGGTCACAAGAATGGTTACGATCATCTTCCGCCTTTCGGTGAACATCCCAATCGAGATTGATGGCTCAGATCGAGGTTGTGTAAACCTGATCTTATATTCATAAATGAATCACTTCTTCTTCTTCGTCACGATATTTTGGGTGTTTTGTCACACTTGTCGTGATGATCAGAAAAAGTTGTGACATTGCGAATAGTCTTCTGACTCACGAAGTGCGTGAAGGCGGATTAAAAATCGCGAGATTTTCCTCCTCGCCAGTATAAAATATATCATGACTAATGTATCACTACCTTAATATTCTCTTTTGCACGGTTCATTAATTTCCAGCACAATTTATTCATCGTAGCCAATTTTCCCTCTCGTGTCGTCATTGATCAGCACTTGATCCTTCACCAATCTTTTCTAATGTTTGCCTCGTGTGTCTATCAATAGTCAATCTAACGATCTCTTCACTTTCACAAATTCACAGAAGCAAAGTGATGAGAAGTATCTCAAAGAGTTCCACAATGAGAATGATAATGGGATTCGTCATGTCGTCACTCGTGAAATTTCAATCAATTGCCTCATTCATGAACACATCACATGCTCGAATTAGAATAATGCGTGAAATAGGAAACGTACTTGCTGCACAACGATCGTGGCTCGTGGTTGAGTACAAACTGCCGAATCGAGCGGATTGCTCGTGACATTTATAGCGTCGCCACGCTGTATGATCTTCTGGCAATCGTCCAGATCCACGTCATCACGACTCGCGGGCTCCTCAGCGAAGAAGTCCACCCGAAGATCGGGCAACGGAGTTCCATGGGCGCCTGAGGGACTGCTGGACTCTCCTTTTGGTGGGATTTGATCAAATTTGCTAGTGATCTGATCAAATTTCGACATTCCCGAATGATCTTGTGTCTTTGCGTGATCATTTTTCGGAGAGAAAGCGTCATACTTTGCTGAGAAGTTTCCCTGAAAAGAGGCTTTGGGATTTATTTAAGTCTCTAAATAGAATTCTATGGATTCTCACCGGATTCATCCTTTTCATGGATCTTCTCACGGGTTTTGGCGTGGATTCTGGATACTGCATCATACTCTCTTGCTGTGCCAGCAATGTATAGTGCTGGAAGACATCTTGAGGCGCTTCGAACTTCCTTCTGTCCTTCAATTCAATGTCCGACCTCTTGGATTCCCTAAGCGGACTGTCCGAAGAATCATATCCTCGCGCGTCTGAGTCGAAAGGGAACTTTGTCTCTTCCTCCAATGCAAAGCACTCTCTCTGGATCCTCTCGTAATCCAGGGCTTCTCGGTCAAATGGAAACATCGTGGAGTCAGTCTGACCAAAGCGCTTTTTCGCGCTCATTCTTTTCCCCAGGATATACTTGTCTTTCAGTGCCATTCGTTCATTGTGAACCTTCTCGGGCTTTTCCGAATTCTCACTGGACTCCTCTTCAAAGGTGAAGAGGGGCTGATTCTTCTCCAGTGTCCTCACACTCCTCGGCGATGGTGGTCTGTCAAAGGGGAAGCGAGTCTGAGAAGTCACCGGTGCCGTTTTGGGCAGATTCGACGCATCCTGAAATATGATTTACACACGCTCAGTCATCAATCTGCGACAGAGGAGTACTAATTTGGACACAACAACCCTCGTCACACACTTGAGGCTGCCCTTATTCAATTCCCTCTGACGCCCACATACGGCCACGCTGGACCGCAATTAGTCCATCGCGCGCCCTAATTGAATTACTAACGTACCTCGTCGTAATTGAGCAACAAAGGAGGGTCCGGAACGGGGGGTGAGATTTTACCGACCTCTGCGCCTTCCTTTCGCGATTCCTCCGCCGCTCCATTTGTCAGCGGCGACGTCTGGGCGATTGCTGTCGCCGGCGCCTCATCCAAACTGCTCAGCAGTGGCTCCATCAATCCAGACGTGTCTCCTAGTAACAAGAGTGGATCCCTTTTCAATCCTCCGCAGCCTCTCAGTCTCAATTTTAACTCACCTAAGTCGAGAGAATCACACGTCTCTGTGTCTGTCGCCGTGACGTTGGTCATGAGAGTGGATGCACTCTCAGTGGAAGTGTTGATTGTTGCCTCAGAGTTTGATGTTGTTGACGAACCCATGACGACGACCTGCAAAAGCACGTGGCATCATTAATGCGATGGGCAAATAAACATCACCCCGATCGAAGGATGATTTCTGTGGCCACAAGAAGTGCTGCTGGGGATGTGATTTATGAGGGGCCTTCGACGATTTGCCGGCCTGCGAGGGCGTCCAAAGCCCCCCACCAATCGATATGATGTAAATATTTGCATTTTGCCGAGATCATCAAACAGACTATCGCCCCAAAGTGCTTACATCGGATCCCAAGCAGAACACTTACGACCTGTATCAACAACGACCCTCGCAGCTATTTACTCAACAGTCGAATTTTCGTATTCTTCGCGAATTTCAATGTGAATCACAGTGAAGAGCGGCAAAGAGTCGCGTGCAGAAGTTATTGCACAATTATGATTCAATCCGGATGAAAATTGCAAGCAGGAAGCGCTTCTTCAAGGTATTATTAGATGAGGACTCACTGTTTTACTTTAAATGCTATTCCTTCAATTTCTTTGACCTGGAAATAATTTGTGAGCAGACTCACCTTTGGTACTGCGGGTCCTCTGGTTCTCGGGTGGCGTCCGCTCTTGAAGTAGAGTCTCCTGAGAGCCGTTCCGGTGACTTGATCCGTCTCGGAGCCACTGGAGTTGCCCGGACTCGTGGGCCTGGCCATGGCGGTGGCAGTGGGATGAGGATGAGTAGTGGTCGTGGTTGTCTGGCCATGGGTCACGGACACAGTCATCGCACTGTGCGGCAGGGCTGAAGACATAAGCTCATGTTAGCACCTTTTCCGTTTGCTTTTATGACATGCAATAATTCACGGGTAATCCCGCTCTTCGCATAATTTCGATATGCGCCAGAGTCGTGGGAGTGCGGTTGAATGAACACTTTAGGCGCACAATGACAAATCCAAAGTGCTCAGTCTCAGTACCGAGAGTGTCATAAATAATCCCCTGTTTTAAGTGTCTGAGCAATTACTGGACAGACTATTAAATTATGATCTACAGACGGTTTGGCAAATAAAGAGAGGTTTGAGTCATCCTTAAGGCAAACAAAGTGCATCAAAGGGTTAGATTTTCCTCCCCAGAGGAAACCCGAGAAGACAACTTAGCAAAAGAAACATTCAAACTTTGTTGTTTTCACAAGAAAGAAGTCAACAAAGAATCGTTTATTCGCCTTTGATATAAAATTTGTTAGTCTACAAATAGACTTCAGCTGCTCACATTTCCCTGTGTAGTTTTACACCACCAATTTTCCATGTCTGATGCACTGTGAAGATGCAGATGAACAAAGATGCAAAACCATAAAATTCCTGCATTTCGTGCACTCTTGCGTGACGCAAATGAAAATCCCCTCGCTTTTTCCCATCTTCTTTTCCCTGTCGTGTCGATGTAAACCCAGTAAATTCTCATCAGCTTCACGTAAATGTAAATTTATTGTTTCACGTGGCAAAATGTAGCACGAGAAGAGAGGAGTTCAATCATTTTCCTTGAACGTACGAAAGCTCCTGGATTTTACGTATATCTTTCATTTGAGGAATAGGATTTACTCAAAGCGGCAAAAAAATTAAAGTTTTCCCACTTAATCTGAAGAATATTATACACTTTTCTCACGAATCCTCCTCATCTTCATATTATATTCGCGAGAATTATATTTATTTATCTTTCAGAGAACTATTCTTTAAATAAATCCTCAACGCAGTGGCGCTTTTCCATGGAAATTTTGGTCTTTCACCGAACACACTTCATCAAATTGAGCGTGACCAATTGCTTTAAAAATACCCCGCCAAAATTCTTACCTTTTGCTCTGCGCGGAGTCGAAGGGGGTGCAGGTGTTGGACTGGGCGGATTGCTTCTCTCCTCTCTGATGAAAATTCCACTTTGCTGCAAAGAAAAGCAAAATGAGCTTTTTCACGAACATTTTCACACGGGAGGAAATAGTCTATTGTGATGACGTGCTAACAGCACCTTAACTTGCTTAGAAACATCATCTGGAGCAGCTTTTCGTCGCTTCTGACGGGTGGAAAATTGAATTTTGATACGCCGTGTATACAAAAAGTCTGTGCGTCTCTAGCAAGGACGTGAGATCAAAGTCAAGAAAGGCAGATTGGGGCATTTTTGGATTGGCAGATATCTTAGTGTATTACGTTTTTAAATTCATAATTTTGTGTTGACGGTAAAATTTGTCAATATTAAATTATGAATAATAATTTGAAATCAAGCATAAATAATGGGAGTTTTCCAGTTAAAAAAAAGACGCTGTTCATATTAACCCTCCACTTCTGTATTATTTGTATCTACGAACATATAGAGACGATAGGTATTTCCTGCCTCATTTCCTCAACAAGCAATCGAATTGCTAAATCGCTGATAAGGCCACTTTCTAGGTATGTTGCTTTTGTATCTTATCAGACGCAGAGCGAGATAAATGGTATCGAGAGACTTGGGAAAACTGTGAATCTTTCTCCAGTTCGTCAAAGCCATTCCAATGCGTGAGGATTTTGTACGGTGGCTTTTCGTGTTGGCAGTAGCCTTCCAATGGAGAAATGGGGCAGAAGGTGAGCAGCTTCGAAATATCCGCAAGTGTTGCAATCGCGACTGGCTTTTTTCCCTGCTCACTGATTACGCGCTCGACGTGATGGTGAAATGTGTTGACGTGCCTGAAATAGCATAGCGACGTCATGAATTGCCTCGAAGTCCCAATGATGAATCTTCCTCAACCAATCTTTCAGCGCTCCGCTGCTACGCCTGCACGTACGTGTCCGGCCAGCAGAGCGACACCGTGTGCATCGATGACCCCGAAAAGGTGGAGGGTCAGCGGATAGTGACATGCGACAAGAAGTACTGCACAATTATGCGCCAGGAGCTGAAGGATCCCGCCGGAAAAGTCAACAGCTTCGTCAGGGACTGCGTAGAGTCCCCGCAGGTGAGGTCAAGCACTGACTTTATTTTCTGTCGATCTCAGACCATGAAAGTGATTAATAGTTCTATGATTCAGTCACCCTTTTGCGTGTGCCAAAAATAAAACTCCCTAAATTTTCCATCAACAAGCAATTTGGAATAATGTCTGTGCAAATTGCACGCGCTCTTAGCGCGACGTTTAATTGCGGAAGAGATTTTATACATGTCTCATTAACATTCTCAAAACAGTTTCTCAATGACATGATCGAGGATGCGACATTTAAGACATACTTTCGCTCTTGCATGACTGATCTATGCAACGATGGTAAGTCTGCTCTCATGCCTGCTTTGTAACTAACAGTATGCCTATAATATTCTCCATTTGCCACCTTCACAGGAGATGGCATAAGAAATGGTGATTCCATTCTAAATCCCGACGGCAATGGACCCGGAGAAAATCTTCTCGTCCCCGGCATCACTGGAAAAGCCACTCTGACCCACAAAATTCCTGCTTTTCTCACCCTCACACTGACGTTGTTCGTACAGTTCGTCCGTCGACTTCAATATTTTCATTAATGTGCAAATATATATTTCTCTTTCTCCCTGTGCAAACACTTGGGATTTTTCTTGGAAATTCCCAGAAAGGCAGAAATGGTCAAAAACCGCTCCTCAACTCAGCACCAGATGGACTTTTTCCCATCAATTTTCACGAAGTTCATGGGAAACGCGACCACTGCATTGGGATCGATTTTCGAAAGTGCAATGCTTCTGCAGGATAATTGAGCATCTGAACCAAAAATAACATTTTTCAGTGCTTTTTGCCCACTTCTCGCTATCATCGAACAGTTTTCCACGCGCGGAAAAAGCGCTTTTCCAGATTGTATCTGTGGTTTTTTTCCCAATGACATGTGTCTGTTTTTATGGAATGTCGCACACTCTCGTGTATGAAGGTATCAAATATTTATTCGTAAATATGCGCGAGGAGTTCATTAAAATAAAAAGGTCAAAATATGGAATTTGGCCATTTTTGCGCGCACAAAAATCCTCCCAATCAGTCTGTCTGTGGCGGAAAAGTCAGGGCTATTTTAGGCAGGAAAATTGGAATATGGGTGAGAATGTATTGAATAATAACTCGAATTCTCAGAAAGTCATATTATTTGACTCTATTCTTTGAAATAGACTCAATGAGAGCGCCTCAAATGTCCATCTGGTGCCACTTTTAGACAGATTGTATTCAATAACACACATAGCTAAAATGAATGGTATTTAGTTCTTTTAAGATTACATATTATATTATGACCAATACGTGACTCCGGTTCTGAGTTTTGATGGAAACTTGAACAGCAAGGAAAATACAAGATTCTTCTAGACTTACTTCAGTTAAGATTAAGTGAAAGTGGTGGTAAAAGTTTCGGGGGACATAAATTGGCGTGGAAATCAATTTAACCAGCTGGTAGAAGTGAGAGTTTTGGCGGTGAAATATGATCAACGGCGTGCACACAGTTGTTGAGGTTGATTGCAAAACTACCCGCGATGACTTCATCAAATTGACGACGACAGTGCTTCTGATGTCAATAACACTTGTCCCAAAAATACCCCACGGACCGCGAGTGTTGCAATTCTGGTCCTAAAATTGACCAGAGAGTGCTTCTAAAAGCGTCACAACTTGCAATAGATTTCAATTTCTATGCTGGCATCACGTCCCTTCGGGCCGCGTGGCTATAAATAATATCGATGGTGATTTAAATAGACGCGCCGTGCAAGATGTTGGCCACGTCGGCCAAAAAAGCATGAAACCCACGAGAGTTAATGGCACCGCTGGCCCATTGGGCAGTGCCAACCAAAATTGCACAATTCATCCTCCCAATCGTTCGCATTTCATCTGTTTACATCGCACCATGCAGAATCAGGTGATTTCCCAATTCCAACGGGGTGGAATTCAATATCACACAACTGAAATATTTTTATGGACCATTTTTATCACCAGATATTTTATCTACTAATTAACTGCCCGCACAGTTGTGAAAGTTAACTCTCAGGAATGCCCAGACGGAAAATATTTGGGGTTTTCGAATACACGGAATATGATTTACAACACTGTGCGGTACCCAATGATGCGGAAATATGTTAATGGGCTTCAAGGATTGCGAAATAGGATTAGTAAAAAGAACCAGGTGAAATTGAAAGAATTCATTTTTAAAATTCTTCACGAATGCCTGAATATTGTAGCGCGGACTTCTCGCGTGCCATTTGCCAGAGATCAAGTATAATTTATTTGGATATATTCCCAAAATATATTACCATAACTTTGGCTGTGCTTCTCGCGTGTGAGTGATTGAAGGAAAATAATCTTGGGAGAAATTGAGATATTTTCAAATCACTTTTTGTACCCATCCTGGTGATCCGTTTGTTTTGAAACATCCATTAGTATTGCAAAAAGACGGTCTCTCTGTGAAGATGAGCCGCGATATCTAAACAAATCGTGAGTTAGAAGCGCATCCAGCGCAAAAATAGAGCAAGTTGTAGCTAATTCTAGCGAAGTGGATAAAAATAGGCAAGATTTCGCCAAGCTACACACATTTCCTAGTCACAGGTCTTTGTACGCGACTCTTGTGCAACACAACAACAAAAGACATACTCATTCTGATGAGATCCACACAAGGATTGATTTCCATTCGTCTTTCAACCTCAATTTCCATCCACTTTTCGCGCCAATTGGCAAATATTGTTGATTTACTCTTAATTTCGTGCCATTCTTCTTCTCACTTCTCTCCCGAGGTTTGCGCCCACAAAAAAAACTATGTCAATGAGTTTCACTTTTCATTGGGGAGTGAAAAGTTTTTCGCAAGTCGTTTTTTCTCCATTGACAGTGAAGTTAACCCTTTAAGGATTACAATCGTAGAATCTGTTCTTTGATTTATGTTGTCGCTATTGGTGATGTAAATGTGACACACTTCCAGAAAATCTCTTTTCTGTCATCTAGAAAGTCTAATGGTTCTTCGGTGATTCACCAAAGGGTTACCATCATGCATTGAGTGACTTGAGCTCGATATTGTGAGAAAGTGAAAGGCGCGAGAGATGCAGATTGTTCTTGGAAAGACAGAGTCATGATGGGTCTCAAATGACCTGCCAACCCCGTCATCATGAGTGACTCCGTGGCAGCGTGCCAGCGGCAATTGGGAGCAAGAAGCTGCACAGTACGCACCCACCGGCCCACAAATTGGGCCACACGCCCCAACCAAAGTGACAAAGACCGGCCTGATGCCGAGGGAGAGCCTTTTCCCATTCAATGCGTGATCGGAAGCCCAAACAGTGGAAATCAATTGACGTCACTTCTCCGTTCTGGTGGCTTCACCAATGTTACTCAACGCGCTCAAATGTATGTTTATTTAATTCAATTCCCCGTTGAGAAAATTGTAAATTTCATACTTCACGCCTCCTCGCAAAGTGGTTGGCGCGCTTCTGCGTTACTCAATCGCTAATCACTTCCTGGGAAATTGTCTTGAGAGTCATCTTCGAGAAAATGGTGAAAAATAAAGCCACCAAATAGACTGTGAGCAAAAATAAATGAGTTTCTTTCATCCCATTTTCACTTTTTTTGCACGCACTTTAAGTGGAAATCTGGGAATATGTCGTGTCTCTGGTGAGAGATTTATGTCTTTCTGGCTAGATCACAACAAAGAGACAAGCTGATTTGCTGAGGAGAGCCAAAAAAACTGGGAGTTTCCTGGAATAATCAACAATCGCGCCACAGAGTTTCTTCAACTCAATGGGTTAATATCGAACTTGATATCATTGTGCAAAATGAGAGACTCTCTGTCAATCACCGTGAAAATCCTATTGTAAAACTGAAGACATTCCTAGTGAACATGGGACATGGGAAAAATCAAGAGGAGGGAAAAATCACCCGAGAAATTCACCAATAAAATGTTTTAGTATCACTGCCGCTTTTATTGCCGGCAGGATTTTCCCGGGGATGTGACGTAGTTTTTCCCGCATTGAAGAGGGAGTGCAGAATCCACACATTTTCCGTCTGAAGAGAGCTAAATAGGCTCAGTGAAATTTGAGCTAATATACGCAGAATAAAACGAACTCTATATCTTCTTGATTGATTGCAGCTCAGCATAAAGCAGGACAAACATTGATTCTCCGGCCTTTGATGATGATAAACCATTTTTCATGCAATTAAACCGCCATTAGAGATTCGCGCGAATCCACTTTTTTCCGGGACGCATCTCACGAAGAGCAGACAAGGTTCAATAAATATTTTCCCGACATGACAAACCACAGCATAAATTCCCCCAAAGAAAACAACACCAGGCCGAGAAAGTGTGGGAAAAGCATTTGGCGGCACGTTTGAAAGGGTGAAAGTGTGTCTTGTGAAAATCGTGTGTCAAATGTTTATGTTCCGAAACATGACACCCAAAGAGGAACTTTTTATCGGCCTCCTCGTGTCCCCATCATCAATCATCAGCCTCCCTCCGGCCCACTTTCAATGCCCTCACTTCTCAGCGTGTCCGCCAGATCATCTGAGCAAGGCAGACCCAATGATTTCGCACTATATGTCTGAAGAGTTTTCCCGAGAGCCTCTGAGGGATTTGAATGATTGCGCTGCAGTGGCGTAGTGTAAATAAAAAAAATCCTTTCAAACAAATCCCTTCGACATTTTGTCTTTCTCTTTAGGCTGCTCAAGAGAGTATGAAAAATTCAAGCATGACAGTAAAATACGATTTCATGCCAGGAAACTCGAGGTTCTACTTTGCGTTCGTCCATCAAAGGCGCATTAGCATTAGCATTAGATTGTCATAAGAGACTACATCACTGCTGTGAAAGGCAAAGAAGCGCCAAAATAAAACAAATCTTTGAATTTCGCTTATATTTAACCGATAACTCATTCTGTTCTTATATCATATTTGTTTTTTTTTTACTTTAAAATTGATAATCTATCGGTTTTTGTTAGTGAAAAAACAATTCTGGGGCTTACAAAAAAGTGTTAAATTTAAAATTATTTAGTTCGTCTCTTCTCTTTAAATTTGTGATTCACCCAAAAACACAATTTCCCCAGCTTAAAGAGTCATAAAACTACTCTCTCGTCCATCTGCATATTATTTATTAGAAAAGAAGTGATTTAGATGGAAACATGTGAGTCTTTTATCAAGACAAGAAGATTTGTTAGAAGATTCAACAGGAACATGGAGCAAAAACACATCTCTTTGATGATCATCTGGGATTTGAGGCCAAGTGTGCGCTGTGTGAGCATCAGAAGAAAAAAAAACAGAGAAATTCAGGTGGGGATTAAATTTACTGGAAAATTGAGTTTACTGGCACGCTGCGGAGGAGTTTGAATTCATCATATTCTCTTATATCGCATTACATTCAACTGAAAATCATTAATTTTCCCACTGACTGGTGGGACAGGGAAGAGGAAAATCATGAAGAGAAAACCAAAAAGATAATGAAGGGAGCGACGAGGCTTTTGGGAAGACAATCATTCGAGTGGAAAGATCAATGAAGTGAACTTTCAATTGAATTTTCTGTATATTTTCCGGCGTGAAAAAGCCGCTCGGCTTGAGAAGCTTTTCCCGCCAAAAATTTGAAGGGGATTTCAAAGCTCTTTAGGCTGGGATTTATTTCACGCTCAAAGGAAAAACAGCAATGGGAGAAGCTTAAAGGTCTCGTTATTGAATTAGGATGTTTCTGATGAGGAAATGGAATTTTTCCCGGGTCAGAAATTAATCGCCTAATTACTGGAAGGGAAAATAAGTGATGATTTTTCAAGAAAGAAGGGTTGAACGTGCGTAAAGCTCAATCAGCAGAAAACCCCACACCCATTCAATTTCTTTGCCATAAATCCTCGAAGGAGTTATGTCACCTCATGTGGAAGTAATTTGACGAAACTTCCCACATCCCATAGCACAATTTTCTAACGCGCTGAGGGAAATCTCACGGGAAATCGCGCCTGTTCACGCCCAGAAACATTCCGAAGCTGAGAATTGTTCCACAGTCTTCAATTTGGCTGCTAAAGAGTGGGTGCGAAATAAGTTATTTCACTTGTAAATGTAACAATATATTTGAATTTTAAATCACTCACTCTTCAGAAAGTCTCAACTCCACCTGGAGCGTCTGAAAGACACCCTCGATGACGCTCCTGGCGTGAAATTTAATTGGGATTCGCAGCTTTTGAGCACGAAATGGGTTTTCATTTAGGATTTACGCGGAATCCCGTCCCCATTTCATCACCAGGCCGTGGGGATCATGACAAAGGCAAGGTGCTCGGAATTATTCAATTGACTGTTAAATCTTTAATAAGACAAACTTTTCACTAAATTTAAAGCCACAGCCACGTTTCTTCTAACACTATTCGCATAGTTTTCCATTAACTACCAACCTTCCTTCACATAATGCAGAATTAATTGCGGAAGGAATTACACATGTTTCCAGCGATATTGCTGGTGAGCAGAAGATCCGGATATGCTCGATGAAGCATCAAGAGCGGGGATTTTCCAAGGAGGCAGACTCCAATTATTTTCAAATCATTGAACTGAATATTGATGTCATAAAGGAGCACCGATTGTGTATTTATAAAACCAGTCACAGGCTCAGTTGTGAAGCAATTTCAACAATATATCGAACATCCTGGGGAGGAAGATGAGGCTATCAGGGGGTATTTATAGATTTGATCTGAGGGACACCAAAAATAATTCGAGCTATTCAAAATATGTCCCCTCAGAGGAAATGTTCAATTCTGCACCAGTTTTCCAGTTCACTATCAAATGTAATTTGAATTTGGTCTTCGTGAGGTGTGAAGTTCAAAGCTATATTTAACAATAGTTGAACAAACCACAGAATTCACCTGAGTCCCCTGAATCAATTCAATTCAGTGAATTTCTCTCTATTCTGTATGTCTAACCAGTGGCCAATCATGCGAGGTGAAAAGACTCGATTGAGGGCTTTCGATGCAAGTCAACCCTTACCAGAATCAGTAGGGAAAATAGTTAAAATTCCTGACTAAAAGTAATAGTCAGAGTCTGGGAAAAATGATAGATAAGCTTAAAAATAGCTGTAGATGGATTTGATTCACCAACGATCTCCAAAATAGCCTTGGGGCTGTATTTCTCATTGAATGAATTCTCCCTAATTGATTAAACGCACCCTTTTGAAGAACCTTCTTCGAATGCTATCAAATTCCAATTAAAAATCACCCCTGCTTCCGTTCCAAAGAATCTCTCCAGTGAAGCTGGTAATGAGATTAATTAAAATTGTGATGAGCCGGATTCACGTGAGATTTTCGGGTGGGTTTTCAGAGTGCAGGAAGCCCTCAAGGGGAAATCCTAACACGAATGAGGCTTCCCGTCGGCATTAATTGAATGACATGAGGAGTTTCAAAACTAGGCCGTGCGGAGAAAGGGTCTTTTATCCCTGAGGAATCAATAAAACACATCGCAAACGAGCCTTTTGTTCCATTCTTCGATGTTGAGGGAAAAATAAATGTGTGGTATTTAATAATGTCACTCCCATCCACTAAAAGTCCTATCGATTCTCCTAGTTTGACCTGATAAATCCAGTAAGATGGTTGCTTCCTCCTCATCCCTCCATGTGCCAATACTGGAGTACAATGGGTTAATTGAGAAATGTACGAGTGAGCATCCCAACTTGGATATCCGCCCGCGGCCCTGAGGATTGCAATCGACAGAAATATTGCTGCCCAACACCTTTACCATCGCAATCCCAATCATCCTTTTCATATCGTCCGTCATTGTTTTTCATAGACATGCGGCCCAGGTGCTGTCCTAATCCTCCAGTCTTCAGCAACTCCCACGACACATTATGTGACAATCCCTCACATGTGTGGAGAGAGCCGTGTGCCCAAAACTTTACGTGACAGTTTGATAAATGATAATCCTCATGGCATTAATTAAATTTCTGCATACTCTTTCGCATACGAAGAACAGAGAGTTCTTACCGCGCAGCGATCAATTCAAACGCGCTTTTCCCGCGCGTGGAAACGCAGTAGGCCTGGACAAAAATGACAAAAGAGTTTTACTGAAAAGTTGGTGCGCTTCCGTGCAGTCTTCTCAGAAAGTAGTGAAGTATTCAGGTGAGAAATCCCCCAGTGAGTTCTAGTATGGCATCCATGGCACCAGTGAAGCAGGATCACGGTCGGGAGGAGCCCCAGAGCAGTCGCTCGAAGGGCCCGTTCACGGCGGCTGCGAAGGCTCTCTCCACGACAAAATTCAATGTCACCGCAGCTCCCTTTGTGATGAATCCCGTCAAGGTGGAACGTCAGCACACTCCTAGAATGGCCTCATTGTGCTCTTCAATGTCCCCATTGGGTTCTCCCGTCCCGCCGGCATATCGCAGCATCCTGGGCAGGGATCCAAGACCGCGTTCGGGGATCGCAAGGCCCGTGACGCCCATGGAGACGGGAATGGTTGGTTACTTTGTAAGTATATCGCAATTATCAATAAGAATAGGCAATTCCGGAAAGAAGACTTCTGAATTTTGTTTTTTTCAGCCCCCACCACCGCCTTCTATGATCAGAAATTGGAATTTCAATTCCCCGCGATGCTTTGGCGCTCATTGCCAACCCGATGGTACAATACTGATCAGACTTCGCGAAGGGATCAGGTAAATGTCTGAGCACAAATCCAGACTAATTCAGTGCCCCTGTACTTTCAAATCCTTTATCTAAACTTTCTTGACTCTCCTCAGAATGCAGTCTCTCAAAACTCATAAGATATTTAATGAATTTTCTCAACGATGCTAAAACTTTGACTGCGAAACATGGAAACTTTCTCTCTGACAAATTAATCTTGTCTTTTTCCATTCAATTATGATTTCATGGAATTTTCTTGAGCCTGAGGGCTAATAATTTGTGCTTTATATTGCCAAATAGCATTGAAATGACTCTGGACAGGGCGGTGAGGGTGCTCAACAATCACAGCAAGGTTGCCCTAGCGCTGTCCAACACGGGAAACTCCTCAGCCCTCATTCATCCCAATGGAAGAGTTTATCAGTACGGTTCGAAAGTGGAAATCGTGGCGTACGATGGTATGAGGAAGAACAGCTTTGTGCGTTTCGCCAAGATGTGGCAGAAGGGCGTGAGCTTCACCAGTCAGAATTGTGCTCTGGTCTTCTTGGTGGACTCTGCAGGCACCAGAACCACCACCGATAGCTTCACGGACATGTCTCAGGACTTCACAAAGTCCATCTTGTACCGAGACACGCGATACGGCGAGGAGTACATCGATGAGGCCCTGCAAGTCCTCAAGGCAGCTTCGTGGTGGACTAACGAGGATGGCAACGACACGTTTGACGTGAATGGGTTCAGAATTACTCAAACGGCTGATGGATTGGTCAGGTAAAATACCATATTCACTCATAGTCATGCAGAAATTCATAAAATTTCCCACATTTTACCAGAATGACACGCACAAATACCAAGAGTTTAATCCGCACCAGCCCAGGAAACGGTTCAGCCACTTTGACCACGAATTTCATGCACTGCACCGCATCTCTGGGACAGACATCGCATTTGTTTATCAGGTGAGCTTTGATATTATGTTATATTTGGTATTAATGATGAAATTCAATAGTAAAAGGCTTTTCATATTGTTTTCACGGGATGCCTCTGGAAAATATCGAACACACATTTTGTGGGTGTCTAGAACGAAAAATAAATAAACGAGTCAGCTGTGTTAATCTTAGGAAAAGTTTTAGCAATTAAAAACGAACAAATGTGTTTGTATTGAAGAAATAAGTTTTTTCTGTTTTTTTCTGTTCATCAATCTTATCGTGAACATAATATTAAAACTGAAATGTTTTATAAAACTAGCTGACAGATGCTTTGCCATTAAAAAGACTTTTTTATCGCAAAATAATACGAGAAAAATCATTCCTCGTTCTGCCTTTAGATTATTTCATGGGAAAATGTATAAATAATTTACTTTATCTCCATTTTCATACAATTTCCGTACTGACAGAAGAATGAAAAAAGTAAGAAATATGTTTTTTTCTCAAATTTCAGAATAATCTTATCTTATTTAAAAGATGTGATTTTTTAGGTTAAAATTTTTTTCCATTTCCGAGCGTGTTTGAATTTTCCGCATGTATTTTATGATAGCGATAATCGAGACATCAAACATCCACCAATTGATTTTCCTATGAATTCTAGAAATCTAACACCTATTATATTTATTTTATCAGGCGAGGAGAGCTTCGTATGCATTTCGACGGAAGTCAGTTTGTCGTGAGAAATGCTGGACATTCGGCGGGATTTGATGACAACAATCTGCTGAAGGTTTATTGATTCCTCAATCGTCCGGAGGATTATATGTTTCGTTCCATACTCCATACATCTTCATTTTGGGTTACTTTTGCGCTGTCCGATCAGCGCACTCAGATTTTTCTCCATCAACAACTCGCTCTCTTGTTTTGGCCAGAAAAAAATTGTGAAATTCCCTTTCAAAATCTCTTCGCGTGGAAGATTTAATAAATAATAATGATATTTTCTTTCTATCCGTGATGTTCTTTTGTTGCTGGCGAGAAAATTGTGCTCCTCCCCTTTTGCGCTTCCGCGAGTGAGAAAGGAGTGAAAATTTATTTGATATTTCAATGTGTATGAATAGATGGTAAAGCTCGGGGTGGAGAAAAAAGGGAATTTATGGGGCGACACTTTCATTATGTTCCCAAGAAGAAATGGAATATAATGTGTCTTTTCTGGCAAATGCAAATGAGTGGCGCGGCGACAAATTGTAGGGGCGCGCTTTCCGAGAAGCCCCAGTCAAGGTGAAAAGTTATTCTAACGAATGGAAAAAGTACGAAATAGTTGGAATTTGCAGTTAAATACACATGATGAAGAGATGAAAGAACGCCCAAGTTTTACAACTTGTACATTATAAATTTATAAATATATGAAGAATATATTTTCTCTTATGAGCGATAAGAGTAAAGGAAGAATATGGAAAAATATGAGCTGGCAGGGATAGAGAAAAGCTGTGGCAGCTCGTGACTTGACATTTTTTATGAATGAAAAGTATATTCCTCATCCGCGGGGCGGAGAATTGAATGGGAAAATAATATAATGCATAGGCGCGTGCTTTTGAAAGCTCCCTAACATTATTTTGCCAAGGGAAATTTCTTCAATGGCGTCTCGAATAAGTGATGTTATTCATATTACGAACGTGTGGAATTGAATTAAAATAAATTAACAGAGAACAATATCCGGGAAAAGCTGTAAAGTCAGAATCGCAGTCGAAAGCACATTGCCAAATGCTAGGAAATTTAATCAAAGCTCTTATGATATTCTGACAAGGGGCGAAGCCATGTTTTATGCAAATTTCATCCGCGATGCTGGTGGAAATTCCAGTTTTTCTTCCCTACTTTTCTCCATGGCAATTTTTCACTCATGCTTGATATTACTTCCTATTGTGTTCACAGGGTGTTTCGCATGTTATTATCCTGTCTGTTTTCCCCCTATCATGCTGGGGAAAGAGCTCTGAAGGATGAGGAATTGCCTTCGTGGTGCCATTTAACCATTTGTCGCGTTAAATCTTTTATGAGGAGTGGAAAATTTCAATTTGGATTAACAAACACGACTTTTTTGGCGAACACAACACAGGATTTATAATGAAATGGGAGCGTATGATGCGAAATTGCAAGTATATTCTGCATGTGCTACATGAAAAATTCGTCTCTACATAGGTAATCAAAGAATGGCAAAAATTCTCATTGGAGAGCTTTGTGGAATAATAAAGAAGATCACCCGATTTGTCTTCTCCGTAAAGGTGGATTTCTATATTAAAATACCCTTTACCACAGACCGAAATTAGAAAATGTCAGCCATTCATCTCACCAACAAGTCCACACTCAATGTTCGAGAGATATATTTGCGCGTTTCCGCATGAGTAATGAGCCTGAATGTTATTGCGGATGCTGACTAATTAATATGTGTTTTCAATGGGGCTTTCGAAGGGAAAGAAACATCGCCATTTAGAGAAGCGTGAAAAACGATCCAAAACTAATAAGAGGGTCGACAATTGAGAATGAGGGGAAAGTTTCAATTTCTAAGGATCAACTGGAGAGAAAGAAGAAGGGTCGTTATATGAAATTTCTTCACCCGTGGAAAACCCTCTTCATTGCGATGGCAAAATGTCTCAAGTGTTATATCATTCTGATGAATCCACTTTGGAAAGAAAAACTTCCAGCCCAACCTTCAATTTGTGAGATGATTTCTCTGTCAAAAGTGACCATCGTGATGGTGTATATATGCCCTATTTTTCAGAAAAAAGGTCAAAGAAAGACTGTCCCTTAAATTGTCCTCATTCCAGCATACCTCATCATTATTGGTTTTCAGCGCGTCGGGTCGAGAGTTGGAGATGATAAATGAAAATTTATGGTTCATTTTCCCGAGCCCGAGAAGGATTAAAGTGTGACTTTTTCAATAAATCTCTTTGCCTAAACCCACCCCAAGACTCCATTCTCCTTACGCCAAAGTTCAACAAAAGGCGCGCTCCATAGAAAATTGAATAATTCAATTTTCCCCCTCACACTTTAAATACTCAATAAATTTCCGCCGTGCAAAATTGAGGGTCATGAATTTTATCTAACAGCCACTCTCAGGACGGTAAATTCATTTGGAATTTATTGGTGGCAATTAGCATTGCCCCATGAAGACATACAAAAGTCAATCAGAAGATGAGGATTTTCACGATTTTCCCGCCCCAATTCAATTGCCACGGGCTTGTAAAATATGTTTATTGCCGCTGTGCTTTCATTTCTGATCATGTCACCAAAAGTCTCATTAAAGGTTGCTTCGGAAAAAGTGCGTAGAATGGATTGAATTTGACAGTGAGGAGGTAGGGAGTGTAAAATAGGCAGAAATCTCATTATCGAGCTTGCGAAGTGAATTTTTTTACGCCCAAATCGTAAAAAAGGTGCCGCACAGTCAACATGGAAGATTAAATAATCTCTGAAAGCTCTCGAAAAGCTTCTCGCAAAATTTTCACACTTCACCTTTAAGGAACTTCAAGGCTTCGCGACTGTGATTCTTGGAATTTCTTCTTCGACAGAGAGAAGAATAGGAATTAACCTTTGCGCATAAGAAAATAAATATTGCAATTATTTCAGCAAAAATCTTCACATATATTCTACATACTTTCTTAGGTTTTTTGAAAGTAAGTTTGATGAAAAATTTCGGTAGACTCAACTTTAATGAATTAAATATTAATATTATTATTTAGATAATATTTTAGAGTTCCCACATGAAAACATTTAGCAATGTAATTGGAAATGTCCACTTTATTATTCTAATTTCCAGCAGCAGTTCGACAATATTTATAGAATCTGAACTGAAATGAAAATTTGCTCACATACTAAAAACGAAAATTCCCATGCAGTAGCACTGCGGATTAACCTGGAAAAACCACACAACACAAATCATAGTTGTTTTTGGCTAGGAAAACTTATCAAATTTCCAGTGTTGATTGTCGCTCTGGTTGAAAGTTCTCACTTTTGGCAGGAAATTAACTTTCGACCCATGTAAATTAACTGACATATTTTCAATTTCCTGCCTGAGGATTTCCATCAAAACGCCAGTTGATTGGAGAGTTGTGGCCTTCTGTAGTACTCCCGGATAATTTACCTGGCAAAAATCACTTGTAAATATGTATAATTTGCGCGACAACGTAAAAATACACACTGTAGAGTGCCAAATTTCAACTTTCTTTTTTTCTCTCTCTCTCTCTCTCTTTCCCTAATGAACGCTTTTCATCGCACAGATGAAAATCTCTCGATCATCAGTGAAATTGTGGCAGTAAATTAAATTTGGCACACATTTGTGCCTAGAAACCTGGAAAAAAGTCAATTGAATAGAATCTCATTTCACTTTCAAGTGCCTCTCGTTGACTTTTTCGCACAGACTTTTCATGAAAATTCCCTCTGCCGCAGGAGCGTTCATTTAAATTTCCACTGAGTCACTGAGCGCCGGTGAATAATTTGCTGCGCCAAATGACGAGGAACCTTGTGAGCAACGAGGCAGGATGACTGAGTGGGAAATTTGGGTCAGATTACTTTTGTGATAATTGAAGACTCCTCGCTATGCACTATGTCATCATTACCTCATAATTATTGCCCACTTTTATTGGGCCACTTTCGTGTTCATTGAAGCCGGGAAGCCCGTTCCCTCATGGGAAAATATTCTCTATGTGTGGGAAATTATTAATTTTCCCATCTGATGGGCTTTCCCGCATTCACTGTGAAGCTCATGAAAGGCTGAAAATTGAGTGCTTGATGGAGGAGTAAGAGAGGATGATAAGAGATGTAATTTAATCAAATTCTCTCCTACTATTTGCGATAACATCCAGCCCGATGGGGTTTTACTTGAAAGACAAACAACCACATCAGCCCCTCTTTTGAATCAATAAAACTTCAATTAATATAATTAAAATCATATCGCAAGTTTGCTGCTCTGTTTTAATCATGACAGAGAGAAAGAGCGACGCCTCTTTTGCCATTATTACACCAAATATTGCCAACATCAGCATATCATGAATTTTCGCTTAAAACGAAAGTCTTGTTTGCCTTTCAGAAAATACCAGTCTTGTGAACAATTAAAATTAATTAGAAATACACCGGTGAATAGATGCAAAAATAGTCAGCAATGCTATATGTAAGTTGCTAAGCGTGAAGAATTTATGTAGTGCGTGCATAAATCTTAAAGGATCTCCTAAGAACCACCCCGACATGATGCTTTACAAAACACGGAAGAGATTATTTGACTTGCCATTAAAAAACTGTTTGCCTCTCATTATCACCAGAATCTTCTACATCATCGCCAAAAGTGCGCATTCACTGCAAAATAGAGGCCTCAAAGTCTCGTGGGTGTGCTCTCGTCACCCCCACGGGAATGGGAAAACTGCGTGACCATTTATCAACCCCTCCAGCTTGACTGGAGTGTTTACGAGGATTGCATTCCTGCATCGCCTCGAGCAGCGCCTCAAGAGATGGCAACGAGAGAACGTGCTAAGAAATTGACACTTTCCCCATTGTTGACTCCTCTTTGGGTGTGCTTTTTGTCCGCCAGTGAGAAGTTTTCAACTACACGTGCGATAGCGCCAAAGAGGGGTTGTTAAATTGAATTCCTGAGATGCTTAAGAAGTTCTCTGACTTCCAGGTGAGAAATTCACCTGGGATATTGGGGGTAATCCTCGTGAAATACTAACATTATTTTGCGAGACTTTAGAAATCCTCCCACATTTCTTTCCTTCTCTTATTTCGCAAAGATATTTTGGGGAATCCAAAGTTCATCGCTAAATTGAACCTTTCTCTTGTCTCACCGATTTTTCCAATAAAGTCCACTGAGGCGTAAAGAGAATAAATTGTCAATTGTATTGTCTATTTTTGAGTACTCGAATGTCAATTGCCGACTGCGAATGGGCGAAAAAATTTCCATACATGAGAAAACTTTGAAATAG